TGGTCGATAATTGGGATGGACGCACAGACAAGTTGGAAAAATCGAAGCCCAACCCTTACTTAAAGTCGCTTTTTAAATTGAAGCTTAGCTTCAGTTCAAGATTACCTAAACCAGAGTACTACGGTGAAAGATGCTCAGCTATATTGGGAGAAGCAGAATCGTATTTCAAATTGGGGTATGGTGAGGTGAAAATTGACGACTTGTATAATCCAGACCCCAATATTGATTACGAAAGCGTACTTTCAATGCATGAAGATGCATTGGTACTTGTATGCGTTGCGACGGTATTAAAGAGACAAAAAGATATCGAAGAGGAGAGAAATCATAGGAGCAGGTCCAGATTGAATAATTCAAATTCTGCGTCTTTTGCTTTCACGCCAACCTGATTCAGAATATAAACTGTTTGTAAGACTTTTATTTTTAGAAGGATGTATTACCTTCTGTGCTCTTTTATTTGCAATTAAATGAATGGAACTACAGCACCATCTCCTCTCATATCACTACCACCAGCATAGATTAACTGTCCACTCTTTGATTCATTTTTAATTATTTGCCCTCTGCCGACAATTTGTCTTGAGTACCCACTTAATACATCCACAGTGTGACCCAACTCACGAAGTTCATTTATCACCTTCTCTCCGACCCCTTCTTCAATCTTGACAACAGTAATAGGTGTTCGAACAGGACCATCGGCACCTCTTCCTCTATCTTTCAAATGGTCGCTATCAGAATCCAAGGAAAACCTTGGAGAGTCAAGCAGCTGCTGGGGCGTCATTCCAAAAATTATCATATTTAAAACATGTTGCACGTGACAAACAGGTTGGGCAAAACCTCCCATATTCCCAAAAGCAGCGTACAACGAGTCGTCTTTGTTGGTAATCATACCCGGTATGATTGTATGATAAGGTCTCTTTCCACCTTCTAAACAATTGGACAAACCCGGGGTCAAGTTGAAGTTGCAGCCCCTGTTCTGTAAACAAAACCCAAACTTCTCCACTAAAATTCCTGATCCAAATCCCTCATAAACAGAGTTGATAAAAGAGCAAGCATCTCCATTGGAATCAGTGACGGAAAAATAAACTGTGTCAGATTTGTATTTGGGGTCAGGTACACCATGAGTCATGGTCTCTCCATCAATGATTTTAGACGAATCAAATAGTTTTGCCCTAGTTTTCAAATACTGGTGATGCAATAAATCCTTAATCGGAATGTCCTTGAAGATTGGATCAGTAACATACTCATCAGAATCATGAAATCCTAATTTGCAAGCCTCGATTAATATATGCAAGTACTCGGTAGAGTTATGCTTCAATTCGTACAAATTAATCTTTCCTTCATTGTGCAACTCTTGAATCAATCCAAGGGCCAACAAAGCCACCAACCCGTGTCCATTTGGTGGAATCTCCCAAACAAAATGGTCCTGGAAGTTTAGTTTGATTGGCTCTACAACTGTTGAAGTGTGATTCTTTAAATCTTCCAATGTAAGCTTATGATTTCTTTTTGATGTAGTTTCAACAATTGCTTCAGCAATGGGTCCTTCATAAAATGCTTTTTCACCTCCTTCAGCAATCAATTCAAGACATTTGGCAAATGGCAAGTTTTTAACAAACTCTCCTTCGTTTGGCCCTCTAACACCATCGAGAACAAATGGATTTTCACCTACATCTAGATTTTGACTTTTCAATTTGGGAATAGAATGTCTCCAACTAAGGGCCGAAAGCTCAGACACAGGAAAGCCGTCTCTTGCCAAACTGATTGCAGGTTCCAAAATATCCTTGAATGTAACTTTCCCCGAACCCCATGTGCTATAAGCCTGGTACCACCCACTAATTGCTCCAGGAACAGTAACTGAAAAGACTGAGGTATAAGGTATCCTGGGCATTGGTTTACCATTGTTATGTTCATCCCAAACGTCCTGTGGAGTAACGTTTTTTGCTGCTCTCCCACAACCATTCAAACCAAATACTTTGCCCTTACTGTGAAACAAGGCAAACGAGTCTCCCCCAATTCCGGTTGACCCCGGTTCTGTGACACACAAGGCTGCCGAAACAGCAATTGCGGCGTCAACGCTATTTCCGCCCAAATCAAGTATCTTCAATCCAGCAGAGTTTGCCAATGGTTGGGTCGATGCAACCATTCCCTTGTGGGAATAGACAGCTGATCTCCTCGACGGAAATCTCATAAATTCCTTAGACATTTTGACAGTGGAGTTGCAACGACGTTTGGATGTTGTGAAATTAAAAGGCAAAAAAAATATTGTTGAGCCTTACGGACCACTCTTTATACTTGGCGGTCTGACTCTTTTGTACATTAATTGAAACCGTTGATCCCAAATAGGAATTAAACGCTGCTGTGAGATTTATCTCGGATCTAATTTTTTTCTTCCTTATGTAGGAGAAAAAGTCATTGGCTCGATCCGAAGCAACATATTTTTCAAAATGTGGGGGATAAATTTAAAGTGCAACGCCATACGCCATAACTAATGTGCTTCAATCTAATTAAAGGAGGATGTGCTGGTTCATAATGGAGATAATATGGTGGCAGAAAATGCCACTGAAAGGCAATTGCAGATTAGGATATATATTTTCATAGCAAGAGTGGCTTAGTGTGAGGCTTGGTTTGGCTTGAATAGTAAGTAACCCGTAGCCGTCTCCGTGGAGGGGGGGGGGGGGGAGGTTTACTTGAATCACCACCATTGCGAACATCTTTGTTCTAAAATGTCATCATGTGACTAACTCTCGCTCATATGAAAAAAATGATTTTTGTGATATACACTCAAAAGGCAATTCTTACCATTGCGCAATAAGTCTCTTGAACCAAGCAAAAGTAAAATAACACAACCACCGCTACCAGCACTGAAATGGGTGTTCAATCGTTATGGGACATAGTTGGTCCTCTGGCGAGACCTGTCAGACTAGAGGCTCTATCACGAAAGAAACTCGCGGTTGACGCGTCAATATGGATATACCAATTTTTAAAGGCAGTACGTGACAAGGAAGGCAATGCTTTGCCACAATCTCATATCGTTGGGTTTTTCAGAAGGATCTGTAAACTATTATATTTTGGAATTCAACCTATATTTGTATTCGACGGAGGAGTACCCGTTCTCAAACGACAAACCATCAACGAAAGAAAGAATCGAAGACAGCAGAACTCCGAATCAACTAGGGAAACAGCACAGAAATTGCTAGCAATTCAATTGCAAAGGCAAGCAGAGGAGTCAGTAAATAAACAAAAAGGAGCTCGACTATTGAATCGAGAGATTGTTAACGACGATGATGATGTAATATACTTCGACGATCTACCGATGAACAAAGTTGTCGTGGAAGAAAAGTTACCAGAGCGACCAAAGTCTATTAAATTCAGAAAAACTGACGAATACCATCTTCCGGATTTGAATGAATTCAGAGTTTCTCGACGTGATCAAAGGATTATGCCCGATGATGATAATACAGAAGTATGGGATGATTTTGATCATGTGGATGGGATCAACATAAACGAAGTAGATCCAAAATCGAAGGAGTTTGCAAATATACCTATTGCTACACAATACATGATTTTGAATCATCTTCGACTAAAATCTAGATTGAGGATGGGGTACAGAAAGGAACAGTTGCAGGAGCTATTTCCAAATCTGATGGACTTCTCCAAGTTTCAAATCCAACAAGTACAAAAGCGTAATTTTTACACACAAAAGCTCATGAATGTGACCGGTATGAACGATGAAGATACCATTGATAGGCGGGTTGCTGGTGAAAAGGACAGAAAATATGCTTTAGTGAAAAATGAGGATGGATGGACGTTGGCTCTTGAAGGAGGTGGATCGACTGCAGAAAACCCTATCAACCTAGAAGTTGATGAATGGCCTTTAAGAGAACAACCAAATCATCAAGATACTGCCAAAAGCGACGAAACTGATCTGGATTTTGAGGATGTAATTTTGGAAGATACGAGGGAAACTCAAGAAGAAAGGATGACACAAGAGGCGTTGATTAAGTCGATTTATGAGAAGTATGAGAATCAAAACCCTTCGCATGCAAAAGAAAGTACCAAACAACTCAGTTCTTATGAGCAACAATTAAGGAAAGCAGTCGAAGAGAGTAAACAGGAGTACTTTAAGTTGAGAAAAGAAGAGGCAAGTAAGGAAAATGACATCAGAAAAGGTAATAGCCTTGACTTGCAATCCTCAGTGTTATTTGCAGACGCTACTGATACAGCAGAGAGAGTTTCAAACAGGATGCAGAAGCCACCGCATGACCACAAGGGATCCCCATCGAACAATGATCTACAGAGCTCACTTTTATTTGATTCTCAAAACCACAAGACTGGAAGAATAAATTTAAAAGTAGCTGATAATGAAGACTTTTCTGGAAAGGGTCAAACAGAAACGGAGGAAGATTTTGGGGCTGATGCTAGAAGTGCAGAGTCCTTAGATACCGAAGCTTCAATGGAGAAGGATAATAATGAAACGCAATCGGTGCAGAAGAGCCCGCAAAGTGACGAAAGAGACTACTACGACGAAAAAACTCGTAACCAGTCAAAAGACACAAACTCATCTACCAGTGGACAGCAAACATTACCTGATTGGTTTCAGAATGAAATTAATAAAACCTTAAATCCACACAATGAAAAGTTTGTACCCAGCTCCGGGCTCGAAATGAAGGGTAACAACATAGATGATGAGGCGGGTTTGATTCCTTGGTTTGAAGCTAAAGAGCTCTTTGAAATGAATGATGAGAATGAATTGACGACAAATGACGACGTTATAGAGCTACCTTCAAGGACTATCGATGGTCTCTCTGACGAAAACAACGATCAAAGGGAGGATACAAATGAAGCAATGGTTTGGGAATCAGAAACTAGACGTCCGGCGGTTATTGACTACGACTTTGAGGAGGGAGACGAAGAGATCTTGGTCCAACAGTTACAAAGAGAAGAAGTCGATCATGAAAATCTAAAGAGCCAGATAAAACTGTCTCACGATACCCCAATTTCATCAATTGAGACGAGAATCACCGAAGAACAATTATTACAGGAGAAATTACAGAAAGCAAAGCGGGACTCTGACGAAGTGACAGAGAGTATGATAAATGATGTACAAGAGCTATTAAAGAGGTTTGGAATTCCATACATTACAGCCCCCATGGAGGCAGAGGCTCAATGTGCAGAGCTTTTGAGGATTGGATTGGTTGATGGTATTATTACTGACGATAGCGATTGTTTCCTATTTGGCGGGGACAGGATATACAAGAATATGTTTAACCAGAAGCAGTTTGTTGAGTGTTACATCAAGGAAGATATTGAGACTAACGTTGGGTTGAGCAGAGAAAACTTGATTGAGTTGGCGATGTTGTTAGGAAGTGATTATACGCAAGGAATAAAAGGAATTGGTCCAGTTTTGGCAGTTGAAATACTTGCAGAATTTGGCAGCTTGAAAAGATTGAAAAGCTGGTTTGATGAGAGAACAAAAACAACCAAGTTAGACCAGACTAGCTTAACCCCATTGCAAAAAAGTCTTACTACACGTATCAAAAATGGGAAATTATTTTTACCGGACAATTTTCCCAACAAAGTAGTTTTTGATGCGTATACGCATCCCGAGGTAGACTCTGACAAAAGTGAATTCAAATGGGGGATACCAAACTTGGACCAAATAAGGTCATTTTTGATGTACAATGTCAATTGGTCTCAAGAAAGGGTTGACGAGGTAATGGTGCCATTGGTGAGAGATTTGAATAAAAAGAGGGCCGAAGGTACGCAATCAACCATTGGCGAGTTTTTCTCCCAAGAGTATATCCAGAGCCGTAAAGAGTTGAACACGGGAAAGAGGTTAAAAGCGGCTGCGAATAAACTAAGCAAACGGAGGAAATAATAGTATCTTTTAGAGTATAGATAGTGTTATATTGAAACCACCTGGTAGCAACGTCTCTTTTGCAAAACAAAAATTTCGCGAAAAATATAATGTGTACATTTCTAAAGCATAACTCGATCATTCCTCAACGCAGATAAAACTTCAATGAATGATTCTTTGTCAAAGATTACTTCTATGATAGAGTCTGCAAAGGACCTATCAATCGAAGCCGCAATGTCAGCCTCAGCACGTATATACGATACCCCAGGTGTCTCTCGCCCCCAAGAAATTTCTTCCCTCCTCAACTCGAGATCAAATAGAGATATTCTGAATGGTATGAAGTGCGTCATAGCTTTGATAGCAAAGGGGGAAGATGGGTTGCCCTATTTTGCTGATGTGGTGAAGAACGTCACTAATGAAAATGCCAAAGTTAAGCAAATGGTGTTTATTTACTTGACCAAGTATGCCGACGTGGAAGCAGATACCGCATTGCTTTCAATTAATTCTATTCAAAAGACACTCAATGAAAAGTCGCCTTCAAATAGAGCCAATGCAATCAGGTCTTTAGCAGGGATCAAGATTAGCTCAATTGTACCAATTCTTGCATTGAGCTTGAAGCGAACATCGTCCGATCCATCTCCACAGGTTCGTGCCGCAACCGCAATAGCAATAGGGAAGGTATATGAAATATCGGGGAAATCCAAAAGACAAATGCTAGATATTTTAGGAAACTTATTGGCAGACAGTGATGCTGTTGTGGTGTCAGCTGCTATAAAGTCACATTTCAAAGTGCAATTAAAAATACGCAGCGAAGCAAAAAAATGGGAGCATATTCATGGAAACTTTAGACGACTCTGCTCGCTATTGCTAAAGTTTGATGAATTTGCCCAGGTTTATGCCATCGATATGCTAACGTTGTATTGCCGGAAGTTCATCACCAAACCGTTGGAAAACGAATTTGATCCTGATTTGGAATTGTTGGTACGGTCAGTAGAGCCTTTGGCGCAGTCCATTTCAGACATAGTGGTTATTAGTGTTGCTCGATGCATATATCTTTTGGCACCTTCTTGTTTAGGCACTTTGGACGTGATTCTCACACGTATTTCATCATCTGCAAATGATACTCAGACGAGAGTATACTCTTTGCAAACTATTGAATGTATTTGTCAACAATCCAAGCATTTATTTACAAAAAAGTTTAGACTGTTTTACATATTGCCAGATGATGCTCCAGATATAGCAATTTTGAAACTCGGGATTTTAAGTTTGATTTCTGACGATGCTAATTTCAAATATATCTTTGAAGAACTCAAGTTTTATGCATTGAGCCTGAGGCGCAAAATAGTTGCCAAAGAATCCATCAGAGCTATGGCAAAATGCTCTCAAATCTCTTCAACATGGAATGAGGAAATTTTACAATGGTGTTTGGCAAACATCGGAGTGATGACAGGGGAGACTCTAAACGAAATTTTGACAGTAATTCGATTTGTTATCCAACAGAAATGTGATGCAACTGGTGCAGAAGAGAAAAGTGAGATCATGAAAGTACTAAACAAACTAGCCTATTATTTGAACAAGGTAGATCTAAATTTGGAAAATGATGCAAAGGCTTCAATTATATGGACAGTCGGAGAGTATACAGTCCTTGCGGAAAATGCCATTGGCCCTGACCTTTTAAGAGTAGCATTAAAATCCTTTGCTAGACAAGCTGAGAACGTTAGATATCAATTACTAGTTTTGGCATGCAAGATTGTTGCATTTGAAATGGGCAGATTAACGAGCGAACATGGCGACTCGGACCAAGACAAGGTTGCTATCAATGCAAAATTGCAAGCGACAACTGAATTCAAAATGTTTGAATATGCTTTACAATTGGCAAGGTATGACCCATCGTATGACACAAGAGATCGGGTCAGAATGTTTAGCGTGTTGTTGGATTCTGGTGTTGACAGAGCACAGTTGGCTTCGTTGATTTTTCAAGTCCCTAAATCTACGCCATTGATTAGCGAGGGGTCAATCGCCAACGATGAAGAGTTTAAAGCTGTTAGGCTGTATTTTAAAGTAACTGAATGGGCAACAGACCTTTCGCAGATTCCACCATCTTCGATTAGGAAAGAAGCTCCAGTGCAGTACAATAAACTTACAAATGCTTCAAGCGTATTTTCAGAGGGCTCAAAGTCGCCAAGTCCTGTCAATCAACAATCTTTCTCTTCGAAGCAGGTGAATAATAGTGGTGTAAGTCGCCCAGAACAATCGACAAAAGCTTATCAGTTGCAAAGTTTGGATGACTTTTTTGGAAATGATGAAGAATCAAGTGAAGAGGAGGGAAGTGAAGAGGAGGATAGTGAGGAGGAGGAAAGTGAGGAGGAGGAAAGTGAGGAGGAGGAAAGTGAGGAGGAGGATAGTGAGGAGGAGGAAAGTGAGGAGGAGGAAAGTGAGGGGCAGACAGAAGATAACGAGGAAGCAAAACATTTAGTGTCACAAGATTGAAATATTATCACCTCAAGAGTAAGTGTTTAAAATAAAATGTCATTGATACTTTGTTGTCATGTATATGTATATATTTTAAGATTTTCTAGAGAGCAACCACTGTTTTTCTAATTGTGTTATATCTACATTAAATCGTGATTTTATTTGATTGGCCAATACCGTTGAAGTGTGACTAGTGCCGTGCCTAAAACTTATTGATAGCTTCAAGATAAGTTTGGTTAAATATCAAGAGGAGGTGTATACATAACTAAAGATCAGTGCCATATCACAGCAGTATATTCAAACTAGAAATAGAACGCTGGTGCTACTTTAAAGTCAAAAGCAAAACACGAGGCAAATATAGAGTGACTCTCAACTATTAAGCCTATTTTGTACTCTTTAGGCTTGTTTACATTGCTGTTGCAAAAAGATGCAACAACGAAATCGGTATTGTTACCTTTATGATAAGATGCTCGTAAAGATAAATTCAAGATTGTTGACATAAAATCGAAAAGTGAGGGATAAGAATACTGTACCCAATACGATTGTTGAATTGCAAACTATTAAGGATGAATTTACGAAACAAAACAGTCCAATGATGTTTAGTGCAAGATTATAAGCCCCAACGAGATACACTTGGTGCAAGTAAACTTATACATCTTATAGCGCATGGCCCCTGCAGCAATATAAAAATGTAAAAGGGGTGTGAGGGGGTAAATAAATACACAAAAATTTGAAATTATACGTATCGCAAAGCTTGGAAATTGATGATAAATCTTGGCAAAGGTAATCTCTCATTTCATACAACTAAAACTTTTTTTTATTTGCAAATTCTTGGGGAGCTATCTATGTCAAAAAAAAAGCTTTAATAATACTACTAAGTTTCAAACAAAGGCCTTTGAGCGCGAGAAAGATGCTTAACAAAGGTATGGAATGAAGCCTTGTATTTTTGTATAAAGAAGAAATCAGAACAGAAGCAGGAACATAAGATGTTGTGAAATGTAATAATTCATGCAGAAACGTTTTTTAGTTTGATTCTTCACTCTGATAAAGAAGGTATTGTGGCACATAGTTATATACAGACTGTATGACTTTTTATACAAACCCATTCACCCTCGCTTCGCCAAAAGTTACGTCGCTCTGAGATCAGATGAATTTTGGCTGCTTTGTGTTGGAGCTACTAAACCTTTCTACACAAACATTGGGAAAATCTTACAATTGATCCTTTTTGATTGCAAAAATTCTGCTTCAATCAATAGCAAAAACTTATTTACATAAACCATTTTTGTTTTTGCATAATAGGGTATGATACAGTTGAACAAACTTAAGTGAACAAAAGCTTCATCCAGACTATAAGCGCTGAAGGTGTTTTCAGTCAAGGGAGGACCCTTTTCGTAGTCAATACGCCTAAGAAATAAGTTTCGTAAAATGATTAGGCGGTTGTGCCTTAAATGAAATCGCAACATTCCAAGAAAAAAAAAAAGTAGACAAAAAGATAAAGAAAAGTTTAATCCTTAACTGGTCCAGCGCGGGAACTGATATTAATCACTATGATGCAACCATAATCAGATAGCTACTTATGCTGGGACAGAGTCCAGAGAAACGTTTTTAAGGGGCGCCTGGTTTCAAATTGATCATTTTTGGGATTAACTTACACTAAACAAATCATGTGATCCACAAACCAATTATAGGATTTTCGGAGTCGAGTTACACCCCTTTACGATGAGTTTTGTTTTACGTATAAACTTGGATGACAACAGGTCATAGATTCAAATTATTGGGTTTTTACAGATATATCAACATGTGTATATATAAACAGTCATGGGGCTCAACATGTTTTGCTAGTGTCATGATTATCACAGTATCACATTTGTCAATTTATCGGCACTTGCAATGATATTTTTAACCACTCAGTTATTTGCATTCTTTGTGTTCTCAATAAAAGCTTCCCTGGTTTTTTTTCAAAATTCTTTCAAGGATAATACTTTAGCGTTGTTACCCCCATTATGTGACGTGGACAAATTATACTGCGCCCTTAGTTATAACCCTTCATACTTCATTATTACTTTTGATGCCGGTTTTGTCGTGTCAGATGTGGAGAGAAATGTCGATAATAGTTACAATCTCATTGCAAACTACCAGGCGGATAAGGTTGACCAGTTGTATACAAACTTTGTCGATAATATAGAGCTGATTTATTTATCGGGTACTGGCGTGGTGGATCCAATTCTTTACAACTGGGCCTTGCCTAATTCTATCACCAATCCATTTCAATGGTCAACAAAGTTTCAATGTAGACCACAAATAAAAAATGGAAAATGTTGCATTCCGGATAATTTCAAACTCTGGTTTAGATTCCGGCAAATTGGTGTTGCAGGAGCAGCGTTAAATCAAGTATTTGGCCAACCTGTCTCTTTCTACACTACAGACGCATGGGCAGGGGCTGTTCAACCGTATGACCCGGTTACTTTGTTCAACCAACAGGTGCCTTTCCAAAAGAGAGATGACGAAGGTGCCGATGGGAGTGAAGTCTCAGATCTAGATAAAAGGAGTTTTCAATCCATGGTTGATCTATTAAATAGCTGTACCACCAAACGGCGTGGTATTAAGCAGTTTTGTTGGGACTGTGGATGTGCACCACCACCAGTGTCACCTTCTGAGCCGCCAGTGTCACCACCGGTTTCACCTTCTGAGCCGCCAGTGCCACCATCCGAGCCACCAGTGTCACCACCAGTGTCACCCTCTGAGCCACCAGTGTCACCCTCTGAGCCACCAGTGTCACCACCGGTTTCACCTTCTGAGCCACCAGTGTCACCCTCTGAGCCACCAGTGTTGCCTTCTGAACCACAAGTGTCGCCTTCAGAACCACCAGTGTCGCCTTCAGAACCACCAGTGTCACCACCAGTGTCACCACCGGTTTCACCTTCTGAGCCACCAGTGTCACCACCGGTTTCACCTTCTGAGCCACCAGTGTCACCCTCTGAGCCACCAGTGTCGCCTTCTGAACCACAAGTGTCGCCTTCAGAACCACCAGTGTCGCCTTCAGAACCACCAGTGTCACCACCAGTGTCACCACCGGTTTCACCCTCTGAGCCACCAGTATCGCCTTCAGAACCACCGGTTTCACCTTCTGAGCCACCAGTGTCACCACCGGTTTCACCTTCTGAGCCACCGGTTTCACCTTCTGAGCCACCGGTTTCACCCTCTGAGCCACCAGTGTCACCCTCTGAGCCACCAGTGTCGCCTTCAGAACCACCTATCTCATCATCAGCACAATCAAGTTTGTCAGTTGGAGAGCATAACTCTTTTGGCCTGCAAACCTCTGGATTTTCCGAAGTGACAACCATTCCCTCTACAACGGTTATTACAGTCACCATTTGCTCACATGGTGGCTGCTATACTACGCTTGAAACTACTGGAGTAACTGTTATAACAGAGGGAACAACTGTTTACACTACTTATTGTCCCTTGGTAGGGGGACCATCAACATCAACCTCAGCTAGTGGAAATGCAAATGCAAATGCAAATGGAAGTGGAAGTGGAGGAAGTCCAGGAGCAGGACCAGGTGGAGGAGCAGGAAGCCCAGGAGCAGGAAATGGAAGTCCAGGTGGAGGAAACCCAGGTGGAGGAAACCCAGGAGCAGGAAGCCCAGGAGCAGGAAGCCCAGGTGGAGGAGCAGGAAGCCCAGGTGGAGGAGCAGGAAGCCCAGGTGGAGGAGCAGGAAGCCCAGGTGGAGGAAACCCAGGAGCAGGAAACCCAGGAGCAGGAAACCCAGGAGCAGGAAACCCAGGAGCAGGAAATGGAAGCCCAGGTGGAGGAGCAGGAAATGGAAGTCCAGGTGGAGGAAATCCAGGAGCAGGAAATGGAAGCCCAGGTGGAGGAGCAGGAAGCCCAGGTGGAGGAGCAGGAAGCCCAGGTGGAGGAGCAGGAAGCCCAGGTGGAGGAAATCCAGGAGCAGGAAACCCAGGAGCAGGAGCAGGAAACCCAGGAGCAGGAAATGGAAGCCCAGGTGGAGGAGCAGGAAGCCCAGGTAAAGGACCAGGTGGAGGAAGTCCTGGGCCAACCATGGCGTCATTGGAAGAGACAGGATCAGCAGGAAACTCCTTACCATCATTACAAAGTATTTCAATTGCTCAACAAAGTGAATCATCATCCCCAGAATTGAATCCCGCAGAAGTTTCATTATTCGCTGCTTCTGGAATTACTATGGATCATTCCAATGGAGCTTTCTTGATGGCTGCTGCAATTATCCTACTTTAATATCATAAATTTTGGCAGCCTTTCGAAAGTTTCATCGACACTACATTTCGTTCATTCTATTAGTTTATTTTCGGTATTACCATTTACGTAGTTACGTTACAAAGGTCCTTTTAAAGATATATTGCTATTTTATTTCGGTTTCAAATCGTTTTCTTTCGGTACATCATTGTTTAGAGTAATTAACTTTTTTTTTTTGATTCATATGCTGGTGACGTTAGAAATCCATCTCGGAATAGTTTCTGTAGGAGCACTTTTTTCTTTATTTTACATACTGGGATGTTTTGAGAGTGCTCGCATTGTTAGCGATCGATCTCTATATAATATTGATGTTTGCCGGTAAAGTATCCAAGTGTAAGGTTTAAGCTATAAACAGAGATATAAGATCACCCAAATAAGAATTCATTATCTCACATATTGTATCCCGAAGACCAAAGATTGAAGAGTTGAAAGTGCATTAGTTAAAACCCTTTTGAGTACAAGCAAAGTGCTTGACTGACATGGGAAGCACACATAAAGAGAAGCACGTGATTTTATTAGTAGAGAACACAAAACTCCTATTTTTAGCTATCGTTTAGTCAACTCGCATTTGCTAAGGCTTTGAATGAGTCTATCCTTGCATTCACGTTTTAAAAGGATTTCGAACACGGTCAATAACACATAAGCCCCCCCAAAATACGCGGAAGTTTTGAATTGAACGTGGCTTAGCCCAGTTTCATGAATTCTTTTGATTTGAAGACAGAGAGGCATATTCTATCTGCTCTTTGCAGGACCGTCAAATCTTATTTCCCCCCACAACTTCCGAGCAACTCACTTGGTGTGGTTCATTATATACAGGATAAATTACAACGCGATCTTAGTAAATCCTCCGCCGATCCATAACAATCCTGGCTTAGGTTAGAAGCCTTTGTCCTAGTGGAACAGACTTAAAACCAGGTTCCCATTCAGGCCGGTAACCCAACCAAAATGGTTTGAAGCTTTTACTTCGTGGATGGAATGCTGGGATATGATAGGAGAAGAAGAAGTGCAAATCTAGAAGCACAATTGTAAAACACTGGAGGTTTTGGTTTTGAAGAATGTGCAATTTTTTCTTGACCTTGAGTGAGGGGAGAATGGGCGGACACACACTAAAGCGGTGTTAATGCAACTCAAAGATCGACGGTAGGTAGGTATGGAAGGAAGAGAGGAACGACATGTTAGAACGTCTTACAAGAGTGGACTGATTTTGTCTCTTTTGGGATTATTATGAGATTCTCCCAGAAAGGAATCTAAACGTTCTCATGTAGTTTACAATTCCAGAGAAGCAAGCTTTGTCAACGGAATTGTTTTTGAAACATTTCTGGTTGGTTGGAAAAAGGAAAAGTGTTCTGTTACAATTGTTCTCATATGAAGTATGGTGCCGCCTCACAATTACGAATTGAACTAATTGTACACTCTGAGCATTAGACTGGAGATGGAAATATCCTCAATGGGTTTGATTGTATGTGAAATTAGAATACTTGGGTTAGGGGCGCTGCGGATATAGGAAGAGAATGTGAGCTGCCAATTTTACCCTTTTTTTAGCCTTTATTTTGCTTTTTATGGTGTCTTTGTGTTGAGAATGATGCTTTCATCAAAATTTGGGTTCGTTTGCTAAAGGCAGAAAAAAAGGCTCGCTTTTCAGATTTGTGTAATATAACCCTGCATTGGAGGCTCGTCAATGCATCTACGAAAATTTCTTTTGAAACATGAAATTCGTTTCATATTCAAATGTTCAAGTGTTGACTTACAAAATTTGGGTGAAATGAGCTTGTTTGGGAAATTGGTAACTTACCTATACTGAAACGGATACACTCTGAGTGACCGGAATGTTAGTTTAGAGGGTTGAAACTTCTTTTTCTTCGTCTAATTTCAGCCGTTTTAAGGAAGAGGACGCGCCATTCCATACTGTGCCCCCCATAATTTCATGTTGTGCCGTTCTAGTATAGATTACTATATTTTTACAGGTTCTTTTTTATTCCTTAATGTTTACACATCGCTGGTGTGTCTTGTGCTGCTAGAATTCTTAAAGTGAAGATTTATCGGTTCAATTTTCAAAATTCCGGAACATAGATTGCTCACCACATCAGATAGTTCTACAGAACACAAGCGGTATATACAGTGTTTGCTGCATCGGGTTTAAGCAAATTTTTATTGGAAAGACCACATGAGTATGAAATTCCTGAGTTTTAGGCGAAAGACAACACAAGCGACACAAAAAGGATTTTTATTTTTTATTTTTTAAATTGGGTTTTTTTGCAGTCAGCTAACAACAAAAACAAAAGTAGGTGTAGAAGTAGAAACTTGCCAAATTTCATGTTATTTGAAATTCTCCTCTTTAATGTTATTCAGAGCAGGTTATTTAGCTAGCTGCTGCAAGGAAGGGTTGAAATCGATGAAACAAACAAGAAGCAATGATGGTAAAACGTACTTTGCTTGCTGCTATGGAATTGTCAATTATTAATTTTAGTGTTTTCGTTTAAAGTGGTATTGTAACTACACCCTTTTTCAAATGGTTACGAGTTTTCGTGCTGTAGTAACAATACTTCTCCCTCTTTCGAAATATGTTTAGATTCAGATTAAGCGAAACCCTGCGTTTACATTTAGGTTGGGGCTTTTTTCAGTACGCGTATTTTAATTTTTTTTTTCTATTTTTTTTCACGTGTTCTCTTTTTTTTATTTTATTTTTTCAAATGTAAACAGTAGCGCAAAAAGAGATACGTTTAAAGTAAAACAAAATTATCCCAAATTGAGAAAATTAGAGGTAAACAAATCCATTGTTTCTGTGTACAATGAACAAATATGAAATTGTGTATTGGGGTTCTACTATTGTTCTCATTCTTTCTTGTGTGTATACGTGTATGGGTGGTGCGTTTTTGTATTGTCATATCCAAAAGCTTTTTCTCGTCTAAAATTTTAAGTTCAAACGTTTTTCTCGGTTAGATAAAAATCAAAAAAAAAGGGATTTTTATTTTTATTTTTCTACTTATTACCTCCCTCACTAATGTTCTCAAAAATTTATAGACGAGAGACGAAAAAAAAGATTTCACAATTCAGTTGTGTAAGATTACACCCCACAAATATAAGAAACACTACGCATAAGAACTTACCAAGGCGGATGTTATTGTAAAAATAATTTACACCTTACGCTGATGAGATAAACATAAGTGGTACAAGATACAGTCCACTTTAGAAGTTGATGACTTTAGTTTCGACTAAAGAGCTGCTTTTAAAGCTGATCTTTTCGTAATGGTCTAGTATAGACTAAGCCCTCGTATTGATACATGTAGGGTTGTACCCCTTTTCTCTTTCTCCTAACCAAACTTTGTTTGTTTCAGAAGCAGAATCGAGTGAAATGCAAGGTTTAATTCGCCAAATGTTTGTCTTTTTCCTTTTTTGTGAAACTTGCTCTGAAATAGGAAAAAATATTTTCCATTTCATCACCAAAAATTTGTTACAAGAATAGAAAACCATTAAAAATAAAAACAAAAAGAGTAATCATTTTTTTTTTTCAACACTGGAAACTAGAAAACAAAACATACCAAATAGTTACAAAGTACATACACACACAAGCAAATGCTACTCTAACACAAAGACTCCGAGTTAGAGACTATATATAGGCTAAACTCATTTTGAAATTTTTGCATTAACTCCTACAGCCAAATGGTATAGTTTTATTACACAGAAATAGCTAATTTCAGCTTGAATCATGGTTTTTCAAAGAGAGAAAGAGAGAGACGACGGCGATGAATCCACGTTTTCCCTGTATACATTTCCCCAGTCTCCAAATGATGAAGACAAAGAACTTTGAATTGGTTTGCTCTCCACCCAAGGAACCAGACAATGGGAAATAGCAAATATGCACAAGCAAGGGGTGCAAACTTTTGTTTACAAGAATGTGCCGATCTTCAAAGGCGGGTAAGAATAAAGAAACGACTAGGAAGTGAATACCCTCATCACAAATATGTTTGACAATGGTAAATGACCCCCATTATTTAGAATATTGCCTAATTTGTGAAATGAATGGACATTTCCAAATGAGATACAATTTTAGGAAATAGAGCAACAAACGGTTGGATTTGTGATTGTTTACCTTAATGCGCCCGTTGGGTTAATTTTTATCAACAAAGATTTGCAATAAACCATTCAAAAACACAATTGTATTATACGACAAATCGCCCTTTATTTGAATAGCTGACGCTTTGTTGCTTAGCTATTGTTTGTTCTTTTCTTGTCCTCTTGATTTTTTTTTTTCACGTTTTTGCTACAATTACCATTGTTAATGGGAAGATGTGTGTGGAACAAACGGGTGGCTTGTATTGCCTTTGTTGATGAATATATAAATGGGTAAAGATTTCACCTTCATTTTACAAATATTTAGTTGAATATAGACTCAACAGGCTAAGATTTCACGCTCGCTTTACCAATGAAATTATCTACTACCCACTTATTGTCACTCGCTGCTTTCGTGTGCTCCACCCAGGCCACTTGGTCCTTATTTGAAGACTTGTTCAAAGACTGTTCCCCAGATGAGGTGCAACCAATTTGTGACTTCAGTAACATCTTCTGTGACGACAATGACAACAACGCAGCCTCCTCAGGTGATGGTACCCTCAACTTCAAGTCCGCTTTCGTTGTTTCTGGTGCTGAAAAGAATTCTGACGGTACTTATAACGTTATTGCCAACTATGAGGCCGATCAATGCGATCAATTGGACCAATACTTTTGTGATAATGTTGATCAATTGACTATTTCTGGTACTGGTTCATCTGACGTTACCCTTTATGGAAGTGGTGCTTCAAATGCAGTTTCCAGTCCTTTCAAATGGTCAACTAAATTCCAATGTCAGCCACAAATCAAGAATGGAAAATGTTGTCTTCCAGATGAATTTACCATTGGGTTCAAATTCCTTGAAATTGGTGTTGCTTGGGAAGCTTTGAAATTGGTTTTCGGCCATTCTTCGGTCCACTGTGGTATTATTTCTCATTGGGACTTTTTGAAAGTTTTTGACCCGTTGTCTTTGCTCCACCATGATTTGTCATTGTTCAAGAGAGATGAAGTTGCTGATGGCGTTGAAGGGTCTTCTTCTTTTGACAAAAGAAGTTTGGATTTCTTGAAAAATTTGTTAGGGCAATGTACTACTCAACACCAAGGTTTTAAGCAATTCTGTTGGGACTGTGATTGTGAGACACCATCTAGTAGCTCCAGCATCCCACCATCAAGCTCACCATCAAGCTCACCTTCTGCTCCACCATCTAGTTCTCCATCAACCACACCATCAAGCTCACCATCAACCACACCATCAAGCACACCATCAAGCTCACCTTCTGCTCCACCATCTAGTTCTCCATCAAGCACACCATCAAGCACACCATCAAGCTCACCTTCTGCTCCACCATCAAGCTCACCTTCTGCTCCACCATCTAGTTCTCCATCAACCACACCATCAAGCTCACCATCAAGCTCACCATCAAGCTCACCTTCTGCTCCACCATCAAGCTCACCTTCTGCTCCACCATCTAGTTCTCCATCAACCACACCATCAAGCTCACCATCAAGCTCACCTTCTGCTCCACCATCGGGATCAACTTCAGAACACCTTTCTACACAAACTATCACCACCCACCCAACAACTGTTGTTACCATCACATCTTGTTCTGAAGACAAATGTCAAACTTCAACAGCTACTACTGGTATCACTGTTATCACTGAGGGAACCACTATTTATACTACGTTCTGTCCATTGACTGAAGGATCTACTCCAGCTGCTCCGGGCACTCAAAGTACCCCAGCTGCTTCAGTTGCTCCGGGCACTCAAAGTACCCCAGCTGCTTCAGTTGCTCCGGGCACTCAAAGTACCCCAGCTGCTTCAGTTGCTCCGGGCACTCAAAGTACCCCAGCTGCTTCAGTTGCTCCAACCACTCAAGGTACTCCAGCTGCTCCAGGCACTCAAAGTACCCCAGCTGCTCCAGGCACTCAAAGTACCCCAGCTGCTCCAGGCACTCAAAGTACCCCAGCTGCTTCAGCTGCTCCAACCACTCAAGGTACCCCAGCTGCTTCAGTTGCTCCAACCACTCAAGGTACTCCAGCTGCTCCAGTTGCTCCAACCACTCAAGGTACTCCAGCTGCTCCAGGCACTCAAAGTACTCCAGCTGCTTCAGTTGCTCCAACCACTCAAGGTACTCCAGCTGCTTCAGTTGCTCCAACCACTCAAGGTACTCCAGCTGCTCCAGGCACTCAAAGTACCCCAGCTGCTCCAGGCACTCAAAGTACCCCAGCTGCTCCAGGCACTCAAAGTACCCCAGCTGCTTCAGCTGCTCCAACCACTCAAGGTACCCCAGCTGCTTCAGTTGCTCCAACCACTCAAGGTACTCCAGCTGCTCCAGTTGCTCCAACCACTCAAGGTACTCCAGCTGCTCCAGGCACTCAAAGTACTCCAGCTGCTTCAGTTGCTCCAACCACTCAAGGTACTCCAGCTGCTTCAGTTGCTCCAACCACTCAAGGTACTCCAGCTGCTCCAGGCACTCAAAGTACCCCAGCTGCTCCAGGCACTCAAAGTACCCCAGCTGCTTCAGTTTCTCAATCATCTTCAGCTCCTCAAGTATCCCAAGCTCCAGCAGGAGGTGCCAGTGAAAACACCGCCTCTGTATCTACTTTCGAAGGTGCCGGCGCAAGAAACTCAGTAGGAGCCATTTTGATTGGTGTTGCTGCATTGTTGTTCTAAGCTTGATAACATTTTAGCTCCAACATTTTTACTGTTCAATTATTTTGATACCATATTTTCGAGGACAATATTACATCCCTCTAGACGATGGGATGTCGGGTCATTTTGATTTGTCGTATTGCATAAAAAAAAAGAAACAAGTGTGTTTTCGGTTTATAGTTTTATTTACATATTCGGTCTAGATTTTTAAAGAATTTCATTTCATTCTCATTTTGAATCAGATTTAGTTGTATAGTTAGGGTTAAAGAGAATCTCAAAATCTGTATAACATTGGAAACAACGTAAAAGCAAGTACAAATATGTATCTCTACACCAAGGATCCATGATACTATATAAAACTGGTTCTTTCTATTAGTTTCTTTCTAGGAAGCGAATGCCAGTTCAATCTTTCCATATAGGTTTAACTTTCCCCTATTATCAATATCTCACTACTTTAGTTTTTCCACCCTCAAAAAAGTATTTGCAACCAAATTCGACTTCACATATATTTCCAACCTTACATACCAGAGACCTATTCTATCCAAAGTGTCTTTGAACTACGTTAAAGGTGAAGCAGGTTTGTTGAAGCTCTACCACCAATTGATTGCTCTTGTATTCAACGACACAATAACAACTAATGAGTTTTAAAAATATAAACCCCTCAACAAAATCTAGAGAGTCAACTACGAGTGATAGGGCAGATTCATCCATAGCTTTAGAAGATAGCTTATCAATCAAAGCAAACAGAAATTCAATGTTCTCGACAAAGTGGAGCACCAAGAAAACTTCCTCACCATCCTCACCCTCCTCCTCCTCCTCCTCCTCATCATCATCTTCCTCTTCAAACACCCGTTTCAACCAAAAGAGTAGTATCTTGGAATCAACCAAACAACCATTACCAAAAGAAACGAATGCGGGCTTTGTGAGAGGCCGCCCTTCTGCTTGCGTGTTTGTTGCAAGTTTGCGGTCCAACTTGTTGGACGATGAGCTATGCGTCTCAGTACATAACCATTTCAAACAATGGGGCCGATTATCCACCGTCAAGGTTTTGAGAGACACAAGTAATCGCCCATACGCTTTTGTTCAATATTTAAGTGAAAAAGATTCAAAACGCGCAATCAAAGAGGGCCACAATTCTGTTTTGGATGGCAGAAACATTCGATGCGAAGCGGCAAAAGTGAACAGAACAATCTTTATTACCTCCGCGCTCAGTTTGTCTGTAGTTGCTGTTGAAAACAAGTTATCCAAATTTGGTGACATAGAAGAATTGACACCTAGCAATGCAGCAGGGCAAAGCTATAAAGACGCACCGTGCCTCCGAGGCTACAAGAATTGGTACTGTAAGTTTGTTTATCGTGATGATGCCATCAAGGCATATGCTAACCTCACAGAAGGGGGCTCTTATGAAGTAGAGTGGGCCCAAAATGTCGACAAGTCAAACACTGTTAGCTTTAGAGAGGATACAGCTTTTGATTCCAAGATTAGCAAATCAAGGTTTGACCGATTTTCCATTTTTGTCGGGCAGTTGAGCCATAAGATCACTGAGCTCGAACTTAGAGAGAGATTTCAACGCCATGGAAAAATCACGAGCCTTCACCTTTTAAAGAAAAGTGAAAGCACCTTTGCTTTTATCACTTTCAAAGATGAGTCTAGTGCTGCAAGTGCAGTCGAGGTGGAAAACCATGCAATGCTTTGTGGTAAAACCATGCATGTTCAGTATCGCGAGGTTCAAAATCAATGGAAAGATGCGCGCAATGTCCGTGTGCCGCTTGCTCCACCACCGATACATATTGGTAAGAGGGGTTTAGAGAAACCCAGAGGAGGGTTTAATGCCCCACTTGCTAAACCCAAGTTCAATGGCCGTGCATCAAATATTTGTAACAAGGGGAATGCTAATTACAAACCCATTGAAATAGAAAAGGGGCAAGATAATTATACGACCAAAACTGAAAGCAAAACTTCATTTAATCCTTGGCAGGCTTCCCAGTTAGAGTTGAAGAGCGATACTAAGCTAACTGAACAAATTGCAAATTTAAAACCGTTCGTCCCTGCTAAAGCCGACTTGCATGAAAAGAAAGAGGAAAAGGAGGACAAGAAGAAGGCAGAGAGAAAGCATTCAAGAGAGGAGTATCTGGCAAAAGAGGATTTGGAAAACACTACTTCTGTTCAGCCCACAGATACCTACAAGAAGAATGCCACTATTACAAACTATCCTGCTCCTCCAAGTACTGGCTTTCCTTTGTTCTACTATGTTCCAGCGGAGAATGTAAGCTATACACACGGTGGGCTGCAAAGCTCTTACTACAATGTATATCCATCTTATTACCACCAGGTCCCCCCTCATTCTCAGTACGAGAGAGGTGCTGTGGGTGGTAGTGGTGGTAGCTCGAGCGAATTCACCCCAACTATCCATCGTTCACCTTCCTATGGAATTCCCAACTTTATCTATTACTCTAATGACGGCGAATCTAAGTCAAAGAAGGGCTAATTTGCTATGTTATATTTGCTAGCTATCCGTATTCTATGTATTACTGTGTATTATGCGATAATTTGTGTTTTTTTTGCCTTATTTTTTTGCACTTGCCGCAAAGGGATACAGTTTTAGGAAAATCAAAACGATTGCAGAGAAACATCAATTCACTTCAACAACAACGTTACCAAAACACTTAAACCAGTATGGGTTCTTATTCCGAGTTGGCAGATGCTTTGGAGTATGATTCATTAAAGAACCCCAAACTCACAGATATTGAGTTACTGAAGGACATCACAAGAAGAATTACTACACTACAAACGATAACTCCCGGAGGAAACAATACCCACGATAAACTCGTCTGCACTCGTCTCTTTGATTTACCGGCAATTGATCCTGGTATGAGTCTGCTGAAGCCATGGAAGACTGATGCCAAATACTTTAACAAGTGTATGATTAGTTCGTTGGCGTTGATGAAAATGACGACACACGCGCAAAGTGGAGGGTCAATTGAAATTATGGGGATGCTAATTGGGAAAATTGTTGATAGGACAATCGTTGTAATGGATACATATCGATTACCTGTAGAAGGAACAGAAACCCGAGTCAATGCTCAAGGCGAGGCTTATGAATACATGGTACAGTACTTGGAGTTGAATCAAAAAATAACCAAGGGGAATAAGCCAAGACAAGAGAATATTGTTGGGTGGTATCATTCACATCCGGGGTATGGATGTTGGCTAAGTGGAATTGATGTGAGCACACAAGAGTTGAATCAAAATTTTCAGGATCCGTATTTGGCAATTGTTGTTGACCCTGTTAGGACCTTGAAACTGGGGAAAGTTGACATTGGCGCATTCAGGACCACACCTGCTGCTTTTGCTGACGCCGGCGATTCGGGAAACACCGATGGCACATCGAGGGCTGCTTTGCTGAATCTACCAAAGTCGAAGCGACAAGAGTTTGGTAGTCATGCAGGTCGATATTATTCCTTGGACATTGAAATTTTTGAAAATGAATATGATAGTGGTATGTTGAAGATGTTACAAAAGCAAGATTCACTCGACTATGGTGAGTGGAAAAGGAAGTTAGCTGTCGACGACAAAGAATCAGTAACAGCGGTACAAGAAGATAATCACCCCGTGTCATTGCAATATCTCGACAATTTTGATTTTGTTGATGAAGACGATACTGAAATCGGTGCATTAAAGGAGATAACCAAGAAATTGGATAGTTTAAAGCCTGCACCGGGAGAGAGTCCTGCTAGTTCATTGTTGAAAAGGATCATTGGCAGTAATAGGTTAAATGATGGATTCGCAGCTCAATCACGGAGTATGTCGAGAAGAAGGGAAGTTGAGTATGAAGAAGAGGATGTTTTAGATGAAAGCGATTTGGAAAGGGGTTATACCGGAGAAGGTAAATTGGAAGGTGAAACTGAGGGTGAAGATTGGGACGATGACGAGGATGACGAGTCGGGTACAGAAGAGCAGACTGCGGGTTTGCAAAATGTACAGCGTGATGACCATGCCGGCAATGAAGCGGAGGAGCAAAAGAATGAAGAAAGGACCTACATAACTGATAATACGGCTCCAGGAAACTTAATTGGTTCAACGTCAGATAATGCGCAACAGCCTGAGCCTGCCACGAATGCATCGTCCCCACCTAGAAAAAGGTCTATGCGTAAACTTCTTCGCTCGAGAAAAGACGATTTAAGTGATTTGCTCTATAATCCATCTTTGGCTGGAGTTCATCAGAAACTGAAGCGTAAGCAAAAATCAGTTGCACGACAATCAGCTCCACCACTTTACCCCGATGAGTACCTTCGACAGACTGAATTTTTCGATTTACAAAAAAGGCAACAGCGATGGGCTCACGAGCGATTAGTTAGTGGTGGTGCTATTAGTGGAAGTGTCCGTGGCAACGCGTATGAACAGACCAGGTACCCTATGGCTTCATCGATTGCTTTAGATTTACGAGAAAAGAATAAGCTGGTTATTGAAGCATCACGGGTCGTTGCTGCAAAGAATGTTTGTGATTTAATTAGCATGGAAGCTATGAAGGAAGTTGAGGAATAGATGGAGTTATTGAGATGGAGCTATTGAGTAGGTAGAAATATCAAGAATATGGTGATATGTAACATTGCATCTCTGAAGATTCTGAATAACTCTCATTTGTGAGGGTTTGAATATCCTTGCCACATCTTCGCTGCGAAGGAACGAAAAAAAAAAAAAAAGAAAGAAAAAATAACCAAACTCTTTAAATCCATCACAGAATAGTTAACACCAAAAGCAACACACAGGGTATCAAGTACTCGCACAACACGTAATAAAGAAACATACACCACACCACCCCTTCAACGAGATCAACACTTTTCAAATTGTACTAGGTAACACCCTCAAAGGTATACTAAGTTTTGGTTTCTTTTTTTATTATTTTTTTTTAATTTTTATTTTTTTTTGCGGTTTTTTGCATTTAGGTCTAAACTGTTAGATAGATACGCATGTCTACATCAAAAACTACATCAGGACTAGCATCGGCACCGGCACCATCATCAACAACAAAATCTTCGTCATCGAGAAACAAGTCTCATACAAACATTGCCAATCCTGTATTGACTAGGTACTTAACCACACCGATTGTCTTTACGCCAGCGAAATATCAAGAAAACTACTCATCAGCATCACAATTACCAGCATCGTATATAGTCTTGTCAAGACATAGTCAAAAGAGAAGCGACAGCGAAGGTATGAAACGAAATGGCAATGTAAATGGTTCAACTAACGCATCACAAATTGAAACTGGGAGAGATCGAAAGGTTGGACCAAACAGACCCAAGTCATTAGCTGAGGCTGTTGCATCTTACAGTGGGAGCAAATATGAAGGGCCAAAGGAGAAAAAGAGGAAGAGAAAATTAGCAGAGATGGAAAAAAGAGAAACAGAGAGAGAGACAAGACTAGTTTCAAATGACAGTGATGGCGGAGAAGAGAATGGGGAAGATCTCGATACGGAAGATGCAGAACAGCCCCCAGTAAAGAAACCAAAAGGTCTCTGGGGCTCTCTCAGGTCACTTTTTGGTGGAGCTATACCGGGATCTGAGGTGGAAGATGTTGGTGAGGAATTTATCGAGGGTGATGAGGATAAGTCAGCCCCCTTCAATTTGTTAAAAAGGAAGCAAACTTTCGACAATGAAGAGTCGACATCCCCGTCAACATCAGCAGATGAGGTTTATGATGAGAACTCTCCATTCACAGGATTTAGTGAGCCAGAAAAGAGTGAAAATGATCAAAATGGAGAGGATGATGATGATGATAATGAGAAGGATGATCCAGATTTTGGTGAAGAGCAGAAGGTTGAAGTTAGCGATGGCCCTAGTGAAAGTGACGATGATGAAGATAGTGATAGCGATGATGAAAGAGTTGGTAGTTATGAAGAGGAAAATGTCATTGAGAAGAAGGTATCATCCACTGAGAGCACACCTTCGTTGGAAAGTGAAGATGCTGGTGATGGCGAGTATTTGGATGAGGATGCCAATGTTGACAAATTGAGACATGATTTGAAGGTTGATCAACTTGTGAATGGACAGGGACAAGTATATACAATCACAAGAAGAAACTTGGATGGAAGCAACAAGATTAACAATGATGATGAAGAGGAGCCAGAGGAAGAAAAATTGAAAATTACCAAGTCCAGCTCTACACCACCAACGTCACCCGAGGATAGTGATGAACAAAAAAGTTTAATCCAGAGGCAATATTACGCGTTTAATGAACTCGCCTCTGATCGCGGATCGAATGGATCGAAACGCATTTATAAAAACTGGCGTGAATTAGCCAATGCTAAGCCACCAGTTGGGTTGTTAAACCACGGAGTCACCTGTTATATGAATTCAGCGATCCAGTCGCTTATACACATTCCTGCATTCCAGCATTATTTGAATGACATAAACCAAGGCAAGGCGGCTATCTTAAAACCACGGTCAATTAGTCATGTTTTGGCTGAACTTTCGAAAAGAATGTGGAATCCTAATAAGCCAACGGCAAAATATATTAATCCGAAAAAGATTATCCAACGATTAGATGATATTAATTGTATGATGAGCGAATGGCAACAAGAAGATAGTCATGAATATTATATGAGCTTAATGTCTCGTTTACAAGAAGATAGTGTACCCAAGGGTCATAAATTGAATGAATCAATCATCTATGATATATTTGGGGGATTACTACATCAAAAGATTACCTGTCATCAGTGTCACAATATTTCATCAACAAAGCAAGAATTTTATGATTTGTCACTTGGATTAAACAAGAAGAAGTATCAAAATAGTTGCCGATTCACTATCGAAAAATCAATTAATGACTTTTTCAGCGATGAAGTTATTCGTAAAAATGATCAAGATTCAAAATCAGGTTATTATTGTGATAAATGTCAATCATTCACCCAAGCTAATAAAATATCATCAATCTTGACTGCACCCGAAACATTGACTATTCATTTGAAACGATTTAAATTTAATGGCAATTCGCTGAGTAAAGTGAAACAGGGGATCTGTTATTCAAAGTATCTTGATTTAACTAAATACATGGATGCTAATGAAACTACAAAGAGTTTTCCACCCACCGCAGCCAAATATCAGTTGATTGCAGTGATTGTTCATGAAGGTCGATCGATATCAAGTGGTCATTATATTTGTCATGTATTACAACCTGATGGAGTGAGCTGGAGTACTTATGATGATGAATATATTAATCGAATTGATGAGAAAAAGGCATTACTGGATGCAAATGCATATGTGTTGGTGTATACGAAATTGACTCCAAAGTGAGAGATTGAAGGAGAACAGTAATTGAAGGTTGGCTAAGTATGTAGAAGATAGACGTGGAGAAATAGATAAAGAAAAAAGAATAAATAAAATAAAATAAAAATAAAAGAAATGTATATTTATACCTCAGAATTAAAATGAGCCGCATTGACTACTGCTTTCGGTGTTTAGTAGATAACAGATCACGACAAAAAAGATATTATGTGTCCGATAAGAAGAAGACTATTCCTTTAGCGCGCGAAACAGAAAACGGACAATTAAAATTTTTGGAGCAAATGTAAGAACAGTAATTGTGTTGACAAAGGGTGACAGAGATTCCTCACTAATATGTCATACTTTGACTAAATAAATTTAAATAGTAGATTCTGGTTGAGATAGGAAAGTAAATAAATAAATAAATTATTGTCTGTCACCATTTTGTTTTGTTTTTTTTTAAAAAATCGTGTCATTCATTTAAAGGAAAATGAATTCCGAATATGGTAAAGTAATATATGTATTATATGTACGTGTGTATTTGCCAAACTCTATACACACACAAAATCATATGTGCATATATGTGTTACACAGTTTTGTTTTACCTAAATTATCCTCGGAGTATGGAAACACCGGAGAGAAGATTTAAGCCATTGTGGTATTGGGGTCATTTAGTGGTAGTCAAGTATAGTTTTTGAGAAATGACTATTGTTTCGTTGAATGAAAGTAGTTTTGGTGTATATGATAAGCTATGTGTGCGTATGTGCGTGTGTGTGTGTGTGTGTGTCAGTGTGGGTTTGTTGAGTGATTTGGGTGATTTAGGTGATTTAAGTGTTGTAGTTTGTCTTTGTGCCTGTGAATGTGTATGTGGCTGTCTTCTATTCCTTTTTTATTAAAAAAAAATTGTCTGTCTGCGTATGTGTTGTAAAATATATAGACAGACAGTTTGAGAATAAGTCTAATACCAGACAGACAGACAAACAAACAAATACAGTTTATTTATGTAAAGTCATTTATAAAATAGGTTTAGTTTAATATTCGGTAGGAGTTACTTTGGCAAAGTAATCAGAAGTTAGAAGGAACAGGAGGTTAGAGTAGGGGGAAGCAGAAGTAGTAGTAATACTCGTTATTGCTGTTGCTGTTCTTATCTAAAGAAGATGTAGTCTTCAGTAAATACTGCACTAATAATACATTGTCTCTTTTTTATTCAAATTAGGAATATTTGCATATCAGTAGCAGTATATACCTACATATATATATATATATATACAGTACTAGACTATTATTACTTATTCCTTATTACTTATTACTTATTATCTACCTAACTAAAATTAAAATTAAAATTAACTACACACTTTTGCTTCCTTTTAACCAACCACCATAACCACACCACCACAACCGCCACCACAACCATTAGTTTCACCCACTATACTTAGTTTACACTATCAGCAGTATTACTACTATAGTGACTGACTAGTAGAGTACACTGAGTCACCCCAACCAGTGTTTACTCAAACACTACATCAGAATCTGGTCATTCTATCGATATAAATACCCTGATATTCCTTTGCCCTCCCTTGCCCACCTGTTCAACTACACACCACCACGCACTTCCCCCTTCTCATCTATTTGCTACTTCGTTTCACCTAGTCACCAAAGGAAGCAATGGGATTAAAATACACCAATTACTTTGACAATTCCCAATATGATTCCCCAGACAACCACATCATCACCTGCAAAGGCTGCTCAAGCCACCTTTGCTTGTCCAATTTGGTTTTATCAGACAACTTCAATGGCTCATCCGGACCGGCATTATTGGTGGATCAGTTGATCAATATTGATGTTAGTCCTGTTACTGAGGATACGTCAATGCGCACGGGGCTTTACAAGATTAACAAGGTCAAGTGCCAGCAATGCAAAAAGATTGTTGGTTGGAGATATAAGAAGTCATATAGTTATAGTGAATCTTACAAGGAAGGCAAGTATGTAATTGAGAAGCATTATATAAATATGTCTAAATGAATATTTAATTTTTAAACTGTTTTAACTCTAGGAGATGTTTTGATTAACTTTGTTTATATAAAGAGCTGCACCGTTTGATTTTGTAGAAATGCATTAAGAGCATGATTCACACCAATCTGACAATCCTCTTTGTTACTTTCTCTCACTCTTCATCGTTTTTTCTATTTACAGTATTTCATCCATCCATCTTTACCACTTATACCACGGTCTAACCTTGATATTCAAAGGCTCATTATTCAAAAACATCTTAGGTTTACTTGTCTTTTCGCGTTGAAGTTTCTCCCATTGCAACCTTTGTTTTGTTTGACCTGTTTTCAACACACATTTCAAATGGATATACCGGTGTTTGATAACACCATGTCTTCCTCTTCCCTTTATATCCAATCGTTTCCTCCAATCTCCATCACTACCCGTCCATAACCTTGCAATATACATTGCATCTTCATCATACCCCAATTCTTGCAGTTTAGTTAACCCGCGTTTCAACAATTTTTCCAATTCAGTAGCCATCTTCTTGGGGTTGAAGTGTAATTGATTTATGGCGGTTTTCAAATCGTAGCCACGCACAAATCGATTCACTACGGTGGCTTTCTTCATGGAGGATTTTATCCTATATGATTGGAGATAAATCGATGGTTCTAATAAATCAATCTCTTCGGGGGTTAAATGGAACTTGTAGGATTTACCTTGATGTGTGACTATTTGATCATTTTTGAAAAACCCATGTTGTGACACTGATTGATTGAATAATTGAATCTTTAATGGATGAATTAAATTCTCCAATTTATCTTGTTGTGATGATGAAGGTTTACCCTCATTCTTGTAATATTCAATCAACTGTTCATCATTTTGAGGAGTAATTGAACTGATATCAATCTCACCTTCTTCATTCTTGGCTATCTCATTAGCAGTTGCACTTTTTTCCTTTTCCCTCTCTTCAATAGGATTAGTGGTTAATTTACCAAATGGAGATGATGATGAGGATGAACTATTGTAGCGGAGGAGTGTGGTGGGTAATGGACTTGACCTTATGCGCGGTATACTTAGTCTCAAGAGTGAACTTCTTGTTAGTATAGACCATCTGTTCATAGTGCCTTGGTAAGTAGTGGTTTGAATTGATGGATTATCCTTGGTTGAAAATTTTTAACTACACTAAAATTTTTTTTTTTTTCTCGACTGCGTTTGATTTCAACCATTGACAGGATATCACAGTTGGATGTTATAACATCTTCTTACAAGTAAAGAGAGCTTGAGACTACGTGAAATTCCTCTAACATTGACAACTTTATTAAATAAACATCAAAAATATACTTGCGTATTCCTACAATCGAGATCCACAATCGAATCGCACCTTTTAATCTTCATAAACATCTCTCCTCGTATTACTTCCCGACTCTCCTCTTTCTCAATCATCATATCCTTTCAAATTTGTATCACGAGGTCTATTAGGTAATGGGTAAACCAAAGGAATAGGTTCATGGTCAGCATACAAGAATTTCCTTCTTAATGGAGTTGCTAATAATAGTACGGGAGCAGCTGCACCTAATGAAACAGCAAGGAAAAGTGCTGGGTTGACATGAGCATGGTATTTAAGCCACTAGACGAAGAAGAGGTTTTGTTAGTATCTTTTTGGAATATATGAAAGAGCTTGCCGTAGTATGACCTGGAGTCAGGGAATGGCGTGGGAAATATTCGTGTAGTGATATGACAAGCTTGATTCAGGTTTCAATTGGGGGTGGGGGTGCATCCAAATAGAATACTATTAATCATGCTTGAATGTGTCGCCAACTTCAATGAGAACCCCATTAGCTTCTGCTCCATTGCTAATCCTATTTTTCAAATTGTTCCCTCCACTTTCTAGCAATCTCCAGAACATATTGCTCCGATCAGTTAAACACATACTCTTACTGGTTGTTTGAAATATACGGGTTTATCACCCCAAACTTTATCTGACATGTTTGACTATTGTTTTGAGTGATCAGTATAAACAGATTCCCATGCGTAATGAAATTTTTGGTGAGCCCCATTGGTTAATAAGAAAAAAAAAAAAGGTAAAAAAGGGTACTATCGCACGACCTAAAGAACACGTTATAAACCTACACAACTACAACCCCGGTTTACCCCCTCACCCTCTACGACTTTCTCTTCTTCATATTGGCGCTCTTCTTCTTCTTCCCCTTGGTGTCAATTGCAGTTCCATCCTTTTCAGCAATAACTTCAACGTTGACATCACCAGATTCAGCAATTATATCCTCTTCCTGCTTAGCTTGACGTTCAGCAGCGGCAGCAGCTTCCTTAGCTTCGTTTTCATAAAACTCCTTCTTCAATTCTCCATCATACCACTGGGCATAATACAATCCTCCTTGTAAAACCAATACCCCAACAAGAACCAATATGATCATGACTTGAGATGCAGCAATGACATTAATCCCCGTGGCAAAATCAACTTCTCCCCACTCGCCAGTGACTGCTGCATTAATACCAGTTCTTAAATTGGTCAAATATATAACAATGGCAATCATGAATAAGATCAATGATCCATATTCAAAGTATTTAGCTTCTTCATCGGGTTTATAAAGCTTGATGAAATGACCCACAAGTCCAAGGAACCCAACAGCATGCAACACATAATGGACATACATTGGTACCTCGGCCCATGTTTGATAATGAACCAATGATTTACTCAATCCGTTTGGGTCAGTATTACGCCACAAAGTGTTTAAATCGTATGGCCAGTTTCCATAAATTGCACCAAGACCAAATGAGCTGGCAGCAATGATTAAAACTGTACCAATTGGTACAATATCCTTGTATTTCATCATCTTTGGGATCCGCTGTGTGTGTGTGTAGTGGTAGTGTTGTTGGTTGATTGATTGACTTAAAAGATTATCATCATCAACGCAATGTATATATTTTTTTTCCTTTTTGTTTTTTTGTCTTTTTGCAAATCTGCCCCACTGACACCCAGAGTCAGAGCTTTTAAAAGTGTGGGCTAAATGGGCTAAATGGGCTAGATGGGCTAGATGGACTCCTTAAGTTTTATTCACAATATACAAGGGAAGCTAAACAATGAGCCAAAGTGCTGGAATGAATATTGGAAGTCGTGAGTAATTATAATTGAGCAACTTTACTCAGTAACGCCAATATCACGTGCTTCGGCAATACATCTCCGCATAAACGGCGCTATAGTTGTGTTGGGAATCCTTACGGCATTTTCATAATAACCAATGGATGAAAGGAGATCCCCTTTGTACTGCTAGTTTTATGCTATTAATTAACTGTGTTTAAAACCTCATTCCCTCTTTGGAGAGAACGTAATATAACCATACATTATTCTCTCTAAAATACGAGAACAGCGCTTCTAAAATAGCCTCTTTCTTAAAGAGTAACAAACATCCTAACAATAAGTCTAAACTATGAAAAAAAAATACACATCCAATCTACTTAAAGGCCAAATCACCATTAATCCAACGATTCACCATATCCAATGCATTCTCAGGCTGATCTAAAGGAACCATATGACCCGATTCGTATACTCTCAAATACGTAAAATGTTTGTAGTTCTTAACTTCACCAGCTTTGTGTCCTTGCTTCGTAACCCACGGTCTAAATTCAGTAGCATTGAACTGTTCATGACCAGAATATTGTAAAGCGTTAACCCACGCCAAGTTTCCCAACCAGTCACAAACTAAGTCCTTATCACCCGCATAGATCAATACGGGGATATTAGCTTCCAATAATTGCCCCACGTATTGGTGGTAAGGCATGTTGTGGTCTGTTACGAAAGTAATGCCAACTTCAGCATTACAAGCGGTAAAATTCTTGTCAACCCCTAACGCCAGTTGCACCTTGTCGTTGTTGAAGTAATTTGTAATATCATCAAGTTGAGTGTAACACAAAGGGTTATCTCCACATTTAATCCTTGAATCATATGGGTTCAAGTCACCAGAGTCCGGTTTGTTTGGCGATGCCAAAACCGATACAAAACAAGTAACTGGGTTAGGATAGTTGTAACAAAGTAACCCAAAAGGCACAAATCGCTGGTAATACGTATCATACGATTCGCATTCTTCATCTGTGTAGATCTTTCCAATACCCCCCTTGCCACAACCCATGTTGGCCACCTCTTTGAACTGTGATATGACATCTGTAATTCCATTACCAATCAATACCGATTTCAAAGGCAATCCCGCTTCAACTACACTAGCAGCGAACTTGGGAATGTAGTGGCCAGCATAAGATTCTCCAGCAATGTGGAAATCTAAATGGGCGTAGTTGGGAAATTTTTGGCGGAAAAGGTCAACAAAATTGGTAAAATCAATAGCTGCTTGTTCTGTGGTAAAAGGAATAGCCCCACCAGTTGAGAATCCAACATTAGCAGGCTGATCCAAGAATAACAACGATGCATTTGCATTCCAAGAGTATGGGTTAAACTCGGGCACAATGGTTGCATTAATTAACGATGGACCTAATTCCATTGCAAGGCCAATATTCGAGGAGCATCCAGGACCGCCCGACAACCACAAAATCAACGGATCAGTAGTCGGGTCATTGCGACTTTCAAAAAACCAATAAAAGAATTCTTTTCCAGCTTCTTCAACGGTGAAATAACCCGAATGCTGTTTAACTGAATCAAATCCCAACAATTCTGGAGTTGGACTCGATGTCAAACCATACGTCAAGTCAGTTCTCGGTGCACTAAACATCTGCTTGTAATCTGAATACATGCTCAAGAGCTTTGTTTTGCCATACTTGACTTTATTCCTAGTCCATTCTTGGTGCAAGGCAAAACTGTCTTTCCAGGATAAAGCATTGATATCAATGTCACTAAAGGGGAAAGCGTTGTTTTCATTGGGTAATTCAAATGGAATTTGTGCCGCTGAGGCAATAGCAAGCAGTGCTGTTAAATAAGTCCACTTCATTTGATGGTTCTCTTTGTAGTGGAAAGAGTGGGCAATTAAGTTGTTATCTACTTGTGGCTGAATATTGTGTGCTGGTGAGCGAGAGCAAGTCCAAAACTCGTGCCGTGCTACTCCACAAATTGAACAAAGTTAAATTTTGACGGGTAGCACCTAGATGCTCTATTTATCTATGACAAGTCAGGAGTTGGTACATTTAGACCTGTCGAATTATCTCCACCTCCTCCCCACTTCTTTTCCGTACATTTTACATCACATCAAGATGCAACAAATCTTGCAAGTTCTCTGTTGACGGTAAACAACGATTTAATCTATAAATAAAACTTTCTCTTGTCTCTTTCCATATCAGGCCTAAACTCCCACACAATATCTCCCTTTACATCCTTTTGCATCCTTCTCAACTTCAACGTAAACTGAGGCCCCAATTCTTGAAGCCCTACTTTCTCTTCATTCCTAAATACATATCGATGTCTTCTTAAGAAAATGTAATCACGTTGATTGTGTAACGTTATGACTTGTCTCCCTTGCAATTCAGGCTTGTGTGGGAAAATCGATTGGAACAAACGACCAACGGTTTTACCCAATCGAGTATTGAAATTATTAAGCACCAACTCCGGTATGTGATCAGTAGCTACTCCATGACCTTTTATCCTCTTGCCGTCAACTATCGAGCTTACGGAAAAGTAGAAAGTTGGACCCTCGGGTAAATTGATTAGAGTTAACCCGGTAACCTTCTTTTTATCTTCGTTTATGATTGCTAGCAACGTGTATTCCCTGTTGGAACAAAATTTAGCCATGTCTTGCACATTAAACTCCTTCTTACGTTTAACAAATGTGGTATTCGGAAGGAAATCCATCAACATGTCGGCAAATTCATAAGCTGGCTTTTTGGCTCCAATGTTTGTTGTAAGGAGAATTTTAGGATCCTTGGATAAATTGGTGAAATATTCACTAAATTCGTCTTGATCGCCTTCTACTTTAGCGGCAAGCGTCTCATCATAGACTCTTTTGGAGTCGATTGTAGCTGGTATATTTTCCGCTATTCTTTGTTCTCGCAATTCGGGATTATTACGTTCTTCATCAGCTCGCTCTGCTCGCAACTTGTGACGATCTTTTACTTTTTGTCTTTTAATATCTGCATATACTTGTTGTCTTCTTTGTTTGTTTTTAATCCTCTTTAATGCTTCACTAGTGCTACTCATGGTGCGAGTGTAGTAGTGGTGGTGGAGGTGTTGTTGGTGGTAAAGAGGTTCGTGAAACGATTACTGTGAGATGAGATGTAGAAAAATAATCAAAAACCTTTACAAAAGATTTCTTATTTAGCGAGGTAGCGCAAGATTAGAAACCCAACCCATCCACACATTTCTTAACAGAGAGGTAGGTCAACACAATGGTCACAAGGGAATGTATAACGCGGTGGGCAAACATAATCAAACCTAATACTTACACTATCAGGGATTCATACTCCATTGGCCCCATTATTAACTTGACAAACTTACTTCAGGGCATATTCAAAGACACACCGCGGCAACTGCTGGATCAATCGGCAATCAACTCGACTTCTCAACGGAATTGGTTTCGAGGGCATCACTTTATCTTCAACTGCCAGGGGAACAAACATTTGGGTAGTGATGGTTACGACAATTACCAAGCGCCAGTTATCGATAATCAACAATTGTACTTGCGACGATTATGGGCAAAAGGTTCGATTCAATTCAATCAAGCACCAAAAGTAAACAGTGCTTTAGAATGTACCGAGCAAGTGAAAACAGTCAAGCCATTTGGCGAAGATGTTTTTGTTGACATTGAACGTAAATATACCTCGAACAAAGACAGTGATCCATTGTTGGTTGAAAATAGAACATTACTATATACCAACCAATTATATGCCCCCAACAAAACTCCCAAATTAGCTACTAGTCAACCTTTAGTTACATTCAAAGTTTCCACCATAGACTTGCTCAAATATAGCATGCTCACGTATAATTTACATCGAATCCACTACGACCCTAAATATGCCCATTCTATTGAAAACTTACCCACGGTGCTCGTCCACGGTCCGTTGCAAGTGACATTGGTGTTGTACTATTTTAGTCTAAAGTATCCCAATCTAGTCGCTAGTCAATTCAAGTATCGAACTTTTGAACCCTTTTTCGTCAATGAAGAAGCTGGGATACTGATTATCGCTCAAGGGTCAAATGAGTTTGAGTTGACATTGTTAAATGTTGCACATAAAAAGGTATACCTCAAGGGAACTTTAAAATGCAAGTAGTCGAAACCTTAGTAGAGTAGAGTCAGGTAAGCAATGACAGAGGCTGTTGTTGAAAAATTATAATAAATGTCGCTTCTCTATACGTCCAATGTAGCTCTTACTTTGCCAATACAATAATCAAGATATTCCTTTTTGTAGCCTTCATGATTCAATTGAACATCACCCAGCAATTCACTAATAATCTCTTCATTACCGCCAACAATAACCATTCCATATGGCATAGTCGAGAGATCCGGCATTGATTCAACTAATTCGCCATCAAATAATAAACTCGTGATATTGTTGGCTACTTGACGTCCCATGTACATTGCCCATCCTGCTGATTTGATTATGGGGAAATTGACTAAATCCCCAATGACAAAGAAATGGTCTTGCGTAGCTTGAGTAGTTGGATGTTGTAACTGTAAATATTTATTAGTATTCACCTGTCCATTGACAATATAGTCTTGTTGAAGCTGCAGCGACAAAAACGATGTATTGTTATGTTTGGAACAACAATGGAAATTCAACTCAGATTCAATAATCTTTTGCGTGGTTGTGACTAAATTCTTATTATCCAATTCCTTGTCAATACGTGTGTTTAGATAAATATTGACACCCGACCTTTCGATTGAGTTTTGGACCATTGTTTTAAATTCTAAACTTAACGGTTCAGGAGGAAAATGTTCATGTGGGTGAATTAAATTGACAATTTTATTAGGATATGCCGTCTTGATATCACCAGCAATTTCAACCCCCACAGCTCCAGCACCAATGATGGAAATAATGTTGGCACTTTCAATTTGATCCTTTGCTCGGCTAATCTCGTCTAAAAATTGTTGTTGAGTATTTGCCAAGGGAGTTGTTGGCCAATTACGATCTCGGCCGCTGGCCATAATCACGTAATCAAAGTCAATCCTATTCTTGTTGGTATTGTTATTTAATACATACTCTGCTGATTGTGAGCTTAAAGAGACAACTTTTCCATGCACGAAAATAACTTGTGACGAATTCTCACAAATTGGACCTTCGATATCATCATCAGAGATGATATTGGTGAATCCAATGTTATTCAATTGCGTGAAGCGGAGATATTGAGTCTCGGCAAACAGTGGACTAACAATAGATCGTGAAATTCCCAATATGTTTAAAAATCCATCTTTGGGTTCAACAATGGTTATACTGATCGGGTTGCCACCTTTGGGAATACGTGGTGATAATTTTAGTTGCAATGCACGCAATGCTGCTATTCCCGCGTATGCCCCACCAATAATCAAGATGTTTGTTGTCAATGGTATTGGGCTGTGGGATCGTTGAGGTAAATTTGTCGTTGGTGCTGATAATTGCTTGTACGATTTCATCGTTTTGATTGAATCTTGAACCGATGCTTCTAGTATACCCTGGTATTTAGGGAGATATATTATGTTCAGATCTTGTGTATGTTTTTGGTCTTTGGTTATTAAATATGAAAATTTTTTATCTATTTCATCAATTTTGAATTTTCTGCAATGTGCGCAAAATGTTCTGCTGTATGGGTGCATAATGACTTTTTTACACGAAAGCGGGTTGATATCCGACTTCTCGGCTAGTTGTATACAGTCCATTGTAAGCCCCATCCCAATTGGGTATGATTTGCGATTGTCGGTAAACAGACGAACTAAAAAAGTCGGAGAGAATGAAGATGCTAAGTTAATTCTTCCATCAAGGCAGCCAATAAGAAACAAGACCCTATTGGTAAGGCACTGAAAGAAGAAATACTCTAGTATATTTCGATTGATGCAGTTGTTATTAAAAAGTTAGTATAACAGTGTAGCACATATAAATATATGAGAAAAGATGTATGATTATATACGCCTGGAATGAAGATCTATATATAGTAAATTAATAGTATAAAGAAAGCATCACAGAGAGGACTACGTCTCATCTATTAGTTATTACGAAAACGCTGTCAGGATTCGCAGCATAACTATAGCGACGTTCACACGGATGTGCAATACACGTGATCTGAATGTTTAGCATTTTAAACGTTGTATGCATCTTAGAGTTAAGTTTAATCTACAAACAGTTATAATAATCAATAAAACTTAAATTCCTATTTCTTTACTACAAAAAAAGAATACTCTGCAAATTTACTCAGTAAATTTAAACACAAAGGAGACAAAAGTGGCCACAAACAAGAAGAGACAGATCATGTTTGGACCAAATTTATCTCCATATTGGACGGGTTTCTTTTCCCTAATCATCAAAACACGCCAAATATACCTGTAAATGGCATATCCCAAGGTGAATAAAGCAGTGATAAAGAATCCAATACTGGCAGTCAAGGCACTGTTTGTTCCATAATTCAACAAAGCGGTTGCAGTGAATCCCATCAACATTCCGATACTTATCCAACTAAGGAAGGTACGCTCGTTGGCAAAGTACACCTTGGGTTCAATTCTGACGGGTACACAGATGATCTTTCCTTGGGGCAACTTGTCTTTAAACGTGGCATTCAAATCAAAGTTGGTACCCGGTTTGACAGTAAATGTACGATCATCATTAAAGTAATGCAAAAACCTGCCATAAGCGTGATAAAGGAAATTTTTGACTGGTGAGTTTGTGTGACGAGACGTGTAGTTACTTGGTAGTAAAAGTGGCGTCTGTTCATCCAAATCCTCTTCCAATGGATTGATATCGTTTGAGAAATGCACGCCAGTGTATGAAGATCCAGTCAACTCTTCCTCGTCCAAGTCATTACCACTGGTGCTGGACCCTAACCTTTGTTGATGAGAAGGGTTTTGATGACGTTGTATACCATATTCTTGTACAACTTTTGGTTTCCTAATATCAACGTCCATTTGAGTGTACCAAAAGGGCAAGAGATCAACCATCTCTGTCAACAATGTAGCGCCACCGTGAATAAATTTGGAAAACTTGGGAACAGCTTCAACTAAATGCGAATTGACTAAATCTCTAACCCAGACAGGTGGCTCTTGTCCCATTTGGGTTTGCAATTTGACTTCCAAAACGGCATATTGGAAGCGACAAACATCCTTTTCGGGTAATTGTGGGAATGGATAATCAACGCCAATATCCATTCTTCTCCAGTTACCATGAGTACGGTCATACCCATCAAAGTCATCTTCTCTAACCATTGTTAATTCAGTGTCCAATGAAATTCTGACTCTTGCGTCTCCTGGCAATTGGAATGCAGTTCTGTTGTAGAAAGATCTCATCACTGGACGCATCTTGTCCTTCAAGACACGATATTGAACTTCTTGAGCTAATCTTTCCAAATTTTCAATTTCTTGAGGACTTTTTTTACCTTCCTTTCTCATTTTGTCAAATACTTCACTAGCCTTTAACTTTCCCGATAAATAATCATTAACTTTCTTTTCCTTCAATGCAAATCTTGCTTTAACCGATTTTTCACCAGTCCAATCTTCTCTATGGGTTTTTCTTTCAACAAAGATTTGATCTGATTTCATGCCTCCGTACCACCTCAATCTGATGGCCTCGGCTCCTTCGTCTTTTCTCAATCTTCCATAGTACAAATCCATATCTTCATTATCAAAATAAATTGAAGTAATTGCTGAATCCTCGGGTTCAAACTCTTTATCTGCATTGAAAACCAATACTGGCAAGTGTTTTAAAATAATCAACTTCAATTCAGTAATATTATCAGGATGAACCCAGTACTTTGTTGTTTGACGGACGAAATTTTGTTGTGACCCACCAGCTGAAGAATCACCCTTTATTGGATTACCTCTAGTTCTTACCAAGTCGTATAGTTTCGACAACTTGACAATCAAGTTATCGTAATTGTCTTTATAAAATGCTTGAGAGTTCAACCTTGCCTGGAAAACAGGCTTCAAATGGTATCCAGTTGTCTTGTCGTGCTTTTTGATAATCTTTTGGAAGCCAGTATAGTTTAAACGAGCAAACTTGGCCAAATCGTGAACATCAGCAATAATGTCGGACAATTCCTCTTCCAAATCTTCAAAGTCTTGCTCTTGAGGAGGCGATGTAACCAACGGATCGTTATTTTGATAACGATGTAAAGTGTTGACTACTTCATGGACATACTTTTCCGACTCTTTAATTCTCCTGTTAACCTCGGTGTTTTTAACCTTGGTGAAGGAATACACTTTATCCAACTCTGTTTCCAATTGGTTGAGGAAGTCCTCCTCCAATTCATTGTTCCATTGGTAGTCATTATCCTTCAATCCCTTTTTCAACTGGTGTTTTAAGTCATCGTAGGAAATGTAGTAGAAGGAGTAGTTTTTGATCAATGCCTTTCTCAAATGTTCACCAAACTTCATCTTTAGAGTATTTTTAGACTAGCGTCAGAACTGGCTTGGGAGGGGGGGGAGGATGGTGTTTGATATGATATCTATGATTAAGAAGAGTAAAATAAATAAATAAATAAAAAAAAAATTCAAAATTGAATAATTTGTTACTTTTGATGGAATGATTGATGGAATGATGAATATGAATAAAGTGATGTTTATTATTTAATTTATTATTTATTATTTATTATTTATTATTTATTATTTAATTTATTTTGATTGCAGAAGTTTTATTGTGTTGGAGTTTTACCAATGAATTGGTTTATTAATTTTAATTTTAATTTTAATTTTAATTAATTTAGACTTTGTAAAGAAGAAGAAGAAGAAGAAGAAGAAGAAGAAGAAGAAGAAGACCAAATTGTCAAGATTCTTTTTTATTTCTTCTTTATGGGCAAAAAAAACCATCGTATTATTAGCCTATCCTACCTATTGCCCCTTTCTTTCCCCTCTCTCCCTCCCATTGACTATGCTATATAAGGTTTATATTGTCTTCAATGTGTATAATACTCTTTCAAAATTAAAGTTGTATAAAAGAAAAAAAGCAATGTTTTGTATAGACGCACGTGGGTATCAAATGGTTTAAATTTTGAGAAGTTAATTTATTTCTTTTACTCTGTTTTGGTATTTTGTGTGATTGTTACATTGTAAGTAAAAGAATGGCTTTATCATATAAACAAAACAATCCTCTCTCTTAATATACACTACACAAAAGTATCTAATTAGAACAAGAAGAAGTAAAAGAAGTAAAACACGTGCATTTAAGACGACTTATAACAATATATACGCCTATATACGCCTATATACACCTATATTAAAGCTAACACTGGTGTGCCAACTTTTCCGCCTCATCTTTCAACGCCTCATTAAATTCGATAAACGACTCTTGTGTCTTTCTGAAAACACCAAACAATTGGAGAATATACACCAACAATCCACCAAACTGCTCCAGCTGAACAAACAACGTACGAACCCCTCCATCCAATGGTTCAATTGCAAAACTATGTGTGCCGTAGAATATCCACTCCGACACCAAAGCACCTTTCCAAACTAAGCTCAGGTCTGTCTTGCGGAGGATCTTGGGATACATTGTGCTTGTATGGTTCATCCCCTTTAATTTCAAATCAATCTGTAATTCATCCCCTTCATTCAACTGTGGATCTGTCTTGTTTGTATACTTTTGGAAACTCACCATAAACGGGTTCCAACTGGGATAGGATTGGTAGTCAAAAAACTTTTGCTTTACTATCTCTGGTGGTGCTTGTATGATTATGTTTGTTTGTATTGATGGCATTGGTTGAAGTTCGTCCAGACAAAGGAGTAACGGCTGATGAGTAATTTTTGTGTTTATCTTTTGTTCTGATAAGATTTCTCTTCTCAAACACTAATGGGGACTTTTTGGGTAGTTTCCATAGAGGCACAATTAATCATAACTCTTTAACATTCGGGCCATTCATATAGAAATGTTGGAGCCACATACTTCTTAGTTTATAATATCCTATTTTAATATTTTGTTCCTCCTGTTCTATTATTCACCTTGTCTCAAAACACTCCACTCAATTAGTCAGATTTTGCCGCAAAATCTGACTAAAACTGTGTCTCATTGTTAATTTTACAGGTTTCCCGAGTCCTTCCATGAAAGCAGGTACGTAAACTGAAAATACCTATTCAACCAAGGGAATAGAGCTATCATAAACGCCATAACTCATTACTCGTAGATGCTTCTGGTCACCTGACATTGAAAAATGACGCGTCTTGTGCAAACAAAAGCAAACCTACACAGTGGAGCGTCAGAAAACTCCTAATAGACCCAAGAAACAGAGCAATAAAGGTATTAAAGAGGTACCGTCAACAAGAAAAGCTCAAAAACCCTTATTATACTTGAGCAATTGACGCTGCAATCACTTGATTGAGAGGCTTTGACCATATGGGCACAAGAGGGTCCCGAAATTTTAGCACAACAGATGACACTTACAGCAATTCAGTAATTCGCTATACAGAGCTATTTAACAGAGTGAGAGATGGATTTGTCATCAAATGAAAGTCGTTGGTAAAAAATTGGCCAAGCATTAACACAAGAAGAGAACCAAAATACAATTGGGCATGGCCTGGGATAATTTGCTTTTGAAAAGGTATCCCGAGTTGTTGAAATTGAGCAAGCCTGTTATAACAAGGGAATCGGTTGGCTCACCATTTTATGACGAAATAGAGGAATGATATGCCACTTTTCGAAGCTTTAAATCGGCTCATAATGTGAAACAAGAAAGAGTATACTGTGTTGTTTTAATTCCAATCCTACGTTGTAGACAAAGCGGGGAAGAAAAAATTGTATCATTGGCCAACTGAATAAGGGATTAATTTCCTGTCTGGCTGTGAGTGCGCAACATCCATAGAGACCATTTCAATAACTGGAGAAACGTTAAGGCTCAGTCTTTACTTTGCGGGTACAAAGTTTCTTCCCAATTGGGTTCTCCAAATACCTACCATATTGGACTTTTGGCGCCACAAGTAATGACTTGGTTGATTCAGAACTTGTGCTACAGTGGCAAGAAAATGCATTTATACCTTGTACAGGTGCCGGCAAAGACCAACTGCCTGTTATGCTTTTTTGAATTTTGTGATAATGATCTGATTAATCAATGCGACACCGAAAACATACACTGTCTTTCATTTCCATCCTATTCTTACAAAATCTGCAACCCATTGGAGCAAATGAGATTTTCTTAGCTTACTGACCAGGAACTCGACAAGAACTTGTTTAGACACAATGTCATCATCAACAGAAATGACCAGTTGAAGCAGAAGCTTATAATATTGTACGACAAAGCTGGAGCTGACATGCTTAGCAAAGAGGAGATAATGAATGATTGTAGAGATTGGACGAGAACCATTTAATCGAAAACAGGTGCTTGATTATGATAGAGTGAAAATAAGCCCATTTCTTCTCTGACCCAAGATTGCACCGTGGATTCAAAATAAGCGGGATATTGAAAAGCTACGAAGTGAATTAGACACTCCTAACGATATCTGTCGATACACATATGATTATACCAGAAACGAAATTGCTCAATATGCTAAACTTGTTGAATTACGTATCAAGCAAAAGAGGTCTTTTGATGAATTGATGACAAGTCTCACACTCTCGCAGCCAGAGGATGATGATCCAGGCAAATGGGGCCGCGTAAGGTATCTTCCTTGATGAATAATGTATACTTTAGAAAGCCATAACACGTATCACTTTGTAATAAAATTCGCTTATACCTTTAGTGCGCGCAATAAATCCCTTGTTCCAATTGTCGACCTAAAAGAAGGACATTTCATTCCATCCTAGACCGAGAAAATACACACTGTACTTCCCTAAGAGAGTGTGTATAAATTTTGCGTGATTTAATTTTTTCCAAACGACAAAGGGCGAAAAAAATAAATAAAAAAAAAACAAAACACAACACCGAACTTACTAGATTATCACTTGTTGTCTAGAGCACACCTACATTCAATCAACGATTGTTTCAATTACAAAGAGGGTATTACTTGTTACAATTGATTTTACAAACGGATAACGTCTAAAGGTTATTTTGCATTGTTTTCAAGACACATTGGCCTAGCCAAGTTTCAACAGATTGATACTAAATTCTCAAACAGATGACAATGGATAGCAATGGTGTCCAGCAAATTGTATCAGCACTCGATGTTGTTTACAACCCAAAATCAACAAATACCGAAAGGAGGGATGCACAGTCGTTTCTTGAAACAATAAAGTCCAATGAAGAATCACCATTCTGGGGGTACCAATTAGCCCTTCCCGAAAACAATGGCTCGAATTATATCGTCCGATATTTTGGGCTTACGTTGCTACAAGGGTCAATTAGATACAAGTTTCATACATTTGATTCTACCAAAGTATCGGCAATCAAGAACTGGGTTATCGAATTGGCCAACAAGATACTTGATGATGATCCCCATTACATGAAAGAAAAGATTGCCTTTCTTTGGGTTGCGTTGGCAAAAAGAATATGGGGAAGCTATTTGGTAAAATCGAGGGAGCATGATATTGAATCAAACAATGCTAGCCAGGAGGAGAATAGCGATGCAAAAGCAGCAGTGACACCACAAGAAGCAGAAGACGGATGGGTGTCAATGGACTCCAACTTGTGGTCTCTTTGGAATAGTAATGTCACATGCCGTGAATTGTCATTGGTCATTATAAGAACCCTTTTTGAGGATATATATTTACTTGATGATGCTATTGCTTCTAAAAATAGTGTTGTACTAAATCAATTGTCGGTTCTAATAACAACACCCGACAAAGTACTAGACACAATTTACGAAAACAATACAAAATTTTCTATATGCAAGGCTTCTACTGATGGATGGTTTGTCACCTGGTCAAGGTTCTTACTTGAAGTTGTGGCCAATAATGAATTCCAAAACGAAGTATATCAAAAGTATGTCACAAAGATTCTATCGACATTCAAAACGTGTTTACATTGGATACATCCAAGAGTATTGCGAGAAGAAAACGTATTGAACACATTGATTAACATGTTGACCATACCTGATGTTAAAATAAAAACATTAGCGGTTGATTGCTTACACATTATATTCACCAGGACGTATTCGCAGGATGACGAGTTTGATTTCTTTATTGGATCGATATTCACGACAGAAGGTATCAACAAGTTGGACGAGTTTTACCAGTCGTTGCAGTTGGATCCTGATGACATCGACGAGCAAGTGTACTCATTGCTAAAAAAGACAGTGGAAATGATTGTATCGCTAAGTGAATACCTAAACATCTCATCCAAACACAAGGTCAATTGGGAAAAGAGCGATGTTGATGGGTACTTGAGACTAGTATTGAAAACGACAGACCATCCTAGTTTAATCATTAGTGGACTATCTTTGCAAATGTGGGTGACTATTCTAAGGTTTGATGAACTTAGTGCCAAACGTCAAATAGTTGACATAATGATGCAATTGCTAGATATTGCTGCCAATAGGACGATAAATTTTCTCTGGGATGATGAGCATGTTTCAAAGAAATTCTTTGATATTGATTTTGATTCAACTCCAGATGCTACGAGCTTCCTACAAAACTATCGCAAATTCAATGAAGATATCATTAGAATAACAGTTTGTAAAAAACCAGAGGAAGGGCTTATTTGGCTTGAGAATAGGTTGCAAAGTTTCTTTAGTAGTGAGTTGGGCAGCCAGTGCATAAATGATTACAATTTGGGCGAAAAATCGAAAGCATTCAACTACGGATCATCTCAGTTCAACATAATAGAAAACAGTATTCGAGGAATTTCTCGATGGAGAATATGGTATAATGGCGAAGATTTCACCGCAATAGATGACCGCTTGAACAAACTTGTCATTCAATTGGGTGAACGGTTGTTGGCGATGAATTTGGCGTCACCCTTGATTATCAGGAAACAAGTACAAACCTTGGTTCAGTTCGCGCCGTTGTTGAAAGGAGTTGATAGCCCATTGATGTTTCAAATTCTAGAAAAGATTCTCACTACAGCTACATTCCCATATCCACCAAACATCTCAGACGAAGACAAGGAATTGATTCGTGATTTGCGAGCTAGCTGTGGTACGGAATTGAATAGACTTGCCTACATCATGCCGGAAGCGTTGAAGAATATTTTCAACGACTTGGAGAGCGTCGTAGCTAATATCCTTTCCTCGGATAAAGTTAGTGCTCATGAAAACGTTGCTTTCAAGTCTTTCCTACTAGTTATTGCATCAAGGTCATCAATTGATGACAAGAATGATCTTTTTGCCAAAATTGTCGACCCTGATTTGGCTGCGTGGTCGGCACCGGAGACAGAAAAGGGTTTAATGGATTTGCACTGGTTTATGGAGAGGATTGGAATTGTTGAGATTGCGTCGTATTTTCAAAAACGTGGAATTACGGCATCAACAAATTTATTAGAGGCCAAAATGGACGATGAAGGCAAGATATTGAAGCAGAAGCTAAAGGATCATTGGAGCTCGATTTTTCCTATTCGTGCAACAAGAATTTTTATTCAGTATAGTATTGAGAAATTGAGCCATGATCAGCCAGAGTATTTAAATTTACTTAAATTATGGAAACCCCGCGTGCAGCCAATTGTACCACATATTTTACAACTATTGACACAAATTCAGGCTTACCACGACCCAGCAAATTGGGTAGATTTACCAGCTGAAGTTCAGAGCTTTGTCAAGTATAGTTGTACGGAAAGGTTTTGGCAACAGGGGGTGTCAATTCAGTCCAAAGAAACTTTTATCGAAGAGAATGTTAAGGCTGCTTTGACATTGAGAGATTTTGCTGATTCAGTGGGCCATTTGATTAGATACACGAGAGAATACGCATTTTTAACGGTGGGGTCATTAGCCCAGTTGGAAGATACCCTTTATGAAATACCCAATGTGGCCAGCATGATTTGGAAAGCAGTTGCTGGTGACACAGTAGGAATTACATTGCATTCTTGGAAACACATGATAAACAGTTGTCTTCGAGTTGTTATTAAATTTTGTCCCGTGAAATTTGTTGAAGTGTTTATGAGCGAATTGTTACCCAAGGCATTGGGAGATATCGACGCTTTGCTTGTCAGCAAATGGGACAAGGTATATAGCGATGGATTGCAATTGCAAGGAAATGAAGATGACGAAACCTTGTCTGAGGAGATGATGGAAGAGCACATGTTGAGACAATTGACAGCAACGGTGGTTAGAATGTTGATGGATATTGTCGGACAGTACAACTCCAAGTCGCTCACCGATACTCAATTTGCTAGTAGGAAGTTGGTTATCGAAAACAAGCAAGTTCTTGCTCCATTTTTGACCCTCTGCTGTCACATCATTGCTTTCAAAGATACAAAATGTTCATTCAATACAATTTTGGTCATTAGGAATATCCTTAGCGATATTACCTCCAAGGATGACGAAGTTGATAAATTTCTCTGTGAGAATCTTATCAAGTCGTTGGTGCATGTGCTATTAGATGACTATTTCGTCGAGACCCACAGTGAAGCTGCATTGGTGCTTACTACATTGTACTGCCAATTGCGTTCCAAAAACGATTATGCTGCGAGAATTCTAATGCAGAGACTACCAAATATAAAGCCCCACCACATTTCCAACTTTGAGAATTTATTGGTCAGCTCAAGATCGCTAAGGCATCAACGCAGTGCTCTCTTGGAATTGGTCAAGATCTCAAAAGATAATGGATCCTACGAAGAGGAAGATATGAGCAAAAGGAAGAAGGAATTGGACCAGGTTGCCAAGCGGAAGAAAGTGGGTGCTAATGAAGTTGATGTCATGAATGACCCGTATACCGAGAATGGAGCCTTGGGTAATCTATTTGGAGAGGAGTAAGGGGTGCAAAAACATATATATATATATATATATATATAAACTAGAGTATATCTTATGTATTATTTTTTAAAAATCGAGTACAAATGTAATCGCTATTTCCTGAATAACTTGGTGATCTCTTTACTGGTAAACAATTTGTTATTGGCCAACATTTGCTTATTATCGATTAAAATAGTAGCTGGGCCAGTGATTTTAAAAAAGATGGGGTTCCTTCTAATTAAACGTCCATTGATTTTGACAAAGGTCCAGCGCCACAACTTGCTTAGTTGTCTCTGGATAGGGGCCCAATAGGGAGCTATAGGTGAAATAAGTTGACGTGGATTAAAATGGGCCCAAAATTGATCTATTGTAGCTCGCGCTTGCTTTATTGGGTTTGTTATCCAATGCGGCCAATCGAAATGAGGAAGCTCTAGTTTATGTAGTTCATAAGTACCTGGATTCAATACTTCTGGGTTGATGGTAGCACCTGTATTTACAGCAATCAATGCATTGGGGTTGATGAATGCTTCACTGTTTGATTCCACTTGCAATTGTAAAATCTCCGATGTTGCTTCGAGTACAACATGACCTTTACCCGAAAGTTCCACCACGTTATGATTCCAATTGGAGGCAGCTTGGCTAAAATCCACATCGGTTCCAGTCCAGCCTATTATTCGTCTATTGTCAAACACCGTCCAATGCAGCGCAGCATCCAACACACGGTAATGACTTTGCCCATGAATGAGTAAATTTGACGACTCGGTCGATTTCAATTGTTGGTAAGCGACACCATATAGTGACCTGACTTCTGATTGGATCGTGTTTAGCTCAACATTTGCCGCGACAATCGAGCTTTGCGAAAAGTATATGCTAGATGATTGTGGGAGGGAAATAGAGAGGATATTTGATGGGTGACCAATTGCATTGAATTGAGGTCGTGCGGCAAAGGGACCAGCGCCTGTTATTTTGGGCTTTTCAAATGCAATGGGAGAAGTAGTGGGTGTGGTATATCTCCTTATGAGGCGCCTCCCTAGGCTTTTGCAAAGCGGAAGCTCAATTGGTGGCATGGCTTCTTGGGGAATCAAATTGTTCTATTTGGAAATCTTTTTTTTTTTATTTTTTTTCTGACAAAGTTCGTTTGCCGGAGGATATATTATACACATTCTATTCAAGTATATTGACTTACAAACTTGTCAGCATTGGTGATATCTTGCAACAAAGAATCGTTGCATAATGATTTATCCACTTCATTGACCACCTTACCAAAAGCGACAAACGTTTTCCACCATCTCACAGCATCTCCTAAATCAGATTTAATTTGTTCGGCAGTGGCAGCATTTACTCCATGGGCATTACTATTGTGCGATGGTATTTGAACTTGGAAAATGTGGTCAGTTAGGTAATTGGTTGAAAATGCACTTGCTTCGGTTGCATCAGTACCAGCCGTTTTTTGATGCTTCAATGCTACTTCAAAGTAAATTTCAGTTACGACACCCATCAACGTGTTGTTAACATTCTTAAAAAATGGTAATTGATCAATCAATTTCAACCATTCGTCTTTATTCTCATAAGTCAGCTTGATGTTATTTTTCTCTTGTTTCACCACCAAATCAACCAAAGCACATTCAATCGTATGAAGTAAAGTTGAATTGATGAATTCGACATGAGACCGGAAATTCAATAAACTTCTTGAAATGGGACCCTGGTAGTTGATTGGCGATGAGTTGAATTTCTTCAACGACATTACTCTTGATGCAAGATTAATTGAAACAACTTCCTCTTTACTTGGCTCATACGTTGAACTCACGTTTTTGTATTGCTTTAATACACTTGGATACTCCTTGCTAACTTCATTAAGCTTCAAAGTTTGCGATCTCAAAAGCAACAAGACCAATACGAGATATTCCAATTCGTCCGGCCTTATATCTTCGTTTGCACGAGTAAATTTCTCAAGGATTTGACCGATAGAAGTCAATTGACTCTTGTCATCGACTATACCATACAAAAACAATGCCCTCAATACGACAGTCGACACGATATCCCCATTAAGGCTAAGCTCATTATCCGACTTGTAGTCCCCTGTCAATGATTGGGCAAAAAATGATCTCAAATCAAACTTCTCAATGCCTTTATTTATAAACAAGTGTTCAATACGTCTGCCAATAGGGGGCATAATCCTACTATTCAACTCAATCTCATTCCTGAACCAAAACTTGACTTTGATTTTCTTAACCTGATAGTACCTGGCCAACAACTGGGTTACCAAGTTATATTGCTGATCCAAATTGTCAAGGTAGAACTTTGACGTAATCAACTTCTTGTATGTGTCATTATTGCCCAATTCCAAAGGCGGACGAACGTCGTATTGACCTGCAGTGACCGAGTTTAATAGTTTCAAAGGAAGCAACCCAATAGATTGATAAAAGTACAACTCGGGTGGTAATCTTTGCGATATAATATCGTGCAAGTTTATTGGTACTTTAGCAATAGTCTTTGCCGATGATCCAGTAGCAGGGTTGCTACCACCATTGGGATTTGTAGGCGTAGATGTCCTAAGATCGTCTTCAATTATGAAATCAATGTCCCTTTCTAAATTGTATTTCGATAACTCAACGTTGTACAACTCAGTGTACCCCTCCTTGTTAATAATTGGAGCATACTTGATTGCAGTTTGGCCCTTCGTATACAAGTCTAGCAACTTTGGATCATTGAGACTTAAAACATAACCATGCAAATTCATATTATTACCGCTAAATTGCATATACTGGTAAACAATGTCTAAACCAAGTTTAAAGTTGTTGACTTGGGGATAGTTGGACATTGGTTTCGGTGCTGGAGGAAACATGGGGAACGTCGTTGGCTGAATTGCACATCCAACCATTAAACTTAAATCCTGAAATTGGCGTTCATTCAAGCCCAATTCTTGCAACACTTTAAATTTATCAACAAACCTGAATTCTCTGGATTGAAACTCCATTGCTAAGATAAACTTGTCTATTTTGGTGAGCAATAAATCAGTCGATCCGTATAACGCATCAATAAGTTTTTCCAGGTACAAATATGACAATTGGAATGATGCACTGTAAGGAGTTATCAAGTAGTCGATTCCTAAATCGATAAAGATTTTAATCAAATCATTAACCAATGGTTCTAAAGGTAAATTTTCGGTATATGATCGAAAATTTTCGTAATGATGCTGATACAGATGCTGAGCTTGTGAATTGATTTTGTTCCAAGTGTAATCCTGTTGGTGCTCTTGTGGTGATAATTCGTTTTGTCTATATGAGACAACTTGTGACTGGATGGGTAAACCCGGAATGACAAAGAATGGTTTGATGTTGTAGTCTTGGAAGGCTTGTAAATCCGATTGAATGTAATCTTTTAATGAACTTGGCACTCCTCCAATTGCTGCCAAGAATTGCTCCTTTTTGAAGGTGTAGATGCGGTTGAGGTAATGCTCAACATCGATACCAACCACGGCATTTGATAATATATCGAGGGAGCTTGTGTGGACTAGTTTCCGTTCAAAAAGATATGTCTCGAGTGACTTGATTGGCATTGTGGGTGTGCTTGTATGTCTTGTTGAAATTGGTGCAATTGTGGCAACCTAATAGAATTCTTGGAGTATGGGAGATTCTCTGGAGAGCTTTTTCAAGATACAGGTGCCTTTTTAAGTTTTAAATTGTCTACGTCAAACGTGTCGTACGTTCTGTCAACACAATTTTCAAAAAGCAGAAAAATTTTGACGACGTTGAGCTACCACATGCCTTCGTGCTTTCATTATCTTTTGTTTTGTCTATGAAATCTTTACATCTATTTCCCCTCTATATCAATTACATGTTCGGACTCAACATATCTGCCTTGACCAAACTGTGTATGTCCTGGATGGAAGCATTGATGAATTGCCTCACTTCTAATGCCAACCAGATCTTCATCATGCTCAAACTATTTTCATCTCTCAATATTTCTCTACCTTCTTTCAGTACCCCGAGTTTTCTCAATACCGGCAAAGAGCTATATAAAAAAGTTAGTAATTTCTTCAGTAGGAAACCCAAACAAGAGAGCATATACGAACCTTTGGAAAAGATCTAACTTTGGATCCAATTGTCTTCCGATACCTTCCAACAACAAAATTGCCACTACCACTGAGACAAAGTCACCTTCCATACGAACATGATGATTACGAACCATGCCCAACACTTGATCAAGCAAATCACCGATGCTTACTGTTCCTAATGTGAAGGTACGCAGCTTCATTCTATCCACCAACTTCTCCACTTTCAAGGCAAAAATCTCTTTATTTATTGCTGTTTCGGGGGTTCTCGATCTCTCAATCATCAACTCACCGGCTTTGTAACCATCAAATTCCGAAAGCGCTTTGAACAAGTCGATGAAGTTGACTCTATCTGTATGGTTCAATTCTGTGACCAATCCAACATCCAAAAAGCAGATCTCGGCATGATAGCCATGCTCATAGAGCTCAGCTAGACGTTCGCACCAAGCTGGCTGGTTATTTCCCAACTTCAACAACTCTTCTGTAATCTTGTTGGTTTCTTGCTCGTTTGAAGTTTTCACTATTTTGTACTCCTTCTCATGTTTAAAGTGTTCATTTTTGTAAAACCTAACCATCATGTTTCCTGGATGTAAATCGGCATGAACAAAGTTATCCAAAATCAACATCTTTAAAAATGCATCCAAACCCTTGTCACTGATCTCTTTTGATAAGTTCTTTCCATAGTTTTCGCTCAAAGCTAACATCTTACTCAATGGTATTGCGTAAATATACTCCTCTACCAAAACGTCTCTTGTGGTGAAACTCAAATACGGTTTCGGGAAATGTATATCCAATCTGCTCTTGAAGTTTTCGCGAAACTTGGCCAAATTCAACGCCTCAATTCGCAAGTCCAACTGCAACCTCATTAAAATAGAAAATTGCTCCACTTCATCGGGCAACGATAACCATTCCATAGTAGGGATAATATTTATAAAGTCAGCAAAGAACTTCATAATCTTTAAATCTCGATTGATATTTATCTCCACTTTTGGATGCAATACTTTGATCGCAACACGCTCATTTGAATCTAAATTCTCTGTAACAATCAAGTTTTCGAAAAACTGTGGTTCATGACCCTTGTCTTGTTGTTTAAGCTTCTTTTGAATCTCGGCTTCTTGCTTTGATGCCTGATTCAAAGCAGTCTTGGAAAGTTTGGCAATGTATACCTGGGAAATTGCGCCCACCCCAACCGGCTTTTCGTCAAATTCGTCAAAAATCTTGTCAAACGGCAAGCCGCCAAAACTCTTTTGTAAGATCTTTTTTGTTTGGGCAAAACTATGAGCTTTTGCATGACTATGCAATGTTGCTAACTCATCACACATTTCCTGAGGGAATATATCCGTTCGACTAGCCGCCCACTGGCCCAATTTTATGAACGAGGCGCCGGCAATTTCGGCAGACCAACGAAGGTAGCGATACCAAAGAGTTGCACCAGTTCGGACCATGACACCATCGGAATTACGATGCTTTCTACCAAACCAGCAGATGGGGCTTGAAAACAAGACCGGCAAGAACAAACAAGATAATTCAATGAAGCGGGAAAATGTGATTACTGGATCAATTAGGTAGTCCTGTAGGAAAAATGCTGCTTTATATAATGACCTCACAAATATAGATGCATGCTGTGTCTTACTCTTTCTATATGTATCAAATTGGTCGTATTCTTCCTTTTGTGATGCTTGATATAGTCCTGATTCGTAAGTATCGGCGGAACTTATCGGGGTTAATTCGTGTATTGATGTGTCCAACGCATGAACGTCATTGTATACCTGAGACTTGTATCCTAGCGATAGAACCGAGACACCAGTGGCTAAACCAAGAAAGACCTTCATTCCATATCTACTCGATGAAGCAGGAATAGCTTGGTGAAATTGTCGTTTTAGTGGGAGCTGTCTTATTAAGGACCTAAAAGCGGTTCCCCTTGCTTGATGTTTTAGTAAATCAACAATCATAACGCAGTGGTCGTATCATGTATATATATGTATAATGTTGCAATTGGTTGGTTTAAGCGAGGAGTAATGTTGTTGTATGTTGGAACTCTTTTATTGCTAATTTGATTGCTACTCTTTAATTTTCGATCAACAATGAAATTCTTGTACAAAATCCGAGGAACCTACGATAAATAAAACTATCTGTTAAATTCTAAAATTTGCACTCTGTTGTTTCAACTATAAATACTATTATAAAATGAAAGCACCTAATTACTCTTTTTGAAGCTCTATTTTTTGCTCTTATCCTGTAAGTGGTTTCTTAATATAGAAATCCAAACGCCTATAGTAGCAGCGCCCTTTGGGTTAGTCTTCGGTCCTCTACGACTCACAATTCCATCATGAGCATTCCAAACATCAAGGTACACCGGTATTTTAATCCAATCCAACTGGTTCAACGAATCCTTTATAAATGTTTTTGCCTCATCCAATTTCAACTCCGATTCGTGGTTGAACATTGATGTTTTGGAATAGTTTTGAAGTGTGGGCAACAGTGCATGCATGATCTCGTCATTAGCTTTGAAATCAATGTCTACCAACTTTGCTGATGTTCTATTATCGAGGTAAATTTCCTGCAAATTTGTGTCGTCGCCAACATCTTTCGACTTTGGCTTGACTAATTTGCTTTCGTCGTCGCCCTCTTCTGAATCGTCGTTGTTTTCATCACCTTCTGGAATCACTGAGCCCGAGCTTTTGCTTCTATGCAAAAAGTGTTCTTCTGCATAAAGCATTCCTTCCATGGCATTTTCAGTGATATGCGAAGTATCACCTTTGAAACTCTCATGTTGAGCTATGCGCTTACGCTTATCACGCTGTTTTTGACTCGCTTCTGCATCCTCGGGGTCCATAGGTTTATCATTGTACACATAGTTGATCACTCGTGCCCAATGTTCTCTAATATTAGGAAGTTTGTGGATTCTGACTTTGACAAAACTGTAGACTGACACCATAGTACTTGTTGTGAAGATAAAGGGGATCCACAAAGGAAAAATCATAATGACTAAAGCCACTATTACAAGTATACGTGCATACTTGTTCTTTCTAACAAACGGTGTCTCTTCTTGTAAATTACCAGGAAATAACTTGGAATCATCGTGGGCCAACTTGTGCGATCTCGTCAAGTCGACAATCTTAGGCCTCACGAGTTTATTGGCTATTTTAGTTTCGGGAAGGTTCTTCAAGTACTTTATTTTAACCAAATCAAACTCATCAAATGGAGAGTACTGGGTGATAAAAGACGTGAAAAAGGCTACTGTTCTGTCATTCCGAACATTGGCTAACAACGTTTGTTTCTGAAATTTTGCCAACCCTTGGTAGTACTTTTGTTTCGGATCAGCCATTGCAACCAATGCCTTATCCTTATCTGCGATAAATAATTCTCCTCCTGATTTGCCAAACAAAAACGGACCAACTATATTGGCTATATTGTCAAAGATGTTGTCACGGAAAAACTCAACCCCCATATGTGGTGTTGCAAATGTGGAAAAAAATACCGGTTCCACTTGTTCAAAAAATCCCAACTCATTTAAAAGACCAATGACATAGCGAGACAATAATCCACCTAGAGAATATCCAATAAAACTGATTTTGGTAACTTTCAACCCATTCTTTTCCCTTAGTGATTCTATTTCGTAAAAGACTTCAGTGACGATCTTCCTTGAATTAAGATCTAAACCATCGTACGTTTTCCAAAACCTAAAGCTTGCTGGCTTAAGTGTAGCAATTTCATCATTTGTTGTTGTGGGTAATGAGTCTTTTAAATATCGTTCAATCGTGTGCATGTGATTTGGACTGCCCCATAATCCATGGATCAAAACAAATAAATGAGTAGATTTCCCATCCTCGTGGTCGTCAGTTACCGTAGTTGTAGTTGGGGAGGATTCAGATGACATTGCTAATGCATAACCCTTGTCTACCAAGTGTATGTGGAAAGAAACGGATAAATTTTAGATCTCTCTTTTTGTATTTAAAGTTATGCCAATAAATCTAGGTTATTTATTTATTTATTTATTTATTTATTTATTTATTTGTCAATTTCAAAAGAGTTGTCTAAAAATAAATAAAATAAAGAAGATAAGAAAGGGTTTTGCTATAGAAACAGTGATTCACGTGACTTCTTCCTCGGATGTCAATTTTTCAATTTTTCTATTCTTCGCTTTTGCTTTTTTTCCAAAGAAATTTTTAATTTACAAAAACTGACTAAGTGAGTGGGAGAGTTGTTACTATCTAATCTCGGAGACAACTTTATACAGATACTTAAAATATGCCTTTCTGGAGTTCTGCACCTTCACTGGCCCCTGTGAAAGCTAGCTCTGCTCAACCCGTGATTGCATCGGATAGTCAAAAGATTAAACAAGATATACAAAATCAAATCAGTCAGGAATTGGCGATTGCTAATGCTACCGAGTTGGTTAGAACGATAACGGAAAACTGTTTTGATAAATGTGTTACCACTCCTCAGGCTCAGTTTGACAGTGTGCAAGAGACTTGCATTGCTCAATGCAGAGAGAAATACATGAGATCTTGGAATACAATCTCGAGGGCGTACATCGCTAGAATACAGAATCAATCATAAGGGAGGGAGGAGCTATTGATAAGAATAGGTGTACATTTAATAGCCAGCAAGCTGTATATAGATTTAAATAACGACATTTAATACCCTGGTCTGTAATACTTTGCAAAAGATACGGTTCTATGTATGTTAGATTGTATTCGGTAGCGCGATGGTTTTCCAACGCTTTACAGTGGCGAACAATTAATACAAAATCCAAGTCTACTTCTTCAGTCAGCCATCCTTTACCCAGTACAAGACCACCCACAATGTCAGCGCAAACTACAGTCGCATCTGAATACTCCTCGGAGATCCATTCTGTTCCCATTGAGCACAGATTCAACCCATATTCAGACAATGGAGGAACAGTATTAGGAATTGCAGGTGAAGATTTCGCCGTCCTCGCAGGAGACACAAGACAAGTTGAAGGGTACTCAATACAATCGAGATACGAACCTAAAATCCACAATGTTGGAGACAATATATTAATGACGGCCAATGGGTTTGCCGCTGATGGTATTGCTTTGATTGACAAATTTAAACAATCATTTACTTGGTACAAATTCGACAATGGAAACAGGAAATTGGAAATAAGCAGTGCTGCTAGATATATTCAGCATCTTTTGTACGGGAAAAGATTTTTCCCTTACTATGTAAGTACGTTGATTGCTGGATTGGATGAGGAAGGCAAAGGTGCAGTTTATTCATATGACCCAGTTGGAAGTTATGAGAGAGAACAGTGTAGGGCTGGAGGTGCAGCTGCTAGTTTGATCATGCCATTCTTGGATAATCAAGTCAACTTCAAGAATCAATTTGTGCCAGAAACCGATGGAAAGGAGAAGAAACCATTAAAGTATTTGTCGTTGGAAGAAGTGATACAATTGGTACGAGACGCATTCAATTCTGCTGGTGAAAGACATATTTACGTAGGTGATGGTTTGGAAATCTTGATTGTAACAAAAGATGGCGTTAGGACTGAATATTTCCCATTGAAGAGAGATTAGTGTTGAGGATTGATGAGGAGCAGTTTTTTTTACGTATGATATATATACAGATATATATATATATATATATATAAACATACGTGACTTATACAGGCAACTCAAATTTCTTTCCCTTCATGACTTTGGTGTAGTAAATGTAGAAAAAGTCCGAGTAAATGGCGGTCTGCAAAATACCCGCAAGGACAGAAACATAATCAAAATGGCCCTCAGCAAAGTATCTGTAGATCCAGTTTGGTATATACAAAGCGCGATAAATACCCAATGCGAAAATATAATGCGTAGTGATGTTTTCTGCTTCTCCTGTCCTTTGCAATATAAATAGTTGAGGCAAGATTGCAACCGCTTCTAACCATAAACTGAAACTCCACACAACTTCACCAAATGTATACTTGTGGGTGAAAATTAAACTAGCGACAGCTGCGCCACCTACTAAATAACGAACGGGAAAAGTATCAACATGATTTTGAATAGTTTTTTGGTACTTGTAAACCATAACGTACACAGTGTATATCGAACTGGCAATGAAAACAATCTTCAACAATGTGTTGTAAAGGGAGTAGTATTTGGTAAACAAGTCAAGGTACCTAGTGACAAAGACAATAACGTATAACGCTTGGGTCTTTAAGGAAAGACCGTTAATTGATCTATTTGATTCAATTGCATACAAGAGTATGAATCGACTTGCTAGATGCGAAAGATCACCAAAGAACCTAAAGATATTCATGTTGGAGGTAATGTAAATTAGTCAACTGCTTCCAGAATTCAATCCAAACTGTTTTTCTTTTTGATTGTAGTTGAATTGATTTTTATTTTTTATTTTTTATTATTTATTTTTTATTTTCAACACGTCAATAGAGTTAAAAAAAAATCTATATGCAGGTTGTAAAGTCAATCGTTTTGGTGATCAAGACCTTATGTGAACAGCAATACAGCATCACTAGATAATGAATAGAGACAATGATTCAGCCACTTTGACATTTGTCACAATTCTATATGCTCTATATCTTCTTCAGAATCTTCATCGTCCTCAAATTGCTCAGTACCAATGACTGGGGCCACACTCACAGCTTCTATAGACCGCCACAACGAACCATCCAGATCAATTGACTCAATAAACTTTATAATTTTGTCTCCATTAAATTTGTCATTCGTCTGATAAGCTGGCGGTTCCGTATTGAAGCTTTTGAATTCACCGTTTCTGATGTACACCAAACTGGGGAAATTACTAACGCCAAACTGTGGCAATAATTCAGCATGGTTTAGATCATCCCCATGATAGACGTAAAAGTCGATATCTTCATACGTGTTTGAGATCCGTTGGATGTAATGCGATGGATAATGATAGTCCTGCCAATCGATCAAATGGCTCATTATGAAAATCACCAACTTGTCTTTGCTGTTCTCAAGCAACTCCTTGGGATTCTCAATATTCTTGACTTCTGATTTAAAATTTTCATAATTGGGCGTTAATGTCGTTTTAGATCCAATGTAATCAATCAATGAATGTAAATCTCGTTTACCCTCATACTCTAAAATCTCCTTTGATGGGTAATGTAAAAGTTTCAAAGTGGGATAGTGTCGTATACCGAAAAGTTTGCTTAGCTTCTTGTTAACTCTAGCGTTTGTCTTTAAGATTTGAAACCCCGTTGCTTCACTATCTTCATTGTACAAAGTACATAAATTTTCAAAAACTGGGTTGAATAATTGACAATACTTGCATGAGTCGGAATAAAAATAGATTAGGGAGTATGTTGTCTTTTCCAACGTCAATTTTATTGCAGAATCATTGAACTCCTTTATATAATCTGATGGTGTATGTTTTGAGTATGTAAATGAAAAAAAGGAAACCAACCATAGTAGTAACGCTATTTGAACATTCTTCATATTGCTTCAATAGTTTCAAATTTCCATTTCACGTGTAACAAGAAAAGACCAATTTTTAGTTAGCAAAATTAACAGTTCTTGCGTTCGTAAAATGATAACCAAAAAATTGGACTCGAATGCGAAAGAAGCTTCAATGTTACTGGAGAACAAGGATGATGGAAAGTAAATTACGACAAAGACGAAGAATAGAATAGAAAGAATTTTTTTAATTCGCCTATAAGCCGCACACAAGTCCCGATTTGGATTAAACAGCCAGACTTCAAATTTTAGTTTTTCTTTTTTGTGTAATAATGCGACAATCTCACCAGCCATGTTCCTACCCATGCATTAGAAAAGAAAGCCATTATGAAAGCCCAAAACTATCTCAATAAGGTATTACCAGCCAGGAATACTTCTTCAGAAACGACACCTCCAATGCATTGTTACAGCAAGTAAAATTTTGGTTCCATACCCTGGGGAATATTATAAATAGCTGGCTATGTTTCTGACTTGCAAATGTTGAATGCTGTTGCTGTTTTGCGAAACAACCATCAAATCATAGAATAACAATACCAAATGAAAGGAGTAATCACGTTGAGTGCATTAATTGCAGTAGCCGCTGCTGCCTCAGATGTTTTAACCATTAGGTCAACCACAATTTCATCATCTTGCTCATCGTCTTCATCGGACTTGCCAGTTTTACCCTCATCAGCACTTTCAGGCGGTTACTACGGCAACAGTTCTATTGCCGAAGTGAATGCAGCACCTGCTACATCTAGTTCCTTGTCATCAACAACTACAAAATCGAGAAAGGTTTCATACGCGTACCAAACCGCATATGCCTCCGAAGCTGTTGATATCACTCGTACAGTTTGTGACTCGAATGGACAATGCCATGTTACTACTGATATCGGAAGATTGACTACCTATACAACTACAATCAATGGTATTTTAACTGTTGTAACTACAGGTGTCCCTGTTGAACCTACTGAAGTTAGCGCGACTGAACAATCGGAAGAAACATCATCTTGGTCTCAGTCTAATGCAGGTCAAGGAGCTACTGCCTCTCATTCCGAGGTTGAAGAAACTGCTACTAGTGAAACTGCTCAAAGTATATCCAAGGAAACAAACTCAGCCGTAGAATCAACTGTTCCTGTTACTTCCGAGACTTCGTCAGATGATGCTTCTCAATCTACCAAGTCTACTGCTTCAACCACCGCAGTTCCAGTTGAACCACATACTGAATATTTAACTACTTTGGTTACCATAACATCATGTTCTGAAAACAAGTGTTCTGAAGTTCCAAAGACAACTGGTGTCAAGATTATTAGCGATGTCGATACTGTATACACAACATACTGTCCATTGACTGAAGCTTCACAATCGTCAACTAAAACAGCTGATTCTTCTTCAGAAGCACAACAGCCATCTTCTGTGGCACCACAACCATCTTCTGTGGTACCACAACCATCTTCTGTGGTACCACAACCATCCTCCGCTGCACCAAAGCCATCCTCCGCTGCACCACAACCATCTTCTGCAGCATCACAACCATCCTCACCAGAACAATCCAAGCCACAGAGTACGTCCTCCGCTTCCAAGTCTAAATCACAAGCTACAGTCAATGTTATCACCGACAACATTGTCACAGAAACCCCAACCGCAGAACAACAACAAGCAACGTCCAAGGAGACTGTTGCAGTTGGTTCTAGCTCCTCAACCACGGAATCATATAGTATAAACACTTATGAAGGCGCTGCTGTCTCTATGGGAGCAACAGGGTTAGTCACCGTAGCTATTTCGGTATTAATGATGATGATATAGTAAAGTTAGATTTGAAATCATAATTGTATTAGTAAATAAAAAATTTTAATTTAATAATGTGTGGTACTGCTCTATACAATTTTCTAGTTACCTAAAAATCTTCCAAGGAATATTCGAGCTCAATTAAATCCTTCCAAATGTCATGAGCCAGACCTTTGATATTAATCTTTGTCGCAATATTCTTTTGCCTATCAAGATTCAATTTAGCAAACTCCTTGATTAAATTGTAGTCCAATATGGGCTTAGCATTAGTCTCATTATCTTGGACGCGTATAGCACCACCTAACCGATTCAATCTTGGATTCAACCCACAATAATGGTACTCTTTATCTGAAATTTGTTGCTGAACAATATACATTCTTCTGTAAGTCGATTCATTGATAGGGAATACGTTGAAGAATGCGCCATCTATAGTTGAACCAATAGTTTGGTAATTACCTGATTCACCTTTCGGTACCGAACGTAAACAAGTCGTTTGGCTGTTGGTTTCAAAGGATGCCTTGTTGATTAAAATTGTTCCATTGATCGATTTGGGGTCATCAGGATCGAACTGAATCAAATGCAACCCATTGTTCACGTCGGCCACCAAAATGAAAATCTCTTCGTCCTTGACGATGAAATCGGCGCATTCAACATGGAGATGCTGTCTATCTTTCCCTAGCATAACCATGCGGAAAGGGTCTGCTTCGAATCCAACAAGCCAAATACTCTTCAAGGGATCACCCAAAATTAAAAGGTTTCCAAAGCTTTTTGCCTCTGATACATAAACAGGGGTGTCCAAGAACGCCACTGGAACTACTCCATCATCTTCCAAGTCTCTAACAATCACTTTTTGACCTTGACCAACTAAGAATCTACCACTCAAATCACATATACTGGTCACTGCTCCTCTAGTATCTTCTTGGAACACTTCTTTGAACTTGTGATTGGTCTCTGGTTTACCAGGTTCAGGTATGATATCAATAATATTGTATATCTTAAAAGAACCGTTAGCAGCGAGATCTTCCATTCGCAATTTACTTATACCAATGACAACGTATTCTTTTTTAGTCTTGAACTTTTTCAATGATGAGCCTACATCAAGAACCATGGATTTGATAGTCATGCCAACCTCGTTATCTTGTAGCTCCACTGTATCAATGACCTTCCAATTGTAAGTAGAAACCAACTTTATTGATCCTTTAAACGATGTAGCAGGTGGTTTGTCTTTCATGACACCAGCAATCGGTTTACCTTCTTCGTCAACACAGTCATAAGGTATTTCTTTGAAGGTGGAAATAATAACCGTATCAGACTGTTCGTGATATGTTATAGATTTGATCAGTTCACCAATGTGGATCCTCCGTATGGGCAAGTTGAATTCGTAGTTATAATCCAATGATAGCTCACATATTCGAGCATTCTGATTATTGTCAAGAAAAATTAATCCGTTTTTAATTTTAGAATCAGAAAATGCCGATATAGATACAGCTGGAATTTTGGAAAACTGGTATATTCGGGGAATGGAATGACAGGACTTGATTATAAGATAAGGGATCACGCCTGTTACAAAAATGCTTGTGTATCCATTCAAGTTTGGGAAATACACCAATCTTCTTTCCACCATGGTACCCAAATTGAATGCATTCTCAGGGGCACCAGTGATTTTCAAGTCTTTTTCCTTTTTGAACAAATAGTTTTCACCGTCATAGAATAGCTTGTACATTAGCACCTCACCACCAATAGTTAGAATCGTCAAGTACTCTTCCCTGTGGTCTTTATCTCCCAACTCATTCAACATTATTTGCTTAATGAAGGGATCTGGTGGCGATTGTTCAATATCAAAGAAATTTAGTTGAAGTACGTCGCTAAACTTGCTTATATTATCCAACTGGTAACACCTCCCATTATGGTGACGATTGAACGCTACAACTCTGTTGTCACCAGTGACCAAGACAAAGATTTTTTGTTTCGTTGACTTTGGTGGCTCAAGATTGATTGGCGTTGCTGATTGAACTGAGCTATGGCGTCTCTTTTTCGAGTTGGTTAATAGCTCTATGTTTTTCAGCACAGCGTTTAATAAATGAGAGCTGGTAATGTAACCGGTTGTGATAATTGTATCTTCCAATAGCTTTGGAATTTCAACCTTTGAATACGACTCGTTATAAGTGTTGATTGAGAAAACCATTACATCACCACTGGCGAGGAATATCATCAACAATTCATCACGCAATGTACTACTCAAAATTTCATCATCTTTAATTTCATCTGTAAGGGATAGTCTTTTTTTGAATTTAGTATCAAATAGAATGATTTGTTTTGGTGTAATTTGCAAAATGTATTTACCGTTGTTCAATTCGTGAACATTGATTGTCGTCTCATTGTTGACGAAATCCTTTGACTTCATTCTTTTGTATGACTTTTCGATTTGAAAAATTTCCGACTTTTCATTTTTGTCGTCGGACGTGATTAAATACTTTTGGTTCAAATTCCACATACGATTGACTTGGGAGAACGTCAACGACGAGGATATCTGAGGCTGAATGGTGGGGGCAATGACATTGAGCGTGGATTGATCGTGAGAGCCAGAGTTGCTAATGATTGAGACTTCATTGTAATTTGGATTCGGTAAGTTTGATTTGTATTTTTCTTTTGAGCATAATCCAAGAGTGAATGAGGACACGGGACTGTTATTTACAAGCGTGTCATGTGATTTAAATTCAATATGTGAATTTCTCATTATTTTTTGCCCTTCTTCCTCTTCGTCCTCTTTGTATAGATCATCTTCGTCTGAATCTTCTTCTTGTTGTTCTTCTTTTTCCTCTTTTTCAACTACATTTGAAGAGCTCGTGTACTTGACCTCTACCAATGGACTGTCACCGTTATGGTTAGCAAAGAAGAGTAAGTTCCTATCCAAGACAGCAACCTCTCCAGGGTATGTTAGCTTAACAGAATCATACACTTTCGAGTCTACCAGTTCAAGATGGATCCTCTTTATTGACTTACCATCAAGCTCGAAATTCAAAAAGTAGAATTGGCCAGTTGCTAGTACAAGCAACACACGATGATCTTCTGGTATGGGCATGACAAGACAGTTTTCCAACTTTAAATTCAATTCACTTTCATCTTGGTAGCTTTTCACCGAAGCTGTGATGACCGATGTGAAGGAGTTGACCGATATCCTTTTGGCAATACCTCCGTTATCGACATGGATAATTTCGTTACATCCAATCAATAGACAACCGTTCAAAGGTTTCGGTAACGGTATTATCCTATCAATGTCGTAAGGCAAATTGTCAATATCGAATACAGACAACGTAGACTTTGATTGAAGATCCAAAGTCATAACTTGAAACTGTACGTTATCCTTGTTCTTGGTCAAGTTTCCCGCCCAGGCATTAGACTTGGTTGACAATATAGCAATCGTTGGCTCCCGGTAATTGTGTAAGAACTGCACGTCAACAACGGTATCAATTGAGGAATCAAGAACACTCGAGTCTATAATAAAACTGGAATCATAAAATGCACTCTTCTCGTACGACCCATTGTTGTTTTCCTCTACGTCATTATTTTTCTCATCTTCGTCAATATCATCGTTATCTGAGTCATCCTCATCCTCATCATCCACTCCCTCAAATGGTAAAAAACAGAGAAGGTTCTTGTATCGAAGACATGAAACTGAGCTGTAGGTTGGTTCAACTATCAAATCTGAAATTGCCAACTTCTCAAATGTTGAATGCTGAATGCAGTTTTCGTAATAGTGTAATGAAACAGTAGAGATACTGTGTAATTGATGGTCCCATTTGATTATTGAAAACTTGGCATATTTTGTTGATACAATCACATAGTCTAGATGCGGACATTCAGAAGTTCGTAATGGTTTCAATCCCGTTACCGTTCCTTGTAGTTTAAACTGCTCAACTAATTTCAATTGGTATTGGGGCTTATTTGGAGTCGACTGTTTTAAAAGTATAACCTCGAATATCTGAAGTAATGAGCCTTTTGCAACAACCAAATGCTTATCGGAGGGAGATATGAAGTTACACCCAATACAACAACTTATCCTGGAAGGATCTAGAAACTCCTGGTACGCGTCCATTCTGTTACACTGTTGAGGTTGGTATTATTGTTTTGTATTTTTGGATTTTAATTTTTTTTTTCAACGAACTAATTTTTCTTCCCGAAACCGAAACCATTGAGAAACAACAACATGAAGCGTGTAAATCAGCAAGGGTCTCAAGGAAATGTCAAACCCAAACCAGTAAAGAAAACCGTTTCATTTAACCAAGATGTCACTGGGGAAACTGTGACTGATGATAGCGCAAAGCCTACATCGACAAAGCAAGTGTCGGTGGTTCCACAACTTACAAGCAGTCTCATCGCGATACCTATTCACAACATCCTCATTCTCTGGGGGTTATTTCACTATGGAATAACAAAGAATGTTGATGGGATCATGCTTAGAGGGTTCCTTACAAGTTTACCAATTCAGGCTGCTTACAATTTTATACTAGCAAAAAATACAGTGAGGAAATCTAAACACACCAACGTTCCACTATTAGTTGTGTCCAGTGTGCTCGTGAGTATAGTTTTAGCCGTACCATTATTCACAGCTATAATACTATTGGGAGCACCTGTTTTCATGTTCTCGTTCAAAACAGCATGCTTGGCATTGCATTTGTCACAATTAGTGTTTAGCCCATTGATTGTGCTATACTCCTTGGATTTCCAACATTTTAAGCTTTTGTTCAACCAAGACCATATATATTATACAATATTTGGACACCCGGTACTTTCGCAAGTTTTGTTGACATTAGGTGGTTGTTGGTTGGGGGTCATCCCAATACCGTTGGACTGGGATCGGCCATGGCAACAATGGCCTATCACATTGTTGGTAGGTGCGTACCTTGGAGGAATAGTTGGCAGCGTTATCTCACTAGTAGTTAGCACGTGGGTTAGAAAGTAGGTGAGTATTGCCGAGAGAAACTGAACACTATGTTGTGGTGTGGTAGTTTTACACTTGATTCATGTGCTTGAATTATAATATGTGATCTCGTATTTGATATGACATAGGAAGATGTGATAATGAATAATGAGGTGAGAATACACGTATATTGTGCTACAAAAGTTAGCATTGCTGAGGATTATACAGGTTATATATCCCAGTTAATAGTGCTATGTTGTGACGGTTGGGGAATATAGATATGTATCAATTGGCCACAAGTGTGCTTCAATATACTAATTGACCAACATGAAAAGCAAGCACACATACAAAAGAGTATTTATATTAATATTTAATCATAAGAATAGAGTTAATCATTGAAGTATGAAGCCTTTGCTTTGAGTATTTCCTTCCAGCCATTTCATCATTTTTATTGAATTTCCGCTCCTTACCATACAGTTCATTTCTTCTCATCAGCTAAACGGTCATCTATATGACTTTCGTTTAAGGCTGTTACATGGCCTAGTTCTGCAGTTGAACTATTCTCCTGAGATAACTGGGCAATTACTTGTGACTGCACTGCATGCAAGTCTTCTGGATGAGACTCCTGCCATTCATATAACTTGTGCGACTGTCCTGTACAATCCCAGTAGATGCCTCTTGCTGTGTGATACAATGTTGCTCTTCCTTCCCAAATAGGATATACAATGACTTGGAACACGGTGTAGAATATCCAAATAAAGAAAACAATCACCCAGCCTGTGAAGAATCTCTTTGAGAAAATATACTTGCTGGCGTATAATGGGATAGGGAAAAGTATAACCAAACATAAGGACAAAACCACACACACGATAGCTGTTGTCTTGAAAGCTTTGTGCAACCGCTCCTGCTCGTGCCTATATTTGTCACGTTTGTTTTCTGCCAAGCAACTAGCAATAACTGATAAATCTGACTTTACAGGATTCAATTTCTCATCGTCACGGTATTTTTTACCAGTAGCTGCTAATAACTCTTCTGTTTCATCCACCCTGGTGATTCGTGTCTCCAATAACTTCCAGTCAAAGTTTTGTGGTTTGAAAATTATGGTAAATAATGGAACTGTAATCAAGGGGAAAAGTAAAGACACAATGTTGCCCGTCAACATAGCATCATCCTCAAACAAGTTGTCATAGGTGATTGATTTGAATTTGGTTTTGCAAACAACTAACCACGACATAATTGCCATGGTAGCAGCAATGGGAGGGGAGAAAGTAGCAGCTTGCCAGTTTTGCTTTGACGACAAGATCGTCATTGCCGAACCTAACACCGCGCCACCTGCAAGAATTCCCATCAATTCATACAAGAACCCCATTGAAACATTAGCATAGTAAAGTCCAATTGAAATTCCAGCCATAAGATAAGCAAACACACCGCAACTGACATGCGAAATGAATATCAACTTTTTACCATTTGCATCAGGCTTGATATAAGTTCGATAAATATCGTATGTAGCAATTGTTGACACAGAAATTAATTCCGATGACATGGCACTGGTGCATGCCATATAAGTCACAATTAAACTAAGCACCGCACCCGTCTTACCTAATAAAGCTGAAGCCGTGTTTGGTAATACCAAGCCAGCTGCCACTTCCTGTGGGGTCATAGGTCTTCCTAATGGCCAATGGTCTGTTCGTTCAAGGGCTAAGCCAGCTAAACCCATAGTCAACGAACAAAATGCTGGAATTGGAAGCCACGCTAATGAGCCCAATATGTATCCTTTATAAGCGGAAGCTGGATCAGCAGCAAATGCCTTGTTGTAGTAACCATTATCCAAAAACACATTTCCAAACCCACCAACGATGGTAATCACAAAAAAGATTCCACCTGATCGAGAATTAATTGTCAAGTACGAGCCTTCATGGTTTCCAGCTACGGGATACTCTTCCCCAGCTTTAGTCACCAAGTCCCAAACAACACCAGGCGATCCCAAAACAGGACTTGTAGCCCAAGTGCTGAAACCAAAAACCAAAATAATAATAAGCAACACAACAGTGTGAGCAAAATCCGTTAAAATGGTAGCTTTGATACCACCAAATACTGAGTACACAGTGGGAGAAAGACCAATCAATAAGCAGGAGGCCACTGGGTTCATACCAGTTAAATCACGAACAGTAGCTGCACCACCAGTGATTAACATTATTGTGACCATAACATTAGTGGCTAAACCCCAAATGATATAAACAATATGGGCAGGTGCTCCATATCTTGCTCTGATAATTTCCATATAAGTTCTTGCCAGAGGTGCTCTCTCTTTGGCTTTAATTGCCAATGTCGCAAACAAAGTGATTTGAGCAGTGGCACCAAATGCATACCCGCATGATCCGAAAACTCCATTCTTGTATGTTTGGGTCGTAGATGTTAATAAAGTTGCTGCCCATGTCCAAGATGAAACAACTGCGGAACTAATCAATCCGGATTTAACTGATCTTCCTGCAGTTGCAAACTCTTCAGCCGTGATAATTTCTTTATTGTATCTTCTTAATAAGTAAGTGGTAAGCATCATTCCCACTGCGAATAAGCCGCCTAAGCCAACAAGAACAGCATAACCTGCGCTCTGTGGTAATGGAATGTAGTCTGTATCTGCCATGGTGAGCACTATAAGTGAAGTCAATTGAGTAAAGGTTACCCCTCAATTCAACAAGGTCCACTAATTGGGAAGTTGAAAATATGAGATTATAGCTGAATCAGGTCCAACTTTTGGTTCGTTGCCGTTGGATAATTGCTTCTCTATATATCCTGGTGTCGTCTTTGTCTTGATTATAGCTGCAAACTTAATTGGCAGATAGAAGCTTCTCCACACTGCCTTGTTTGTTGACTCTAGATCAGAAAGTGGACCTGGTCTTCCGTCTCTTTACCTTTTGTGGCACATCTTCTTTGCTAGTAGGTAAGGGATTAGAAAAATAATGTAACATGATAATCGAGCTTGGCTTTAAGTGTGGAGGTCAGTGGGGCGGCAGAATAATAAAAGTTGCAAACGAAAAAGCTTAAAAAAGGGCATGTACGAGAGGTAACGCTTTGAATAGCAGCCCACTCTGTGCAACGTCTCCCTGGAACAAAAATACATAATAGGAAGGCATTATTAGTCCAAAATAACAAAGCTGCTTTTGACATAATGTTTGCAAGAAGTATTTGAATTATGCTTAGTCGCTGATCATACAATAGAGGCGAAATAAAGTTGCGAAAATAAAGTTGTGAAAATAAAGTATGCCTTAGAATTGAATCCAACTCAAAATTAACCCCAAAAAAGTTTCATTTAGGAGCTCGCTTAACGAAAATTTTATCCTAAACGTAGTGAGATTGATTGCCGCAAGTTTGTTTTACATTTAGGAGTAGTATGTAGGTAAATACATGATGAGAATAAGCTTAATATTTAAATAATTATCTGTCGTATTTTGATTGGAAATCAATACAAATAATTGGAAAGTTGAATTGAAACAGAAAGTAGAATAATCTGCAAATATTAGAGTCAATGCAATTGAGCTAAGTTACCATTTAAAAGTTCACTTGTGTAAGCTGCTTACCAAATGGATTTAGACCACTGTACAAAGTATTCAAAAAATTGCGTTTGAAGTTATTTGCAACAGGGTCCATACGAATACCATTGAGAAAGATACTTGTAGCAGTGTTTGTTGCAGTATATTTTCACATGACATCACATACAACAGATTGGTGTCATACATAGAACAATGTATGACACCACAATTGTCCTTATCTTTCTTTACAAATCTATACACGGAGATTGGCTCTTTGAGTTTTGCGAGCAATTCTTAAACCGGATATTGGGAATTGCACGGCACGACTTTTAATTACTCGAGTATAAATAACGTCTTTAAGCAATGATACTACAACATTAACAGCATCACGATGAAAGCAATCATTCTTGTTATAATTTTTATAGCCCTCGCTGTCTCACTTCAAGCAGCTTTTGATGTTGCAACAGCACATACCCTCAAACAATACCCGTCCTACACTCTTTTCACTAGGTCAATAGCTTCCTTGGGAATAGAATCCCCATATATAGGACAGTATGCAGGGTACTTTAAATGTGATCTTACTCAACAAAACATATTCTACTGGTTTTTTGAAAGCAGATCTAATCCGGCTACTGACCCTTTGATTTTATGGTTAACTGGTGGGCCCGGTTGCTCGTCAAGTTACGGATTGTTTTTTGAATTGGGGCCCAGTTCAATCAATACCGAAGTCAAGCCGGTCCATAATCCTTGGTCGTGGAATTCAAATGCTTCTGTTATATTTTTGGACCAACCTACTTACACGGGGTTTTCATATGGAGGCATACCGGCACTAAACACCGATACTGCAACTCAACTGATATACATGTTTATTGAGTTTTTCCTTGACCGTTTTCCCCAGTTTAGGAAGGTCAAATTTCACATTGCTGGCGAGTCGTATAGTGGACATTACATCCCCAACTTGGTATCTACTTTCAAACGGAATCTGAGAACAATTACATTCAATCTCACCTCTGTGCTCATAGGGAACGGGATTATAGACCCATTGACACAAATTGGTGCATATAGGCCTATGGCTTGTGGTGAAGGTGGGTACAAGAAACTTCTCAATTCAAGTGAATGTCAATACATGGAGGAAAAGTATCAAGTGTTCAAAAAGATTGACGAGTTGTGCTACAAGTATGGTGAGGTTTCGTCATGTGTATATGCTAGAAGGTTGGGCAAGGAAGTGGGCGCACCGTTTTCTCGACTTGGTCTCAACCCGTATGATATTCGCAAAGAATGTGTGGCCAACACCTCTGATTGCTATGTTGAATCCCAACCAATTGACCAATACTTGAACCTTGCAAATGTGAAACAAGCACTCGGCGTGCCTGAAGCAACTGAGTTCCAAATGTGTAAAGATTCTGTTGCATTTCCATTTGAAGTTTATGGAGACAACATGCGACCATCACAACAATACCTTCAAAATTTATTAGAGGATGATATTCCAGTGCTCATTTATTCTGGCGACAAGGATTTTGTTTGCAGTTGGGTCGGTTTATTACAGGTTTGTGATAAGCTAAACTATAAACAATTTGAGCAACAACAGTTGCGTCCTTGGCGGACAAAGAGTGGCGGCGCCATTGCTGGAGAAGTGAAAAATTATGACAAATTGACGTTTGTGAGAGTCTATGATGCTGGACACATGGTTCCCTTTGACCAACCTGAAGCAAGTCTTGATTTGGTTAATCGTTGGATCAATGGCGATTTAGCCTTTGAGTAGCAGGTCCGGTGTAGTCCCTTTTCATAGCTTGGATTTATTCAACACTGAGATTAAATTCAGGTACACTTGTAGACTAGCTCCATAGCTCAACTCGTAGCCCATTCCACCAGCGCCATAATTGTTGATCACAGTGTGTCCATCATGAAATTCGACAGATGTGTTTAGGCCGCCGATTCTTGCTGGCCGCAAACCAACATTGACTCGTTCGATATCAAAATAGGATTTATCTCCACCACGTTTTCTTAAATCGGGGAAATACTTGTTACCCAAGTTGATCAAGTGATGGGTGTCTTCTTGCCTAATACCAAGATGGGTGTCATTTTTTTGCTTAGTCCCGCCAAGTATAACGCCACCATTTAAAGGACGAGGAATAATAAAAATCCAAGATCCATCAGCAAGTTGATAGGTTACTGTTTTGTCCAATTTGAACGATCTTGGTGGTTTAATTAATAATGTTTGTCCTCGGATTGGAAAACATTGTGAATCGTATCCTCCGTTATATTGTAGACCCATTCCTGAACAATTAATAATTATTGGTGACTTGAACATAGTGGTAACTTGCTTTAAGTTATCCAATTTTTGATGAATAAATTTGACATTTTGTTGGAAAACCAATTTGCGATAGAGGTACTGCAAGTACACAACAGTGTTGACCACCCATGTATCGTACTTGAATCCAGTAAACCCTTGCTGGTCATTCAAGGTTGCAAAGTTGTTCATCTCCTCGCTGTATCCGTATTGTACCTTCTTGTATAAATCATTGGGAGACTGTAAATACTCAACTCCGTCAACAAATTGAATCGAACTTTCAGGGTTGGCAACAGCAACCTCAGCAAAGTATCTCAATGTCTCTCTCGTCATCTTCATTTCTTTCTTATCCTGCTCATTAGCACTGGGGAATGGACGAAAATGGGCACCTGCCCATGGGGATGTATATTCATGACAATTTGACATAGAGGTGTTCAATCGTGGGTCATGGGGCCCATATTCTCCAATAATGTATATCTCGTGTTCATCGATCAAGTTTTCGCTCACTGTAAGGGCAGCTGTGAGGCCAAGGACACCAGCTCCAACAATAACTATCTGTAGTGGCATAGCCTGAGAAACGAGCAGTTGTTTGCGACTAAGGGAAAATGTGTGTGGGGGGGGCTACACTGTAGGAACTTGTGTTATCGGAATAACTGTTTCAAAACTTTCAATGCTGAATCTGTTGCAAAATCAGATGATTCTAAAAATCTTTGGAACTCCGAAATAAAACCCAGTGGGGGCGGAAGTATAAAAAAAGACAAAAGAAGGTAAATAATAATCCTTAAAACCGACGGTTAGTACACGACTTTCACGACTTTTATGACTTTTATTTTACAGCCAAATATCTATTCCATTTTAACAAAGTCAGAAGTCACTCATTGTAGTTTCAGCTTGAGGGGAAGAGGTGGTATCCAATCTTGTCTAATTATACAATTCAATACTCGGGACCCTTACATATAGCAAGGCTGTTTAAAACAAAAAATAAAATATCTCCTTCTATAGCATTCTTTTTAGAACTGAGTAATTACGACATTATATCTAGATCTAAATTACTCATCATTAATTTACAGAATCTAATCACGTAGTATTACACAAGCGAATTTATAGTTAATAGGAATTGAATTGTAAGCAAAGGTTAGAAGAATTGTATACATTACATAATCCCCCTTTTTTCTTTCATCTCCTCTGATGCTCTTTTTCTTCTTATCGTGTGTGTGTGTGTGTGTGTGATTCTTTGTTTTTGCTTCTTTGAGTATTAATTGCATTAGCATTAGCATTAGCATCTGCCTTTGCATTTGGTTTTGGTTTTAGTTTTGTTCTGTTTGTTCTGTTTGTCTTTTTTTGGCATTCAATTGACAAAGCAATTTTAAGAATCTAGAATCATTTGTTTGTTCCTCTCTAATTATTAATTACAATACAGTACAATACAGTTATATCAAAACCAAATCACTTCCCCAATCACGTTATATATATATATATATCAGTTAACATTTCCTACTTTTAATTTCAATTGAATTGTTTACTTGCTTTTACTTTCTTTCTATAACTTCATATTAACACTTATATTAACTCACAACACACATTTTATTTATTTTATTTCGTAAAAAAGAATGGCTGGTCAACAATTCCCAACAGACGTCAAACCAAAGTACGTCCCATACGACAATGAACACTCAGAGATTTTGAAGGCAGGTGCTCCAAAACCACTTAATTTGCAAGAGGAATTGAAGGATGGAACCGTCATCATCACTGCTATTCCAGGTGCTTTCACGCCAACTTGTTCCCTTAAACACATTCCTGATTACATCAAGAATGTTGAACAATTTAAAAAGCATGGTGTCAAGAAAGTCATTGTCTTAGCTGTAAATGACCCATTCGTTTTGTCTGCTTTTGGAAAAGCAGTTGGCTACAAGGATGAAGAAAACTTTGTCGTCTTTGCTACTGACCCAGAGGGTAAAATTTCGAGTCAATTGGGTGATGACTACGTCTTGGACTTGAGCAGTGCTGGTTTGGGTAAGAGATTGCAAAGATACGCTGTTATTGTCAAGAATGGTGAAGTTGTTTACTTGGCTAACGAGGATGGTGGTGATTTCACTGACATTTCCAGCGCTGAAACTTTGCTTAAGAAGTTGTAAACGTAAATAGGCATAATTATTTAATGACACACATGAAAAAGGTCAACTTTAAACCATTCGAATGTAGTTGGATCTTGAAAAGTGTAGAAGTAATAGTAGTAGTAGTAAAAAACGAAGGCTCTCTCCAATTTTTGTTGAAAGAAAAAAGAAAACAAAATGATTTTGCGTTCACATTTAAGCGCATTCGTTGTTTACACTTTGCAGAAGCCTTTACAATCAACACTTTAAACACATGTCATCTGCATTTCCCAGATTGCCAAGGTATAGTGGTGATACCGATGACGAACATTCGATTCATTTGAAACGTACAATTGGAAAATCAAACCCTATAAGATCACCAAGGAAAGCATCAGATTATAATGGGTATCGAAATGTCGATACAGATGGGATAGACCACCAACTACATCATCGAAATGGAACTAAAATACTTGATATAGATCAGGAGATATCAATGACGTTGAATGGTGTACAAGAAGATATTGATGAGGAGGAGTTGAATGACTCGTATTTGAAGTTTGTCAATAACCAGTATGACAATGATTATGTCGAAGACGAGGATGAAGATTATATATTAAGTGATGGTGACACTTACAATGAGTCGTTTAATGATGATGAAAGCGAGGATTTGGAGTACTTGGATTATAAAAGAAGATTATCTGACGAAGTACCGGAATATTCCCATCGACTTGAATCACCGCGGTTGTCAAAGACAATCGATCACGACGAACAACAAGATAGGGATACCATGGATGATAATACGTTAACACAAAAACTTAGAAGCTTTCTGTGGAAATCTGCCCTTATTTTTGTAATATCATATGCGACAGTAATTATAGTAATTGCAATTATGATGTTGAATAAAAGTTCCAAATCAAATCCTAGTCCTGAAGTAAACCTCACCGATGTGAGTACTAGAATAGATGGTTTTGACCAGTCATTACAAGAGCTTCAACGACAAACTGAAATTAAATTAGAACAAATAAGCTCAAATATTGAAACGTTGGCTCTCAAGTCTGCGCCCGCAGGTGATAGTGAAAAATTGGTGTATTTAAAACATGGCCAAGTTCAAGTATCCCCCCAGTTTCACAAATTTTTGTACCACTTTCTTGATTCATATAGTCAAACCTTCTTTGATGATAGAGTAAAGGAACTCCAACCGGACAAGAAACTAGATAATGTGGATGAATTGAAGGAGTATGTCGACAATGCCATTTCAAACTCCATCGAGTCGATAACATCTCAAGTTGAATTCAATGTGGACAAGATCCTTGATGGACTCAATATTGTCAATGATACAATCACAACTGATCCCAGACTGCGCAACACTCCTTCTACACTAAATAAAGTATGGATAAACTCGATGCTTGAGTTTATATCAAAAGGATCAAAACTAGTAAACTATGCTGACTATAACCAGGGATCCAGAATACTTGGATTTTTAACTTCAGATTTGGATAAACACAACTTGCTTCAGAAAATGTGGTACGGCTGGGTAATATTTGCAAAAAATCTTCAAAACCCAAACAATGCAATTCATGTCCTTCTTGACGATGATATCTTTTGGCAAGGAGGCGACGAAATAGGTATACGGTTAAGTACATCTATAATTCCCACCGATATCTTGATTCAGTTGGAAAATAAAGATGAGAGTCCAGTGCAAGCATCAATTGGCTTCAAACCGTATACTAAAGCCGGATTCGAGAAATTGAAATTCCCCAAAGTTGAAGATTCCCTTGACCATAATATAAATGCATGTAAATTTAAATTCATCAAAACAAGTCAAATACGGCTGGGGATCAATCATATTAAAATGCCAATTCGATTCGTCAATTATCAAATCCCAGGTAAAGATATTTATTTTAAATTTTCGAAAGATGTGAAAATCACCAATATAAAAGTGTATGGCATAAGTGATATAAATGCAGTTCAGTTGCAAGACAGGTTTAAATTGTTGGTTGATGAGTTCAATGTTGATGATACTGTGGGTTTAAGTGATAAAGAGCCCGTAGTTCATGACGACAGGCTGAGTCGTCAGAAAGTTGACGTTAGGGAAGAAATGAAAGTGTATGATATAAATGATGATATATATTTGTAAAAACTAAGTAGGGTATCTTTTTTTCAATAAATTTTGTATTAATATGAAAGTTTCCAAGAGCACAGTTTTGAAATCTTAGCCAACGAGCTAACGGTCAGAGCTTCTACAACGGTCGAATTAAGAACCGAAAATGTTTATTCTAAGCACTTGTAAAAAAAAAAAATAACCGAAAGGTTTCTCTCAAAAATAACAACAAAAAGATAGTAATAACGAAGCCAATTTTTTTTAGCACATATGCACCAGCATCGAAAAGGCCACTTCAGAATTGAATATCAAACCAAATAAAAATATTGTTTTATCTTTTTTTTTTTCCCTTTTCTTTGGGGGAGGTAGAACCTAAGACACATGTTAACCTCGTCGTGTCGGTATGTGTTGGCCTAGATCAATACTGCACCTATAGCCAAAAGGCATCCAAATATTGATAGCTCATTGTATGATCCATCATTGGATAACGTTGTGAGTTCCATAGTTATTTCCCGAGCTTCCACATTGGAATCCGAAACAGGCAAAATAGTAAAAGTACCTGATTCACTGGATGGTGTGGTGAATGTGTCCCAGGTGGTGGTGTCATCCGACCCTGTAGTCCATGTGTCCCAGGTGGTGGTGTCATCCGATCCTGTAGTCCATGTGTCCCAGGTGGTGGTGTCATCCGACCCTGTAGTCCATGTGTCCCAGGTGGTGGTATCGCTTGGTGTTATGGTGATTCCTGTTGGTATTCCAGAAAGATCAGTTGAAGATTTAGAACCGGAAGGATCACCATTGGAAAGATGTGTCGATGGGATTTCTGGAGGATCAAGGGTTATTGTTGTTTCATCGGGTGGGATTTCTCCTGTACCAGTCTGGCCAGAATCAGTTGGGAACGAGACAGTAGGGATTTCGGGTGGGTCAAGAGTTATTGTTTCATCTGGTATAGGACAATATGTAGTGAATGTAGTATCGAATTCTGTGACTGTAGTGACTCCAGTGGTGATTTCAACAGGAGTACAAACATAGTCGGAACACGAAGTAATGGTGATGGTAGTTGTTTCAATTTCGGTTTCTGTGGTCTCAATTGGTGGATGTGGAACTGAAACCGAAGATGATGGTGGAGGAGGTGGTGGTGGTGGGAAATGATCAGTAATGGTTGTTGTAACAATAGGGCACCAAGTCGTATACGTAGTCCAATGATCAGTGATGGTGGTAACGCCCGTGGTAACTGGTTTGGTAGTGCAAACATCGTAGTGGCATTCGGTGATTGTAACAACTGTTGTTTCTGGTACAGTTACTGTTTCTATAGGCAATGGACACCACGTAGTGTATGTGGTTTCAATCTCAGTAATCGTAGTGACACCAGTAGTAACTGGCTTAGTGGTACAAACATCATGTGTACATTCGGTGATTGTAACAACTGTTGTTTCTGGAACGGTAACTGTTTCAGTTGGGATTGGGCACCATGTGGTGTATGTGGTTTCAGTTTCAGTTATAGTGGTCACACCGGTAGTGATGGTAGTTGGATAGCACTCGTGGTGGTGACAAGTAGTAGTAGTTATTTCTGTAGTTGTAATAGTGGTTGTTGACTCTTCTGGTGGTCTAGATGGGTGTGAGTGTGAAGACCACAGTGAGTGGTGGTCATTGGAAGTTTCGGTACCAGATGGAGCCAGTGAGTCACTAAATGAAACGGTAGGAAGCGAAATAATCGGTGCTGAACTCACTGACACGGAAATTGGCGAAGGCCATGATACTGGTGTAGTCGAATCAGTTGAAATTGGCGAAGGCCATGATACTGGTGTAGTCGAATCAGTTGAAATGGGCGAGGGTAACGACACTGGTGGAATCGAGTCAGTTGAAATTGGTGAGGGTAACGACACTGGTGGAATCGAGTCGGTTGAAATTGGCGAGGGTAACGACACTGGTGGAATCGAGTCGGTTGAAATTGGCGAGGGTAACGACACTGGTGGAATCGAGTCGGTTGAAATTGGCGAGGGTAACGACACTGGTGGAATCGAGTCAGTTGAAATTGGAGATGGCAATGATACTGGTGGAATTGAACTGGTGGTAGTTCCTGGTGGCAAGTCAATGGAAAATGTTGTAGAGCTAGATGTAGTATCACGGCGTCTGATAGCAAAAGAGGAGCTGACCACAACCAAGGTGGAATAAGCGACAATATTTGATAACCGCATTGTTTCAAACACAATAGTTCTTGAGCTTTAATATGGCAAGAAAAAAATCCATTCCGAGCATTGATATTCGCCTATTGATGGCAAACGTGCCTGATATTTATAATATTTCCAAAATATGTGACGTAAACCATTTCCACAGCTGTTGATTCTTTCGCTTCTGTTAAGCCCTAAGACGTAGCACCCACAAGCACACATTCACCCTCGTATTCACACTAACACGGGTCATGCAAAGGGATATCACTGTTTGTTCCAAATAAAACTCATGATCATAACATTAGCCAAGAACAGTTTTCTCAAACGTATTGTTTATATCTTTAACCCCATATAAGAAGAACATATTTTAATGAACCGTGGGTTTGTTTATAGATTTTAAAAATAGTTTTGTTTACACGCCGAAAAACAAGACGAGAAAATAATATACTGGAGAAGGGTGCAACAAAAGAATAAGTATGCAAGGGTTCTAGATTCTTCGTTGTGGTGATTCTAAATAGTGTCTAAATTTAGCCAAGAGGAACATTAAACAAACAAAGGATATACGCTGTGGATGTACCTCCTTCTGGCTCTCCCAAGTCCTTGATCAAAAAATAAACCATAACAAACAAACAAAAGTTTGAAACAAACATTGAATTTTATGCAATGATTTAGACTAACAACATCTACCGCTCTATCTTCTAAACTAAGCCACTATCACCGCAAGGTTAGTTTAACAACGGCGGTCCATTTGCAAAGGAGTAAGGAAAGGCTTTAAAAACGTGCGCCAACGCCTAAAAACGGATTTAAGAAACCACACACAAAGCCAAGACAAAATACGGGAAGAGATTATGTTTCTAAAATTTGCACCCATAAATACATTATCGGCAACAAGTGGCTTTTGTCGGACATCTTCATTTTCATCCACATACACTGACTACTTTCTAATCCATTTCAGACTTATAGTAGACCTTAGAGTTTAACACTTTTAAAAGCAGAAGTAATAACACAACTACGAAATTTTTCACAATGATTACCGAAAAAAAAGGTTTTGGAACCCTTTTTAAAATTAATAACCGAAAGCCTATACCTAAAGTAATAAAAAAAAGATTAAAATATCTTCCAGCGGATATAAATAAAAATCACAAAATATTGTAGAAAAAATTGAAAGCATCTCTTTTCTGGGGGTGTTTTGGGTTATGCTACCGATGGCCAACCTCAAAATAACACTAAGCTATTCAACAAAACAAACCACTCACTTTTTTAAAGTTGAATATCTGATGTGTGAGGTGGAAGGTATTTTGCGGGGTCTCATTTTTTCGCGCCTTTGTAAACCGTTTTTGAAAGTTAACTTGTCGAATTACCGAAAAAGACACATTTAACATAGCAAATATAGTTATGCCAATGAAATGATAAGAAAGTGTAAAATAGATTTCAAACTAGTTATTTTAAAACAAAGCAGCACCTAGAGCCAATAATCCAGCCATAAATGAAATCGACTTGACTGCGCCAATAGCTTCAGATATTTCTGAGATGGTTGGTGAAGGAGGATTCTGTTCAGCTGGGGAAGAAGATTCAGCAGCAACAGTAGTTGGTTGCTCAGGAGTAGGTTGCTCAGGAGTAGGTTGCTCAGGAGTAGGTTGCTCAGGAGTAGGTTGCTCAGGGGTAGGTTGCTCAGGAGTAGGTTGCTCAGGAGTAGGTTTCTCAGGAGTAGGTTTCTCAGGAGTAGGTTGCTCAGGAGTTGTTAATGGGCAGTAGGTGGTGTATGTAGTTTCAACATTGGTAACGGTAGTTACACCAGTAGTAATTGGAACTGCAGTACACGTTTTCTCATCGCATGATGTGATGATGATGATTGTAGTCTCTATTTCAGTTTCAGTTTCAGTTTCAATTGAGCCTGGACCGCCACTAGAAGGGTGTGGTTGTTCAGTTGGAGCTTCAGTGGTTGGTAATGGACACCACGTAGTGTATGTGGTTTCAATCTCAGTAATCGTAGTGACACCAGTAGTAACTGGCTTAGTGGTACAAACATCATGCGTACATTCGGTGATTGTAACAACTGTTGTTTCTGGAACGGTAACTGTTTCAGTTGGGATTGGGCACCATGTGGTGTATGTGGTTTCATGTTCTGTAATTGTGGTCACACCGGTAGTGATGGTAGTTGGATAGCACTCGTGGTGGTGACAAGTAGTAGTAGTTATTTCTGTAGTTGTAATAGTGGTTGTTGACTCTTCTGGTGGCCATGAATGAGTTGGATGTGAGTGTGATGGCCATGAGTGTGATGGCCATGAATGTGATGGCCAAGTGTGTGATGGCCACGAATGTGATGGCCATGAATGTGATGGCCAAGTGTGGGATGGCCACGAATGAGTTGGGTGTGAGTGTGATGGCCATGAGTGTGATGGCCATGAATGTGATGGCCATGAGTGTGATGGCCATGAATGAGTTGGGTGTGAGTGGGATGGCCACGAATGTGATGGCCATGAATGAGTTGGGTGTGAGTGGGATGGCCACGAATGTGATGGCCAAGTGTGGGATGGCCATGAATGTGATGGCCAAGTGTGGGATGGCCACGAATGAGTTGGGTGTGAGTGTGATGGCCATGAATGTGATGGCCATGAATGTGATGGCCAAGTGTGTGATGGCCATGAATGTGATGGCCATGAATGTGATGGCCATGAATGAGTTGGGTGTGAAACGGTTGGCAACGAGTTATGGAAACCAGCTGGAGCTACACTATTAGAAGCAGTAGCTGAATCACCAACCGAAGCAACTGGATCGGAATCACTAAACAAAGCGGCTGGAGCCGAAACAATGGGAATTGCACTCAGCACGTCAGAAATTGGCGAGGGCAATGAAACAGATGGAACCACTTCACTAGTGGTAATGGGAGATGGCAAAGAAACTGCTGGGGCCAAGCCACTAGTAAGGGGTGTTGCCAAAGAAACTGGTGGAACAGGGCTAGTTGTGGTCGGGCCTTCTTGTGGCACATCACCCAACAACGCTGACCCAACAGAACTTTCTTCACGAGGTCTAATAACGAAGGAATAGCAAACCACAACGAAGGTGGAATAAACGATAGTATTCGATAACCGCATTATTTGAAATAGAATTGCCCTTAGGTTTTAATTGGATAAAAAAGGAACCATTCCAAGCCTTGATATTTGCTCCTGGTTGGTAAAAAGCCCTGATATTTATAATCTTTTTAAAATATGGCATTTAAATCATTTCCACGGGTGTTAAGTCTTGTTTCCCGTTAAATCCTTACAAACCACACACTTGAAATCTGCACCCACAAACAGTCACAGCAGCACATTTCACTAGAGGGGTATTAGCGTCTTGTGCATAAAATTCTAGGGATCAGCAGTATGAAGCCAAGACTATTTGCAAACGTATTTCTAAGCTCTATGGCCCTTCTATTAACAAGATACCCTTTGGTTGGTTGTTTATAATAAAATAAATATATCCTTTGTTTATTTAGGGAGGAGAAAGTAAACAAAAGATTCTGATTTTACACGTTTTAGATGAAACTGTGATAAAAAAAAACGTTCTAGCATAGACGAAAATCATTACACAAGGGTTCTAGAAACTAAAATTTTGGCTAATTTAAACCAAGATTCCAACACACATAGAATTGCTGAGTTCTTTAGTGCTATAATTTACAGTAGTATGTCATTACCACACTAATTGGAAGCAAAAAGATTGGCAGACATTAAGGGACTGCTGCTATAAAGGAAATAAAGTAAGCTAATCCCGTACACTAAATTATAAACGAATATGTAGTATAAAACTTTTAAGACAAGGAATAAATTGAGAATAGGAGAGCATCCTTTCTGGTATACAAACCAAAATAGTGTTCGAGATTAGCTGCTACTCTCAACAAACGTGCGATACTGAAGGTTTACTTCTACATATACCCGGGGACTTGAACAACAACTATAATGATGGGAACCCACAAACAATAAGGGAGTATAAGCAAATGTTTAGCCTTTTAACCTAGGCTGCTTTTAGATCAACCCTTGAGCCACAAAAATAGCAGAAGTAAACCTGAAACTAACCCTTTCACAACAACACAGTAAATCCCCTGAGGCTACCTAGGCCGAATAAAGGTTTTTAAAACTAATCTGCAACCCATGCCTAGAAGTAAAAAAAAGGGTTCAAAATTGAATAGCACAAAATCGGAACTCACACAAAAAACAGCAAGACAAGAAAAAAAATCTATTTTTCTTCGCACGAGTTGCACCCAGGCATTACTTAATAGCAAAAAAAGAATCGTTTTGCATTCATCGAGTAGTTTTCTATGCAGATGTTTTGCTATTTAAAGTAACTTCCAAAATAGCCAATTTTCTTCCGAAAAGAGCATAAGCGTTCTCCATAAGTCTCTACAACTACAACATTACATTTATAATTTATTACCGAAAAAAAAAAGAATGAATAAACATTTTGAATTAAATAACAGAAACTTATACCGAAAGTATTTGTATGTAAAAAATAAAAAGTTAAGTGAAATATTGTCCAGTGATTATAATAATAATAATAATTAGCAAATTTTAAAATAATTGAAAGCGTCTCTTACTTTGGAAGGTGAAGCACCAAAGTATTGTCATGATTACTTTAATCTACCACTTTTCATCGTAGCAAGACAAAAGTGTGAAAGTGAGTGGTAATTGTTTAATTATCACTTCCTCTCCTCTAAAACTAACATTTTCCGATTACCGAAAGAAAAAAATAAACTTTAATATAGCAAGATTGGATGTGCAAAAGCCAATTGAAAGTAAGGTGTAAACTAATAGACTTAGATCAAAGCAGCACCCAAAGCCAACAATCCAGCCAAGTAGGAGGCAGACTTGATAGTACCAGCAGCTTCAGAGACTGCAGAAACAGCTGGAGCTGATGATGATGAAGCTTGAGCTGGAGTTGATGATTCAGCAGCAACAGTAGTTTGTGTGGTTGGTTGACCGGTAGATGCTTGAGCTGGAGTTGATGATTCAGCAGCAACAGTAGATTTCGTGGTTGGTTGTTCACCACCTGGTTGTTGAGTAGTTGGTTGAGCAGTGGTTGGTTGTTCAGTGGTTGGTTGTTCAGTGGTTGGTTGAGCAGTGGTTGGTTGAGCAGTGGTTGGTTGAGCAGTGGTTGGTTGTTCAGTAGTTGGTTGTTCAGTAGTTGGTTGTTCAGTGGTTGGAAGTGGGCAGTAGGTAGTGTATGTAGTTTCAACATTGGTAACGGTAGTTACACCAGTAGTGATTGGAACTTCAGTACACTTGTTTTCTTCACATGAAGTGATGGTGATGATTGTAGTCTCTATTTCAGTTTCAGTCTCAGTACCTGGAGCACCGCCAGATGAGGTTGGCTTCTCAGTTGGCTTTTCAGTGGTTGGCAATGGGCAGTAGGTAGTGTAAGTGGTTTCAACCTCAGTGACAGTAGTTACACCAGTAGTGATTGGGGTACCACTGACTGTAATAACAGTAGTTCCGACACCACCACCACCACTAGAAGTGGAGTTTGAGTATTCAGCGAAAGCGGTACCAGCGGCAGCAGATAAAATAGCGACTTTGGAGTATTGCATTGTAAAGATTAGGCGAAGCGAATGTAAATTGATCGGTAGAGAAGAAAGAAGAGATGAAGTGGGCTTAATGCTTTTGGAAAGCTGAGGTGGTATTTATAATCTTGTTGAGTTAGTAATTTTTTGCGAAAGGGGGGAGGAAGAAGGTGATATTCTAATCCGCATAAAAATTTAATCCAAAACCGAAGGATTTATTGCAATTCTTGTTATCTTTGTGATATCTTCATTTTGTTGTGTGCTCTTTTGTTGCTGTATAATACGTAATGCGCAATAATGCGGAGTGAGGATTAATGTAAGATTCACAAGGAAAGGAAAGTTATTGCACTGTTTTACTAGGGAGGGGCTCTTTAATGCAGTCTTATTGTTTACTTAAAGGAAAGAGCCTCCAATTAAAACTAAAAGAGAAGAAGAACAATAGAAAGGGATTGGTCATTACAGTGTAATGGAACAATAATTCGTAGAATATCAGCTTTTATTCCATTTGTATACAAACTGTACTGCATGTAGATTTATACTCTATTATTGCACAAGCAAGTGATAAATTAAACAATTTGTGAGGGTGGTGTACTGTATGTAAAGTGATTTAAGAGAGAGAGATTGCGTAAACAAAATGAAAAAAAAAATTTTCTTAGCGCAGAAAAAGAAATTTGCTTTTTGTTGTTGTTGCTTTCTTTTTTTTTACTTTGTTAGAGATTTTGTGTTGTGTAGGGGGAGGGCTGCAATTCGGCTTAACTTTAGAAGATACAGTGCTATACATTACTTGACAACGTACCAACCAAAATATAAACATAAACAGTGCGAAAGATACTAAATATAGAAACTCAAATCTAATCACAAGAAAAGAATTGCGCAGAAGAAATTGAAATTGTACATTCCCTGCGTGACAAAATATAAGGGGAAGTAAAAGTGGTGACGTATGTCTTCGAGTTAGATGGTACGAGGATCTTCTTCTGCTGCAGTAGTTGTGGTAATCTGACACCATATCATAGACGTTTTCGAACAGGGGCAATTTCTTGGAGCATGACCAACATTGAACACTAATTAAATTGGCTAACTACCTTATTCTTTGTAAATGGCGTAGATCTAAATATCTAAGATAGCTTAGGACATGACATCCTTCAAAATTGAAAATTGTAGATCTGTACACAAAACAGTTTAGATCTGCCTTTAAGCAAAGCGGAGCATTTGACTGTTGTCCTTGTTTTAGGGTACTGCTTATGCTCAGGTGTTAATATTATTCAGTTAAGGATTGTATAAGCATTTACACTTTGCGAGAATGCATTAGCCAAAGGTAATCATTTTGTCAGCTTGTTTTGTGTATTGTCTCGTTTTAGATTGCGCCAAGAGTGCGACATAAGGAAACAATATAATTTTTGCCAGATTTTGCAACCGTCATATTTATGTCGAAACAAAGACAAGGTTGGTTCTTCTCTTGACACAAATAGGCTTTGAAGAGTTTATTGTGTAAAATTAAATTGATAAGTTTTCCTTCACCATCCTCTACAAATCAGTAAACAGTGAATTTGTAAAACGAAAATCTATTGAACTAAAATAAAAACAGAAAATTTATACAGCAATATTACATGTATAAAATAAATAAAATAATTTGTCCAGTGGGTTATTAAATGAGGAATTGCAAAATTTAAAAAACTCAGCAGCTTTCTTTTTCTACGAGGACTTAAGGAGCTCCAATTGTCAAACGACACCAAACAACTTTCAAGCCACTCAACTTTTCTTATAGTAGCATAGCAACTGAAAAATAAGTGATAATTGTGTTTGTTGTCAACTCTTTCAGGCCTCCCTGAAAAATTATTCTCCTCCTCTAAAGCCTAAATTGTCCGATTACCGAATTAAGAAAATGTAAAATTATAGCAAATGTAGCAAATGTAGCAAAAATATTAGTTACAACATAGAAATGGTTGAAATATCAAAAACTTGTTTATTAAATGAATTAGACCAAAGCAGCACCCATAGCCAATAATCCAGCAACAAATGGGACAGATTTGGCAGCACCTGCAGCTTCAGAAGCGACTGAAACTGTTGGAGAAGAGCCCCCTTGAGCTGGAGAAGTTGATTCATGAGCAACGGTAGTTTTGGTACCTGAGGCTCCACCTACGGGTGTAGATGAAATTGAAGTACCAACATTACCTGAAGTGGTTTGGAAGCCTGGAGCTTCACCGCTTGGTTTAGTAGTGGTGGTTGGAGCACCTGAGTTTCCACCGGCTGGTTTAGATGGACCTGGGGCTGGGGCTTCACCAGCTGGGGCAGTAGTAGTTGGCTTTCCTGGAGCTGTTCCTTCTGGGGTGGTTGACAATGGGCAGTAAGTGGTGTAAGTGGTTTCAAGTTCAGTGACAGTAGTTACACCAGTGACAATAGTGGAGTTACCAAGGACAATGGTAGTAGTGTGATTTTCTTCTGGAGTTGAACTTGAGTTGGCGTACGTAGCTACAGCAGTACTGGTGGCTGCAGATAAGATGGCGATTTTGGAGAATTGCATTGTTGTAATTAAATAGTAGTAGTTTAAGCGAGTGTGAATTGAGTGGTAAAGAAAAGAAGAAACGGGAAAAGGTTTAAAAGCTAAGAAATTATTGGGAAGTTGAGGTAGTATTTATAAATTTTGACTCGACTCTGGGAAGTCCTTGACACTGTGTGAAGAAATGAAAAGAGGAAAGATTGTAGCTTAATCAGGATGAAAGTTTAACCTGAAACACAGTTTTTGTTGTTACAAATCTCAAACGATTAGCGGTGTAAGAGTTCTCTAAAAATATGTGGCATAGAAATAAAGTGAGAGTTACCGATGAAGACTGAAAAACAGTGACATTGTTCTTGTAGAGCCACAGTCAAAACCAAAACAATAGTTGACTCATACTACAACAAAAACATACAACAAGTGAAGAGAGAGATAATTCAACTAACTACAGGTATGGTGAACATGTATTGTGGATTGAGGTTGCCATTGCGCCATCTAGAAAAACATATGCCACTGAGTATATGTGTGGTGCGATTGCGATTGCGAAAAAAATATGACACTACTAACTCAAAAATCAACCACAATTTTCTTTTGTGTTGAGTGCTACAATGCCGCCTAAACCAAATACATAGAAATATTAAATGCAGATCCTTCAACGATGGCTTACAACCACTTGACAGAAAACAAATATGAACGATAAAGAAACTGCGTAAATACTAAATATAGATTCTCAACCCGGATCCGAAACATGGCGTCGCATAAACTTAGCTTAGATATGATATCGGCCAATATCAAAACTGTTGGTTGCCGCGAAGAAAACTAAAAGTAAAACCAAGTGCAACGTAAGTATCGGCAAATGTAGCCATAACATAGGCTTATTAGCTTTTCCCTTTGGGGTACAATGCCTTGTGTCAGAACATCTGTAACTATTGCTACTGCCTTCTTATTTTAACCTGCAATGGCCTAATCTGATTACTCATGGATCTACATTCTAGGATAGAAGAGAAGGGAAGACGAGCCATGTTCCTTCCGAGGAAGATTGGTTCGGCTATTCCGGGTTGAGAAGTGCTAATCAATCTCTTTCCGCCATCTATTGTTAATAGCCAAAAGATGGGCATTCAACTTGGGAAGGAAGAAAGAATGAACCCCTGTTGCTATTTTCATTGTGTTTGTGTGTAAAAAAGCTGAACACACACTGCAGATCATATAATGATGTCAAAACAATAAACAATTTGTGTAGATAACAACACACAAAGTGCAAACCACTTTTGAAGTTAAGTACACGACTTTGGTAATAACAGGAATTAAGGAAAGGAAAAGGAGGAAACAATCGGTGACACAAAAGAAAAGTAATAAGGTAGTGTCTTCTGAACCAATTTCAGGAGGAGAAGAGAGGTAAAAGGTTTGTAGCCAGAATGTTGCTGTGAATTAATATTTACTCCCCAACACCACAACTGAGTCTTTCTGCAACAGATTAATCTCTTTTTGATAATCCAGATGTAAAGCTCTGAATTATGGCTTGGTGGGATTTTAGCAATCGTTCTCCTTGTTAAGCTGGGCTTAGTAAATTACTCAAGTACAGTTTGTGCCACTGCTCGCTTCGTTAACGACAAAAGAAAGCACCACCACAGTTTTTTTCTGATTTTTGTGTTCAAGTAAGTAAATGATCAGCCAATTGTGTGTGTTTTTATTTTTGCAGTATAACGTATATGCCTATTCAGAACACAAGACTATCAGCATCCATTACTATTATCATCGAAACGTGGTTTGAAATTGAAAAAGAAATACCAAAACAATCAACACCTCGAGGAATTTCCATTTTGGTACATGTGATTGCCTAGTTTAAACAGACTATAGGAGTTATTTTCTATTTTCAAATGTTTACTTTTTTCTCCAAGAGCTATTTTATTCGTTGAGAAAAGAACAAAGGAAAGGGATTAAAAGCAAATAAATTCCTCCCTAAAGCCACCCTCTTTTTCCCATATTAAGAAAACATGCTTCTTCGCAAGAGTAAAAAAAAGAAACCCACATAAACTACAAAATGGTTGTAAAAGTGTAACAAAAGCCACACACACACACACACATAATTAAGGAAAAGGAGAGGGAAAATTCCAAGGAATTCTATGCCAGATCTTTTGTCAAATAGTAAAGCCAAGCCACTACTACTACTACTACTACTACTACCCGAAAGTGAAGCAAAGTTTGTGTGATACTGTCCTGTCATACTACTTTCTTTTCAAAAATCCTCTCCTGTAGTCCCTTCTACGGTAAGAGAAAGGTTCTGTTGTATATCAGCACGTGGGTGCAAATTTCTACTAACCATTAAAAAAGGATAGATAAAGCAGAAGTGAGCAATAGAAGATTTGCGTGTTTGCAGATTGGTATATGCTGTCGGAACAAGAGAACAACTGTGTGCAATAGCCTTTTACTAGCTTTTGAAATGGACGGAGAGATGAACTCAAGGTACACTCCCCTTCTTGCCAAACGTTTGGTTTAGCGGTCATGCTCAATAGGGGAACTTGTCTTGTTTGATTATTTCCAAGTTTGCCAATGCTGTGCTAAATCTCGGGTGAATTATGCCTAGTATTTGTTTTGCAGACCTTTGCCCAAAGTTAAAGCATGTAGAAGATCATAATGTCAGAAATGTATGCTCTTTTTCTCAACTTCTACTGCAGATCCTTTGTATATGTTTCTATTTATGGGACTTCGCTACCATTCAACCTTCTTTTTCTCGTAAATGGTGAAAAGCAGTCCGTTTCGGGAAACTATCACCAGCTTGAGGTAAATAGCACTCGTCGTTTATTCCTCGACACTACAAAGAATCAATCTACCATTGGGTCTGGTCTTTCTTCTAATAGAGAAATAGCTCTACACACTAGCAATTTTATCAAACTTGTCATTTTGAATATTCTAATTATGTATCAGCTAAAACACACTGTCCAATAAGCCGTCGAATCCAAAAGGCTCATATGGTACACCGCCACCTTCAAAGTACTTGGACATACTCTCCACCCAGTGCAATCTCAAAGAATGCAACATTGCTGAAGTTCCTTCCATAACCACCAAAATACACACAGTCAAGACGAACCACATGGCAAATAGGAACACGACAGCAATGACACCAAACACTCCAGTAGGACCAAAGGCCTTGCTGATGGTCATCGACCACAACACGGTCGATAATTGAGCATGGGCTAATGACAATGCCCATAATCTCAAGTAGGAAGCAGTGTGCGATACACAGTTAAGACAGAATTCAATAGTGTGAATCACTTGATGAATCATGATGTCTCCAAATGAATGCTCCTCATGCTCTTCGCCATCTTCGTCCTCTTCTTCATATGTGGAGCCGTTAGAACCTCCTGTCTCTTCGTCATTAGGCAATGCCGAGTATTGTGCATTCTGCTTAGCTTCTCTGTCCAATTTTCTCTTCAAGAACAACGGTTTAACAAAAAGTAACCAAGGAACACAAATTAATGCAATAACAACTAGCCAAATTTGTATTGTTGGCTGACCAGGATAAAATGGCTCCTCGACATTTCCCGGAGACAAAAACATCGAAATCAACATATTCAATATTCCCGGTGGCTGATACTTTGACTCTGCCCAATTAACCGTCCATTTGTAAACAATAACCAACGACAAGTATCCAAAAATACCTTGCATAAACAATAAGCCAGGGATAAAGTTACCAACAATATCAATTAATGAATCAAAATAAATGTAGTTAGTAACCGAGAAAAAGTATGAATACGTCATATGGGCATATCCCATCAAGATTGACAACTTCATCTTGTACGAGTTGGAAAATAACAACGCATTTTCAGTACCATGCCATGCTGGATCCATACCAAAAATATAGGTTCCAACCTCCTTGGCGATCAAAGTATCGCCAATTTTGAAATTTTCTGGCCACTCCCAACCGCTCTTAAATAATGTCATTGATCTGGAAAACACATCATTGTAAATAAAACCCGTGTACATGGAGAAAACACCCATGAGCAACAAAATATAGCGGCCAGTATACGCCATGTCGAAAATTTCATCCTTTTTAACGCCACTCAACTTCTTTTCATTCAACACCAAAAATGCTGCCGCTAAAAACATGACAAACCCGTGACCCATGTCTCCAAACATAATAGCAAACATGAATGGGAATGTGATAATAGTAGGTAAACCAGGGTTAATTTCCTTGTAACGAGGGGTACCATATGCATCACAAATAGCCTGGAAAGCGTAGGTAAACTTGTTGGTACGTACATATGTTGGCGGAGTCCTATTTGTGGTCAAGACGTTGACTATGGAAGGAATCGATTGTGTTTGATCAAATTCTTTGACAGTTTCTGCAAGTTCTGGTATGGAATCGGTTGGAGTCCACCCTTCACCAAGCAACAATTTCCTGGCCCCGTCATAATCGCAACGATTCATTGTCTTGTACACTTGTTTCTCCCTGGCTATGATTTCCCACCATTTACCAAGATCTTGGCTAATAGCAATCAATTCAGAAGTCAATGCATTTTCCGACTCACTCAAAACAGTAGTCAAGTCCTCCAGTTTTGATTTAACTTCAGCTAACTGTTTAGACCTGGCCTCTTCAGTCTTTTCAACGTCATAAACTTCAGCATCCAAAGATTCGCAAACCTTGACAATTCTATCGTGGACAAGGGCACCATAGGAGAAAATGATAAATGTATTCTTTGCCACATATGCGTTATGTTTGGCGTCATAGATTTCTTCTTGTAACTCCTCACTGTGGTAGTACAAGTTTCCTCTCAAAATTCTCCACAAAATTTGCTGCAATATTCCTACTTTATCACGATTGATGACACCGGAAATGAATTGCGATGCTGATGCTGTAGTTGACGATAAACGCAGATCATCAAGTTCTGGGAGTAACGAGCGTTCGACAGCATCGCCACTTCCACCTAGTTGGTAATGGAAAAACTTATCCACAGCCAATATGGAAAACTTGAATTGCTTCAAGTAATTTTGATTCTTATACAAGGTCTCAACCGAATCTCTCAACTGGACAACCCTATCCTCCAACAACTGAGCACTCTCGACTAAATCGTCAATATCAGATTGCTGCGGTATGACAAACTCATAAGGATACAATTTTACCGAGATATCTCTGTAGTCCAATTCTTGCTTAAACAATCTGTATTGTCTTTCTGTATTGTCCAACTTTCTCAATTCGTTAACAAAAGACCTTTGGAACTCGTTGACTTTAAAGTTTAAATCTCTAAATTGGATTATATTCAATTGACCGATTTTATAGATTGTTTCTCTAGCCACTTCCGTGGGCACATAGATTTGCACAAGCGACATGTCCGCTGAGCGGAAAACCGCTTCTTCCTTTCCTGACATATTCCTAGAAAATAACAATTAAATATTATATAGTGCTAAGGAATGCAATGATTGATGGGTTGAAGTGCAGGTGGGCTGAGATTGATTGAATGGTTGGGTCCAAATATGAAATTATCGTTTTGCTCTCTCTCTCTCTCTCTCAATGCCCAATCTTCGATTTTCAGAGATTTGATTGATTGACTCAAAGAATATGGACATTGTGCACGACCTTATTTTTGAGAGCTGCGCTTGACGAGTTACAAGACTGAAGGAGAGTCTATGCAAGGTCTAGCAAATAATTGATATTATTATCTATCTAAAGTATAAAATCCTTGATTATAAATACGAACACGTCGTCTTTTCGGCTTATCAAATGCATATTTGATGGTCTTTCCAATTATTCCTTTCCGAGTTCTTCTTCAAGCTCCTCCTTGTTCACCTTATGAGCTGGCAATTTGGCAATATTAGAATCAGCATCTTCAGCTTCCTGAATAAGAGATTCCCCGTTGTCTTTGTATCCATGTTCTGCATTCCATGCCGTAACTTTCTCTTCCTCTGCTTTCAATTTATCATCATTGACTATTTCTTGCTCGGCTTCGTCCGAGTCTGGATTCACTGAAGTCTCCTCCTTCAATTCCGCCTTATCAACCTGATGTGCTGGTAGCTTGGAAATATTCTTATCGGAATCTTCGGCTTCTTGAAGCAAAGACTCTTTGGGGTCTTTAAAGCCGTGTCCAGTGTTCCATTCACTAACTTCTCTCTCTTCTTCTTGGAATTTAGCATCTACAGCTGGTGGTTTTTCTTCTTCATCGGCAGCAGAAGGCTCTTGCAAATCTTCTTTCAATTCAGCCTTGTCGACCTTGTGGGGAGGGAGCTTTGCAATTGAAGGGTCGACATCTTCTGCTTCTTGAATTAATGATTCTTCGTGCTTACTCATTGTGGATTAGTGTTATGTTTTGATTTATTGATGGTACTGGAAATCAGTAAATTAATTTAAAGTATTGACGTTGAATTGGACTATTTATATATATTTATACCCTTTTAAATTAATTTCTATTCTTTTCTATTCTAGAAGATAGGAGCAAAAGTTTGGCCTGATTGTAATTAAAAGTTGGAAATTTGTTGCACAAAACCGGTTATTTATAGCGGTTATTCCGGGGAAGGGCCGTATGGTTGTGGGATCTTAAACGTCGAGACCGGACCTAAATTTACGGGTCACAATGGTGGGTTGCATAAACTGTTAGAAGCCAAACAGCTCTGAATCTTATGGAACTAGTTCTCAGAAAGTGTTAACGGAGTTTAAATCGCCTGTGGTATTGAGCAATCATCCAGAAAGTAACAAAAAAAAGACAAAATTCACGCATTTTGACAGGCCAAGCTTTGTTCGCTTCCTTCAACTGGTAAAATGTTAGAAAACTGGCACTAACTGTAACTCAGTTGAAAATCGCAAGTTGATTATCTGGTAGTACGTATTGTTTTGGTCGTTATTTTTGTAATTTTCGTACTAATTTGTTAACAACGTATAAGCTTAGGAGAAATGGATCGTACGGAGTTCGGTTTATGAAATTTGTGTCCGACCCAGTAAACCCGTACTCATTTCGAAACTATGTGACCAGTCCAGTGCTTATGTCTCTTCTCTATTTAGTAGTTTATGATAGTATAGACTCTGGTAGCCAAGGCAAATAAAAACTTTGGTTAGATTATCGCTACCATTGAATTGCGCTTATATCATACTCTCTGCATAATACAGTGGGTTGCAACAACTGATTTTCCAAGCAATTTAAAGTTGATCATATTATTATTAAAACAAGAAATGGGGTTATGCATTACTGATATTCCAATTATAAACATCAGGATCACATGAATTATTTTAACAAAGTGTTTTTTGCATTTAAGTAGATCGAAAGGGATTGAAACGCAATTCGAAAGAGCCAAGAAAACAACATATTATAACAGACCAAACCGGAATCAAGCACATCAACTATGACGTTATGGACGTACTTATCCCTTTCGTTTCGTACACAAACCATTTCGCGAAAGATACGGTAACTGGTAGCACCCAGACTACACACAAAAATGATGTGATGATGTCATACCACCACCACAAGCAAAACCTAGGGTGCTACTTCAGCAGCAGCCAGAAAGTCTAGCATTATATTATAAATTTCAGTCAGCTCCATCTATATAATCTTCTATAATTAGCTCATTTATTTTTTCATAAGTAAAGAGAAGTAAAATAGGAATGTCACTGATTTTTTTCGCATTTCCTTTTATTTCCTTTCCCTTCTTCTTTCTTTTGTAACCAAATTGTCACGACAAAAAAAAAAAACAAAACGGTCTATTTTGTTGTAAACAATTATGTAATACAAAATAGACCCTCATTTATTGTTATTACTAAGAAGGATGTGTGATACGTACCACTAAAAGACATGTGAATATACATCTTTCATCAAAAACAAAACTCTGCATCTGTTCTTAAATGCAACCAACTTTTTCTCCCAAAGCATAAAGTTTAAACACTTGGAAATCAATGAGGAGTATATCCCAAACAATTTGCTAAGTAACACTTTCTATAATACACATCTGACCCACTACTTCGCAAGCCTAGCCTTCCATTAAGTATGTTTGCCAATATTAAGACAGCATTTGCACCAACATCCAAGCCAGAAAGAGCTCCTAGAGGTACCCAAATAAGAGGAGACTATAAGGATTTAATTCCCCGCGTTCAGAATGACATAAATATAACCACAGCCCAACTTGGCCAATACGAGAACAAGTCACTACTATGCAAGATAATTCAGTTGATGAAAAAGAATCATAAAGAACAGATTGAACAGGTGAAAAAGGAGCACGGTGGAACAGCCAAATACGATGCAAAACTATTTGACTTGTTAAAAGTTCAACTAGCTGAATTGGGCAATCTATTGGACATTTTCAAAAACAATTTTATCCACTCATTGTATGACAATCATGTTCTCGACTACAAGATGCAAAAGCTAGAGTCAAGTTCTGCTCCAAAGCTTTATTCGGCTTCTCCTAGATCCTCGGCGTCTTTACTTTCAATGGCCGAAGTGGATAATAATGTAATAGAAGAAGCCCCAGACTATTTGTTGGATCCAATTTCCTTTGAGATGTTGACTGACCCAGTGGTTACACCTAGTGGCATCACTTATGAACGAGAAGAAATAGTAAACCATATAAATACCAAAGGCAAATACGATCCCATCAGCAAACAACCATTAAGTAAAGATCAATTGTATCCAAACTTAATTATAAAAGATACTGTTGAGGCATATAAAATAGAACATAGTAAATAGATCTAGTATTAATGTTACGTAGCAATCTGTTGTGTTTTAATACGATAGGCTATTTTCAATTTCCGCTCGGTCTTTAATTTGCAATCATTGATCCTGCACATTGAAGAGTAAATTTTTTTTGTTTTTTTTCCTCGTCTCATTTCTTTTTTGATGAGAAGGGACTCGGTTATGCATCTTATAATAAACCAAATCAATTGCAGTATACCTAATACTACACCTAGCAAGCCCCTGATACAGGTGAGACAATCCCACAAGAATGAGAAATTTGGTAGTATTGAATAGGGGCCATATCAGCCCTGAATCGCAAACTTATCCAGACTTGCACATCATAGATAGTGTATACGATACAGTCTCCGATGCCATCACATTTGTACTATCTTCAGAGGAAAGCAAAATCATTGAAGTACAACAATTTCACAAGAATGGCAGTGTCTCTGTTCTTGCCAGCTTCCCAGTGAATTCACAGTTGTTAAACACTGTACACTTTGTTGATTCGGCACAATTGGTGTTTGTTTTCAGTAATGGTGATATCATCACTGCCAGCTACGACCCACAACAAACGAATGATTACGACCATACCATTATCGAAATAGTCGGAACAATTGATGTTGGGTTGAGAGCAGCCCAATGGTCTCATGACGAAGAGACTTTAGCTATGGTGACCAATGAAAATAAGTTGTTATTATTGTCAAGGGTGTTTGAGCCCATTACAGAAAAGTTATTAGACTCTAATGACATTAAAATCACCGACTCAAAGCATGTCTCAGTAGGTTGGGGAAAGAAAGAGACACAGTTCAAAGGTAAAGGTTTTAAAGCATTGGAAAGAGAAAAAGAAGCTTTGAAGCATGCAGGATTGGGCGAAAATGTAGCACAATTACGTGACCCCACCGTGAATGAAATTGAAAGAGGTACTGTTTCCGAATTTGATGATAATACAGTCAGAATCAGCTGGAGAGGCGACTCGGAATATTTCGCTGTAAATACCAAGGAGCCTGTTGTTGTTGAAGATACGAGTGAGATGTACGATCGAAGGGTGATTAGAGTTTTCAACAGAGAAGGTGAAATTGATAGTGTCAATGAAGCCGTTGATGGGTTGGAACAAAACCTTAGCTGGAAACCTCAGGGTGCGTTGATTGCATCTACTCAAAGACATATCGACGATGAGGATGGAGAGGAGGTTCTCGACTTGGTCTTTTACGAACGAAATGGACTTAGGCACGGCCAGTTTAACATTAGAGTTGATCCCCACGGAGAAGTAGTTCAGAACATTACATGGAGTTCAGATAGTGAAATACTATTAATCCAATTAAAGGATAGGATACAACTTTGGACTACAAAGAATTACCATTGGTACATGAAGCAGGAGCTTTTTGCCGAAGGTGTTTTGTTTACAAAGTTTCACCCTGAGAAGCCATCCAACTTCATGATTGGTACTAGCAACGGATTGCAAATAGTGGATCTAACTTACAAGATAGTCACTGGACCAACGAGGTTTGGCAATGATTTGGGTATGACCTTGGTGACGGATGGTTCAACGGCCAAAATTACACCACTTTCAGTTGCCAACGCTCCACCTCCAATGAGTTTGCGTGAGTGGGAGGTGCCAGGAAATATCAATGACCTTGCTGTTAGTAAATCAAATGAAAAGTATGTTGCATTATGCAGCAACAACGACATTTACCTCAGCGAGTTAACCATGGCCGATATAAGACAAGGTAAACATCCCAAAGTATTGAGCAAAATTGCCGCGGATGTGTACATTAACGAGTCAAATGAGGTGGCAAAGCAGATTGCTTTCATAAAGGACGATTTTGTGGCTGTAGCTATTGATGCACCAACTTATTCTCGTGTAGTATTGTTGGAGGTTGATGATATAAACAACCCAAAACTCAATGATTCAGTTGATGTTACGCCTAAATTAGTCTTGATGAAATCAAGAGCAGATTTCAACACTGTGATTATTGAGACTGTGGATAGCAGGCTTATTCAATTCGATTCGACACAAGATCTCAAGGACATATGTAAGCTTCCACAATTGTGTCGTGAGTTTGAAGTAAACTATACAGAAGAAACCGATGAGTTTGAGTGTTTTGGTTTATCACGAAATGGTAAGTTGTTCCGCAATGAAGCTCCAATCGTGAGTGGTGTTACATCGTTGTTAATTACTGAATCGCACTTGCTATTCACAACTGTGCTTTCCAAGTTGTGCTTTGTCCATTTGAATTCCAGTCACGAAAATTATGAAGTATTTCAGAATTTATCAAATGAAAATATCGTGGACGAGAGAATAAGGCAAATCGAGCGTGGATCTTTTTTGGTTAATGCAATGCCAACCAAGTACTCAGTTGTGTTAGAAGCTCCGAGGGGGAACCTTGAGACAATATGTCCTAGAATTATGGTATTGTCGGCTATCCGTAAATTCATCGCAGCAAGAGACTTCCACAGTGCATTCTTGGCATGTCGTACGCACAGAATTGATTTGGATATTTTGCACGATTACGATCCAAACTTGTTTTTCAACAATGTTGAACTTTTCATCAACCAAATTCAAAAAGTTGAGTATTTAGATTTATTTGTGTCATGCTTGCATGAAGAAGACGTGACCAAGACAAAATATAGGGAAACTTTGATCGATGCTGGTATTAATGAAGCTGAGATTAAACAGAATGGAGAAACCTTACAACCCGCATTCCGAAAAAAGTTCGCCAACAAGAAGGAGGAAGTGTTTAAAAGTTTCAAAGATTCAAAAGTTAACCGGATCTGTGAGGCAATTTTGTCTGTTTTGCTAAAGCTGGAGTACATGGACAATTACATGCAAACTATTTTGACTGTTTATGCGTGCGAAAAGCCTCCCAATTTGGTTGAAGCATTGACATTGATTGGTAGGTTGGGAGACGAGCAGCAGAAGGAAACGGCAATCACTCATTTGTGCTTCTTGCAAGATATAAACAAGCTTTACGATACATGCTTGGGCTTGTACGATGTCAAATTGACATTGTTGATTGCACAGCAATCTCAAATGGATCCAAAGGAGTACCTTCCATTCTTGCAAAACTTGCACACACAACCAGAGTTGCGTAGAAAGTTTTTGATTGATGATCACTTGAAACATTATGAATTGGCATTATACTGGCTACACGAGCTGGGTGAATCGGCTTTTGCTGAATTTGATGACTACGTTGTCAAACATGACTTGTACAAACTTGGATTAAAGATTTACGAGTACAACAATGAGAGAAGTAATGATATCATGTACTTGTTTGCTGAGCACTTGCAAAAGACGATCAACTTCAGCGAAGCTGGTTTAGCGTTTGAATACTTGGGCAAGTTGGATCAGTCATTGGAGAATTACATTTTAGCCAAGAAATGGAAATCAGCATTGTCAATCACCGAGAAGTCAGAATTTAAAGGAAAGGGTGAAAACACTGCCAATAACCTTGTCAATTCGTTGACTTCTGATCATAAATACAGTGATGCTGCTGAAATTGAATATCACTTTTTGGGAAATGTCTCAGAGGCAATCAAGTTGTACTGTAAACAGTATTGGTTTGATCAAGCTATTCTTCTCGCTGAAAAGGAGTCTCAGCCAGAACTAATTGGATCAGTCGTTGACGTACAAATTAATGAAGGTTTTGGAACAATTGCTGAGCTACTAGCTGACTGTAAAGGGCAAATGAATTCACAACTAAGACGGTTGAGGGAGTTGCGTACCAAAAAGGAAGAAGATCCGTACTCATTCTACGGTACCCCCGATGATTTAGATACACCAGATAATGTGTCAGTCGCTGCTTCAGAAACGTCAACTGCTCCATCATTTTTCACAAGGTATACAGGGAAAACCGCTGGTACTGCCAAAACCGGTGCATCTCGTCGAACTTCGAAAAATAAGAAGCGTGAAGAACGTAAGAAAGCCAAAGGAAGAAAAGGTACCATTTATGAAGAAGAATATTTGATAAGATCAGTCGGTCGTTTGTTGGAAAGGTTAGATCAAACACAACCAGACGCCACTAGACTAATTGATGGGTTAATCAGACGCAAAATGAAGGAGAAAGCATACCAGATTCAAAAGAACTGGTGCGAGTTGATTGTCTTCATCGAGGAGAATATTGATGAAATTCACAACATGAGTGAAAAAGACCGTGAGAGGGTTGATGACAATGGTGAAATTTACTTGATTGAAGAGATTCCTAAACCTAAAGTTAACCAGTTTCCAAAGTTTAGCATATTGGATTACTAGATGTACTTGTTTATATAGAGAGCAGATTATGTATTAATGAGTCAAGGGGATACACAATTCCTCACTGACTTTTTTCAGCTCATACCGAAAGTATAAACCGCGTAGGCCGATTATTGCATTCTTTATGCCATCAGTGACTGCCTCTTTCTTGCATTTCGAATAACACATGTATCTATGAGGAAGATTCGTTGCCGTGCCTTCACCTATCCCTTCAGTACACGTTCCCTCCTCCAAAGTTAAGCGTACTACACAAATGCACTTTGCCGAGTACCTTAAGCCATTATCCTTGCTGGTTTCTTCACAGTTAACAATCGCGTCATTAAACACATTGGGTGTACTCCTCTCCGAAGTTGAAGCACTCTGTATAGACGCGTTATCAATTGATTCACCATTTGCCTCCTCTTCCCCCCCTTGGCCACGAGAAACATTTGTCTCCAGAATGATACATTCCTCTATGGAAGTAGACCATCCATTAAATCCAAAAACTTCATTGGCCAACGCGTACAACGTGTGACCTGAGAATTTGTTAAAATTCCAATTTAGGCCACCGATATTCTTTGAATCTCTAGAATATTGCAACTGTTCAAGCTTTATTTGCAACAAGCTGATTTTTTTCAACACCGAGTCATCATATTCTTCGACTGAGTCACTGGTTGCTTGATCTTCTAAATCAGCTATTGTTGGAAAATAACTGACGGTTGATGGTAGGTTACGTGTCTCTTCGTTTATCTCATACTTTGAGTCTTCAAACGGCATCAAGACATTTGCCTTTACCGTGATGATGTTTGCAGTGTACGTGTGCGTGTCTGTCTCTCTTCTATGGTGGTTAGTGATTGGAATGTAGGTGTCTAAAATTATAATTAACGTGTCTCAAACTTCTATGCACACCAAAATTTTTTTTTCTTCTTCTATTCCTTCATTACACACCACCACCACCACCTTATTACACATCAACAATTGCATGGAGTACATTAACAACATCCTCGGGAGCCAGGCTCAGAGTCAGCTGGTAGAGGAAGCAATTCCCACGCTATGTAATCGATTGCAACATGCAACCATGATTTCAGATCGAAGATCAGCCGTTTTGGGCTTGAAAAGTTTCAGTAGACAATACCGAGAGACTGTTGTTGAGTATGGGTTGAAGCCTTTGATATCAACGCTAAAGAAAGACTACGATAATGTAAATATAGTCAAATCTATATTGGAAACGTTTCTCATTTTGTTCATCCGCGGCGAAAGTAATGAAGATTTAACGCGAGGGTGGATCTCGCAACAGCTGAGGTTGCAAAATGGAAAGTATCCCTCCCCGCTATTAATGCAAGATACAACTTTGGATCAGATGTCATTGTGGATTGCAGATGCCCTTTTGCAAGATCAGGAAGGTTTCAAATTATTAGTTGATGGGTTAGCCGAGACTGACTACCATTTAAGACTATACACTATACAGCTTTTGGAATCATTAGTGGCGAGTCGAGGTACAAGAACTAAGGAAGCCTTGTTAAACATACCCACTGCAATGTCCATAATATGCAATTTATTATCTGATATCCACGAACCAGTGCGTAATGAAGCAATTTTATTGTTAATGGCGGTAGTCAACAACAATTTCAATATTCAGAAACTAGTTGCATTCGAAAACACATTCGAAACGTTGTTTGAGATAATCGATGAAGAAGGTGGAATACGTGGATCCATCCTTGTTCAAGATTGTTTAACCTTGATCACGAATCTTTTGCAATTCAATGCATCGAATCAAAAATTTTTCTTGGAGACTCAGTGTGTTCCTAGGCTAGCGAGATTATTAGGCGAGCCGCTTGAGGAAACAGACGAGCTGCATGATCTCGATGAAAATGATGTACCCATTGCTCCACCTCCAATGGTGTGGACCGAACAAAGGTTGCAGAATATGATAATCGCTTTGGAAATATGTCGGCTATTGGTTTCTGAAGACAATGAGTTGGTTGTGCAGAATCAAGATAATTTGTACCAAAATGGTATTCACTACATTCTTTTGAAGCATGTGTTTTCGCCCCTCACTGAGACTCTGATTCGCTCAGTTGCATTGTTAACTACTGCCGATGCTATCAGTGGGAACCCTACAATTCAATTTGAAATCTCAAAAATTGACGTACCGTATGTGGATCCATCTTTACCTTCACATCTCCAGGCATACGATAAGCCTATTCTGGTCCCCTTATCCTGGCTTGATTGGTGTTTATTCCTCAATTCGGTACACTTGTTTGATATTAGAATCAGTGCTGCGTTTTGTTTACAATCTTACTTTCATGACAATCAGGAATCAAAAATGGCATTTTTGAATGACCAGATAGCAGCATACACCGATGAAGACTTTTATAGGAATTCCAAAGAGGATTTACCACAAATGAATGGGAGCAGTGTTGCTACACCTTTTGGAAATGTGTTCAAGGTGTTAATGGACTATGATGCGGATCTAAAATTGAACCCGTACAAAGTATGGTATGCGGCAGTCATATTGATGTATGCTTTTGAAGACGAACCTGAGAACAAGGATGTTGCGAGGGCTTTGAAAACTGGAGACGAGGAAGCCGGAGAGGAGGTTATGACTTCCGTGCAGGCAATTTCGGGCTTACTTATCACCACATTGAATGATATGGATCAAAGAATTGCTGTGGGGTATTTGATGCTTCTCACTGTTTGGCTCTATGAAGATTTCAATGCTGTAAATGACTTTTTGAAGGACGAATCAATTGTGCGATCGTTGTTGAACTTTTTGTCTCACAATTCATCGGGTGAAAGATTGCTTGTTCATGGAATGGCTGCTGTATTACTTGGAGTGGTATATGAGTTTTCCTCAAAGGAATCACCCATTCCTAGAAAAGATTTACATGCTTTGCTTGTCAAGAGCTTGGGTAGAGACAATTACTCCCTAAAGGTAAAGCAGTTGCTTGCAGATCCTACATTCAAGTTCTTTGATGAGACACTGAACTTTACATCTATCCAAGATGAAAGTGGTTTACCCGACGTTTATTTTGACTCAATTTATGTCAATTTGGTGAAAGAGAATTCGTTCCGCATAAAGAGAGCCTTATTTCATGATCCCGAGGGTGAGCCGAGACGCAAAATCTCCTACGAGGATATCGAGGAACTCGACTTGAGAATATCTGAACTCAAGAAAGAAATTCACGAGGAGAAGCAGAAAAATTTGGAAAGTGAATCCACCATGAGGTCAAAAATCAAAGAGTTGGAAACATTGAAAGAGGGCTTACAACAACGCTTGATGTCAAATGAAACAGAACTTGACCAATTGAAAGGAAAACATATAGAAGTGGAGGAGACAATTGCCTCTACACTGAAGGAGCTTGAAGAAGTGACAGTGTTGAAAAACAAACATGAAGCTTCGTCGATAAAGTTGCAGAGGGAATTGGAAAAGAGTTTAAAGAAAGTAGAAACTCTTGAATCGGAAAAGGCACATTTGGAATCACTGTTAAACTCAACAGAACTGGCGAAAGTGAAGCTTGAGACTGGTGTCAACACTATGACGAAGGATCTTTTCCAACTAAAGAAGCAAAACAGTGATGCCGAGGTTAAGATTAAGAAGCTTGAAAAGGATTTGAAAAGCACGCAAAGTGAGTCCGAAAAGGCCAAGCGCGCAAATGAGAATCAAATTAACAAACTCAAAGGTGAAATTGATAGTATTAAACAGCGCCTCGTTGATGAACAAAACGAGCACAGGGAAGCAACTGCAAAGATAGACTCGTTAAGCAGTAACCTCAATGCGAAGGAGCTTGAAATTCAGAAAGCTCAACAGGAAGCAATAAGTTCCAAGTCCAAAATTGAAGAGCTTGATCGGGAAAAGAACTATTTGGCCAACTCTTTAAAAGAAAAGGAGACAAAACTACAGGATTTGGCGTTGAAAGTTGAGACTTTGGGTACAGAGAAACAAGCATTGAAAGTAGAATCAGAAAAGTTAACGACCAAACTCCAGTCAGCCCGAGAGAAATTAATCCAGGCAGAGACCGATAGTGAAGAGAAAATAAAGAAGCTCCGGGGTCAGTTGGACGATTATGCATCTCAAGTGGAGAAATTGGACAAGGAAGTAAAAAGCATCAAGGAAAAGGCTGATTGTGTTCCTGAATTGGAGAATCGAAATAAGGATCTCGAAGGTGAGCTTTCTGATCTTCGGAAAGATTTGGAAGCAAACGAAACAAAGTTGACCGAATTGAGGGAGGTAAAAGATGCAAACGAAAGACTCGCCAAAGAGGTTGAAGCTAGCAAGACAGAGCATAAAACAGTTCAAGCGGATTTGTTAGAAAAACTCCAGAAATACACTGACGAAATAGAAGCAGGTAAACTGAAAATTGCTGATGGGGAGAAAGTAGATGCAAAGGCTAAGAAACTTGAAGCCGAACTTGAATCATTGAAGGCAAAATTGGGTAAGCTCCAGAGTGAATTATCGGATAAGGATTTGAAACTTGAGGAAGGAAAGGCAACGCAGGGCAAGAATAGTGATCTCGAGAAAGAGATTGAGAAGCTTAAAAGTGAGGTAGACATATCCAAAGAGAAAGATGCAAAGTGTAAAGAGCTAAATAAGGAAATCGAAAAACTCAAAGATGAAATTAAAAAGGGAGGGGCCTTAGAATCAACCAATAAAGAACTTCAAAATACTATTTCTGAACTCACTCGGGATCTTGAAGCTTCCAAAACCAAGGTCGATGATGAATCTAAGTTGAAGGATGAAGTTACAAAGCTCAAAGCGGAACTTGACGACAAGAAAAAGAAAAGTGTCCATGGCGATGAGTTGAAGAAGGAAAATGACCTGCTCAAAGCGCTGCTCAAGAACTCCCAAAAGGATGCAGATAGCAGCACTGAATTACGAAGTGAAATTGAAAACCTCAAGAGCGAACTTGAAAAGTCAAAGAAATATCAAAAGGAACTATCTGAGGTGAAGAAGCAAGAGCAACGTCTTTCTAAAGAGCTTGACGAATCCAAAAAGCAAGCAGCCAATGCTGCAAAGTTTAAAAAACAAATTGAAAATCTTACTAAAGAATTAAAGGAAAGTGGAAAGCACAAGGATGAAGCCACCAAGTTGCAAGAGGAGAACAAGAAGCTAGTACTGGAACTAGCAGATGCTGAGAAGCAAAAGCAAGCACTTACTGAACTAGAGCAACAAAGGATTACGATCCATAAAGAGCTAGAAGATGCCAAAAAGAATCGATTAGATGCTCAAGGCTTGCAGGATAAAGTGAAGAAGCTTGAAAATGAACTTGAAAAGAGTAAGAAGCAAATTCTGGATAGCTCCACGTTGAAGGTTGAAATGGAATCTCTTACAAAGGATAAAGAAACTCGGCTGAAGGAAATTGATAAATTAAAGAAGCAGAATGAGGAATTAGAAGGGCTTGTTAAATCGGAGAAGGAAAAGGCAGAAAAAGGATCCATTGACTATGCTAACCAAAGCGATCGAATTAGGAAAAAGTATGAGGATGAGATGCAACAAGTGGAAAATAAGTTAAAGAGTTTAGAGGACAAATATTCTTCGTACGTCCCGAAAACTGAGTTGGATGATTTGGTGCTACTTATGTCTGAGTTGGATGACAAGAATAAGCTGTACAAATCACGTTTGAAGAAATTAGGTGAAGCTATTGCTTCTGATGATTCAAGTGATGATGAGGATGAGGATGAGGATGAGGAAGAAGAAGAAGAAGAAGAAGAATAGATGTAAGTAGAAAGAATCTGTTGACGATCAAATATCAACAAAAGGATTACCTAATAGTTTCGTATATGTAGGTTGAATTATCCTGCTTTGCCACAAAAGCGTAAGTTCTCGGAATACATACTCAACAGTAATTCTTTTTTTTTTATTTTTTCATTCAAACCTCATTGACAGTAGATGCCCCTCCAATAAAGAGTCGTTCAACGATCCACTTTCTTAAATGATCCTACTTATAGACTCGTATGATTCATTCACTAATAATCTAGCACACTTGATCAAAGACGCTACCAAACAAGAAGTAATTATTGTTCACAACGACGCATTTAAGCCAGATGAGTATGAATTATTTTACACTCAAATCAAGCAATTCTTTCAGTATATAGTAATCGGACCTGGCCCAGGCCATCCAGCTAATGCACGGGATGTTGGAATAATAAGCTGGTTGCTACATAGAATTGCCAATGATGAGATTCAAATTCCTATTTTGGGAATATGTTTAGGATTTCAAAGTATATGTCATGAATTTGGAAACAGAGTTGGCAAGTTGGATCAGGTTAAACATGGCCAGATCTACGATATGTCTCCTGTTGGAGAAAATGAATTATTTTTGGATATGAGTAAGTTTCCTAGTGTCAGATATCACTCCTTATTTGTTGACATTGAAACACTCAATGACGAGATAGAGCCCCTAGGTTATTGTTATGAACGAAAATGTGAGGGAACCGATGATGTTCGCATTTTAATGGCAATAAAGCATAAGAATTATCCATTTTATGGTGTGCAGTATCATCCTGAATCCATCTGCTCAGAGAGTGGGAAGCAATTGATTCTCAATTTTTCAAACATTGCGAAAGATGTCAACTCAAAGTGGAGGCAGAACTTGAATCTGTCAAGAAGTGGCGATGAATATAAAGGCCTTGGTAGTCATGAAATACGTGAATCAAGTTTGGTTGATGAAAATGCACTGGTGTCGCCTCTCGACAATATCACTTTTGAGAAGATCGAATTGGCTGATAGCATTTCACCAATTGATATTTGCGATCACTTCTATCAAAAAGACAAAGACCCCAATTTTGTTTTGTTAAATTCTGCATCCATCCCAGGCGAATGGTCGATCATTGGGTTCCCAATTCCTGGTGAAAGTGACGTGATCACGCACTCAGTTGATAATATGGACCAAATCATGTTGTCAAAGTACAAATCCGATAAGAAGGAGCACGTGAACGTGGATGGGCATGATGGTGCTTGGAAGTATGTTGCAAATTCGATGCACAAACGTTATATCCCGAGAGATGAAATTAAGCTGAAAATCATGAATTATCATCAAAGGGAAATACCATTCTTTGCTGGATATATGGGATTAATTTCATATGAAGAAGGACAACACTTGGTATTTGGAAAGATCGGACCAATCTGTGATAACACACCAGACCTCAAACTTGTATATATTCAAAGGTCTGTAATTTTTGATCACATTACCAAAGAGTGGTTCATCATATCCGTGAACGATACATCAAACTGGGCAGCTACAATGACAAAGACATTGAACACTGTGGCACCTATCAATATCAACGATATTCCATCTAGTGTCAAAAATCTTGCATTGAAAAAGGATAATGATTCCATTAAGTTTGAGTTGCCGTCGCAGGACGTATACAAGGAACAGTTTACCAAATGTCAGGAGTATTTACACTCTGGTGATTCGTACGAATTGTGCTTGACAACCCAGCTGAAGATATACCTTCCTTCGTATATTCATGCGTGGGACATTTACAAAGTGCTCACTCTTCGAAAGAACCCATCACCCTTCTCTTGCTTTATTGAATTTGATGATTGCTGCTTACTTTCATCGTCACCCGAAAGATTCCTTTCATGGAAAGATAACGGTGATGACAAGATTGTCGAGTTGAGACCAATAAAGGGAACTGTGAGAAACACACCTGACGTCGATATTGCAATGGCCACCAAGATTCTCAAGACACCGAAAGAAATGGGGGAGAACTTGATGATTGTGGACTTGATAAGACATGATTTGTATCAGTTCACAGATGACGTTAAAGTTTCACAATTAATGGCAGTTGAGGAATACAAGACCGTTTTCCAATTGGTCAGCGTTATACAGGGAATTCTCGATAAACGGAAGGGATTTCATGGAATCGATATTTTGCATAGATCGCTACCACCGGGTTCAATGACAGGTGCTCCAAAAAAAAGATCAGTACAATTGTTGCAGGATATTGAGAGCTTGCAGAGTAACTCTATTCAAGGGGGCCGACGAGGCATATACAGTGGTGTTGTAGGTTACTGGTCTATTACTGATGATTCGGACTGGAGCGTCATCATCAGATCTGTCTTTCATTACAATCGAGATTTCGAAAATACAAAGGAATCAAATCTCTGGCGAATTGGTGCGGGTGGAGCAATAACAGTTCTAAGTGATGCAGATTCAGAATGGGACGAAATGAACTTGAAGTTGACCAGTGCTTTACTGGCTTTTAAATAGATACGATTTATAGATTTCCCAATAATTCTATTGATCCTGCATATAGGAGATGCTTTTTCGCTCTCTTTATTATTTGTCGAAGAAAAATTGAAAAAAAAAAAGAAAAAAAAATGAGAAAATCTCAGTCATACGGTTCAATAACTTCAGATATAATCATCAATTGAAACCTCAATCGTATAACTCATTGATCACGTTATGTCATTTTTTGGATTTGACCCGACAAAGCCACCACAGAGTGGGAAAGACAATGAAGTCTACGATTTCGAAAACACCTACGATGGATTGGGTGAACTAGAAGAAGACGATGCATTCAACACCGAAACTTTTGGAACTAGTGTTGCGGAAATTAGAAAAGATTTTGCTTTTGGCCATGATGAGTCGAAGCCAAGTACCAACCACCAGTCTTCTTCAGCGCCAGCTCAAACCAGAAGCTACGCACAAGCTGCACAAACAGCCCCGGTGAATGATGATGAGTTTATGCAAGAGCTTTGGGGTACTTCAAATGCTCCTAGCAGTGGGGATAATGAAACAAGACATCAAGATGATTCTAGACCTCAGTCAGAGAAGAAGATATTATCGTTGGAGGAAATTGAAGCTCAATTAACTGTCATTGATCAAGTGCAACAACTGCAACAACCAGGTATCCCACAGCAAGGCTTTAATCAACAACCAGGACTGTTTCCGCCTCAGAATTATGGAGTACCTGGCATGATGCCACCCCCAAATCAATTTAATGGCTACATGTTTGGAGGTTATATGCAGCCTCCTTATGGCTTTTCTGGTGGTGCTGGAGGTGCACCTACTCATCAGTTGCCACCATTGCAAGGTTTACCACCACATATCCAGCAACAGTACCAGCAACAGTACCAGCAACAACAGTCTATTCCTCAAGGTCAACAGCCACCACAAGTTGCACAACACCAGCCTCAGCCTCAGCCTCAGCCTCAGCTTCCGACACAAGGAAATGTTCAAAGGCAACAACCACCTTCAACTTCCCATGAAGATAAGAACATCCATGCACAACCGACACAGCAAAGGTCTCAGAAAGTAGACTTGTCGCAGTTTCCAGTTTTAGGTAAAGAAGCATTGCAGCAACCTCATCATACTCACCAACAGCAAGCTTTATTGCAGCAGCAACAGCAACAACAGCAACAACAGCAACAACATAGACAGTACAATCATCAACCAACGCAACAACAGTTTCAAGATCTTACACCAGAGCAGCAAGCCAAAGCTGCCAAGAGACTAGAAAAAGTGTCGAGGATCATGAAGTATTCTGGAATTATGAACCCAAGGGACAAGGACTTTGTCACCAGATTTCAATTGTCCCATATTGTTACTGAAGACCCTTACAATGAAGATTTTTATGCACAAGTTTATAAAGTTATCCATCCAAAAGTGGTGAATGGTATTCCTCTGACAGCTCCTGGTCAACAGAATAACTCAATTGCGCAAGCTTATTTAGATCACAGTGGTCATAGGTTAGGTGGACGCTTTAAGAGAGCTGATGTCGCGTTGCAAAGGATGCAGCAGCAAGTACAAAAGGCCGTCCATGTTGCCAAGGGAAGACCAAAGTTTAACCAATATGCAAAAGAGGGTGCCTTGGGTAAAATTTCATTTGCTAGTGGAAAGAAACCAAGACAGCAATTGGAAATTATTAGTAAAGCAGCGGAGAGAGAGAAGAACGAGAGTGCTTCCGATGCCAAGAAAGAAGATATAAAGAGATATTCACGTAAGGATATTTTTGCAATTTTGGAAAATATCATCTCAGAGTTGATGAATGTGGAAAGTGAATCTAGAGTTTCACCAAATGTTGACACGACACAGTTGTGGGAATCGATGAAGGTTTTAGATCAAGCGTCTTCTTCGGGTGATGATGAAGCTGAGGTTAATCCATTCATTCAATGTTTGAACTACAACAAGATGTTGAAGGTTTTGGTTCGTCTTTTCAAATTCTTGAGCCGTGAACAGATCTTGACAATAACAACCTTGGTCATGTCCAATTTGGAAAACTTGTCTGTAATCAAATATGGCTCCTACACAACATATCCTGACAAGAAGGTCCCCGAAAACATCTTGAAACTAGTTGATGCATATTCATTGACATTCTCCAAAATTTTGATCAATGCTGTGCTGGAATTCAAGTTTAATGAAATCATTGGGTTGTTGGTCATTTTGATTGAACACAACAATGTATCTTTTGTATCAACAACCAAGATTGGACTCACTATTCTCACTACATTGTTATCGCGTGCTGAATTGATTATTGGCGAGGGGCAAATATCAGCTACTGACTTATCAGAGTGGACATCGTGCTATGATGAATTATTCACCGCTTTAGAATCGAGAATCGCTGCTATTTTCCCACCGCACCCTGTCGATGTTGATGATGGGTCGTCGAAGGAAAATTACATTTGGCAGTTTTTGGCAACTTTATCATTGGGTGGTAAATTAAGTCATCAAAGAATTATAGTTGATGAAGTTAGAGACGAAATCTTTGGTGCTATGAATAGAGCTAAAGCCATTGATAATCAAGACCTAGCAAACTTGTACAAGAAGCAGAATTTGTTGAATAATTTGAATATGTTCCTTGTCGTGATGGGATTGGTTGCTGATGAAAATGATATCAAGGAACTTTAGGTATATAGTACTTTAGAGTAGTAAGTGGCAAATTATGTAAAATTGAGAATTATTTTTTATTAGAAAATTATTGTAAGCTATAAATACGTGGTAAAGAACGGAAAAGAACCAGAGATGGTAATCGACCCAGCAACTATTAAAATCATATCACTTTATTAATGCTGTTGGTTGAGGAGGAGACTGTCGAAGCGCCTGATACCTTTCTTTCGTCATAATACAAACTCATGATCGATTCCTCGGACGAAACCAATGAGCCAGCATCGTCATCTTTGAATGTAACCTTGTGGTGGTGGTGTTGGTGGTGGTGATTGGCCTCTTTATTTTTGGCAGGTTCTTTCCACTTGAATGCAGGAAGTAATCTAGCATCATTGCCCACCTGAGCCAACTTGTTGCGCAAATGAGTATTTTCGGCGCGTTGTTGTTCCAATTGCAGTTGTAAATGATCCATGGCCCTTTGTTGTTGCTTCATCTCATATTTGTGTTTCTCTTGCACTAACATGATTTCCAATTGGTACAATTCAACATCTTTGGCATCATCATGTTCCTCTCCAAGTCCAGCTTGTAACGGTATTGATGCGACTTGAGGCCTTTGTGGTTTCGTCGGAGACTCAATTGGGTTTTGAAGAAAATGTAGACTGCTATGTTTCGACTTGCGGTGCATTCTCTTGTAAATCTGGATATTAGTTTCGGTTAGTGACACACTATCAAATGGGTCTTTGGAGGGTGAGTTTCGACACGATGTAGAAGTGCTAAATACACCATCAAAAGTCAAATCACCGTCGTCGGCTTCAAATGTCGAATTGTTTTGGTTGATAGCTGCCTCCTCTTTGTCATCGTTGACATTTTCAGGTTTTATTACTCCATATTCTGGAAAAGTTTCTCTATCATCACCTAAGCTAATCTTTTCCAAAATGGCACATGCTGAATCAAGACGAATTGAATTCTGTATGTGAACTGGTTTTCTCGGGGTGTACATTTCAACAATCGATTCGTTTTCGAAATCGATTATCGTTGATAATGCTTTTACTCTTTGATGCGATTGTGGTTGTGTTTGCAGAGACTGTAGTTGTTGTGGTGGTGGTGGAGCTTGCGATATTTCTGGTGTTGCCGTCATTTGCCGAATTGGTGTCATAAGATCTTGGTTCTGGAACTCGTCATCCCGTGGAGTTAGAACAGTAAATGGTTCTTGGTGTAGCAGATAAGGTTGATTCAAATTTAAAGGTAGATCTAACTTGGGTCTGATAATTTCAAACTCGTTCTTGTTCTCCAGTGATTTCTTGGACTGTGACGGTGTAGATGTTAACTTCAGTAGTAGATCTCTTGCACTACGTGACTTTTTGATTGATGCCAGTGAATCCTTTCTCAGCAATGAGTCTTTGCTTTTCCTCCTAAAGAGCATTATGTGGTGGTATATTGTAGTCTCTTGAGTTAGGCAAGATGGTGGAAGGATTTTTTTTAAAGGAATTTAATATATATATTATTCTCTATCCAATTGTATGTGATTTGTTTGACGTTTCCGAAACTTCCAAAGATAAAAACAGAATGGCGTCTGGGAAATTTTCTAAATTATATATATATATATATATAAAAAGAAAGCAATTTATACGAAATTTACGGTACTTAGACTCTTAAAACAGGCTTATATGATGGCATCTGTAAATGACATTGATATTTTATGTAATTTTCCCTTATTTATTATTTTTTTTTTGCAATCCAATCATCCTAATTAGGAAATACCATTTTAAAATAACTTAGTTAAGTAATGATACTTTGTGTATGTATAAAGTACTACATTTTTAAAACAATAAAAAGTAAATAGTCACCACTACCCGTATATATACACATATAACACAAATCATAACCAATACCTCCACAGTTGTGATTCGTCGTATTGTCGGTTAGGGAAAAGGAAAAAGGGAAAAGACTCATAAATCATGTGGCTAATACTAACCCGGAACAGGTGATGCACCAAAAAAGAAGAATGTTACTTGATATAAGCAAACTCAGAAGTGTTCTGTTTTTGTTCCTTTTTAATGTCATATCCGATACGAGCTGGTAAATGCTAGCGTCGGGGGTTTATGTGTTTTACGCCTATTTTTTACAAAACTGATTGTCTCTGTCTGAAAGATCTCAACAACAATTATAAGAACAACAACAGCGCCAAAGCCAACACCAACGCCAACATTAACCAAGGAAAAGAATTTGCCACAAAGATACACCATAACTAAAATAAACAATAAACATTAGAAGAACTTTTTAACAATGCAAAAATTACCAATTGAAACCCTCTCAACAAGAGTCACGTAAGAAAATGTTTATTGTCTTTACGAACAGAAGGTTTTTATTGCAGACTAAGCAAAATTGTTGGGGAACTTGTGGTGTTGTTGTTTGACTCAAGAAAAAAATGCTTACAAAAGATAAACAATGTGGTTTTAAGGGCTAAAAAGTTTGCCAACACAGGGTGACTAACCTTCTTTAGTATAGTGCCAATGCACAGAGTCACTTCGCATCCAGTGCTGCCATACGTTTGAACCAATGCTCATCTAGATGGAGTAATTTTGTGAAACCATATGCACTAGTGGCGCCTCAATGTGAGAAAAACAGGCGCTTATTTTTGTACTTACTGTACACCCTTTTTCTATAAGCCACATTAAACGCGACAATTGAAGCAAACTTGTAATCAAATCGTTACATTACGGGATAATCGCGTAATGTGTCCTGTTTTATTTTAATTATGTTTCCATCTAACTTGATCAAGAGGAATGATATCCTTTTCTTTATCTTGTAATGTGTAATGTAATATTGAACTTTCTTTTGTATTGTTATATGATTTTGTGTATTATTATTTGTTTACAATTTGTCTCGATTTCGATGATGAAGTTTTAAAAACAATGTAAGCCACCCGCATCCGCCATCGTCGATCACCAAAACAACAAGAATGAGAGAGAGAGAGAGAGCAAGGTATAAAGCGGGGCTAATTGGAGAAGCTGTGGTTGCTGCTCTTAGGAATCACCATCGGCTATCGATTTTCAAATTTTTTTGTATTGACGACTTGTGGGTTAAACAACTAATCAGAATAAGCTTGCGCGAGACTACAGGCCAGGATGGTTGAGTTAGTTGACCAACAGTCAAACGTCTATCTCTATTATAAACATCGGGTCTACTTCATTTAACAAAAACAAATTCTTTCTTGAGGTTTGCAGATCCTACTCCAAAAGCGTATGTACCGGTGGTTGGTGTTTTGAGTAGAAATTGTGCCAAATCTTGGTCTGGAAAAATAAGATTTGTTTATTTTACTATTTGCTTCTTGTAAACACTCTATATCAAGGATATACCATAAGCATCTGAAAGAAACGAGTGAGGAAAACAACAGAGCCCAAGAAAATGGCTATATAAGAAAGCCCTATACCGCGTACGTGTGTCTATTTTCAATATGTTTCGACATGTCACCAATACTTTGTCACTGATCACGTGCATATGTCTATTTTTATACTTCTGTTTTTTATTTTTTTCCCGCTCTTTCTCATTTTTAAAAAGAAACAATATATAACCACCAAGGTGATTGCAAATTTTATACTGGGAATAATATATCCTTCAAAACGATATTATGACTAAATACTTGTTGGATAAATAAGCGAGAGGTTCAAATCATTGTTGCAAGAAGCCCTAGCCAACTCTCCCTACAAAACCTGTTGAAAACAAAAGAAAAGTTTTTCTCCCTACCTTTGCTTTATTTACTTGCCAATTGATGGAGAGGCTACTACTGTCAAGAAGTTATTTATAGACAAAATTCGTTCAAAAAATGATCAGCCCATCACCACAGTCAAACTTTCTGACCAACTCATCAAATCTACTACTGATAAAGGCTATTGTTGGTGCCACAACTACCAGTAACGCATCACCCATGAGTCAACCAGATTACACTGTGCCAGTGCTTCCTTCAATACTGCCTTCAATCCCAGAAAGTAAGTTGGCAGAGATGTTGGAAAGGGGTATATCGTCTGAATCTCCAATTCTCACCCATGGCTATGTCCATGGTCATATACACAAGCACAAAAATCACACTCATATACATGGACATATACATAACCATGACCACGATCATCACTATCGCCAAACCCAAAATTTATTGGCGCCTGATTTCTCATCATCAACACTACAGAATGGAGCTGTGTCGCTGCTGCTGTTGGATACATTTTGTCCAGAGTTCAAGGATGTGGCTACTTGCAAGGATGTATTTTGTGATGACTTGGACGACTGTTTCTACCTAGCTTGTGACGACAGTAAGTTCATCAATGATGGAAACTGTTGTCAAGTAGGAGTAGAAGAAGATGGTAAAATGTGCTGCACTGACTCCAACTGTGTGCCTCTTTTGGAGACCCAAAAATGCTGCAACGATGTGAATTGCGTGCCTATTCTCAAAAGTCAACGAGGGTATGAAGGACTACATTGCGATCAATACAATAGTAAAGAGGACACACTGAAAGAAAACATAGTATTGTGCTGTGATGACCCAAAGTGCAATGACTACAAGGTTTGCCACCTGTCTCCGAATGGAGCTAGTGATTACCACAGATCAAGCTGCCATCATGCACAGGGCACTTTACCAGAATCAGAAAAGAATAATCTTTGCGACTTGCAGATTGCAAAACGTCCCCTTTTTGAGGATTTGATTAGTAACGTTCATCAAAATTTGTCATCTCAGGAGAGCATCGCTAATGACTTGGGACCAAATCCTCCAGCAGCGAAAAAGACCAAACGTAACCCGCTGAATGATTTTGAAATACATTTCCCCCACGAATGCCACCCTGAAGATGCCAAAGAGTCGACCTACCACCATCATATTCACCAATCCTGTTTCCACACAACTATCCCAAATGATCCTGATTCTGTCTACAATGACGAAAAACTCATGTCCGATTTCGATTTCATCATCAAGTTTAATAATTTCCATGACATGATGAACAAGAAGAGTGCTCTCACAGTACCATCAAAACTGGATGATGCAAACTCACTTTTACAGTACCCATGCCAATGGGAGCACTGTTTAAAAAAGTTGAACAACGATAATTTTATGAACCATATAGTTGGGGACCATATAAAGCAAGAGCATGATTTGCAAAGAACTACTTCATACCAATGTGAATGGAACAATTGTAATTACACCGATGAAAACCTTGATGCATTGCTTCAACATTTAGAGTCCCACAAGCAATCTGATAATACTGATCCAGCAATTATAGTAAACTCACCAAACGTGTTGACCCCAGTGTCTACTGCAAGTGTAAATACAAATGAAAAGTCACCATCAGCTGTAAAGTCACCAACAACTACGAAGTCACCCGCTAGTATCAAACACGAGTTGAACATAACGTCAATGTCAATCCTTCCCAAAAAGAAAAAGAGCAAAGACTCCAGCAAAGCTGCTTGTTGCGCTCAAGGGCCTGAATTCAAGTGCCAATGGGAAGTTGGCATAGACCAAGATGGCAAACCTATACCCTGTAATGCCACCCACGAATCTCAATGTGGCTTGCAACACCATATAATTAATGACCACATAGGATCAGGTAAATCAAAATACAGCTGCAATTGGGTAGGGTGCGAAAGACACAATGGTAAGATATTTAACCAGCGGCAGAAGCTTTATCGCCACATTCACATACACACAAACTACAAACCCTGCAAATGTTCCATTTGTGGCGCTTCATTTGCCGTGCAGTCAATGCTTGATCAACACTTACGGATTCATTCAGGAGAGAAACCTTTCCAATGCACAACATGCGGGAAAAGGTTTGCCACAAGTAGTTCATTATCGATTCATAATCGTGTCCACACTGGCGAAAAGCCTCTCAAATGTAAGTGGCCAGGATGTAACAAGAGCTTTAGCGAAAGTTCCAATTTGACTAAACATATGAAGATACACGAACGGGAGTTTGCTTGTGTAAAATGTGGCGAGTCATTTGCCAAGAAAGCTGACCTTGATCAACATAGTGAACTGCACCGGGACCATGATGTAAAAGAACCAAAGATGGACAAAAATAGAGGTGTTTGGAAGGAAAAAGTGGAGGCAGTTAAGTAGAGGGGATTAAGCAGTCTTATATATTTATTAAATAACTTGATTAATAATGCTTATAGTTCAGAGAATTTGGTGTAAGTGATGCTCTCAAAGAGCCAAGTACATTAGCTAAGCTATGCTGGCCCCTGGCTAGATGTCCACTATATCATTTCCATTTGCAGTCAAATATTTTAAGTCGTGTACTAAGGCACAAATATTTTTCACACAAACAAAAAATTTTCAATGCTTGAGAGACAAAGCTTATACAAACTGGGATTAATCAGAGACTCCCTACATACACCAATGAGACCAACACCAACCCTTCTAGCACTACGTGTTAAAGTTCCCAAACCTGAACTCGCCAGATACACATTCCAGGAACTAAGTTCGATATCGCATCGCGACTTGCCCAACAACGGCTTTGGCATCAAGAACTACTACATTGCCCAAACCAAATTCCATCACTGGCCCGTATACAAAAAGGTCCAAAACACCAAGATCACCACCGAGATTAAACGTGTGCAGGGTGATTTACATCAATTGAAGCAAGATTTGTTGCAAGCTTATCCTCATTTTGAAATCAGTATGAATCAAAGTGCCGGAATAGTGAATATCAAGGGAGATGTAACTGAAGAAGTTACCAAGCTATTTGAACAGGAGGTCAAGATATGAAAGAAATTCAGAGAGATTTGTACATAGTGTTATTAATGAATGACGGATTTTGAAAACGAAAATCAAAAGATGATGATCAATATTTATCTAAATCCTCTCTATATAAGCTTTATCTTTATGACTGGTTTGAGTTTCCATTCTCAGACGAGGGTGTACTATACTCCGATCCACTTCCACCAAAGGCAATCTGTCTAATTGAAACCATCCATGGGTCATTCAACAACTCGACAGCACTGGGCCTCTTTGCAGGATCATGGACAAGGCATCGTGATATAAATCTTCGGCCTTCTTCGCTCAATTGATCTGGTGATGGCAACGGTGGTTTATGTCCAGCAGCGATGTGATACATAATAGCCCATTCGTTATCTAGATTGGCCCATGGTCGACGACCGGTCGCCATTTCCAACACACAGCATCCTAGTGACCAAATATCAACGACACCACTACGATCAGTTGAAGCACCAGTTATCACTTCAGGGGACATATACATTGGCGTACCTGTCATGGAATTCAAGCTTTGATTATCGGTTCCTGTGACAGGGCGCATCGATTTAGTTGAGACCCTGGTTCGGCCACTATTGGCTATGACTTTGGCAGCGCCAAAATCAACGAACTTAATGACTCCATTATGATCGAGCAAAATGTTTTCGGGTTTGATGTCTCTATGGACCACTCCTGATTGGTGCAAATATGCCACACCTTCCAACATCTGTAATGTATAGACTTGAATCACCATTTCATCTTCAATACGACCATGCGTCAAGAGTCCGGCAAGTGACCCACCTTCGCAAAATTCCATAAAAATGTAGACCTTGTCACGGTGCACCTCAACTCCAAAGTATTGCACAACATTGGGGTGGTTCAACATTTCCAACACTGTCATTTCTTCCTTAATTTGTGGAACAATACCCTTGATAGATTGACTGTCATGGAATCTGATCTCCTTCACTGCCATCACACCTCCAGTATCCAAATTGACTGCCGCAAACACCTGTCCAAAAGTACCTCCACCAATGTATTTACCCTTTTGCCATCTAATTGAAACACTAGAGAATGATGAGGCCAATAATGTGACAAATTGGTACTCCAGATCGCTTTTGTCAATCACTTTACCCACTGATTGATATTCAGCCAGGAGCTCGGATCTATACTGTTCAATCTCTGAAATTTCTTGCATCACTTCCTCATGGTACAACTTGAATGCATAATCGTCATTTTGCGAATTGGCAATATTCTGTCTCTGCGAAGTCCATTTCAATAGCTTGTTCTTTTCGGCTTCACTAGACCTTGCACCCATTATATCAAAATGTGAGATAAGCAAAGACATACATCTTGCAACTTTAACTTTCAACGTGCTAAACTGGTCGTCATTTAGAAACAATATGTTGAACCCACGAGTCATATCCATAGCAAACTCTAGGGCCAAAACACACCACCTAAACGTTTTTCGATCGGTAGGAACACAATCGTCACAAATAAAACTAACCCAGTCGATAGCCAACTGCATCAATTTCATAATAACCGCAGACTTGCGCGATGAATCTAGATTACGCGCGGCATTTTTCCCATAGTCACGAGCAAAAACAAAGTAGTTGTTGATGACAGTTTGGTAATCACCCGTTGTATGCAACTGCTTAAACTTGCTCAGGACAGTTTTCACTGAGTCCAAAACCGACAAACTCATACGAAAGAATGCTTTATTGGTTTTTGTCAACTCATAATGGACTTTTGACAACGAGCATCGCTGCTCCACTGGTTTTATGCCACCGCCAACAACTAAAACATCACTAACAAGATCTAAAAACCTGTCTCTGACCGTGTGCAATTCAAAGTGTGGTACCTTGGAGATGAGTGCCAATTGACCATTCTTCAACTCTGTAGTGGGTACCGAGTCAACATTGACATTGAAAACAGCACCTTCCCAAACGATGGGCTTCATTGGACAAAGAGCCAATATATATCCATATTTCAGAGGATCTTCTTTTATCTCTGCAGTCATGTTCCAAGAGCTTTGAAGCAAGTTCAGCAACTCGGTAAAATTTGATTTCTTTGTACTAGGGTCTAGACCAACGTAGGACCCATTGATTATTTTCAAAATCTCCTGCTCATTTCCTGCTAGATCGGAGCTGGCAAAAAAGTAGGTTCCCTGAGACTCGATGGTATTTGTGTAAACTAAAAAGTGGTCCGTTGTCCTCAAAACATCAAGCAAGGTCTTGGTATTGTTCTGGTGAGGCTGGTCAGGTAGCTCAAATACCAACGAGTTTGTGAATGATCTCGATATATCTCCAGTGAACCTGGCCAACTTACGTCTTATTTGACCAAAATTGCCCAAAGTTGAGCTGTACCAACGAATTAAGTCCTGCGATGACTCGGTATGAGGAGGCAATCTAATAGAATGGTTAAAGTATGCCAAGAGCCGATGGTTCAATCGCAGAGTCAACAATGCAATCTCTTCAGCAACAACAGCACCTCCTCCATCAATGTAATTACCCAAGGATTGCAAGAAAATCCACACCTCTTCCAATTCCTCTGGCTCTTTAAATGTTCTAAAACTGTTTTGTGACCTAGAGCTATCTAACAATTTCTTGTTGAACAATACTAAAAAGTATCGAATGCATCTGAGAATTACACCATCAAAATTGGCAACCTCGCCATCAAACAAATCACTCAAAAGCCATATTTTTTGAGGATCTGGTTCCTTATACTGCTGAACCCCCAGTTTCACTTCCAATGCGATAGTAATATAAGACTGTAAATCATCAAGCATTTGATCAATCATCATTAAAGTCGGGTTCTGCAATTTCATAGCATATCCCAACCTCACGTTTATAATTTCTTTAATCAATTTCATAGGAATAATACAAATTTGAATTAAATCGTGAAGATAATCCGGTAGCTTCATAATCTCAAACATGTTCCCTAATCGAATATACGTATCCTTTGACTTAATCATCCATGGCGATAATGGCTTAAAGATACGCTTCTTGAATATGGTATGCACGTCCTTTTCCTTCATCAACCTCTCTGCAAGCGACTTGTTATCCTCGTCAAATATTTCCTTGACAATTTTGCTATTGGATACAGAAGAACTCCGGCTAGGGGCCTCTACTGGTGACTTGGTAATATCCAACTCATCATTACCAATCCATACCCTCAATGATTGTGTCTCTCTTTTAATCGCATCGGTAATCGACAACCAAGCAGTAAGGGCATCAATTCTGTTCTGGAATTCTTCGCTCCGACACGCTGGCTTGTCACTGCGCATTTCCTCCAAAGTTCTCCAGAGGTTGCATGCCTCGTCGTACCTATCCAAAATCGTCTTGACCTGCTCTCGAATCGGGTTCTTCGCTGAGTCATCATAGTTTACCTCAAATTGCATAATATCTTCAATCAACTGCCCCACCAATGTCCGTCTATATGCTACAATTTTCCTCTGATCATCCTCTGTTCTATTGAAAATTTTGGCTCTAATTCCAAACCAAATGCTCTCCTTAAAAGTTGAGTGTACATAGCTCTCGAGAGGATTATCTGGATTATGGGTGTTTATGATCTTGGTTTTTTCTGACCGTACCACATCTCCAGTCAATACCGAGGTCAACATAGACTGCCAATCCAATCTTTCAACCACAGCGGGATCATCTGTAGAGTCTGTCCGGAGATTCGATATTTTCTTGAAATTGAGATTGGAGTTTTTCATTAATGAAAGGGCCATGCTATAATCGATTTGGTACTTGTCATCGTCAATTGTAGCCAATAATGTTGCATTGTCTCCGTTGTTGGATGCCGAGTCGTAACCCTCATCGTCTTCCTCATCATCCAATGAGTCTTTACTTTCCTCATCGGCACCTGTTATACCCTTGGTGTAGTAATCGTCCGCAAATTGATTCTTTAGTTTCCTCAAGTACGTCTTCTCCTGGGCCAAATACTGCGAAGTGGGTGGGTGCAGCTGCGTTTTAGTCAAGGAGCTTGACCTTGTCCTCACTATTGAGCTGCTGGGAGATCTACTGACTGCAGCGGGACTGTTAGCACTTATGGCATGGGTCTTTTTCGTATTACTTGGCGACGTACTACTACCAGGATAATGGACCTTGCTGCTGCTGCTGGCAGCTGGTCTTGAACTTGCTTTATTGTACCCAGAACTTAGGGATCGTTTCACGTGCAGATCCTTTGTTGTTATTGGAACTGCTCCATTGACCGTTTGAGAACGGATCAACGATGGTGGTCTCCTCACTGGTTGTGTTGACGAAGACGCTTGTGTATCACTGAAAGAATTTCTGCCCTTTGCGCTTATCGTTGGATCGTCTATATTGCTGGAGCCAGTTTCTGAATCTGGTAAATGTGCCACTTGACTGGAATATAGCTGAGGGTGGAATTGTTGCTGCAGATGCTGATGTTCCATTTCTTGTTGTGTTGTTGTGTTGTTTGGTGAGACGTCAGGATGCTCATCATCCTCAAATACAGCTAAGCTATTGTCTGACATAATGAGTAATAGGCGTTTCTCGAAGTAGGCTGCAAATGGAATCGAGATTTAAAGATCACAAGGGGATGTAGATACTTCTCTATATTTAATCTATCTTTGATTGGCACACTTTCAAATAAATCCGAGAAATCTGAGCTTTAGATTTTCGTCTTTTTTTTTTTGTTTTATTTTTTGTTTTTGCTTTAAACATTCTCTTGCAAAAAGCAAACCATCTTTTACTGTGTGTTTTCCTTGTCACTAAAGCACTATCTGATAGCTCCAAAACCATTCGAATAAGTGTTAAAAATGATTGAAGTTCAAGCAAACGACAGACTAGGTAAAAAGATTAAGGTCAAGTGTTTGCCAACAGATTCAATTGGTGACTTGAAAAAAGTGCTTGGAGCACAGATTGGAACTCCGTACGAAAAGATCATATTAAGAAAAGGACATCAAATCTACAAGGACCACATTTCATTAGATGACTACGAGATACACGATGGATTCAACTTTGAATTGTATTACGGGTAAAAAAAAAAAGAAAAAGGACACACTCGTATTCTAATTAGTACAACATATATAATACAGATTAATCATTAAAAGGGTACAGGAGTTGCAAAATGCTCATTCTATCAAAGGTCATAAGTTTCCTACAAGAAATAGTCAACATGTTGACGTTTAGGACGTTCTTGGAAGTATGCAGCAAAAAAGTCAGTGTTGGCATTGTCCGAGTCTGTCAAATTCACTCCATTGACTCCCTTCCCATTCAAAGTATCCTCATCATTTTCGGTCGATGCTTCAAATACATTGAAAAATTGCCCTGGTAAAACACCTTGCTTAACTTGTATAGTGGATTTAAATGATGGATGTTTCGTGGATTTAGTCTCATTAGGCTCAGCGCCATTTTTATCATCGGTGCTTTTGCTTCCATAATTCGTGTGTAGGATCTCTAATACACTTGCCTTGTTACCACATCGGTAGCAATAATTTGGTGCTGACCAAACAGTCAAGCACTTTCCTTTCCAGTAGCTTGTATACCCTTCATTGCATAATTGATGAGCTCTAATCATTTGAGACAAGCTATTATCGTTGCAAAACTTATCCATTATATCGCTTCCAAAGAGGTAGCCAGCACCCCTCGGGCTCAATTTGAAATCGGTGATTTCAACATCAGGATCGGACCACACCAAATCGGCCATTATACCATCATGAGGGATCTCGCGAAATCGGTCTATGGCTCTAATCTGGTCCAACTGTTGACAGCTTGGTGAAAGACCACCGTGGCATGCAAAGACGGTGCCATCAATGGTAGCCCCTAGAGGTAGGTAGTCGAACAAATCGGTGATGTATGACCATACATCAGCAGACCCATTGTACTTGTTTAATACCTCAGTGTAAAATCCGTAGTTTGTGGTGATTGTTCGAGATTCGTGGTTACCTCTTATTAGACTTACCCGATTGGGATACCGAAGCTTCAACACCAATAATAATGAAATGGTCTCCACAGAATAATAGCCACGATCCACATAATCTCCTAAGAAAAGATAATTGGTATTAGGTGGGGATCCGCCGATTTTGAAAATCTCCAACATGTCATGATACTGTCCGTGTATATCTCCCACGACCGAAATAGGAGACTGTAGTGACAAGATATTAGGCGCATCCAATAGCTGCGTTTTTAGCATATGACAAAGCTGTTGTATCGTACCAGAAGGCAAGATCTTTGGAGGTTTATGATCCAATAGCTGCTCTAAACAAAAGTCGAGATCAGAGATGGGTATATTGAAAGGTATAGTCATGTGTCATTCAGGTGTAGGAAATTTTGGGAGTGGTGGTAATCCTTGAAGGAACTCTATAAGATAGATTGGGGAGCGTATGGCGAGTCCAACTTGATATTGATATGGTGTTTTATAAGTAAGCCTGTAGACACTTTGCTGCTTCAATACAAACCAGTTGGATATGTGGACTAGGCGTAAGAAAACTAGGTCTGCTCTAGTTTTTTTTAGTCAATATTCTTGTTGAATTGAAGATTGTAGATAAGCTTAATATATATCAACACACAAATACATACGTACCAAATTGAAAGTCGGGAAAATAAAAAAAAAATTTTGTTTTTTGTTTTTTATTTTTATTTTTCGTTTTCCCGACTTTCTCTCTTTTTATTGTTTGGTTTTATGCAGGAAGAGCCACATGGGGAAGTTTACAAATTCAATGGAGGAACACAGTGCTACTGGGTGATAAGAGAAGCCACTGAAAGGAATACATTCTTTCCTTTATGTGTGTAGGAATAAGAGCAGGTGTAGGCAATTTGTCTCCTACCATTCCATGATTTTACTGTTTTATACAATGTTCTAAGATAGCAAGTCCATCTACTATAGCCTCATCAGGTATGTTGAGTGCTGGTACGAACCTGATAGTATTCATTCCAGCTGTTATAATTAGCAACCCATTCTCCCGACACTTTTCGACAATTTTGTTTATATCAACGTTTTCGGCAAATTGCAAGCCCAACAACAAACCTTTGCCCTTGACTTTTAGTATTTTATCAGGATGAGCCTCGGCAATCTCGTTCAACTTTGACACAAACTTTTCAGATTTTTCATTGACATTTTGCAAAAATGGTTCTTGGGTGATTTCCTCTACGACAAATGACCCGATTCTAGCTCCAAGTGGGTTTCCACCGTACGTTGTACCGTGATCCCCTACAGAGAGCACCTTTTCAACCTTTTCCGTAATCATAGTAGCACCAATGGGGAACCCATTACCTAATGCTTTGGCCATAGTCACGATATCTGGATGAGCTTCGTGAGGTAAGTACGAGTGTGCCCACAACTTACCTGATCTGCCCAACCCACACTGTATCTCGTCATAGATTAGCAAAACATCGTGCTCGTCACACAACTTTCTCAATTCTACCAAGAAACTCTCATCCATTGAGTTGACCCCACCTTCACCTTGTATGGGTTCGATTATGACTCCACATGTCTTTTCTGAGGAAATCAAGTTCTTTACACTTTGAATATCATTGGGTTCAGCGACGTGAACGCCAGGTATCAATGGGGCAAAAGGAGCCTGGTACTTAGGGTTGGGTGTCACTGACAAAGCGCCCAAGGATCTGCCGTGGAAGGAATTGGCAAAAGTGATGAATTCTGTCTTGGCGTCTCCACCTTGCGACTTACCATACTTTCTAGCAAACTTTAAAGCTGCTTCATTGGCTTCAGTTCCCGAATTACACAAAAAAATTCTGGCAGCATCGTGTAACCCGTTGTGCTCCTTTGTTTTATGAATCAATTTACTGGCCAATTCACCCGCTGGCAAGTTGTAATATAAATTGGAACAGTGGATGAGCTTTTCTGCTTGATCTTTCAATATATCCGTTATCCCTTCATTGGAATGTCCTAAACACGTCACTGCTATACCGGCAGTAAAATCAATATATTTTCGATTTTCTAAATCGTAAATGTATGAACCTTTGCCGTGAGTTAAAACGAGGTTCGGACGAGCATAAGTAGTAACGGTATATGGTTTAGAAAGCTTGTTTATAAATTGGCCCGTGTGTGACTCCTCAGTAGCGTCGGAAACTTCATGAAATACTGGTCTTGATTTGGTTGATGATTCTGAAGTTGTTGAATAGTTGTAAATGGGAGCTAAGAAGCCCCTCTTTTGGGGACTGCACCTAAATGATCTGTTGCAAGCTGAAAGTCTCAACATAACACAGCAGTAAGCAATATTTTGGAGTAGTGGTACGTAGAAAGACGATTGAATATCTTCAATGGAAATGCTATTGGAAAGAAAAGAAAGAAGTGGAAAAAAAACATTCAATTTTAGAAGCGGAAAAAACATGAGGAGCTTAAATGATCATCGCGGTTAATGAGTCAGAAGGATTACCGTATTTGTAAAAAAATTTCATCTGTTTTGTGTATACACAAATCCTATACTTTAAAATCTATTAATGTCAATCGTAACCTCTAATGTGTGTGCTCTCTTACCATTATCCAACAGCTGTATCTCTCGGTGTATAATTCTGTTTACTTCAAACCTCATTCGCACTTCTTCATCCGAATCGGCACCTTTCATGTTGATCGATACTCCAATGACGTACAATTGGTAATTAAACTTTGTGATAAATAGCTTGTCAATCAGGAACCCCTCTCTAAAGAATTCCAATGATAAAATATCTTGCTTGATTCTAGACTTTAGCACGTTGTATTCATAATTTGAGTATGGAAATGAGCAGAGTAATATGCCGCCTAATGTTTTGACTAAGTTCCAACCATTGTAAAACAACAAGCATGCCACTAGTATGGTTGCACACTTATTCACATCATAAGCCAACTCTTTAACAAAAGTCTCCGGGATCAATGGAAGTATGATGAGAAACGATGCATAAGTGACTGTAATCATATGGGTAGGATAATTCCTCCAAACTTCCAAAACTTTCAACACACGCAGATTCAATGTATTCTCATTCCCACGAATATTTCCAATTGTTGAACTGTTACTCTTGGCAGTGCTTTCATTGGTGGTCAACATTTCATTTATTCTATCGTAAGCGAGGATGTAATTGGAGGAAATTAACGACACCACTAGCGTAAGTATCAATATCATTTCATAAGGTATCCAATTAGCAGTTGAATTTCCTTGTCCTTCGTGTACATGATGCGACAAGTGTTCATGGTCCAGGTGCTCATCATGAGATATCAATGACAAGATAAATTCTTCAAAGAAATGACTAAACAAGTCAAAACTAAGCATCAAAAGCGAGGCACTTAATGCAAACCCAACCAATACTTCAATACGTTCCAATCCAAAAGGATAAGCGATTGAAGAGCTATTCCAAACTTCAAAATTTGACATAATATCAACTAGTACAATAAATAAAGACCCCAAAGAGTCATAGAATACTAAATGGGCCAATGTAGATAGCGATCCAAATCCGTATTTGAACCCAATGACAAATATGAGAATAGATAAACTAAAATGGCCCAATGCCCAAAATAGTCTCGATTTTTGATGTTTGCTGACAGATGCCAATGCCTCTTTGTAGTTTGGTACCGGATACAGGTCAGGGATTGCTCTCAACTGCTGTTCATTTGCACTCATTGGGGGTGGTTCTTGAAATAAGTTCATCGACATCGAAGAGTGCTTGTACTTATGACCCTTTCTGTGTGCAGGCTTTACTTGCAACGATTGATTTGACGTATTGTTTTGTAGCATTATCTCTTGCGGTTGGAAGTTGAAAGGATTCAGTTTCTTTGGAGATGAAGATCTTCTCACCGGTGATTTGGATCTATAGTGCCTGTTTGTCCTAACAGGAGAAGTTGACCTCGTTGGAGAAGGGGGACGAATGTTCAGCAGCGCAGAGTACGGCTGTGATTGCAGAATTTCCCGATCATGATAACTGGGGCTGTGTTCAGCTTTTAATCCAAAAGTGAAGGAGTCCCTGGACCTCGGCGTGTTATCAAACGCTAGCGCATTCTCATCCTCAGCAATAAAGTTTCCCGAGTCCAAAAGGAATGCCGATAAAGGTCTTGACCTCGATTGTTGGCTCGGATGGGATAATCTTGGTGAGTTGCTGAGTGAAGAATTTGAATACTTTCTCGCCGATGGACTCATCTGTACACTGCCAAATTGAAAAGCAGTATCTCGGGGGCTGTCGTTTAAGGACTCGGTTGAGAAGTTTGCGCTGGCCAAGAAGCTCAAGTCCCCAGGCTTCTCTTGCTGATTGGCCTTTTGTCCGTCATTTACTTGTGTTTCTGCACTCAGGTCGGAATAATTCGACTCAATGATCAGGGGTATGGTCTGGAGAGGTACTGTTTCTCCAACTTCAGAGGAAACACTCGATACCTCATCAAGTTCTTGCTCTCGATTCATCTCTTTGCTAGTAGTATCTCGTTGGACTCAATTCAATGTAGTGGAACAGAACCTTCACGTATCGAATGCCAAAAAAGAAGAAAAATAAAAACAAAAAGGTTCAAACAAATTTCCACGTCAAACAATTTCATTACACAAAGAGATATTTCTCGAACTTAATGTGGTTATTCAAAATTTATACAGAGAGAGGAACACAAAACTTTCTTGTCTATGGGGGGTTTGCCTTTGCCACATAGGCGTCAAACAACAGCAAGTTAATACACCCATCATTTAGGGAGTAGCTAGTATCTTCTAACAACTCGTAGCTTCTGACCTTGAAAGGGCGAACACAAACTTTCGAGGTTGCGCCATCTTGATCCTCGGTTTTCTCGTTGCCTAAAATGTTTCCCACAAAGGCAGGAATATTTAATGCATCCGACTTTGGAATCTGTAATTTGAGGTTATTATCATTAATATGATTGGAGTCTCCGCCATGGACCAAATCTTCCTTGCCAAGCATTATCGCACAGCTTACCAATCCATCATTGAAATCACCCTTGAACGGGTTTTCTTTATCGAGTTCAGGAATGTCAAATAACCTTTGCACTTGAGATGTGGTTGCAGTCAGCTCAACCATGGTTGATTCTTTGTGCCGATTTCCACCTGGACTCTGTTGCTCTGGCGATCCAAGCGAAGTAAGCAAATTTTGTTCAACTAATTCTGTAACTTTCTCAGTCACAGAGCTCTTCATTAAAAGCAAAAGATCATGAAAGAGCACTCTCAATTTTTCATTTTCACTTTTAATATACCTCGAATTCAAAATATGAGTCAATTTCTTCACAAAAGTGTTAACCAACTCATCGCTAAGGTTAGTTGCGATGAAAGTACAAAGGGAAGGTTTATGTATGATAAGCACCTTTAAAATTATCGACAAGAAGGTATTGAGCGTGCTGCGGCATTCATCAGGAATCTCCTTGTTGATGATATGCTCTATTTTGCTTAACAACTCTGTAAAGTTAGTAATAAATGACCTAGGTGAGTCAACGGTACTAACCGCGTTGGACAAGAATATATCAAGAAATCCAGTAATAATCCTGGATAAATCAACTCCGTTTACCGACAATGTTATTGATGTATTGTCAATGGAGGTCTGAGTAAAGATTTTCTCCTCGAGAATCTCCATCACTATCAATTTATGCTCCCAAGGAACTCTAAAGAACAAACCCCCAAATATGAAGCTTTCAGGTGATTCTATGGACCGAGGCTTGTTTAAAAAGATTGTAATGAATTCTTCCCATCTAGCCTTTGTGGCAGCCTTGTCTTCAGTATCTATGGCTCTTGCTACAACACAAAGCAACGCTTGGAAGAATGGTAGGTTAAACTCATTAACCTCCTCTATATTCTTTTCAAAATCAGAAAGTGACACAATAGATGTCTTTCCTGACCGATGTAAGCAAAGATTCAACAACTCGAAGCAATCTTCTCGGCTTATCTTTGCAAATAGCTCGTTAAAGATATACTGATCATGGGTAACTAGATTTTGGCTCAAATACCGCTTCAACATTTCTCTATGCTCAATAAAATAACCGCTGCTCTGCAAATTTCCTATTCTTAAGCCACTCAAAAACAAGTTGGTAAACTGCTGCTTGTTTTTGTCTTTGAAAAAGTGTACATGGATATTGAAAAGTTGATACTGTGAAGCACTTAGTTCTGAGTTATCCGAAAAGTTGGGTTCCAACAACATTTGGTGAAGCAACAAGTCAGCATCCATTTTGTTTGAGTCCATAAGTGAAACAAAATCGCAGAATGAAATTATATCATATATTATCAATTTTTTGATCATGAGGACCTTCCGATTTAATCCACGATCTGAATTCAAAACATCAAGCAAAACGGATCGAATGAGGTTACTCATCTTATCTATGTCAACACCAATTGTGAGGTGTTTCCAAAGTTTTACAATAGCCACCTCCAAAATTTCAGAAATTGAATCTACTTTAAGAAACCAATTGTTTAAGTAGGATTCGGGATCATCAGCCCCCACGATTCCTTTAAGTTCCTTCACCTCAGCCTCAGTTAAAGGTATAGTTTTCAGGGACCTCAATGCTGCTAAATCGTTTCTGAAATCATCTGAGCTATAGGCGTCTGTTAACCGTGGAGTGTGGTCTAGTGCCAAATCAACCGACTGTATTTGCATTGGTGTTTCATAAGTATCTTTTCGCACCGATTGTATTCCAAATTGAGGAGCACTGGACCTAGCGTCCCATTTGCGTTTCCGGCAAGGCAATTCGTCCTTTTCAGTAACCGAATCAACGAAATTCCAAACTTGGTGAAAATCATACAAGACAAATTCTCGTTGGCACAAATCTTTGTAACTCTGAATTACTAAGCGGAAAAGATTTGCAACAGTAGGTCTGTTGGATGAGTCGGCAAATTGCTTTATGAGTTTGAAATGTCTCATAATCAATCTTGAAATAAAGTAAAGTCCATCGAGATACAAGATTGCCATTCTGCTTTCATTCCTGAGGATTGCTTGGACAACAATTTTGAAAAAAACGGGAAGATTATCCGAAATGGCATAAAATTTGTACATCTTTGATAGAGCATCCGGTGTTAACACAATAAGTTTTGGTGTCGACGTGAGTTTCTCCTTGAACTCGTCTGTCAACCAATTAACGAGTAAGAACTTTAATCCAACTCGAAGTGAGTTCCAATTGTCTTCAAATTGATGAGTTAGAATGATTTCCCTGTTGGTGAAAACCCTGTCTAATATTTCTGATTGAAGTTGACCTTTCATCAAGTCAAATGTGGCTTTGAAATCTGGGCCATCGGTAGTCCATTTTCGTAAGATACTATCACATTGCCTGTTGTTTAAGACGGGAAGGTTCATCAAGCATTGAAGGTGGTTTTGAGTGCTAGTACCACCATCTTCTTGAGACGAGTGTTCGCCCGGTGTCGTGTAAAAAACACCTGAAGCAATTAGCTTTCTTATATAAGAAGCTATGGTAACAATCTTTAATTGGTACAACTCATTAATCAAAATATATAGCTTGTTGCTGTCAACCAATCCCCTTTCCGATTCTATAATAACAAATATAGATTCCAAGATTTCGTTCTCAAGTTCCACTTTTGTCGTCTTGTCGGCTTGAGCAAATAAAGCTCTTTTCAAAAAATTGCACACAACCAATATATTTTCATGTTGAAATTCGCTGTATCGCCAGGGAGAAACACACCAGAAGAGTACAGTTCTCAAAATTTGTTTCCAATTGTCATTGTTTTGATTACCTAAGCGAGGTTGCAATCGTTGAATAATTTTCCCATTGAATCGAAGTTGATCCAAATCCTGCAAGACCTTAAACATGCCGCCCATTGCTCCTCTGTATCTCTTATCGCTGCTAAAATTTTGCGCATTTCCATAGACTGGAACGATGGGTTTTGGGGGGCCATTGTTATTTGACAACTCTGCAGCAGTTTCATGCTTGCTCATGTTAATGATTAAACTTTCGTTTCTATAGTTGATCAACTCAAGTTGGTCGGTGATCTTTTTCAGCTCGCTCGAATGCATAGTAAACGTCTCCTGTAACAATATAGTCGCCAACGAGTCCCCAGTTATAGCCCAGTTATTAGGGATAACAAAAACGTTTGTGTTGTACTTGAAAAGGAAAACCACCATGTCACTAAATGACTTTGTTAAATTGTCTCTCAAGTGCTCAGGTAAGAACCATTTTGGGTACTGCGATAGTTTTGTTATATAGAAGTAGTTGAGCAACAACAGCTCACCTAATTCTTTTGCCAAGTAGTCGATACCAATAATGTCGTTCCAGAACGTTTTAATCCAGACTAATGAGCCAAACCGCTGAGAGTAATTTATATCACATTGTAGATCTTCTTGAATAGAAGCATCATAATCTTCCGCCTCATCACTTTGCCGCATCTTTATCAATTCACTAACTGCGTCAGAATCAGTCGGAAATCCATCCCTAAGTGGCTTTAATATTAATGAGAGAAAGTAGGTCTTGTCCAACAAGGTTTCCACATACAAGGACAGAATCAATTCTCGAAGGTAGCCCAATTTTTTCATATAGGTGTCCTTCTTTGCACCATCAGTAGTTTGCATGATATCTTGTGCCATTTTGAATACATAGCTAGCGACCTGCTGAGTCCATTCTTGTAGCCAATGCAATTCAAACTTTTCCGGCGAACTGGAGTCTGGTGGTAACTTCGATTGATACTTTCGCCTCAATGCTAAAAGTTCACTAAACAAGACGCATTTTGTAAACCACAATGCTCTGTCTATTGGCGTAGACCTTGTGCAAAGCGAATCAATAAGAACTTTACTTCTGATACCATGAGGAATTTTCTCGCCAATCTTCTTTAACAGCATATTTGGATTGCTTAAGTCATTGAGCCAGTTTTCTCTTTTAGTTGCAGTGAGTGTAACCTTTTGAGGTATCTTAAAGTGGCCCGAATTGAATCGTATCTTGTTTATATTCTCATTTCTTGTCCGGTATGCATTCGTGAGGTACTGTGATAATTCATTAACAATAGACAAGCAGTTTTCATTAGACTTGAACAAGGTAGCCAGGACCAAATTTCTACCCGAATGGTATTCATTACCAACATGGGGAGCTTCAAAGTAGCCTTTACTCAAGTAATTATGATTGTCAGGTTCCTGATGATCTGGAGACCGTTTCCCCATTATCGTCTGGGTATGGTCCTTCCATGGTATATAGTCTGGATACGTTAACATAAAAGAGTCCTTGACTCCATCTCCATTACCTTTTGAGGAGCCGGGAACGTCATTTCTGGATGGATCTTCAAGTGAATATATAGGTAGGCTCGGGCGGTCCATCAGATATTTTAAAACCAACAACTCATCCTTCGTTGATAATTTTGTAAACAGTGACTTCTTATGTGACGATAGTAGTCTGTTCCTGCTTTTGATTTTACTTGACATCCTTGTTCTGGGGGCTTAATGGGTTAGTTGGAATTTGAAGAATTCGCCTTGAAATCGACTTGGATATTTTGTTCTACATTTATGATAGTTACATGCAGGATGTCACCACCTAAAATTCCAGACTTTCAATAATACTACTACCCCACTTGAGTTGAAAGAGAGATATAAGCAGTTCGGACTAATGTTTGTTAAATTGGAGGCATTGGAGTAGCTTCCAGTTTATTCTCCAGGATTTAAGTTAGTTTTTTTGCAATAATAAGTTACTTTTTAACTCACAGAAGGGAACGCTACTTACTCTATGTAAGAAGAAATAAAGCTAGTCTTCATAAGCAGCTTTTACTGATGCCTTTTACATAGCCTATTACACTGGTTAATCCAAAAAGGTGAAAATTGATATCAGAAGTGTCAAACTTTAGCGAAAGTTGTGCATCATATTTTCAACTTGGATTGATTCAGCAGCACTTTGGGAATCGAAGGCATACATTAGTACCCAACCTTGAGATTATCGACTTTTCTACCTTCAAGGCCAATTTTCCTGTTGGTGCAGGCCACAATACGAGAATGGGTATCAGTTTTGGAAATAAACAGCTGCTTAATGTTGGATCAAATAGCCACTGAGGGTGCATCAGTTTCTACCTGTCTATAATTGCGCAAGCTTCAGTGGCCCCAATCATACCTGGTTAAGCTCATGACGCCATGGCTGCAATGAGTACAACCACCCTTCTTTATGGAGAGATATTAGATAGAAAATTTGTAAAATTGCTCACAAGCTCCGCTAGGAACTCTTCATATACAAAGACAGCCCCTTTCAGTTCAAGAATATGTGTCTTTTTAAAATCATCATTAGTTCAGATACCTTTATTTTTAAAGTAAAAAAATACAGATCCGCCATGCATTTCTTTCGTATATATAAGATATTATGTCTTGTGATCATACCTGAAATCGGTCGAAATTATCAGTTGAGCAGGTTATCATCTAACTTCGAATTATACATCATTTCCAAGCTCTGAAAAGTTTTCTTGGTATTATTTGAATAAATAAAAAATTCCCTTTTGATATGTATGTTTATGCAAAAAAAATACTCTGTATACTCTTTGTCTCCATCTTCTCGGCGGTTCCAGGATATTATTCTCCTCCCACCATCTTGGCCTGATGTTGAGTTTAAATATTCCTGTCTGTCCTTGTATTTATTTTCTGAATTATATGCCACCTTCAACTCCTTTCGTCCAAAAATGACCTCAAATGAGCCTGCCAGCACTAAAATTTTTGCATCTGATACAAAAGAAATTGCAAACCATGGTCAACAGAACAAAGAGTCATCTTCCTCTGAAGACAACTTAGACGCCGAATCCTTGGCCAAAACAGAGAATAGTCAAGTTTTTGAGGTGTCCAAAGAGGGCCCAAACTTTCGCGGTGTTGGTATGTATGGAGCAGCAATTTTGATTGCAAAATCTCAATTGGGATTAGGAGTACTTGGTTTGCCTAGCACTTTGAATGCTTTAGGCTTTTTGCCAGGTTTGCTTTCACTCACCTGTTTGTGTTTGTTGAGTACATACACTGGTCTCATCATTGGCAAGTTTCGAAATAAACACCCACATATTTACTGTATCGACGATGCCGCGTACATGTTGTTTGGTAGTGTGGCACGTGAAGTAATGGGCTGGGGGTTTTGGCTCTTTTACACTCTTTGCTATGGTTCAGCTTTGCTCACCATTTCCATCGCGTTCAATTCAATCACAGAACATGCCGTGTGCACTGTCATTTGGGTGGTTGTCGGTGCAGTGGTCTCGTTCATTCTTGGTGCCTCAATTAGAACCATGAGAGTGTTGTCCTTCATGGGATACTTTGCCATGTCAAGCATTCTTCTCGCTGTGTGGATTGTTGCTATTGCTTGTCTTACTCAGAAAGTGCCCGCTGCAGCACCAGAGGGCGAGCCAATCAATAAAATGATTAGAGTCGCAGCCAGCGGTGCTCGATTCAATACCGTGGCCTCTGCTATTGCCATCCAATTTTTTTCATTATGTGGAACAGCATCTTTCTTTTCAATACAGGCTGAAATGAGGGACCCCAAGCAGTATGGAAGGTCACTTCTTATGGGACAAGCGTTGGTAATGTTCAACTACATTGTTCTTGCCATTATGATTTACGCCAAAATTGGCCAATACGTTGCATCCCCTGCTCTAGGCTCCGCTGGTGTTTTGCTTAAAAAGATCGCCTATGGTATCGCCCTTCCAGGTTTATTCTGGTCCTCGTTTTTCACTGCACACCTTGCGGCAAAATACGCCCTTATACGTATTCTTAGGGGCACCAAACATTTGCAAAGTAACACCAAAATTCACTGGATTACTTGGCTTGGAATGATAGCTATTGTTAGTGCTGCAGGTTTTATCATTGCAGGTGCAATCCCCTTCTTCAACAATTTAGTAGCTTTAACTGGGGCGTTGGTTGGTACTTCCTTCACCCTTTTCATCCCCGCTTGTTTAACATTGTACGAACTTGGGCATCACAAACATCACGAGCGTGATCTGACGCTTACTTGGATAAAACACTCGTGGGGTGAACTTCATCACCACAAATTCACTGTTGTTTTGTCAATCTTTTGCATCTGCGTTGCCTTTTTTATTTGTGTGGGTGGTCTTTATGGAGCCATATCTTCAACAGTTGAGGCTTATGCAAATGGAACTGTTGATCGTGCATTCTCGTGTGCCAACAATGCATAAAAAGGAAATCAAAATTTTTGACATTCCCACATAGACATTACAAAAAAATTCAAACTAGAACTATAGATGATCTTTCTCTAATAGAGTGTATGATTACTTGAACTGCTGAGTAGGCTCGACCCCCCCTCTCTCAAAAAATACTACATTATCTTTTTAAAAAAAAATACTTCTATCATTAGTCAAAGTTACAAAACATATACATAGAGTTTACAATAACCCTACCAATCATCGTCATCAGCATCCTCTACATCACTATCATCTCTGGTAGCACCTTGTCTTTTCTTCAATGCATCAGCAAGCGAGCCTGCCAATGTTGTCTCTTCCGTCTTTTTAGCTTTCAATGCATCGGCTAACCCATTTCCCAAGCTACCACTCAGTGCTGTTGTGGCTTGAGTAGTATTAGTATTGGAGCTAGCAGTACTCACTGGGTTCGAAGGAACTGATACACCAGCGTTTGAGTAGACATTGTTTGCATTTGGTGAACATTCTTGCAAGTAATCAATTGGCGACCAGCCCTCCTCAGACTCGTCCATCGTCTTGACCAATCCCCATTTGCCATTGATTTGAGTCACGTAATAAATTGTATCTTTGGTCAATGCAACGGAGCCCGCTACCGAACCATCATAATCATACATGGCTTTGTAAGTAGGAAACTTGGGTTTCGATAACGCTGGGGGTGGTGGTGGCGGTGGAGGTGATGCAACATTCCTTTTCGGTTGAGGAGACGTCGCCTTCTTTACTGGTGGTGGAGGAGCAGCTTTCTTGGCGGGTTTTGAAGGAGCGACTGGCCTCCTTGGAGACGTGGGTTGGACTGGTTGTGCTCTATTGTTGAAGCCGCTTCCTTGACCTAAAGCGGCTTGAGCTGCAGCCACTTGCAAAGAAGTACCATCATGTGATTGGTTTCTTGAATGAGTGGCTGGTTGAGAAGCTGGACGAGATGATGGTTGCGGTGCCGAAGGTTGGTAGTGTTGCTGTGCGAGTGCAGGTGCGGGTTGAGAATATGAAGGCTGTGCTGGTCTGGTAGCTGCTGGTCTTGATTGATAGCTAGAAGTTCCGTTTCTGGTACCCCTATTGTAATATTTACTATAGTCAACTTTTCCTGAGACTGCCCTAGGACGTTTTGGATTCTTGCTACTTGCTGGAAGACCCTGGTTGACTGTGATTGTTCCTGATTTGTAAAGATCACTTCTGAGAGGAATCTGTGGTCCAGATCCAACCACGGATTTGACTGTGTGATACTTTCCAGGCTTCTTTTGATACTGTATAGTTGGACCAATAATGATTGACAATCCAGGGTTTAATTTTTTTAAGTGTGTGATAAATTCAGTTTTGAGATCCAAGTTTATGAAAAGATCAGGAATCATGGCTGTTGGGGTGTGTAAACAAATGGCAACCCAATTGTCCTGGTTGGTCGATAACCCAACATTCTTGATGGAGTTGATAGGAATGACATATTCCTTTTGCAATTGCAATCGCTTTTCTACCAAAGCTTCAGCCACGACGTACAAACTTGTTTTGCTTAGTATAAAAATACGAGGCAACCTCTTTGAAGACCTTCCAAATTTCGACAACAATATTTCTCCCTTTCCAGAAAATACCACACGATCAGTGATTCCCGTTTGATTAACAACAAATCTTCCATATCCACTTTTATCGTTGCACCCTAAGTAATCTCCCATGAACGCACGTGATCCAAGCATGGATAGTCTTCTTCTTTCTTTTCTACCCTGCAACAAGCCATTACCATAGTCTCGTAATTGCTCAAATTGGTTTCCATGTGTTTTCATTCTCCATGCGTTTTGGATAACTTTGGCAGCATCATCTTTGCGTTTGATGTATCTTCTCCAAGCTCTTTGGATTCTGGCGGCCATATTGTGCCAATACTTATCCCTCATATCTTCCAAAGCAAATAATGTTTCCGGGGTTTTTATAAAAACTTTCGTTGTACCAAGCTGGTATTCAGACTGAGGAATATGACACGAACGCAAGATCTCCTTCACAGCAGTAAGATCATCGCCATGCCATATATAGTCACCAGCATAACCTGTGGCGGGTGACAACAAATAGAACCTTTGAACAAATCTTTGGAAAGTAGAACGGTAAGCAAATCCTGCTCTTCTAATACGAACGTTCTCCTTAAGACCCAAGTACTTTATTTGGTGCAACACTTGTTGGTTGTCATAATCGCGAGGCTTCTTAGTTTGGTTGGGTTTAATGGTTCTTATATAAGAAGGAGTACACTGGGACAACGTATCAACCAAAGCATTTGCACTGGTCTTGATCTTGTCTGATGCAGTTGGCGGTCTCTTCTTGGTATCGATCAAAGCATTCAATAAATCTGGTGGGAACAACGTTTCATTGACAAATGGGTTCGAAGATGTTCCCAATAACTCCAAAAGATCGCGCAATATACCATCTTTGTTTTTATCAGTCATTCCTGCCACATCGTATGTAACGTCACCTGCATAATGCTTGATGATGAATTTACCCCTCCTATCTTCAAAATGACGATTATTAGCACCAACCATACTCAATCTTTGGGCAAACACTTGATCAGCAGCCTCTGAGTCTGCATGTGCAGTCTTGATCGAATCATTCAAAGCTGCAAATAACCCTGGTTGTGGCCTGGTAGCTTCAATCAAATCACAAACAACCTTATTGTTGAAATAATCAATAGGAGTCCATTTGATCTGTTCCTGAACATACTCATCTTGCTCAGCCTTTAATGTCAATTGAATGAAAATTTGTTGCAACTTCTCATTCACATAGTTGATACAAACTTGTTCAAACGAATTATGCTCGAAAATCTCAAACCCATAAATATCAAGGATACCAATCGATTTGTTTGATTGATATTGCTTACCACCTAATGATAAATTCACTCTTTCGACAATCCAGTCAAATAAGTTGTTGTAGATACCTTTTGCCAAAGCATCTCGCACGGCAGTGGCTTGCACAATGTTCAATGGAACGTGGTATGTGGATCCTCTCTTCATTCCATGCGAGGTTTCTATAGTCCTTTCGGTAAGCGCTTTCTTTAGTATTTCAGGGTTAACATCCAAGAGATAAGCAACGAAATTGGTCACACTGTCATCACGGATTGCTGCATTACCACTTTCATCTTCCACAAAGGAAATGTTACCGATCCATAATATCAGGGCCAACATTCTGAATATGTTATCTTGCTCTGCTTGAGTTAAACCAATGATGTTCATTGCGTTTAAAGTGTCCTTAAAATCCTTTCCGTCATCAATACCATCTACGGTAATACATTTAGCTGCAGAAGTGTAGACATAAGTCTCGGGGCCCTGTATTCCAAACTGTTGTTGATATTGAGGAGGACAATGTTTTGTGAATTGGTAAAAAATGTGAAAATTCCTTTCATTAGTTATTTGAGAAACGACTCTTTGCTTTTCCAAAAGATAGTTTGTGATATGAGCAGCCACTGGCAGGTAATTGCCTTCGCTAAATTTTATCTCAAGGTACTTACCATGTCTACTAGAGTTATTATTTCTCAAAGTTTTGGCACATCCAAATGACTCCAAAAGTGGATTTGTGGCCAATACCATATCCTTAATCTTTGAAATCTCGGCATTGTCAGTATCAACCGACACATTGGCAATATATTGCATAATTTGCTTTGCTGCCTCGGTTTTACCTGCTCCTGATTCACCAGAAATGATTACACACTGGTTTTCTCCATATGACTTCAAATGGTAATACATAGACTCGGCAATGGCGAAAACATGTGGCGGAACTTCCAACCTGTTTCTTCCCTTGTACTTGTTCAACGTCTCCAAAGTGTATATTCCAAGATCACGAAACGGATTGACTGAAATCAACACATGACCGATATAAGTATATATCGTGTCATTCATAAACCTCTTGTGTAAATTCTCGTTGATTGCTTCATCGGTTATCTTGGACAAAAGCGTCAAATCCGACACACCAACCTCCTTCTTCTTGGTGACGTCAAATTCCGCCTTTTTAATTCCTCCTCCGCTCAGGCCATTCACTTTTGCAGGTGCCTGTTGCTGCTTAGCCTTTGTACGACCACCTCTTTTTACTATCGCCATGATTGCTACTAGTCTGTTCTGTTTTGTATGATAATCTCCTGTTGCTGCTCCAAAACAGGAAAAAGCAAAAAATAAGTAAAATAATTCGTTCGGATTTGGTGATCTGGCATTGCCCTTGACAATTTCATTTTTTTTTCTTTTTTTCCAAGCCGAGAAAATCAAACCAAATGACTTAAAAGTGTGTAAATTATAGGAGAAGATGGAAAGATTAATGCAGAGCTATATTACTTCAAGACTTCTACACATTGTAAAAAACCCACTAGTGTGACCACAATCTAACCATTTTATCCTTTCCACCTGAAGCCACTCTTTTACCATCCAAACTCCAATCGACAGCATACACCTCATCAGCGTGTCCCGGAAGATCCACACTCAATTTCTTGGTCCTAATATCCCAAACTTTCAACGTGGTGTCTTTGGAACAACTAACCAATAACCTATTATCTGCCGACCATGCAGTTTGGTACACTGGCGCAACGTGGCCTCGTAACGTGGTAACAAATGTTCCTCTAATACCATCCCACAATTTGATCGAATTATCAAACGAGCTTGAGACAACATATCTTCCATCCGGTGAAAAACTAACATGGTTGACTAATTTCTGATGCCCCGTCATTCTGCACACTGGTTTGGACGACTTGAGTGGTTCCCAAAAGAACATTGTAAAGTCATCACTGGCAGTCACTAACCTCTCACTGATTACACCATTCAATTTGGCAGTTTTTTCGTATTGTTCTTTGGCTCTTTTGCGCAACTCTTCAGGAGTGTACTTTGATGACTTGGTTGACGTGTGGTCAAATCCACCTTTTCTCAACACATAATCAGTCGACAATGATAGATGGTTGACCCAATGAGCATGGCTCTTTAAAGTCTGTACGCACTTTCCACCAGCAGAAATATCCCATGCTTTTATCGTCTTGTCGTGTGAAGCACTATATACAATATTTGATCCTGACCATTTAACACAAGATACGGAGTTTGTGTGTCCACTCATTGTAAGCTCGCATGTTCGTGATGTAGTATTCCATATTTTAACCGATCCATCTTTCGAGCTTGATGCTAATCGAGGTTGCACATCAGAAGCAACAAGATGCAAAGGTTCCCAGCTCAAAGAACTGACCCATTTTGAATGCCCAACCAATGGTTTTCCAATAGGCTTTCCAGTACTGGCTTCCCATAGCCTTATAGTGTTATCCATCGAACCCGTGGCAATCATGGTTCCATCTGGCGAGTAGGCAACACAGAGAACCCAATTTGTGTGTCCCAGTAAAGTATGCATTGGAGTAGAAGTATTACAATCCCATATCCGTGCCGTCGAATCTCCAGCACCAGTACACATGCGCCCCGAATCATTTGGAGCAAAAGTACAACATAAAATGGTAGATCCATGACCTGCAATGGCTGCACTTGATCGAGTCACTGGCTTAACTTTAAAAACAGCTCTTGGTGTGTATAATAAGGTGAGAAAATCTTCGGTTGTCTTTATACCTGGCTTCAACACCGATTCGTATAAATTATTTCTAATATCGACCAATTTGTTCCCCTCTTCTTCATGTAATAGCGAGAAAGTATACGGTACAGGGTCGTCACTCTCGCCTCTTAAGTTGTTAAGTAATTCTTCCAATTGTTTCTCTGTGATACCTCCTGGCACCCGAATTGATCCACCAGTTGATTCTCCAGTATCCGAAGCTTGAAACTTGATTAGCACATTAGGTACGTCATCGGGGACAAGATTCACTTCCCTCACTTGCTGAGCTTCTCTTTTTTGCTTTTTCGATGGTGGCGGTACTACTGTAGCCATGTTTTAGAGTGTATCTTTGATGATAAAGCTTGAAGGAGTACGTGTGATGTTTTATTTTCCATTTTTTTTACGAGATGAGCTTTTAAGCAGATGCGATACCATTAGTGGAATTGGTAGCGCTTGCATACAGAATTGCAATCTCTTCCTCTGATTCTTCAATCACTTCGCTTGCAACCGCTTCAAAATCATTAGAGCTGCTGGTGTTTCCTAAATCGTTGCTAGTGACGTGAATTATGGATGCATCGACATTGGGCGATGATGAAATAACTGGATAGCTTTCAGCCACAGTTTCTGATAAGTCTCTGATTTTATGTTCCCCATTGAATTCTTCTTCATTATCATAATAGAATTCATCATCAATATCGAAATAAATGGGACTAAGTTTTTCTGATTTAACCTCCACTTTTACGGCATTAATCAATTTAAGCATTGCTTGGTTGATTGTAACTTGACGCGTGTCATCGATAGGGTAGTTTCTGAAAAAATGGGGTGTTTTATGATACCAGTCTAGATAAAATAGAAGCTTGGTAGTACATGTCTTGTGGGTTGTACTTGGTGATAGTATGATTCTTCCCTTTTCGCTATAGGATAGTTGAGATGCATCAACGTTATTACTTATCTTATATGGTCGATATTTGGTTTCAAGGTAACCTAGTAGATATATCATTACGTTTGAACCAGTGCGAATGCTATTGAGATTGCGAAACAACAAATTAACATGAGATTCATATTTGGAAATGGGGCTAACTTTAAGTAGGTCTGATGACGGTGGAATTTTGGTTATTGGGTCATTGGCTCGGTTGGTTTTATTATTGATCAATGTTGAGTTGTTGTCGATATAGTTCTTAAGAATGGTTTCCTCATAAGACATGGTCATTTCGAGCTTGTAAAACTCTAATAGACTGTGAAACTCGTTGACAATAATAAATGAATCATTAGCAAAGTTTGATTTTGTTGATATTAGTGAATATAATTTAGCAAATGAATCACATACATAATGGGTAATTTTTGACTTGAACTCTGGTTTGAACTGAGGATGGCTCTTGATTAAATGAAATGGGAACTTGTTTAGCGTATCTATTATAGCAACTGGCTTATTCTGGTTCAAATTAGATACAATTAATGATGAAATCACGATGTACATGCCATGACAACTAGGCGCAGATTGGAAGTCAAGGATACTATCATTCACAGATGTAGAATTGAACAAGAGCTCATCCAATGTAGGAATAGATGACGTGAGTGTGTCTTGACGCGAATGTGGTTGTTGTTCTATGTTGTTTGTTAGCACCATTTCATGGTTAACTCCCCCTTGGTTGTGAAGTTCTTCAAACCCCTGACGCGTTATTTACTGTTGACAAAAAAAATCAAATAAATGTTAATCTACGCCTAAATCAGTCTAAGTTGATAATGCTACACCTGAAACTATTCATTATAAACTATTGTTACTCTTTCTTCACCCGCCATGCACTATTGGGTAAACTTTGCAAATAAGTTGCCTTCTTCTTAACCCAAAGCAAAATAAGAATCCCCAAAGTTATGCACAATGCATTTGTATATAGATATCCATCACGAATCATGACTAGTCTACCCCTAGCATGGGTGCATTGTTCTCTTTCTTCTTCTGACTTGATCATAATATGACGACCTGCATCTAAATCACATCTGGCCAATGTAATCTTGTCAATTAAGAAATATATAAAAATTCGCGGCCAAGTCCCACCATAGTTTGATAATGTATTCAATGTCGTCATGTAAGTACCACCAATTGCTGGATCAGCAATCTTGGTGTGGAATGCACAAAGGGAAACAAATTGAATCGTTGACATAAACGATCCAAGTAAATGCTGTAATATAATCATCAAGAAATACGTTTTGGTCACTTGGCCATCCAGGGGGAAGAAATATACAATCAATTGTGCTAATGAAGCAGCAACAAGCCTACCAATGAATCCCCAGAGCCATGGTCTCAAAGGTGCCTTCCCTGTTGACCAACGTCCTGCATAATATCCAAAAATCATTTCAAACGGGAAATCGATAAGTACAGTAATTGACAAGTCTTCCTTGGAGAGGCCCTTTTCCAACAACTTTAAATTTGTTCCTGCTTCATTTGCTTGAAACCCTAGTTTCGCCAACAATAAAATAACAACAAAGGTTTGTACATTGGGTAGTTTCAACACTTCGTACATTGATTCAAACACTTGTCGTAACTGTATCCATTTATTAGTATTATGGACTCCTTTCTCCTTTGCCATTCTGTCTCGATTTATATCCACCAAATGGGGTGGATCTTCGGGCACTAGCAAAACTATTCCCGTGATGATCAAATACATCCATCCCCAGAAAGTCAAATATTGGCCCAATGTGAATAATCCTTGACTTTGTGGAACTTTACGTAGATACTTGTTGGCGAAATCGGGCGAGCTTAATGCTAAGAAAATGGTAAAACTGGAGAAATATCCACAATTTATACCAACTGTCTGTGCCGTTGATGCATATGATAAACTTTCTGGCGATAAGCAAGTAAGCGCCCATCCGTCAACAGCTATATCTTGAGTAGCACAGCACAAAACAAGGACAAAGAAATAAAATGTAATCGTATTCAAATGTTGCTTTGGGGAGTCAACTAATGAATCAATAATATACCCCAAATACATCAAAATAATTGCTGATATGGTTTGAATCGGCACAATCCATGATTTTCTTCTACCAAATTTTTTCGAATACATTGAATCAACAAAAGGTGACCATAGTAATTTTAATGAATATGGATATGCTGCTAGTGAAAAAATGCCTACTTCCGAGTATGTCAATTTGCTTTTCAAAATAAATGGTATTGAGCCAAATGCCAATCCAACAGGCACACCCTGTAGTAAGTATAATAGAACAAGTATCAAGAATGCCTTCCTATCACGCGGAGCTAGCGGTTGTGACTGCGATGGTTGGAGAGACTTTTTCGGCGTTTTAAGTGGTTTTAGTTTGATGTCTTGATTAGATACTGGTAATAATCCATCATTCTCCTCTTCAAATGCGGCATGGCGATAATTGAGGGTATTTTCAAGTGAGCCATCAAGTTGCAATGGATAGCTCAGTTTTTCAGACATAGCAAGATATTACTCGAGTATCATAAACGATTGACGTGAGGGGGGTGGAGGAGAAGTTAATTGATAAAGCCAACTGTTGTTTTGAGGTGTCCTTTGGAGAGAAAAAAAAATTGAACGGAAAACGCTGAAATGCTGAAACGCGGAACAAAGGAGTTTATCGAATCCAGCCTTGCGAAAAGCCATTCTCTACAGAAACAATAGCCCAAAAGCCTTGCACTTTCATTCCTTCTAGTACTGTTTCTTTACACAATTTGTTACTAAACTTCCACAAGCTGTTTACTTAGTATTCTGATGTCTTTTCATATTATACACATTTTATACTTTGCTTCAATATGTGCCGCCATCCTTTATAAACCCAAAACTTTTCTTGAAGCTCTCATAATAGTTTCAGTATCTGGGAATGCAAAGTCTTCCAATTCCTTAGCATATGGAGTTGGGACTTCACAACCGGTGACTCTTTCAACAGGAGCATCCAAATAATCAAAACCTTCGCTTTCCATAATTTGAGCACAGATTTCTGATCCAACACCAAATGCAGGGAAACCATTTTCAACAGTGACCAAATGGTTGGTCTTTTTCAAGGATTCAATAATGGTTGGTACATCCAATGGTTTAATCGATCTCAAGTTGATGACTTCGGCACTAACATCGTAATCTTGCTTCAACTTCTCGGCAGCTTCCATAGCAAACTTGACTGCTCTGGAGTGTCCAACAAGAGTGATATCAGTACCTTCTCTTTCAACCTTGGCTTTACCAATTGGTAACAAGAAGTCCGATGAAAGTACTTCTTCACTAACTGGGAATGATTCACCGTATGCAATTTCATTTTCCAAAAATACCACTGGGTTTGGATCTCTAATAGAAGCCTTAATCAAACCTTTGTAATCTTCTGCCGAATATGGCGACAAAACTTTCAAACCTGGAATTGAACCATACCAAGCTGCGTAATCTTGGGAATGTTGGGCAGCAACACCAGCAGCAGCACCATTTGGACCCCTGAATGTAATGTTACAGGGTTGGATACCACCACTCATGTAATGGGTCTTGGCAGCAGAATTGATGATTTGATCAATGGCTTGCATGGCGAAATTGAATGTCATAAATTCCAATACTGGTTTCAATCCATGGAAAGCAGCACCAACAGCTAATCCAGTGAAACCCATTTCTGTGATTGGAGTATCAATGACTCTTCTTTCACCAAATCTATCTAATAAACCTTTACTTACTTTATAAGCACCATTGTATTGACCAACTTCCTCACCCATTAAAAACACATCGTCATCACGATCCAATTCTTCGGCTAAACCGGAGTTTAAGGCGTCTCTTATAGTCATTTCTTGTTGGACAGATTTGGAATTGTTGTTACGGGTTGAAGTGAGTATATTTGAGGTGTTGTTGTTGAATTGCATTCTCATTGCTTGCGCTTGACCCAACTTGTGAATGGGAGTTTTGTTGTATTTGACAGCCTGTGCAGCTAATTGAGCAGTCTTTGCGACTGAAGATGTTATTGGAGCCATAGCTGGTTAAGTTGGTTGATGTGTAGAATATGTAATTGGGGATACTGGTTGATGATGGTGAAAATTCAGATGGTAAAATATTCAATTGCGTTTTTTTTTATTGGGATTTTGGGTTTTGATGTTTTTTTTTTTTGTTTTGTTTAGAGAGAGAGACAGAGACATACTACAGACAGAGAGTTCTAAAAAAAGTCTCTCTCAACAAACACAAAGAGAGCCATTTTCAATTCGTACATATTTTTGATTTACACCAATTGAGTTACATGTAGAAACATCATTAACCTAGCTTATGTCCTCCCTCTCTCTCTCTCTCTCTTGGCAGATCACGTACTTGGTCTATCGTCTATTCACCCTATTGATGGCTAAACTTCTCTTTACAGGGCCAAGTGTGTAGGAAAATAAAACTATGGGCGTCATTTGTCCGGAGTATTTATATACAGTCCCGAACAATTTTAAATTATTTTGTGCCCGATGAGACACGAAAGGAGATTAAAGTCCGAAACAACAAACCCAACCACAAACAACAAACAGGTTGAAAGTTTTGGGGTGTTTATACAATTTCATTGCTTAGGTTCTTAAATGTATACGCGATTCTTCTACTACATTTTTACTTCTAGTTTCAATATCGATCGAATGTTATATATTAATTCTTACGTCTTTACAGAATTATCTGCTAAAAACTAAGTCTCTGCCTTGGGCAAAGTCTCCACATACTGCGCAGTGTCATGAGCTCTTCTTCTACCAGAAATATAAGTCATCATTTCGGAGTAAGTTTGTGGCACAACTGAACAATATCCCACATGAGTTTCCGATCCTTCTACCTTACTAACGGTCTCTTTAGGAACAAAGAATGAATAGATAAACGTTCCTGCTTCTTTCTTTTTATTCGAGTTCAAATGTTGGATAAAAGTGTCGACTTTAACTTGGACAACTGTACCTGGTTCCGATAAAAATGCATCAGGATTAGAGCTGATCTTGTTCATTGCTGGCAATTGGAAAGTAAATGGCGCATTCTCTTTAACAATCTCTGTTGTTTCAGTCGAATCATGCAAGTGTTCAGTGTACGACACTGACGAGTACATTGATAAAACCGATCCCACTGGTACAGGACTCTTGAAATTAGTTGAATCCAAACTAACAAATCTTGGTCCAGCTAATGAGAAACTTGCAGCGGTACAATAAGCCAATTCAAATGATTGGCGTAATAAATACCCACCAAATATCATATATGAGTGACGATTACGGTATTGTGGCTGCATAAACAAAGTTGATGTCTGTTTAGTATCCTTCATAAACGATATTGCGTTAGCTGAATTGACTTTATCAACATTTTCACTCGATTGTGTAGCTCTCCACATGTTATAAATCACTTTTGATTCCTCAGCAGTAGGTTCAATAATATGCATTTTCTTTGCTTCTAACTTCTTTTTGGCATTATGACTTTCAGCTCTTTTGTAGTCAACCCAGTCTTGTTCAGTTATTGGCAACAAACGATTAATGGGGAATGATTTATGAGTGATTGGATTACGAGCAACAAATGTAAAATTAGCAGTTAAAAACACATTAGAAGAAGGCAACGTGTCAATCTTTATATCTTCTTCCTTGATGTCATGTTCAAATGCATACCCCTTGACAGTAATTTCCATACTTGACCTACCAGTCCAACTAACAGATCCAGCTAAAACGAAATTAAATTTACTAATCTCATCAACCTTTTTCACCATATAAATACGATCAACGCTGGCAGTAACATTGACTGGCTCTGCTGGTGAACAGTGTCTATAAGCAATCCTCCCGGCTAATGCATCCAAATCCTGAAATAATTGACCGGCACGTAATCTACCAAAAGCATTGATGTATGCATCACATAGCCATTGATCATCCTTGAATGGCAAAAGCAAATATGAAAACGAATCAGCTCTTGTCTTTTCACCAACTTTGTCAGTCACTGGGTTGTTGTAAACAAACGAATCTATACGTTTACCTTCTGCTTGGAACTTCTCCTGTTCCGTCAATGCTTCAAGCCAAGTGGCTTTTTTGGGGTTGATTTGTTTATCCCTCAATTCAGCCAATATAGTAGCAGCAGCATCGGCAGCCTCGGAAGGCTCCTGAGACCCAGCTTCGGCATCACCAGGTTCTTTAGGCTTGTGGAATTTGGCATTATTGGGTTTGCTACTCGATGTTTTGGTAGCTTGGGAATTGAATCTAAGATGTAGCCCAATTGAAGCTCTCACTGCTGGAAAGTGCTTAATATAAGGGCGAGCAATGCGTACAGACCTAATCATCTTTTCAATTGGCGTGGTAGGAGTAGAAACAGTTTTTTTGAAGAAAATGACAATTGATGTTTATACTCCTTGTGGAATCAGGTGCTAAGTTACGTTATTTTATATCTGCCAAATGTGGTTGCTGGGTTTTATACGATGCATCCAATTCCGTGTTTTGTAAGAAGGTCGTGTATTTCAATACAAAACGGCCGTCTCCCGGGTGTACAGGAAAGGCGAGAACAAAATCAAAATATTAGTTACTGCAATCTCCGAGGACTCAGAAAAGAGGGGTAGAACAGAAAGCTCCTCATTCATTGACTGCAAAATTGAAAATAAGCTTCACCAACAAAATTTATCACATATTTGTTACATTTATGTCGTCAAAAATGTTGAGTAAATAGTTGATATACACGTTGCCCTCTCCCACCCCCCACCGTCGTCTTTATTTGCATACCCAATGGCTGTGTTATTATCACCCTTATCTATCTCCTCTCGTAAAATAGTAGTCCGATCTGTTGCACAACAAACTCATACCCCAACAACCTACCATTTATCTTGAAACAAAGTCCATGTGGGTTCCACTGTAACACATAACTAGCATCCGAGAGACTAGTCCATCTAAGCGAAACCATCTTCAATCAGAGCCTTTTTATTTTTGATTATCCTTTCACTTTCTCCTCCGTCGCCTGCTCGCTTAAGTTTACCCAACAAAAAGAAAAAGATCTAGAACAGAAACCTTTGTCGGTTGCAAAACGCAAAACCAAAGAACACTGTTGTAAAAGCAGATAATCTTCGCCCAAGGTATACAGCTATCTTTTTCTGTTTTCGTATTCGGTACATGTATTGATTATTTCAATATAAAATAATAATGTACAACTAAGCTGGAAACTATTGAACTAAAATAAAAGGATTGATATGATAATATTACAAAACAAACAACAAAAACTTAAACGTCTTAACTCCCATAAAAAAGACAATCAAAAACAAAAAGTCAAACAAAAACATAGATCAAACGGCATCCTGGCAACCTAGCAATCTGGCACCCAAAATATCAATCAAAATGCGAATAAATCAAACAGTAAACATTAAAACACCATCCATTAAACCATTTGTACCTTGATTCTAATCACTATCATCATGATGCAAAGTGGCAGACTCTTCACGGTGAGTATGGTCGGGCTCATAAGACGAGTCTCTCAAACTTGCCTTTCTTGTAAAATCAACCAATGTTGCACCTCCATTTTCACGATCATTGCCAGTGGCGGTGGCATTTCCACCACTTAATAACGAACCGGAGCTGGTTCTGGTACATAAATTCTTCACCGGTGATAAACTGTCAACAGGGCGCAATCTACCATCGTAAATGAACTTCTCTGATGATATTGAATCGAGGGTGAGGATTGACTGATGAGGGTTTTGGTTGTTGTTTTGCGTTTGAGTTGAAAGTAAATGTCTTTGACGAGTAGGCGATGATGTTGGTGATAAGTAGCTGTTATTTGCGGTATTCTGGTTATTGGTCATTTGTTGGGGGTCATTAAGAAGAAAATTATCCGATTGTGGTGATTTTAATTCGGGTTTATTGAATTCAAATAAAAATGTAGGTGATTGCGATTGTCCCATGGTGAAAGGCGGTTGTGGTGATGGTGAGGGCGATGGTGAGGGCGATGAGTTGTCATTATTGTCTTCAGAGGAGGATCCCGAGGATGATCGATCAAATTTATGTAACAAATTGCCAATTGATCCCGTAGTATCCTCTCTATTTGACATATCTCTAGAGTTCTCCTCGGGGACAATATCCAATTGTGATGTTGAGTGAGGCAATCTATTTGGCATTCGTTCTGGTGATGATGTTGGAGCCAATGTGTCATACTCGACAATATTTCCATCCGAATCCAAACGTTGAATATTTTGTGACGAATTATCCCGTTGAAGTAAGGCATTTAGTGAATTATTACTCATGAATGCATTTTTTGCAGACGAAATTTCTGAGTCACGTTGTGAATGGTCTTCAACTAATCGTACGGAAAACAATTGTTCGGTATTAACGGTCGATAATGAAGCGTCACTGTTTCTTGTCAAATTTGCTGGTGTGATAACTGCTTTATCATCAGAGACGAGGTTTGCTCGCCAACTTTTCAGTACTGGTTGTTCCTGAGTATCATAAAATGATTCATTTGTATCGACGTGGGTTAAGGATGACGATGAGGAATTGGCAGAAACTCCCTCCAATTTCATTAAATTGACTTGCGACTCATTCTTTGGATCCATAGGGAAAGTTGACATAGCTCCCGTTGCTGCGCCTGCACCTGCAGCTGCGGCTGCTTTGCCACCACTTGAAGTCGAACCTGGCACTTGTGTTGTCGCTGATGTGACTGTTCCCTTTTCGTCATCTGATTCTTGTTTGCTATTTCTTCTCTTGTAGCAACAACAGAATATGATAAACGCAGCAACTAAAATGACAAATACTGGAATACCAACACCAAGTCCAATGGCTAAATCTCGGTTCTTGTTAGAGTTGTGTGATGCACCCGAAGCGGAATTACTGTTGCTTGAATCATCAGTAGCAGAAGCTGTTGCTGCCCCTGCTGTTCCAGAAGACATTGACGTTGAAGTTGAAGTTGAGCTTGATGAGCTGGACGTGATATGTTCGTTAACCCCCTTTATGCTGAAACTTTTCTCCTCATCTTCAGAATCTAATTTACCTTCGATTGTGACTTTTAAGCTGTCAAAACTTTTTGGTGTTATTCCGTTCAATGTTTTGTTACTGTCATGGTAAGAAAGCCAGTTGGATTTATCAAAATTAACATTCACTTCAGTTTCATTAGCATTGGTGAAGATTGAATTCATTATTTGATACTGGAACCATTCACCTTTGGTGGCATTAACATCATCTAGTGAGTTGATTGTAAAAATGGAGCCTATTGCATTAAATGAATAAGGTAAATCAACAGTGTTTCCATACGTGTCACTGACTGTGATTGAAAAATTATCAAATGTTGAAGTGTTTGGGAAATTTCCAGTAATTGTATAATCGGCATCATTAAATGACAAATAAGATGGTAAGTCATCAGCATCAACTTCAGATATGTTATCCTTGGAAATCAATTGTCCGTCAAGGTAAACATGGGACGTGATGGGCACCACTTCGTCAACATCTTGTCCAAAAGTACCATTAATCTTGACCGTGCTGTTCAAATCTGTTTCTAATTGATGTCCACCAACGATAATTTTGAAAACACTTGAAGCACCAGCATAACCGTAATAATCACTTGCGATAAAGCTAAATCCATATTCAAACGATGGAGCATTTTCCGAAGTAACATGAGGAACGGTACCTGAAAAGGTCAATTCTTCGCCATCAAAAGAAATCCAGTTTGGCAATGAACTCCGATCAGCTGATCTACCGTAGTACGCCACGATTGAACGTTGGCTTGACGAATAACTTTCAAATGTGTCTTTACTAAACTTTAAACTGATTTTGTCTCCTGGTTTAACCACTAATCCGTCGTCTCCATTAGTATTACCATATTGGGCCAATTGTTGAAATACACTAGTATCGGAATTGACATGTAATCCCGTGTCATTTGACACAATCATTGTGTAGTTATTGGACAAGGTTGATTGATCACTTTGATCAGTGCCCTTGATTGTAATATCAAATTCTCCAACATCTGATTCACTGGGTTTACCGGTTAGTGTTCTTGAACCAGAATCGAATGATAGCCAACTGGGTAGGTTTGATACTTGGTAGGTAATTTCTCCGTTACTGCTTGATTTATAGGTAGAATTGGCCATAGTGAATGTATAATCCTCGTCAACTCTTCCTACATTTGGAAGCTGCTCATCAAAGGGAAATCCCATGTATATTGATGCTGAAACATTGTGTATCACCTGTAGAAGTAGTAGTCTTAGTAGCAAGAGTTGTAGCATTGTCTTGTTCTAATTCTCATGTGGTGGAGTATTAACAAGGGGTGTATGAGTTTACTTCCTCTGTGTGTCTATGTGTGTCTATGTGTGTGTTTGTGTGTGTGTGTTGTATTTAGGTGGGAGTAACGACTGACTATGATGCGACGATGTGAATAGGTGATAGTGTTAAATGTTGTTGTTGTTGATAGATGGTGAAGATGAAAGATGTGTATGATGTGGATTTCTTTTTCTGATGAAAGGACAGAATTTTGCTCTCAGTAGATTGTGTGATAATGATAATTGTTTGATGGTATGGTAGCTGCTTTCCCAATCGAGCGTAAATGTATGAACATATGTAAGATTTGGCGTCTTCTTGTGTTGTTGTTGTTGTTGTTGTTGTTATTATTATGCTTCATCTTTCGACCCTTTGGTTTGGTCTTGTGTTTTGTACATAGAAGAATCATTTTTTGTCTTGGTGTTTATTCCATACAGTATGTATGTGTGGATGTAATTTCAATAATTTCGCGTCTTACTTTGTTATGGAAAAAATACGTGTACATCCACACATACATATTTTAACAATAATTATGCAGAAGAAGCCAACTCTAACACAAAACAAAAAAAAAGATGCGAATCTTTATTTATTTGTGAGATCTAGAATTTAACCTCATTGGGAAAGGTATATCCATACATTTCGAAAGGCGCTATGCAATACACGCGATATATATACGCATAGGTGTATGCTCATAAACCATGCATATACTCTCTAGTAAAACACCTTTTGTTGACCCTTCCATCTATATTTAGAAGGGAGAAAAGCTTTCAAAGATAAAAAAACTGACAACTAGAATTATCGCAAATTTTCATTATGTCTGTAAAAACTTAGACGACAACACGATAGTTTTACATTGTTTTCATCAATTGTACTCGTAAACATTTACGGATTGGCCGCAATGCAGATCACATTCCATTCCAATACGGCTTCTTTGTTTTCTCCAAACCAGGAACGAGGTATTCTTATTCTTTTCCAACGTGTTTGGCACAAAGATTTAGATACAACCTCACTGTCGCCTCTTTGGTGATTTAATTTTATTGAAGCTTTCTCTCGTCAAAGAGAGAACAAAGTATATAAGATAAAACTACAACCGAATAAAATGTTAATTACTAGATACATAGCAGGAATATTGGCTTAATTTGTGTTTCAAAGCTCTTAGCAAAAGCACTGAAAAGCACTCATTATTTGGATATTAGACCGAAAATAAAACTCAGATATGAAAAAAAAAAAAAACACAACAGAAACAAAGTAAGGGGAGATGTAACATCCTCCTAAATTAAAGCGGCTAAAGCTGCAATAATACCACCCATAGCCACACCCTTGGCAACACCGCCGTTTGCTAATTCGGATGCGATTGAGGAAGCTTCTTCAGCGCCAATGGCGTTGGATCCAGCGTCGATTGAAGTGGACAATTCTTCTCCGGCCTCTGCTTCTCCTTCTTCATTAGCAACACCTTCTTCCTCGTTTGGAGCTTCAGTGATTTCAGCTTCGCCTTCCGTAGTCGATTCTTCACCAACTTGCTCTTCAATGGCTTGTTCCTCTTCGGGGGCACCAGTTTCAACTGGTTGTTCTTCGGGGGCTTGTTCTTCACCAGACTGTTCCTCTTCAGCTTGTTCTTCAGTAACTTGTTCCTCTTCCGCTTCTCCAGTTTCAACTGGTTGTTCAGCACCTGTGTCAACTGATGAACCTTCTTGAGCTTCATTGGTGGCTGCAGTTTCTTCAGTGGAAGCAACAGTTGTTTCAGCTTCAACAACAACAGCTGCAGCGGAAGCTAAGGCTTCAGAAACAGATTCTGGAATAAACCAGTAAGGATCCCAAACACCAGCACTTGAACAAATGGATGTGGCCAAATACTCAACACTACCAATAGCATCACCTTGACAGTTATCAGCTACACATTGACCAATAGCACCACCGAATTGAGGCATGACACATAAACAACCAGTATCCCAGTATGGACAAGGAGTAGATCCAGTACTTTCAAACATACAAGCTTTAGCACATTCTGGCAATTGATCGTAGATTCTGTCAGCGAAACCATTGATTGAAGCAGTTCTTGCGACACTTGGGAAAGTAGCATATGGGTTTTCAGCTTCAGTGTCAATGATTGTAGTAAGAGCGTCCATTTCGGTTTGATTTTTTAGATTAATAAACTTTGGTAGGTAAAAGCGATCGACAAGGTGTTAACTTTGATGACAGGAATTAAATGCACTTGATGGAAAGGAGAAAAGTAGCCCCTATTTATACCAATATAGCAGAATGGTTTAAAGTAAGTGGACTTCATACTTTGTTTACTGAGTACTTCAATTGAGTAATTGAGTTCAAGGCTTCAAACAGCTCAAAACTCACATGTTGAATATTATATAACGACTATTTATATGAAAAAGTTCTTGGATATTTCCATTTTCTCTTAGTTTATTGCCTAATTGGTGGAATCAATTTAAAGCTTAATCCGTAGCCTCGGTAGATTGAGCAAAATATAATATTTACCTTTAAAATCGCTTGTTATTGTGTTTTCCTAAAGTGATGTCGTTTGACAGGTGGTGCGTGTGCTACTTGACTCATTCCAGTTGGCCATATGTAAGTTTAGGTGGCTACCTAAAACATATCGTTAAAATAATTGATTAGATTCTAATCAGATAAATCAGTCTGATGTATGGCGAAGCATTCAAAGATTTAGGTGTCGAATATAATATTGAAAAAATTATTTTGTCCCCATTTTCAAAACAAAATAATTTGCAAAGAAAAAGAAAAAAAAATCAAGAAAAATGAAAATCAAATCGCCGGACCACAATTTGGTTTCGAGATAGTAGTTAAATTTGTTGAATTTTTAGGTGTCAGTAGTAGCCCTTACATTTTCCTTATTCATTGAGACAAACGCGCATCTAAATCATGTCTTGCCAAGTGTTGGCCAATTTATCAAATTTGTTTTACTTCGTTTTTGCAACCAAAGATTACCTCTCGGCCACTGAAAATTGGTCACTACAATCAGTATTAAAGTGAACCTCAGAAGCTTTTATTAAACTAAACATCACATAGATATGCTTTCGTAGTAGGAGCTATATTATTAAAATTAAACAACTAGTCAGAAGTAAAAGAAGCGAACTCCCAGCTCTCTAATAGATGAACTAGATCAAAGCAGCCAAAGCAGCAATGACACCACCCATAGCAACACCTGGGATGACAGCACCGTTAGCAGTCAAGACAGAAGCTGAAGCTGAAGATCCTGCACTACTTCCGCCCTCTGCTGGGACGGATGATGAGGATTCAGCACTTGATTGTTGCTGTTCTCCTTGGGATGCAGCAGCAGAAGATGCTTGAACAGAAGTGGTTTCTGGGGCAGAAGTTTGGGCTGGAGCAGATGATTCACCTTGAGTGGAAGTTTCTGGAGCAGTGGTTTCTGGGGCTGAGGTTTCAGCAGCAGTAGATGAAGTAGTTTCTTCTTCGGCAGTTGATGCTGGAGTGGTTTCAGCATTAGCGGCAGCAGCGGTGCTCAAAGCAGTAGAAACTGAAGCTGGGACCATAAAGTATGGCTCCCAAACACCAGCTGATGAACAAATTGAAGTGGCCAATGACTCAAATGAAACAACTTGAGAACCCTGACAGTTTTGAGCAACACAGTCGCCAATGGCACCAGCAAATTGTGGCATAACACACAAACATCCAGCATCCCAGTATGGACATGGGGTTGAACCGGTACTTTCTTTCAAACAGTCTTGAGCACAAGATGGAACAAGGTCGTAGATGCTGTCAGCAAAACCATTAATTGAAGCAGTCTTGGCGATACTTGGATAAGTAGCCCATTGATTGGTAGTAGTCATTGTTTAAGATTTGATTAATTAACGAGTGAAGTGTAATAAAATATTATCGTTTCGGTGAATATGGAGAAAGAAAATAATTGATGGAAGAAGAAGCTAAGAAAATATCTTGTGTATTTATACATTTGGTTTCATCGTAAAAAAGTCAATTGAATCTATTTGAGTTTTTAGATGTACATCAGAGTTGTGCAAAAAATTGTAAACAAAATAAAAAGCCTTATGTCTAAAACTATTTTTGTAGCAGTGTTCTGGAACTTTTCAAAAGAGCCAAGGAACATATGGGTTGTTTCCGAACTTGGAATTGTAAAATCTGTGTCGTAGTATAGCTCTTTCTCACCTGCTTTCGGTTGTTGACTCTTGGTAACCGGTTCTTCCAGTTTGGGAATTATTGACTGACCAATATAACCCCTGCCCTTTTACTTTGTAACCAAAAGATGGGCCAAAGATTCAGAGGGTTTGGCGATTCTCACATAGTACCCTCCCAATTGGGAAATTGAATATCCAAAAACGGCAACTAAAACAAAGGTGAAAATGGAGCAGTCGGCCATTTTCTTATGAAAAAGCATAAATCTGGCGGGCTTATATGCCCAAAAGCTTGGCAGTATCGGATCAAATAAATTGGTTAGAGAAGAAACAGAACCAAAACCCTTCCATCTCCGAATTGGAAACAAGAGCAAAATGAGAATTTCACAAGAGATTAAAGCCACCTTCATTCCTTTACCCAAAACACCCCCGATGAAAGTAACAAAACAAGATTAAACGAAAATTTATGCCCTTTAAACAATAAACAAAGCTTAACTGTATCGTAGCACAAGATATAACAATAGAAGGAAGAAAAGAAAAATTGTGACCAGTAAAAAAATTATAAAATGACACTAAAGTGGAAGAATAAAAGGAAGCTAAAACGGACACTAAAATAGTGCAGAATTTTTAGACCGGTATGTCCCCCAATTGGACACAAATTAAGCAGATAAGTTTTGTGTAGAATACTGAGGTTGTAGTTGTACAAGGAATTGTTAATTTAATGTAATATATTGTAGTCACGTCTGTAAAGGAAAGTTAAATTATAACTAGCCCATACTTTTCTAACAAAACTTTAGCCAGTACAAGAAAAGAATAAAAAAAAAAAAAGTGAGCTGAGGTTGTAGTCGTGCATCTTGCTTACTTTCTTTGAATTTTATTTCTTGTTTCTGATCTTCTAGATTACCTGGCTTTGTATTCCTTAATCCTTTTAATGTTGAATTGTATTCCCAAGTTCCATTTGTTTGTGTTGCTCTCTCTTATTTGTGTATCGAATTTACCTAACACTGGCGGTAATCTGCGACAACTGCGAAACACAATTGCAACAATGGAAAAGAAAAAATTAAAATTAAAATTTAAAGTTTTAAAGCTTTAAAGTTTTTTTTTCTTAGTGTGCATATTAAGAATGAATTAAATTCAACCAATGAGAAGAAACAAACTAAAACGATTGAGGAGTTAAATAGAAAACCAAAAGGTAAACAACTTTAGATTGTTAGCTTCTCCAAAACTAAACAGAAAGTGAGGGTAATTTACTTCAAAAGTAGCTGCTCGTGTTTTTAGGAGTAGTAGCAATTCCGATTCTGCAGTTCTGTAGTATTATTAAAAAGCAAAGTAAGTGGCTGGATGCAAAGGTAGAGGCTTCTATTGCCTTTCTAGTCTCATTCTCTTGTAACAAACAATGAAACGCCGTAAAGTGGTGTCTTAGTAAGTGGTTAATAATTCGATTCTCTTTGTTTAAATCCCATTCTCGGGGTTATCGTAAATCGGTAAAGAACAAAGAAAAGTTTGTTTGTGTAAATATGCACGTTTGTGTATTTTCTAGGTTTGTGTCGTGTTGATCAAATAGATAAAACTGGTGACAAAACATACCAAATAGGAAATGATCAATCGAGGTAGAACTTTACAACAGAGGCAAACGTATTATAACATCACCTATACCAGTAATTCAAATAATAGTGAGGTTTTTTGCATTCCGTGTTTTTGCAACTGTGAATGAGATGAAGCAATCTCTTTTCGTCAAGATCGAAAAAAAATATTGAAACAAAAACGGCAATTTTGGTCTTATGCATTGCGGTTTTGTTCAAGAGAGGATGAGAAAGAAACATGATGTTCGGGGTTAAACGAAAATGTATCTTTACTTCTTGTTGACAGTTTTAGAAGATTAAAAGAAAAGCTTATACTAACGGTACGATACCTTTATTGCAGCTAGAATAAACTCTAGTCTTCTTGGATGTATTTACTCCGAATCGGATATGACTTTCTACTATACATGACATCTACCTTAAAAGGAAAGCTGTTTTATTTGTAACTCGACAACAAATTCTCGCGGGCTAAAATGATGACAGATATGAAAATTAACTGATATATATCACGTTGCGCATAAAACCTTGAGTCATGCCATAAGCAAGTCACAAAACGAGTCTCTGGGACAACCAGGCTAAAGATTCCGTTACCTCGCTTCCCTAATTAAAAGTTCTTTCTTCCAATATCTTCTTCGGTAGTGTTGGGTGGTAACAAAATCGTTTTACTCATATATTCAAAAGCATTATCAGCTAAACTATATACCTAACTCTTTACATGAGGAAACTGATCAAAACTAAAACGACACTTCCCAAACTACCGGCTTGTAAAACACCCATGTTGGATGACGAGCCTGTTGATGTAGAGCTGCCTTCACTTATAGTTGAGCTCTCTTCTGAACTGGCTGATCCACTGTTGCTTGAGGATTCGGAATTAGAAACGTCATTAGAGTCAGTTTCAGAAGCACTGCTGCTGGATCCAGTCTCTGAAATGACATTGGTGTCTGAGCTTCCTGGAGCTGTGACCCATGACATTGCTGTCTTTCCGGAAATGGTAGTGACATCCTTGGCACCATCGGCAGCTGATGCCATCATGCTTGAGATAGATGCTGGCATCATCCAAGTATTAGCACCAACAGTTGAACATAATGAAGTGGCCAAATACCTAGCACTTTGAACATCTGAACCTTTACAATTTTGAGCAATACATTGACCAACTAAACCTGACCATTGGGGCATGACACAGAAACATCCAGTGTCCCAATATGGGCATGGAGTATTGCTGGTACTGTATTTGACACATTCTTTGGCACAGTCCGGTAACAAATCTATGATTGGATCAGCAAACCCGTTTATTGATGCAGTTTTGGGAACCTTTGGGTAAGTAGCGTAATTATCGGCACCTTGTACTATGGATACCAAGGCGACAACAAGAATAGTTAATATGAATAGCATGGTGTGTGGAGGTGGCTTTGAAAGTTAAACGTGAAGGCTGAAAACAGTTGTGAAAGAATCTGTGCTTGAAAACAACTTTTAGGAAAAGTACAACATATATATATATATGTATAATATCCCTTCAATTGTATTTACGATTACTGTACATGTACTGAATTGATTATGTAATTTTGTTAAAATTGTTAGACGCTATTTTTTTTTCTTGTCCTGTTGTGAATAAAGTGGATTAGCGTTTTAAATCTGATAAATAAATGGAAACGATACCTGTTTGATAAGTTATAAGAGTGGACACCAGTATCACAGTGGAGGTGCCAAAGTTGAGGGCGGTGTGCACCTAGAAATCACATCATCTAATTTGGACGTAAAACAATCTGCTTACCATTGGTTGAACAACTCAAAGGATATAATTTGTAAGTGTACGGACTAGGTTTCTTGAACCTATTTTAGTCATCAATTTACACTTCTTGTAATTTGAAATGAAAATTTGAGGAAAACTTTACTTCTAAAAGGTTACTAAAACTTTTAGGACGTCCATATGTCAGTTTCTTTTTGTGTAACGGAGTCCACGGTATTAAGCAAGTGTACACTAAAGAACTCCTAGACTATCGACGGTAACTGTCTTTCCACTTGATTTCATGCAAATTCCCAACTAGTTAATTGTTCATAACATGAGCACCTATTCAAACTATATTCAAGACTGTTATTTGGATAAAGTTATACAAGTAAACTAACTAAAATACCAATGAGGGCACCTCCTAAGCTACCAGTTTGTAAAACGGCAAGGTTTGACGTAGAGCTAGTAGCAACAGAGGTTGTCGATGAAGATGAGTCCAACGTAGAGCTGTTGGTACTATTTCCAGAAGATCCTGATTCCGAATCAGCAGAGGCTGTCTCCGAGATAACATTAGTATCGGAGCTTCCAGACGCAATAACCCACGACTTAGTCGTCTCTCTTGAAATTGTAGTTACCTCTTTGGCACCATCGGCAGCAGTTGATAACATGGTTGAAATAGAACCAGGCATCATCCAGGTGTTAGCACCTACCGTTGAGCATAATGAAGTGGCCAAGTATCTAGCACTTTGAACATCGGAGCCAGTGCAGTTTTGGGCAATACATTCAGCAACTTCCCCAGACCATTGGGGCATAACACATAAACACCCTGTATCCCACTTGGGACAGGGTGTATTGCTGGTACTATATCTGACACATTCTTTGGCACAGGCAGGTAACAAATCCACAATTGGATCAGCAAACCCGTTGATTGAAGCAGTTTTCGGGACTTGAGGGTAAGTAGCGTAATTATCTGCATTTACAATGGAAACACAAGCAGCAGATATTAAAGCAAAGATGAATAGCATGGTTAGGAGTGGTTACTTCTGACAATACCTAAAATAAAAAAATGAAAAAAAAAACTTTTACCGAGCAGATTTGGAAAGGTTATGCTGACAGGAAAAGCTGCTATTAAAGTATTTCATTTATCTTGATCTGTTTGAGTTTTGCAAATGACCTGCGATGAGCCAGAGCCTAATGTATTATTAATGCGTCTTCTAGTGGAAGGGTCATGGAAGATGTGCTGGAAGTGGCTTTTCTGAAAGAGTTTGTTTCCGTTTTGCAACTAGAGTACAAATATTGGTATTTGCCGAGGAAGATTGTCTGCCGGACCGATGATCAAGTTGTCCCACTATAGAGCTCCAATTTTACATATAAGTTTAAAAATCTAAACGACTAAAAAAAGTTAAAAGCCTTTTTTTGCTCACATATTTTTAGTATGCTACTTTTGTGAATGTAATGACAGAAGAATTTTGGTTTCTCATACGATGTAAATGGTTTGTAGCCTTTATTGTCTCTCTCTTTTTTTTTTTTGTGAAATGGCGTGAAGCGTAAATGCCCATCCGCATTTTCATCTTTGTTTCGTCCGATCAAATTGATAAAAAAAAATAAAAATAAAAATAAAAAATAAGAAATTTTAGTTAATCCTGTATATAGTGTAAAATGCTTTTGTGGTATGCCGACGTAAAAATAATACAATAGGCGGCTACAAAATAATCCAATTGTAACACAAACAGCTAAAGTTTTATCTAAAATGGGCAAAGTACTTGGCACACTCCATTTTTCACCATAAACGTGAAAAACGATATTTCCACCAATCAAGTAAGGTTGCTAAAAGACCTTGCAGTCCTTTTTTTTAGATTTACTCCAACTGCAAGATCTAAGTCATACAAGCAGTGTGACAGGTACTAGGAATGTAACTCCTAAACAAGAAATCTGCTTACTACCTTTAATTTCTGTCACAAATTTCTCCCTTATTATCCACAAACAGAGGCACCACTTTGCAATCACTTGACCCCGATATCTGCAAACTCCCTAGTACAGGAACTGTTTACCTTAAGTTTGAACCAATATGTCTCGGTACAACTTGAAAAAAGCCATCAAGATCAAACCTATTAGTCGCATATACCGAAGTTAAAAAGACTATGTGCAATAATAAGCAAACCTTTGTTAATTCAAGGATCACCTCTTAATTTTTTTCTTTTAGTTCTCACATATGACCTTCCTTTTTGGCTTGAAAGGGGGTGAACCTAAACTTACTGATTGCACGAAAGAGATTGGCTGGAATCAATTCTTGTCGTAAAGAACAAGGATCCATGCTAACCTTAATCTGATCAATCAGTAGCATTTCATTAGCTGAAATTGGCTTGGGTTATTTTATTTCTCAAGTTTGAATATTTTTCACTTTTGTTACTTTTTGAGCTTTAAGGTTTTCTTTTGCCTTATTGTTAAGGAATTAAATAAATACAAAATAATCTGCCCTCTTGTAGTTTGCAAAAGTTGAGATAGATTTAGAGAGTATAACGGTTAAACGTATTTGGCATTTATCAGTAACCTAAACTGGATATCACATCTACCTTGGATTTGTTTTATACGAGAGTGAAAAGAAAATACAACTATTGGAGACAAATACTTCATTAGCAACGGGTACCTCATCAGAAAGATAGTTATCAGTTTATGTGAAAAGCATATACCATCACAACTACATAGCAATAACTATAACACATTATGGTTCCATTTGACCAACAATATTTTGTCGAAAAAGAAAGAAACAACAAATACGAATGGCTTATATTTATTCTTACGTTAGTTATACTAGGCATACATGGTTTACTATTCCACTGGATTCCAAGATACCTTCGATTGAAAAGACAAAGTACAGGACTCACCCACGACAAGTATTTTGCCTTTATCAAACAATGGGATAGTTTTACTTCTTGTAAATATTTCACTATATTCAATAAAAGGTTCTACTACCAGCCAAGTTTAGTCCTATTCTGTTTCGTTTTTGTTGGGGTTAATATTGGGTTTTGTTTTGCTGAGATTAGAGATATTGATTACCAAGGGTTCTTGTATGCCATTTCTAAAAGAATATCTCGTATTGGGGTTGGTAATTTGCCCATTTTGTTATTATCGGTAATGAAGCACGATTTGCTTACTCAGTTTTCGGGGTTCCAATTTGATCGATTGGAATTTTTACATAAATGGTTAAGTAGATGGATGTGGTTAATGATTACTGTGCACTTGTCCTTGGGTTGTTACTATTGGTTAACCAACAATTTCTTAATCATGATTATTATCCCACCCCAAATCTTTGGGTTTATGGCTTACGGAAGTTTGTTTTTGTTAACCTGGACCAGTATGAAGTTTATTCGTCAATGGTGTTTTGAATTTTGGCTCGTGCAGCATCGGGTGTTTGCATTCATTATGTTATTTATGTCATTTATTCATAATACTGGTAACCGTGCTGTCGTCTTGGTTTCAGTGCATGGATTGGTTATTGATCGTGTCTTGAGTAAAGTGATGGCTCATGTTCATAAACACTACTCGCCAACCAAATGCAAAAGTACGTTTGGAATTTTGGATTCCGGAACGATTGAAGTCACCATCCCTATAAGGGAAGAAGGTTATATCGCTGATAGATGGTATAACAAATTGTTTGGTTTCAAGAATTGGAAAGCAGGTCAACACGTTTATTTGAATGTGCCCAAGATTAAATGGTTAGAGTACCATCCTTTTACTATTGCAAGTTTGGCCTCGTCGAATGAAATGAAGTTGTTGGTTAGAGTTCAAAAGGGATTCACAAAGAAGTTGTTGAAGTACTTGGCAGACGTAGATCACGATGAGCATGAAGATGACTTGGTCAGTATCAAAACAATGTATCATGGGCCATATGGTGCCGTACACCAACCATTTATTTCATTTGATCAATGTGTATTCTTTGGTGCTGGTTCCGGTGCTGCATTCACTTTCCCAACTTGTTTGGATCTTCTCCAACAAATTGAAGCAAAAGATGAAGCACAAGACTTTTTATTCCGTCCAGCTGCACCCAAGATTAGATTTGTTTGGGCAATAAAAAATTTGAAGAATATCATTTGGTTTAAACATATATTTGATCAGTTGCTCACCTACTCGGCTCGAAATAAATTGATTATTGATATTTACGTCACTCAAGAAAATGGCGCCGGTAGTAGTTGCAGCTCTATTGAAGAGTGCCAAATTGAAAGTGAACCTAAACTCGATTCATCCCTGTCTAGTGATGCCGTATCGTTTGAGTTGAATTCGATTGGACTGAATCTGAAACCACTCAACAAGAATAATATATATGGTGATGACAGTAAAGGGCAAAGCATAGACAAGGAGCAAACAGTAATAACAACGTCTACTGCAACAACAAACTCAGGAAACAGTTCAAGCAGTCACAACAAACACAAATCAGATACAATTGAAGTCGAGTACGAATTCACTGAAAACAAACTATATAATGTCTTTTACGGACGCCCCGATATTGGTACTATAATTCAATCACACTCAAATGAACTTTCCCAACAAATGGCTGATAGCAAAACATACAAATCGTTGGCGATTGCTTCTTGTGGGCCACCATTCTTCGCAAACTTGATCAAAGAGCAATGTCAAGTGGCAAGACGGGTAAAGGGCTCTCCTGATGTTTATTGTTATACAGAATCATTCTAATAGAAGCTACGTTAAAGTTTTACTTTGTAATAAAATTCACGATAAATACTATGCATCATTAAATCTTACAACTATACGAACTGAATTAATACACTTTTAATAACTCTATCTTGTTATACGCATTTTCTCTTTCTTCTTCTCTATTATTATACTTCATATGGTGGGCCCTTACTTTTTTGATTCAACACTGTGGGAGTTATCAGAGTCAGCATGAGCTTGAGCAACACCATCAATTTCTTCTGGAGTTTGAACACCTGGTTCGTTTTGTTGTGTTGAAGTTGCTGTCCTCAACTTATCTCTAATGGCATCAGTTGATCTAATGGGCTCCAATACATAGGGACTATTCTCTGGATCTTGACCATCATCATAGTAAGCAAATTCACCAATTTGAGCTAAGTCAGTACCCAACATCTCTTCATCTTCATGTAATCTGATTCTCAAAAATGGAATTCTGTCCATTGCCAACAATAATATAGATGTGACAACAAATGACCAAGCGGCAATTGAAACAGAACCTGCTAACTGGTAACCCAATTGTTTCCAATGATGATTCATCCAACCACCGTCAATATCAGTGCCATCTATTTTGGCGACATAATCAGCAGCAAATAATCCCGTCATAAAGTTACCAACAAATCCACCCACTCCGTGAAGTGCCCATACATCCATACCATCATCAATCTGCAAGTACTGTTTCAAATCAACGGCAAAATTACAAATGATACCAGGAACTATTCCAAAAATAATCGACGTGTAAACTGGTACGTATCCAGCTGCTGGGGTAATACCAACTAAACCAGCAATAGCTCCGGTACACAACCCAACCGTAGACCATTTACCTCCTGTTCTGAAGTAATCAACAAACATCCAAGTCAAACCACCACTAGCAGCAGCAATATTGGTATTGACGCACGCATACCACGATCTCATCTTGGCGTTACCAGTCGACCCACCATTGAAACCAAACCATCCAAACCAAAGGAAAACTGTTCCTAACACAATTGAAGAAACTGAGTGTGGTTTATATTTGGGCACTTTTCCTTGGGTCAATGGATCGTGTCTTTTACCTAACCAGAGCGAATAAGCCAAAGCAGCAAATCCAGAATTTTCATGCACCGGACCACCACCAGCAAAATCCAAAGCTCCCAAGTTGAATAACCAGCCATTTCCACCCCAAGTCCAATAAGCAATAGGACCATAAACAACAGTTAACCAAACAAATAAAAACACCATCATAGGTCCTAACCTTGCACGTTCACAACCAGCACCTACCATCAAGATTGCTGTAACAGCAGCAAACATTCCCTGATATAAACAAAACAAGATATCAGGAACGGTAGTTACAATCCCTGGAGCACCCAAGACATTTCTTAAACAGAAATTCTGCAAAGTTCCCAAAAACTTGGACCCATTGTGAGCGAAAACTAATGAGTAACCCCAAAAAAACCATTGAAAAGCAGTGACACAAGCTGCCATCAACGACGCCCACATCAATGAAAGAGCATGTTTTTTCCTTGATAACCCTGAATATAGTAAACCAACACCAGGGATCATGATCCATACTAGTACTGATGCCGTTCCAATCCATGCCATATCGGCGGAATCGAATTGTGAGTTTAAATCGACTTTGAACACATCTCCACCTGTGCCTGTTCCTGTAAGGCCCGAATCAGACATTATTTGAGTTTTGTTTGTTTTAATATATTATGAGTAGTTTATAGCAGAAAAGGTTTGTCACGTTCTACATTTGGGAGACATCTGGCTTGATATTTATATTACTCCATTACGCCATTTCTACATTCTTCCAACTCTTGTGAAATTTTATAGATAAGAAAGACAACAACAATCAAAAAGCTTAAAATTTTTAGCCCATTGTACAGATTTAGCACAAAGATTAGATTAATGAATACGCGTTCTTTATTATTACATTACCCATATCGACGATATCACATGTGAAGCAACCCCAAATCTCCTCATTTCATACGTACTAGTTTTAAATTTTTTTTTCTTAGCCAGATATGAGTTGGTACCGTAAAGAGGATACTATTCCCATCGTTGTTATAATCATTATCAATTTACGGGAAGGTTTTGTAGTATAATATGCGCTACCATGTGATTTTAATCTATTTTTGATTTTTTCTTGTCTTTTTTGCAAAAAGATCGTCCAATCAAATTGCACGATTGTAGAAAATAATAAAACAATAAAATAAACATAAAAATAAATTACATTTCAGAGATAAGCAGTATGCAGGAAAACTATTTGCAGCTGCTGCTGTTGTGAACAAGAGAAGAGGATATACGAAGTAGTGGAAGGGCGAAACGTTTCATTCAAGAACCAAAGGAAATGCTCTTTTTACGTTAATGCAATCTTAACTAAATTAGTTTTCATCGATTACGGTAGAAGCAGAGTCAAAAAAATAAATAGTTTGCTGAGGCTGTTATGGAGCTTGTATGAATCTGATAATGACTAATGATAATGAGATCTAGAAGCTTACTACTGTCCGTGAGCGATTGAAGTTTTGAATTGCCTTCAGATTGTTTCAACCACAGGTAGCAATCTCACACCTTTTTAACATGTCACTATGGTGTGCGTGAGGGTTAACGTTCGAACGTGGAACGTTTCTGCTAATATCCGTTGCCCCTAATTGTTCGTTAAGCACGCACAATTTGGCTTTAGCCCCTTCTACATTGTAAAGCCACACATTAGAACAAATTACATTTGTGAAATGACTATGCATGTGGTTATATTTTGTTGATAGGCGAGACTCTTTCGTATACACAATAAGAAACAATTTCCTTTTTATCTTTTATCGATTTTGTCCCAATTACACGTATGTACTCACTGCCCGGTACCGGGGAAAAGGTAGTAGCTATCGTGAGACCTCATTCCCCCTCCCACTCCAGAGGGTTGGACAGATTATTTGCTACTTGATTTCTCAATCAGGAAATAAATATCTGTGGTTTACGGTTGAACTTTTATGCTGCTGACTTTGTTGATCAAAGATCGTTTCAATAGGCTATCTTTTCATATATAATAGCTTCAATTGCTTTTACGATGTGTTTAAGTAATGAATTGTGAGAAAGTTTATAGGCCCTGATATTTCCAGGCAATTTCAGCCTCCTTCACTGCTCTATGATAGTAGCCAGCAACGCACGATATTTATTTGCACGTGACTCGGTCAACAGTACACCTTTATAGCCACTTGAAAAAGCCAGCTCAAATATGCATCTATGGAAACTCTCACGAATTTGTCTTTTTTGAACATTGGTGCTTATTAACTCCTCTCTTTTGATACCAAACGCTAGCAATTGAGATTAGGTATGAAATTCTTAACAACTCAACATAAAATCAAGGAATAAACACTCCTTACTCTGCAAAGTATTACAATCCATATCTCATTCATTTTCATTGAAGTTGGTCATTAATTAACCCATTTTGTCAAAGCCATTTATTCCATGTTAGCCGATAAAATTAAGAACTGAAAAGCAGGATACAAAATTGTGTTGGACACGCCATCAAATACAACCAACCAAAAAAGGAAAAACAATAAACTTTCAATTTTCATCAAAAACCCGCACTCATGTTTATATTTGCTTCGGAGACAAAGGTTTAGCAAAGCATACTGTCTCACTCGGTTGTTAATTATCCATCACAGCCCTCATTAAGAACCAATTTGGATATACTTTCGCAGTGATTGATTATCTTGCATTACCCCTATACTACTTCTACAACAATACAACATGGAGGAGGATTCTTACAACTTTGCTACAACTATATTAACGTCGAAATCACCCCAACAGGCTGCTGCCATCTTACCCAGTATCATAACAGGATCCACTGGATTAAACAAGGATTTAGTATCATGGTTTAACAACTACAATTCAGCAATCGGTGCCCACAATGCATCATTGCGACAATTACTTGAAGAAGCCAAAAAGATTGCTGGTCGCAGCAATGTCGGATTTAACAATTTCCCTCGTAATTGGAATTGCTTGGTTAATGCTGTCCAATTAGAACTTAAAGACAATGAAATCTTGCAAGAGAATTTAAAGCAAGATGTAATCATTCCATTGAAAAACTTGATTGAGAATGATGTACGGATTTCCGAGTTGACCATTAACGGACAAGAATTGACTGAGCTTAGTCAGCATTTAACGAAGGAAGGTGAGTACCAATGGAACTTTAAAGCACCTCAAGCATTTCAAAACTTGGAAGCTTATAAAAAGATTGAAATTCAATTGATGTTCAATGTCGTCTTGAATTATTTTCAACTTAATAGTGGTAGATTGAACAAAGAAGTGAAAAACAACGAAAATTCAACAAATTACTTGTTGGGAAGCTTTAAGTTGGATAATGAAATGAAAAACCAGTTGGATTATTTGCAAAACACTCAATTCCAATTGCCAGCACAAAGTACTGGTCAAAACCGCGCTGGGTTTGCTGGTGCTGGTGCTGGTGCTGCAGCTGCAGCTGTTACCGGCACAAGTGCATCATCGCCAGCAAAGGAAAGAAGAAGAAGCTCCCTTGGACGACTTGACAAGCATGCAGGGGCCCATGATGAGCAATCACCAAAGAAACCGTCTAAATTGAAGTCAAGAGTAGGATCCATCTTTGGTAGAAAGAAAAAGAAGGATAAGCATCAACCACAGCTTGAATCTACCATTGCTGAGGATGCATCTATATCTACCGATGCATCAACGTCAAGATCAGCTCCATTGTCTAGAAACAACACTTCGAGATCATCCTTCTTTGGTAGGGAACAGAGATATGATTCTCCTGCTATTGGTTCTGGTGCCGTCACTACCTCCTCCACCAATCAACCTCAATCTCATGTCGGTCAAGCTCAACCTCAAAGTCAACAAGAACAAAAGCAGACCCCTTTCCCGCCTTTGAAGCCACAGCAGCCAGGACCTGCAGCACAACTTCAACAGGCTCAGCAACCTCAACAACCTCAACAGTCTCAACAACCTCAACAGTCTCAACAACCTCAACAGTCTCAACAACCTCAACAAGGATTTCAGTCAAATTTCACTCCTCAATCACTCCCTCCTCCACAGCAACAACGCTCAGGTTTGTCTTCGCAACCTTTTGCAGCCCCAAGACAAGGCTCATTTGCATCGCTGCAACAGCATGGTAGTTATAGAGATGCTGCATTGCCAGCTACTCCAACACATGACAGGACAGGAGGAGCAGTAACGACATTGCCTCAACAAACGGATTCACCAAATGTTGTCAAATATGGTAGTGATGATGACGATGACGACAGCGAAGATAATGTGACAACTGGTAGAAGATCGTCGTTGCTTGAGAGACATAACTTGGATCCTGGTCATTCAGATAAGATAGGCAGTAGTGGAATTGTAGCTCCTCAAAGCCAACAACACCCTCCTCAACAGCAAACTGCTAGAGGTACCGGTGGATTGCTTGATCCCAATGAGAGAGCAAGGCAAAACAGTGATGGAAAATATTCTTTTGAAGCCGGTGACGATGACAAGCCAATCTCCACAACTCCAAGAAGTGAACAGAATGGATTTAATGCTCATGATAGAATTGCTGAAAGTAACATCTCACCAAGTCAAGGAGACAGAGGAGTTGATGGCAAAGACTTTGATACCATTGCTTCAAGCAATGATGATTCGTCGGCATTTGTGGAAGAACAAGGTGCTGCAGCAACATCACCTAGTGTTGATGACTTTGCCCCACGCGATTATGCTTCATCCAATGCTACTTCTTCAATAACTGGATTTGGGGGTGCCGCTCCACCAAAGCCCCCACCGTCAAGAAAAGTGGTTCATCATGATACATCATCGCTGAGAGATTCTCACTTATTCCATAATTTGCCTGTTGCAACAACAAACAATTCTATAAGAGATTCATTTGTTCAACCGCCACGTGTATCTTCGAGAAACTCGCATTTGAACAATCCATTTGCCGCATTAACGAGGCAAGATACTGGTACATTAATAAAGAATGATTTCAAGCACTTTAATTTATCAGAAGCCACTATTGGATTGAACTCGTCCATTGCTGAAATTGTGAATGCTACTTTTAAAGATGGACAATTGAATTCGTCGCAAGTCATTGGTGAGGTTGCATTCAACTATAATGGACATTCAAACGAAGAGTCAATCATTGTTAATATCCCACATGATTATGATAGGTTAATTGTTAACAAGACATTTATTGAAGAGTTGGGTGATCACAACTACAAACTTGACCCAGTATCAATTACTTCAAAGACTTTGGGTGGGTTAAAGTACTTGTCAAACAACAACAATGTACCTTTGGCTTTACAACAAATTTGGAAGTTTGAACCACATCAATCGAGTTTAATGATTAGCATTAGATCAAACATAAGTGAACCTCTCCAAGTTGAAAACTTGATTATTTCTGCTGCATTGAATACTGATGTTGAGGCACCTTCGGCATCATCGAAACCACAAGGTGCGTTTAATAAAGACAAGAATAGAATCACTTGGAGATATAATCAGCCATTGGTTTTGAAACCTCATGGTGAAGAGAAACTAATTGCAAGGTTCAAGACTAATGGCCAAGGATCAGAGCATGAACTGGGTGTACAATTGAAGTTTGCCATTGGTAACCCAACTGCTGTTAAATATTGCTCAATCTATGATGCTAACGGTGAAGAAGTTCCTGCTTTTAGGAACCTTGTTAGTGGTCATTACGCTAGTCATTTCGAATAATAAAGGAGGAGACGTTCTATGGTAGTGGAGAAGAGGGGTGGGATCTACCATAATTACTTTAGCTGTATAATATATGTATAATTTTGTTTTTCATTTCATTCGAGTAACACACACATAACACTACATAGCTAAATATACTCTTATATCACCAACGCTCAATCATCTTTAGTTCTCTCTTCGCCTTTATTCAAACCATCATAAGCAGTTTGTAATCCATTCAATTGCTTCTTCAATGTGTCAATATCCTTTTGCTTCAATTCAATCAAATGTTTCACCTTGACCACTTCTTCGCTATCACTCTTGTTATCACCATTTTTCACATCACCATCTCTTTCAGCAATCAACTGCCTGTACAACTTCTCCTTCAATACCAATTTCTTGACAATCGAAGCCACGGTATAGATCCCCATCAACAAATACAAAATTGCTCCCGATAAATACAAGTTTCGTTGACTGTAAAACTTACTAGCCAATTTATCATAATTGACAAACCCTTGCAACACATCGTTTTCTCTGACTTTATGGTACTTTTCCAATCGTTGTATACAATCGTAAAATTGTAATGCCATCAAAGTGATGCTGAATACAAGAAAGGTTCGAAAGTTTCGTGTTGTGGTGATTGTGGTATATGCAGACACAATCTGTGATCTGACCATGAGTGGTAGTGGGAGGACAAAAAGGAGCAAGGTGATCATTTGGAAAACCATGGTACCGAATACCAACAGCATTTGAAGACTCATGATGAATGGGTGGATTAATAGACTAAAAAATAGAAGAGTGGAATTGGAATAGGTTGTTTTGTAGAAGATAAAATTTAACTTGGTTTATAGGTCAATTGAAGCTCGCTGGAAGGTACTCACTGTATCTTGATAATGTATAACCTTCAATTGAGTATGGAAAGTAAGGTGGTTTCTATTGCTTTGCTGTTTTTTTTTTGCTTTTTTAATTCCGTTTTTTTTCCTTTGACATTTACGTTTTTTTGCCACATTGTTCTGTTGCAAATGTGAAATTTTCAAACATCCATTTACTCTAAGCCCTGTCAAAAGCTTAAAACTTCAAAATTAGATCAAAATGGAATGAATTGATTGATGAGGTATCGTGTTTGCCGATAGCTCAATACATTTGAACTTGTGGCAGATCCGTATCTTCCAATTTAGATTCGAGAGTCGCTTATCTCCCATAGCTTGAGAGCGTGACTTAATATTGATTGCCATTGCTAAGTAAGTCAGGTAATTGTTCATTTGGCGAAAAGTTAGAGTATCTGAGAACAAGAGGGAACATTTTTTATCATTTGGGAATTTACATACACTTAACCATCGAGTCAATTATACGATACATATATAATACCACTTCTCAAGCCTTCCCCTAACTCCTCACATCTATAACCCAGTAACTCTCTTTGCATAATTATAAGCAACAATGCTAAACAACACCATGCATCCAATTATACACCAAAACCAAGCCAATCCATCATAATCCTGCCCAGGAACAAGACAATTCATCCCCCAAAGACCGGTAACCACATTGATCGGAAGAACAATCGTTCCTAAAATCGTCACTTTACCCAATATATCATTAGTATCATTGTTGACTTTGGTCATGTCAATGTTAATTTGGGCAAGGTAATTGGAGTGGAATCGCGCAAGTAGTTTCTCATAGTGGTTCAAAGCGCCAATCATGGTGATTATATGGTCCTGGATATCGCCCAAATACATGGCGATTTCCAGTTGATGGCGATCGACAGCCAGTGAATCCAAGTCATTGAACCGTTTGCTAAACCCCTTGATGACATCAGCTTTGGAACTAAGGAGACGGAGCACTGACATTACTCGTTTACGACACTCACCAATACGACGCAACATGTCCCCTTTACGTCTCCATCCAAGGATACGTGATGATCCTGTGTCAGATGTAGATGATGATGATGAACTTGATTTTGATTTGGTCTTGGATCGTGTGTGACTTGAACGCAAGAACCCAGTATTGTTGGCATCAACGGTAGATTTGGACCTTTTGCGCCATACAAAGACATTATCATTTGGTTCATGTTGCACTTTATTACGGCGGCTATGATTATGGCTATGACTGCGAACATGATTATGCGTCGAGCCCTCATCTTCAGAATCAGAATCGTCAGAATCTTCATGTTCCCCCGAATGCATACGCAAGATAGCATCCTCGATTGAATTGACTTCAGTTTCGATCGTTTCAATCATTGGTGCAAATGAGTCAGTGATGTCATCAATCAATGCATAACAGATCCAATCAGAAGACACTGTCAAGTAATCCTTCAACATCCTTGCTCTTCTTCTCACGTTGATAGGATGCGGAGTGGCTGAGAAGTGGAAAGTTATAACTGCATGTTTAAACACAATAATGTACATGTTCAAAGGCAGCAATTCACCTTCTCTCACCTTCTTGGCTCTTGATCTAATCGATGTAGACATTGGTTTTTCATGAATTGAAGGCGGTTTCTTCTTCTTTTTTAAAAACGAGCCAAACAACCGTGACATTCTCGAAGTTAATCCATTCTTCTGGTGCTGTCTATATAAGCTTGAGGCATCAGAGCTATTCTCATACATTTCTTGCAATTTGTTAAACCTTTTTTCTTGTTCCTTGGCCTTTTGTTTCCGACGTTCATAGACTACGTCAAATGAAGTGAAACAGATAAAGTAGTAATTTTTAAACAATTCAACTTTTTCTCTAGCTTCTCCGAGGAAAATATCTTCAGTGGTTAACGGGTGGATACCAAAAGTTCTTGAAATCACCTTCATTTCTTCCTCGGTTGGATCTAAAATGTCAAGCCAATAAGGATCAAAGGTTGAATCGAGCCCACTAGATGTAGGAATGGGACTCTCATTACCTAATCTTGTTGATTTTGTTAATGGTTGCAAGTTATTATTGCTTGATGAAACAGAATCTTGCTGTTTGTGGCTGGGATGATGCGTTGAAGTAGATTCACTAGTGGCTAGTTTTTCCCATGGTCGAAAAAGTTCCACCAACCTATCGTGGATAGAAAGTTCGGGATCATCACTAAGTAAACCACATATGGATGGTGCATGTATAGTTTCTGGTAAATCTTCTCTAAAATAAGTGAATCGACACAACTCGCCCTTCTTCAGTTGTCCTCGAAGAGTTCTTTGTGCTTGTGACAGCAGTTTTCTCTTGTTTAAAATAGTAGGGATCTGGTCTTTTGATTTCTCCCATGGTTGTGTTGGTGTAGGTCTGATTCTAAACGAATCGTGGAGTGAATCCAACGATTCAAGCTCGTTAACTTTATAATTATCAACGAGCGGTGTGTTTTCATCAACTGCTGCCTCGTCAAGAGCCTCCTCGGGTAAAACCGAAGGTGGTGGGCGTGGTGGAGCGTATCTATTGCTGTTATCTTGTTGTGTCTTGGCAGCCTTGCCGTCGTGAACCACGTCTTTACCAAAATTGACTGATTGAACAACCTCATCAATTTCTCTCTCATGATCCTTTTCCCTTTCCATTTCTTCCAATTCTTCAACCACGTATTCTTCCATAACTTGTAAATTGGGCCACTCGTCTCGTTTTTCATCTTCTCGGTCATAATCATAATAACAAACATCATCCAATGAAGTTGAGTCACTCGAATGATCGGATGATGGGTTAGATTCACCAAATTCCATAGAATTCACCGAAAATGCATCATCGCCATTATCGTTGTAGTCATTGTTTGCATAATGGCCCGGAGAACCGGGACTTAAGTCAGCCCCATCTTTCCCAAAAGGGTTATGCCAAGTTTGTGACTTGGCAAGCTTTCTTTGCTCTTGAGCAAATTGGTCCATATCTACAGCAATAGTGTTTGGTGATTGTGAGTCTTGTTCTTCCTCTATTCCATCACCTGAGGATGAGCTGCGCAACAACAGTTGTAGGTTTCTATTAGTAAGTGGCAAAGTAGGAGCAGTTGAGTAACGAGTTGGTCCCTTTGGTGTGAAATTGCTGCCGCTATTGGTATTGTCGTCACTTCCATTGCTACTTCTTTTGCCACCAGTATTGTTATTTCTCTTGAATACATTTCCATTTGTTGATCTGCGTCTAGATCTTGCAGGTGATGAATGTAAATGAGCCAAATCGTTGTGTGCTCTGTGATCTATATAAGATCCTGAGTTGATCAATTTCTCTAATGAGCTAGTGCTTTGATTCTTGCTGCTATTTTGAGTAGCATAAGTGGTTGCGCCATGCTTTTTGGAAGAAGTATGATCGTTTAAGCTCAGTTCAGTTCTGATTGTAGGTGCGTTACTCTCCATCACAGAGCGATCTGTTGTGTCCATTTCTTCAAAATGTGTGTTAGTGTATGTGTGTAGTATGTGTGTAGTGTGCGTGCGTGTGTGTGTGTGTTAGTGTAGGTTTAGTGTATTATAGGTAGATTATAAGTTGAATATATTAGACATGTATTTATAAAGGGAGGTTAATATCCAAATTGACTGTTGTTCTTATGAAAACATAATCCTCGAGAAGAAGGAAAAGAAAGAAAGAAAGAAAGAAAGGGTTGTTGTTGTTGTTTTTGTTGTTGTTGTTGTTGTTAATAGTTTTGGTTAGTTTTGTATTTATATTCAACTGACTAAGGTTTGTTCTGAGGATATCTAAAAATATTTGATTTTTGTGTATTTTCATTTTTGGCTTTTAAAACAAGAAAAATTTTCATTTTATTAAAATAGCAAACATACATATACTATACTACTAACTACTATCATACACTAGACACAACTCATATACACGAACATATATATATATATATATATATATATACCCATATATAAATTGACAAGGAACTGTATCTTCGTATTCAGAAGTAAGACACTTACGTATTTAAGCCAAATAGAAGCTTATTGGTTACTACTTCAACTTTCTTTTGTTTTTCTTTTTTGTCTTGGCCTGATCCTACGAATTCAAACAAAGTCAAGCAAGAGCATCCTCTTTTTCTGGCTTTTACAAACAATGTGGTTAGCAGGTGTGTGTGACCCCTTGGTCCTTTCACTTTGCATCTCTGTGTTGTTTCTTTCTCTTAGAGTCACACGAGGCTTAACTTGACACAAATTGCAAATCCACCTCACACCAAACGTATAAAACAAAGCACTTTAGAATTCACAGCAATCCAAAAACTATAAACTACTACATTGGAATATATTGACCCTCCGTCTACTCAACAGATCTCTCTCTTATTCTCCTCTTTGTACAAACTTTAGTAAACATGCAGATACAACAAAAAAATAAAAAATTTTCATTAATTTCATTCTTATCTTCAAAACAATGTTTAATCAGTCCATTACCTTCCCTTTGCAACAATATCCGTCTATTTCCTTTACATTCCTAGTCAAGTCTCCTTTCTTTAAAGTTTCGTATACTGTGATCTGTTTTTTCAATTTGTATTCAGTTATTGTTTGTAATGGTTGCGATTGCTCCGAAAATTGCGCAATTCTGTATTGTGGCTAGGGCATTCAAGTCACGTGTAACAACATATCTCTAGCTTGAGAATTGACTTTGTTGGATTTAACAGATAGAACAGAAAGAAGACAATTTGAGAGGAGGATAGAGGGCTAGTTATGGTATATCTCCTACCCTTGAAGCTTCTCAATCATTGCAAATCTGACAACGTTTATTACTATAACCTATCTATAAATGAGCTGCTTTGAAAAAAGAAAAACCTACTCATCAGCATCACTTACTTCCTCTTCTTCCTCCTTCTTGTCATTATTAGGAGCAAAATCTCCATCTTGGTTATTGTTGTCTTCTGCTACTGCTGCTGCTCCTGCTGTGTCCACGCCACCCGTGTCATTCTCTTCCCCACCAGCACTGCCGGCATCACCACTAACAACAGCTTGTTCTTGTTTCACACCCTCCTTCTTAACACCATCACTATTCTTCTTTGCTGCCGACTCTACTTTATCACCCCCTATCTTATCACTCTTTTCAACTTTGGCCCTTTTTTGCGCAGCTCCTCCCCCATTCAACGCATCCAACGCGTGTTGTATCTTATTATGTGCCTCAATTAGCTTATAATATGTATCTTCAGTCAATGAAATCCCCTTCTTGCCTGGTTTCTGTTCTCCATTGGCATCAGTGTAAAATTCCCTAATATCTACCAAATTAACATTGTTGAATTTACGCACCGTGACTCGTTTTTTGGCGTCTAGGTTTATTATTGTTTCTACTGATTGATCTTGCTGGTTCGATTTGGTTGATGCGTATGATCTCTTGTATGCCATTTTTACTCGTGGGTTGGTAGGTTATAATTGCTTGTTAAAGGTAGGAGGTTGGGTTTGATTTTTTAAAAAGGAGAAAATGTCAGACGCGAGAATTTGCAAGCGTCGTACGAAACTAACAATTGTATACAATCTACACACACATACACACTTCCTCTAACTCAACACTTTTCACATTTATCTATAAATTCTTAACTCTTTGCTATTTTGATCAACTCTACAGGTGGCCACTTGGCCATGTCTCGTTCAAATGGTCACCCAAATCAAGTTGAAACTTGTTAATCAATGTTTCATCTGCTTCACTTAATCCATTCTGTTTCAACAATTCATATGCTTCAATAGCGACATTCAATTCGTTTAAATTAGAAACACCCAAAACAATACTCGAGTTCCGTTTAATCATCCATTCGTAAATGGCATACTTTGTCGCCAACTCGGCCAACTCTACCCCCTTTTCTATTTTCAATTGACTAGCCAATTCATCAACTCTTTGCTTCAATGCTTCGCTAGCGGGATGGAACGAATGAGTCTTCTCTGAACGTAATAATGACATGGACAAGATCAGTGCATTCATAATCTTGCTTACACCGGCATCTTGTTTCAATTTGGTGGCGATATCAAACAAGGTATTATTCTGAATACATCCATGACAATACGACATCACTGCATCCAACGGTTGTCCACCATTGACTTGTTTCCATTTAACGGCAGTGGCATAAAGAAAATGGATTGGATAGCCCGAAATGCCGATATTTTTAATGATACCTTCATTTTTCAAGCATTGTAGCTCCTTCAATGCCTCAATCACATCATCAATAACAACAAATTCAATATCATGCATATAAACTAAATCCAAGTATGTCGTATTTAATCTCTGTAAAGATCGAAGCACTGATTGACGTACTTGTTGTCGTGAATAGTCAAATTCATCAAGTTTGATGCGACCTGCTTTGGTGCATATATAGTACGATTCACGAGCAACATTCAATTTAGTCAACGCTTGTCCTAAGATCTCTTCCGATGGACCATAGTATGGCGACGTGTCAATTGCATTGTAGCCTAAAGCAAATGCGTGGCGTAAGATGTCCTCCACGGGTAATGTTTGAGGGTTGGGGTGGTACTGATAGTTGAATACAGCACCGCCGATTATAAATGGAGGTAGTCCATCTAGTAAATGTGGCTGATGAGATGGAAAGGAATTCATTGGGATATGACGAGCAAAAGGATATTTGTGCTGGTACAGCGAATGGGCGTTGACGACCCTTTGATTTCCTTTGTGGACGTTTTTAGTTTTGCTGTTCCTGTGTCGCGTTTCCTAAATCCAAATTGTTGCAAACAAAACAAGAGAGTACGCCAATAAATAGAATAAAGTACAGAAATGTCAACTTATTAATAAGTAATATTACATAATAGATACAATACATATATCTTCACCTAGTCAGCTTCAATGCTCAATAATGTAGTTACCGGGCACCAATCCAATCATTCCATTGTAATCATCACAGTTTGGACCCAATTCACAAACAAACCAATTATCTTCCTGCTTGTGTATAATATACATTTGCCACCCCTTCCGGAAATACAACTCACCCTCCTCTTGTGGCTTGAAAGAGTACCTCGCTGTTGCTTTGCTGATGAATGTTTTGCGGTTAACTGGGGTCAATTTTGGTTGTAACATGAATGGAGTATGTGGTTTAGGAGATTTAGGAGATTTGGGCAATTTATGATAGTGGTACTGATCATAAGTTGTCATAGATGGTGGGTTATTACTCCGATTCTTTGGCTTCTCAGCTACATCAATCATTGATTTTGGTCGTGAAAAATTTATCGAATCGTATCGTTGAGCCACTTCATCGTGATCATCAATATAATCTGATTTCGGCCTTGGTTTAGCTGGACTCGATGCATTACTATCTCGAACTGATCTTCTAAATTGGTTGACATCTCCATCCCCACCCGAATTCAAATCTTCCAATGCCTTGGCAATAAAATCAATAGAGAAATCCTTCATTACTGGTACTTTAGCTTGTGGTTTTGATGTTTCCTCCACTTGTGCGGGATTGCAATGTTTTTTAAACTCATTAGTGGCTCTTCGTGTTATCTGTTCTTGCATTTCTTGCAACTGTTTCTCTCTTCGCCTTGGTGATGCCCAATTACGTTCAGAACTGTAGTTTGATGATCCTTGACTATTAGTTAAGCGTTCATCCTTTGTGGAGAACAAGTCATTCTCCGGATTAGAGCTTACTGATGAGTGCGTTTTGTATGATGCTAAGTCCACTGGTGGTTTCCTCAGAGGTGTTTGATGTTGTTGTTGTTGTTTATATGGTGATAAATGCGATGAAGATGGTATGCTTGTTTTTGTTGTAAGTGGGGCTAGTGTCTTGTGTGGTGACCCGTTGAGCAAGTTGGCATTTGGTGTTGGCGTCATTGCATGATGGCCATTGGATATTGGTGGGAGATCCTTGGCAGGGGTATTGGTGAACAACTTGGCCCTTGGGGTTTGTGTCATGTCTTGGCGACAATTAGCCACAGGTGGGAGATCTTTTGATGTTGGTGTATTATGAAATAGCTTGGTTTTGGGAGTTGGGGCCATGTCATAGTGGTTGTGCGTTGAAGGTTCCTTATTGGGTGAGGAAAGCTGTGGTGTTTTAGATTCCTGGCTATGGTATTGATCAGTATGAATCGATGACTGTACAGTTCCCCCAGTCTTGTTTGATGCTGAGGAATAAATGGAATATGTTCGAGATAGTATTTCATCATGGTCTGGGTTATGCTGGTCCAGTATCTTATAGCCAATGTTGGGTTCGTCACATCCAGTCATATAGTCAACAAAAGGCGGGTCATCATACACTTTATTTCCTGTTCCATAGTTGTTGCTAAAGTCCTGCACATCCAATTGTGGCTGTACCAAAGCAAAAGTAGACCTGGCTAAATCCACCGATTGATCTAAGTCAACACATAATGTGGCTATATTATTGCAATAGGTGAAACAATTGATCTTCATCACCTGAATTCTTTCAATCTCTAATTTATAAAAATCATTTATCGATATAGTCCAATCTCTTTTATATATCTCGTTGATATCTTTGTATACCGATATGGAGTACTGGTAATGCTTAGCCGTTTGATTTAATGAAGATGCTAACTTGTGGTACTTGCTTTCATTCTTTTCTAACTCCTTGCCCCATGTGGTTTGTACTGACAACTTTAGAGACTTGATTGATCTGCACTCTTCTTGATACTTGTCTTTGTAATGATTTAGATCTTTCAATGCTGCAGCTCGCCTTAGTATTACTTTGTTCATGTGGTGTTTCAACTTGTCGACTTTCTTTACATACAAGCTGTAAAACTGCTCTAATTTCTCCAGGTTTAATTCCAGTATAGACTTTGTGAATTTTGTGTTGCAGTCAATCATAAATTGATTTTCAATATGCAACTTGTCAAGCGATTTCTTCATTGAACCAGTTTCATGGGTACCAAGAGGAAACTTGGAAGATAGTCTTTCCAACCTCCTTATGTGATCTTTTTCGATGTTCACTTTCTCATGGTAAAATTGTATGAGCTCATTGAGGGTTGATAAAGCGTCTTTTATTCTAGTCGTGATTATAGCAAAACTCGTCTCTGGAGAAGAGCCCCAGAAATTGTTGACGAAATCGGGGCAATCAGAGGTGGTGGTATCTTGTATCCTCATTTGAAAAGTACCTGTTTAGTATCTGGTGGTAGATGAGCTATTGTACCGTTGTAGTAGAAAATGTAGACTAAAAGAAAACAGTTGGAATCTGTATCAATTGGTCTGTACTAGCACGCAAATTTCATCTCATGTTCTGCTCTTGCTGTATTGTACATTTTCTAATCAAAAGGATTTGTTTATATTTCTGCTTAAAAGGGAAAGTATCGTCAAAAAGTTTCGATCAATGTCTTGGTAATATATCTTTGGACAATTGTTTATTTTTTAGACAATTCACGTGACTGTGGTTGGGTCTTACACGTGACTACGGGTAATGCCGCGTAATTTGCGCTGCAACGGGTAAAAGAAATTAAAAAGAAAAAAAAAAAACTGAGAAACTGATTGACCGGACCGATATCAACTGAGTCAAAGTATACATTCAAAGCCTACTTTCACTACAACTGGACATACAAAAAGAAGAGTAATGACCACAATATCTTATCAGACAGTTCTTCTTTTCATCCGATATCTCAAACCGTTTTCTGTGCTGTAAAATTTTCTTGAATTACGTGCCGAATACTTTTTCTATTTTATTGCCCCAGAGTTACCAAAATTTCTGATTAACCGAACTTGACATTTTGTCGTACATTCTATTTTTTTTTTGTTTTCCTTTGCTTTTGTCTTGTATAAAACAGAAGCCAAATCCCTGGCTTTTACTTAATCACATTGAACTATTCTTACGCTGGAACGTATTAACTATCAACATTCTATGCTATAGCAACATAGACATTTAAATCAAAGCTTGTCATAATTTTATTTTTCCACTTATACAATCATGTCATCGGAAACACTACAAAAGATCAAACAGCATAAAGCATACATATGGCTGAAAAAAGTGTTAGATTTCCTTATAGGTCAGTGGTTTTTCATTCTTTTGGGTGTATTTATTGCCTTGGCCCATTCCTACCCTGAGTTTGCCAAAGAAGGAGGTACGATTAGAGGTGAATACTCTATAGGGTATGGTGCAGTTGCCGTGATTTTTCTCATCAGTGGATTATCAATGTCAACAAAGCAGTTGATTGTTAATGCCATGAATTGGAGAGCTCATTTTACCGTCTTGTCCTTGTCGTTTTTGATTACTAGTTCCATCATCTATGGGATTGTTTGTGGTATCAAAGCTTCTCATGATGGCCAGATTGATGACTGGTTGCTTGTGGGGTTGATTGTTACCCATGCTTGTCCAACCACCGTTAGTTCAAATGTTGTCATGACAAAACAAGCTGACGGAAATGATATCTTGACCTTGTGTGAAGTGTTTATTGGTAATATTTTGGGGGCATTTATCACGCCGGCGTTGTTACAGATGTATTTAACTGGTACTTGGGAATTTGGCAATCCAAGTCATCAATCAGAAGGCAATAGTTCTGTGGGTGATCTTTATAAGGATACAATGAAACAATTGGGGTTGAGTGTGTTTGTGCCCCTTTTTGTTGGCCAAGTTGTGCAAAATATATTTCCCAAACAAACGAAATGGACATTGACAACTTTCAAATTGAGTAAGGTTGGATCATTTATGTTGTTGTTGATTATGTTTCATTCATTTTCAACTGCATTTGCTCAACATGCATTCACTAGTGTATCCCATGCATCAATCATTTTTTTAGTGTTTTTCAATATTGGAATTTACTTGTTCTTTACGGTATTGTCGTTTATCTATTCAAGACCTTATGTGATTAGAAAATGGTTATGGGAAATACCGAATGAAAACTCCTCAATAGCATATCGTTGGACCTATAAAATTTTCAATCCATTCTACTACAATAAAAGAGATACAGTAGCTGTAATGTTGTGTGGTCCTGCCAAGACTGCTGCATTGGGTGTATCATTAGTTTCGTCACAATATGGTGCTCATAATCCGAAATTGGGTATATTGTTGGTACCGTTGGTCCTATATCAAGCAGAGCAAGTTATGACAGCGAATTTCCTTGTTACATTAATGAAGAAATGGATACATTACGATGATGATAAAAAGAAGGGGTCTGATGAAGAAAGCGAATTGAGTCATAGAGATACTGATGAAGAAGACCGAGAAGAGGTTGAAGAGGAGCGCAGATTGGAACAAGAAGAAGATGAAAGAGATGGCTTGCCCGTGACCAGCCGACATAATGACGAAGTAGACACAGCTTCGTATTCAACCGATTCAAATTTAAAGAAATAGATCCTTTAGATTATATAGACAAATAAACTCTGTTTTGTTGCATAGAATAATTTATCAAAACCCAAACTCACCCAATTCCTCTTCCAATTGACTTATCGTTTGCGAAATTTCTTCTTTATTGGTAATTAATGAATCCAATTCATCAAATTTCCGATCCTTTGTAAACTCCTGTATTTGATTCTCAACAAGAAATTTTTGTTCATTCAAAACCATCAATTGTTCTCGCAATTCACGAATTTGCTTCTTAGTCAATCGGGGAACGGGGCTGCTTTCTTCCTTTGGTGGGCGCAGCACTTCCTCGGGCTTGTTCTTTTCACTAATGGCTTTAAATTCGACTAAATTATCATGAAGAAAAGTACCCATGCTTTGATAAATATTCGACAAGATTCTGTTATACTTAAGATACTCCTCACATACTAATAATGTTTCATTGTGCTTGTAAAAGAATTTCTTCTTGAAATGAAGAATCAAATTCTCCAAATCTTTTAAACTCATGGTTAACTTGTGTCCTGTTTTGGCCTCTTCTACTGTACTTGTCCCCATTTCGTATATTGGCATCATTCTTTCAATATACTGTTTCAGCACAAGCATCCCTTCATAAAGTGAAAAAATCTCTTCATATTGAAGATCATTGGAGTCGTATTCTCGTTTCCAATCATACAACAATGAATTCTTACAGTTGACACAACATCTGAACCGTAGCTCGTCATCACGAAGATCAAACTCGTCTCTAAAGTTGTTCGAATAATTCAAATTGGGTAGCTTTTCAACAAATACCGATAACGGTACATACATTGAACAATTGCGTCGTACACCATTTGAATCATCACATACTATTTCGCCACAAAGACGACAGTGGTGTTTTCTTATCAAGAAGTTGAACTTGGTAAAGCAAATAGTACAGTTTGTCACATTGTTGTCCATGGCCCAGTTTCCCCCAGTTATGCTCCTTTCATCGTCATCGACATTTTGAAAAAACGAATAAATGGATTTTTTATTGGCACTTTTCTTTTCAACCATCAAATTGGCCAACTTGATGAAATTACGCTGCACTTTTGTCCGATGCAACTTGTTCAAATCTAGCTGCTCTTGTCGCTTAATCTTGAACTCCTTTGTTCTATCTCGAAAGTTGACTTCCGTTAGCCTACTTTGCTCAAAACATGTCTCACAACATCGACACCATACTCCATCTTTTGAAGAATCATACTGCGGGTTTTTCTCCCCTTCTGCCGGGTTCCTCAACTTGACACGATAGTGAGTATGGCCATTGCAAAACAATTCTCCACATTTTCGACAATTGACAATTCCATTCTTGACATTCAATCTTTTGCCACAAATTTTGCAAGTTGGTTGTGATTGCAGTTGTGATTGTTTCCAATGTGAACGTGTTATTCCATTTTTACTGGGTGATCCGGGGCTGGTATCCCTCTTGGTAATATCGCCTATGCTGAATCCTTTGTCTGATACTGATATCTTGTTGATCTTTTTGGTTGGAGTAATTGGTGTGTTCTTCACTGGCAGTTTACCACCATCCCCTTGGATCGAATTAGCGTTTGGTCCTCTTGACATTTAATTCTAAAACATGTACAAGTTTTACGCTATATGAATTTGTTGCCAAATGGCGTAACGCATTTACAGTCTCCATTCTTCTTCTTCGAGAAAGAGAGAGGCAATTGTCGCTTTTTTTCCACTTCAGTGGCACAACTTCCATTTTCATGACATTATTGCTAATATTACACATAATCTCTATACAACTTTTACAAGTACGACAGTTATATCATCCTCTTTACCACCCAAATATTTTTGACCAGTCAATCTAGACAACTCCTGTGCAAAAGCACTGGGGAAGTTACCATCCTTACTTACTTTGACCACTTCACTCACAAACTTTTTTGCAACATCGTCCAATTTAGCACTCTTCTTGTCCTCTAAATGATCCTTTAAAAATATCTCGATATCCTTTGGTACAACGTTATCAGTAACACCATCAGTAGCAAACATAACTATATCCCCCTTTTTCAAGTCCCATGAATACTCATCTGCCAATTTCGGTTCGTCAATGATGTATCTTCTTCCTTCCATGGCTGCCTTTGTCAAGATATGTTGAGGGATTTTGGCCAACTGGTAAGGTGTGTTGAAATTGTGGGTTTGAAAGTTGGTCTCCTTGACAAGTTTGTAGTCTCTAAACAATCCACACCATGAGTCTCCGAGGTTTGCAACGTGCAATTTCAAATCAGGAGTGAAAACTCCTAAACATGCAGTAGTGCCTCCTATCTCAACCGACTCAGACTCTAACACATTCTTGAAAGCATTGTCCAACACCGACTTTGGAGTAGTATTTGCGTCCCCGGTACTTTCAAACCCCCTCCGCATACTTGAGCATAGTTCTCTAGATATGGCAGACGAGTCATAGCCCGCTTCGGACCAGCCTCCAACACCGTCTGCTACTCCAACCGCAATTGAGCCGTCCAGCACCTGTGCAGAAACAAACAAATTATCTTCTCCAGTTGGCGAATCTAAAGCTGGGCTCGAGCTCGATCTCTTAAACATATTCGAACTTGGTTTTCTGTCCTTTGGTTGATATGCCACGCCAACGTTGTAGTTGGAAAATGTAGTTAATGCGCTGTCATAATTTAGTGAAGCAGTGCTGGATGTGGCTGGTGGTATTGATGTAGATTGTGCACTTGAAGTTGATGATGATGAAGTTGAATATGATTTGCTATTACTATGTGCATTCCATGACGAGCCCGAGTTGGATGAGGAACCAGTGTATGAAAACGATCGTGTTGATTGAGTAATTGATGTCTTTAGTGCACTGCGACCAAGAGGTGCAGATCTTTTGGATATTATCGAAAGCAACATGACTAGAACAGCTATTATAAAACAAAACTTGAATGTCCTTGTTGACACAATCATGTATTTGTAGGTTTACGAAGAACCTATTATTTTTGATGATTCGTTTCAAAGAGCTTTTTGCTGTAACAAAAGACAAAATTCAAAAAAAAAAAAGCGAAACAGAACCAGCTGCGATCGGAAATATAATTGAGGTGCTCACGTGACTATGTCGGTTCTAATAATTTTTGCACCCAAAAGAATTTTCAATTCCTTGGTATATACTGTAGTAATATCCAGGAATGGATTTAGTTAATGGATCTTTACTCAAAGAAATGAATTCTCAAAATATTTTATTTGGATTGGTGTTCTATTACAATTGTATTTTTAGATAGAATATACTTCCTGGATAAATTATTTGACCAAATTTCCTACAAAAAATGAAAAAGGCACTCTGATGAGAGGAATGCTCAGAAAAGTAATACCAATCACTAGAACAATACTTCAAGGGTATAGGAAAAATACTGTATGCAATGGAAGTCTTCTGCGTAGCTGTTGATAATAACTTTCATTGAAATTGGATTTTCCATGGTAAAGAGCCCAAAAACTAAGCTTATTTTAACTCCCGTAGTATATCTTCACTACTGAAAAAAGTGAGCTCTAATATAGCAAACAAACCTATTAGCGGTCTTTAACAGACGCTCTCTATTACTTCTCAAGTAACAAATTACTCTCAATATGACACGGCTATTGGATGTATCACGTGACACAATTGTATTCGACCAATAATACGTGAAAATCAAATATAGGTAGCGCAATTCACCGAGAGACGACCAAAAGAGCACCGAAAGAAAAAAAACTTTTCAGTTGCAAAGATTATATAGACAGATATTCAACAAAACTCGTGCCACAACAATGTCAAATACTTTCAATGTGTTAAGATACTCTGCTTTGGGTGCTGGTATTGTATACGGTGCTTACCATAGATACTCATTGGAATCTTCATTTGCCAAACAACAAGCCGCTAAACAATGGAAACACGAGGAAAAATTAATTGCTCAAGCTAAGGCTGAATATCAAAAATTGACCAACCCACAAGTAGTAAAACCAGCCACTTCTACACCAGGATCCATCAATTGGGAAGATCCAAACTTGGATTTGGGTAAAGCTTTGGAATCCTTGATTGCAACCATAGAGTAAATCTTGAAGAGAGAGACAGAGAGAGAGTGGAGAAGAGATGGACTTGATAGATAAATGACCCGGAGTTTGTATATTAGTTTAAGTAGCTTAATTGAAAAGTGATTTTTTGTTACAGGTTTTAGTACAGTAGAGAGTATATTGTGTGTGTATGTGTATAAAGCTCTATCTGTCGTTTGTGCAGTTTTTGAAACTGTCAATGTGGAGAACAAATGATTTTCTTTTTTTTAAAGAAGGCAAAATTGACCACGGTTAAATATACAACAACAACAACAACAACATACTCAAAGCCATGAGTCATAGCAGACAGTTACCATTTGCTGATGCAGCTACAATAGGTATGTAAAAGAAATACGCTACTCACTTGCACCTGATACTAACTCCACACAGTCAGAGCACATCAAAAGGATGCCTACTTTGAGTCCTCATACAGGAGCCAGCTACAAGATTTGATCCAAATAATCAAGGGCCAAAGATTTATTAATGCCCATCCAGGAGAAATAACAGTGTTGGCAAAGGCAGTATACTTGGCACTCACTACATTAATTGGAGCTAGGACATTGGGTGAGGAATATGTCGATTTGATATATGTCAATCGTTCAGGAAAGAAATTACCCAAACTACTACCGAGACTTGGTTTCATAGTAGCTTATGCACTTGTTCCGTACTTAATTAATAAATCGATCAAGTATGCTCAAATCAAGAAGGAAAAGAACCTCGAGAACGGGCAAAAGGCGGACTCATGGATGATGAAGTTTTTATCAAGTTATTGTGATGTTTTGGATACATTGTTGAACCTCCATATCGCCATTTTCTACTTTAAAGGTGAATTCTACTCGTTGTCGAAAAGGCTATTTGGTCTCCGTTATGCCTTTGGCCATTACAAGGAGCCCGAAAAGATGCAACGAGGTAACTATTCGCTACTTGGTGCCTTAATGGTTATACAAATAACCGTCAAGATGCTCATGAATTTGAAAGAATACAGTGACGAATATATAAACAAAGAAGAACCCAGCAAAGAAAAGTCAGCTTTGGATGAGGAAAACGACGCAAAGATCACCAGTATTACCCAATTGAACCAACTAAGTGGCAATTTTAATCCTAAATATTTGGTTGATTTGAGTGACAAGTCGCAATTACCATATTTGCAAGATGAATCCAGAAATTGTATGTTGTGTTTGTCTCCTATGGTTACTCCTTCGGCTGCAAATTGTGGCCATTTGTATTGTTGGGATTGCATAGTTGATTGGATTAGGGAAAACCCAGAGTGTCCATTATGTAGACAACAGTGCTTAGAACAGCACTTGCTACCATTAAAGTAGCGAGATACCCAAATAACCGATAAGCTATACCTTTTGAATATAAAGACGGGCTTTTACATGGTTCTCTCACAAAACACGTTGAAGAGAAAATAAGAGAAGAAAAAATTTTGAGTAAATAAAATCCAGATCTCTGCCACTCTTGAACAAAGGCTTATTTTCCACACAACCCAACAATGAGTGGAAGTTATTCGTTGCCATATTCAAACCATGCTGATGAGCCACATCAGTATCTGAAAACGTTAAAACCTAACCAGAGAGCCTCAATAAAGGATTCGATCCTTCAGCAAATTACAAAACATAAACGAATTGTTCTTCTAGTTGTGACATTCATATGTTTATCCTTGTTTACAAATGTTCCATATATACCTCATCTTAAACCTTCATCACCCAAAGTTGTGATTATATTAGCCGCTAATGAAGGAGGTGGTGTGCTCAAATGGAAATCACCACAAGAGTGGTCTATTGAACGATCATCAATAGCCAATAAAAAGAATTATGCTAAAAAGCATGGATATGGATTAACCATAAAAGACATGACTATAAAAAAGAGATATTCACATGAATGGAGAGAAAGTTGGGAAAAAGTGGACCTTTTAAAACAAACAATGAGGCAATTCCCTCAAACCGAGTGGTTTTGGTGGTTGGACTTGCACACGTATATCATGGAGCCTCAAATCTCATTGGAACAACATTTTTTGAATAACTTGAACAATGCTACTTATAGATCCTTACAGACGTTCAATCCTTTGGGACTAGCTACTGACATTCCATATGTTGACTATTCACAGCCCATAGATATGATTGTAACGCAGGATTGTGGAGGATTCAACTTGGGTTCGTTTTTGCTTCGTCGGTCACAATGGTCAGAAATGTTGTTGGATGTATGGTGGGATCCAGCTATGTATGAGCAAATGCACATGCAGTGGGAACATAAAGAACAAGATGCTCTAGAGACATTGTATTCAACACAAGCGTGGATTAGAGAAAGAACCGCTTTCTTGCCGTTGCGAAAAATCAACTCTTTCCCACCAGGTGCTTGCTCTGATAAGGCAGATGACCCGCAATATTTCTTTCAGGAGCATGATTTTGTTATCAATATGGCTGGTTGTGAATGGGGACGAGACTGCTGGGGAGAAATGGAGCACTACAAGGCGTTGTCAAAGAAGCTACATAAGAAGTGGTGGAAGTTCTGGTAGGCTATATGGATAAGAAGGTCTATATATAGACGAAGTTACTGTATAGTATGTGTCTCTCATAGCACAAGTAAAGTACATTTTATTTCGTTAGGTTAGGTAGCGTCTTTATGAAAATGTGTGTGGTGGTGAAAAGAAAACGAAAAAAAAATTAAAAAAAATTAAAAAAAATAAAAAAAAAATACGACAAGGCACTAAAATATAAACATATTTTACTAACAAGAGATTAATCACCAAGCAAGATACAGATTTTATTTCAATAACCATGGCTGACCCGAATTGGCTTAGTGATCCTAGCTTTATGGATAACTCAGGTGATGATTTTTTGAATTCTATTTTTGATCAGAACCAGGGCCAGGCACCTGCCCTGAGTCAACAACAGTCAGCACCAATAACGACAGCAGCACTGGGAATACCATCGCAGCAACAGCAACAGCAGCAACAGCAGCAGATACCACTGTTTCAACAGCAAACACATCTGCTTCAACAACAATTACAACTGTCGCAGTCTATGCAACCACCAATGTCTGGTCTGCCAATGCAACAACTGCAACCACAACCACAAGCACAACTGCAATCTAGTACTCCTCATATGGGTGCTGGAACTATCCAACAGCAAGCACTTCATCAACAGTTTCCTAATCAGCAACAGATTCCACCACAGATGCAAGGGTCACAAGACCCAAACTCGATGTATATGAGGCAACCATCACAACAAATCAATTCAACAAAGCAAGAGATGCTTTTGAAGATGAAGCAACAGATACATAGACAAAAAATGCAAGCACAAGCACAAGCACAAGCACAGGCACAGGCACAGGCACAGGCACAAGCGCAGGCACAGAACCCAACTCCAAGCCAAAGCCAACATTTTCAGAACCAGATACAAGCTGATTTGTCGAGACATGTATCTCCTCATGGCTCTCAAGTTCCTACTCCCTTGCCTAACCAAGTAACCCCAACTATGGGAAATATGAGCAATAATGCCAATGTCCAAGCTTTTCAACAACAATCGCAACTACCAACGGCTCATTTGCCTCAACAAAATGTACCGCAGCAAATGCAGCAATTTCCAATACCACAAAAACAAGCGTTTCAACAACAAGGAATGCCAGTTCAACAACAGGCTACACAAGGACAACAGCAGCTGCAACAACAACAACAACGCTTGCAACAGAAGGCGTCAATAAGTACACAGATCAGCGCAGAAACGTTTCAAGCGCTTTTGTTTGACTTTATGAATCGTCGTGGAACACCCATCAAGCAGCCAATCATTATTAATAACAAGCGAGTGAGCCTTTTTATGTTTTTCTTGTTGTGTTCCAAATTGGGTGGCCATCAACAATTGAAGCGATTTATAAACATTGACTTTCAACAACAGCAGCGTAACCCTTGGGCTTTGATTGGGATGAAAATGGGACTTTATGCAGGAGCAAATTTACAAGAACCAGGAGTGAAGGAAAATCTAGACAGAGAGATTTGTGCTTGTTATGCCAATAATATTTTGCCATATGAAGAGTATTATGCTACACCAGCGGGACTGAGAGATCTTCTGCAAAGGAAGGCTCAATTTCAAACACAAATTATTCAAAAGTACCAACAACAAGTACAACAGCAACAGCAGCTATTCAATCAACAACAGCCACAACCTCAGCAACAATTTCCTCCGTCACAACTGTTTTCTCCAAGCATTAATGGCCCCACCACAATGGGTGGCATGAGTGCGCAACAAAGCCCTAAAGTCAGCAATGCGCCTACCCCTCAACAACGGAAATTGTCGAGGACAAGTAATTTGTCTAATCATAACTCGCCACAGGTTAATTCACCGTATGTTCAGAATCAACAATTCAGACAACAACCACAACAGCAACAGTCGGGTAAACAAACAACTCCTCAATTTACAACGCAACATAATACTCCTCAAGTTCAGTCTCAACCGACTCCTCAATTCCCACAGCAACCTGTGCCTCAAAAATTTCAACAGCAACAGCTTCAACAACAACAGCCTCAACAGCCTCAACAGCAACAGCCTCAACAGCAATTTCCTAAACAATTTTCTCCACCACAACAGAATCAAGCTACGCCAATGACAATGCAGCAGCAACAAAGTCAACAAAGGCAGCAACAGCTTCAGCAACAACAGCAGCTTCTACAGCAACAGAAGCTTCAACAACAGCAACAACAGCTTCAGCAACAACAGCTTCAGCAACAACAGCTTCAGCAGCAGCAACAACAGCAAGCACTACCACCACAACCTCAACCTCAACCATCGAGGTTGCAACTGTTTGATGAAAAGTCAAGACAAGCGCTGATCCAGCAACAGCAGCAGCCACAACCGCCAAGCAGACAGGTTTCACAAACTGCAACTACTCCTCATATTAAGAAAGAAGTTACCAAAGAAGAGGCAAATGTTCTTCGAAACTATGTACCTTTCAAAAGAATTATTGATACTCATGGAAATCACAACATGAAGGAACTTTCGATACTTTCTGGAGAAATCGAAGCAACAAAGCCTATTTATTTATTTGCACCTGAATTGGGTACTATAAATCTACAAGCTTTATGTATGGCGATCAAAAGTGATCAAGGAGTTCAGAGTTCAGAAGTTGTCAATGCTTTGAATACGTTGTTGGTTACTACATCTGATTCCCAATATACTTTTTCCATAAATGATTGTATCGAATTATTGGATTCATTGTGTAAATTGGGTAAAGAAGTTTTGCACAAAACAATTCATGGCAAACCTTCAGATAAAGATGTGGGTGAAGAGGATGTAAGAACATTAAATCCCCATAGTACAATTGAGGATGTTTTTGCCAAGTATGTTTCCGGAAAAGGTGAAGATATTCTGTATGTTGTTAATTCATTAACTGGCGAATTGATGTGTGAAGATGACGAAGATGAAGATGAAGTAAATAAGTTGTTTGATTTTGTTGAAGGCAAAGATTCAGACACGCCACAATATTTGCAATCTCCTCCTCCACCGGCAGCTTGTCCTGGTTCTCATTCAGAACATCAAGAACCAGAGGAATTTTACATTGATGATTATTCAACCGCTTTACAGAATTTTAACCTGGAGAATAGAAACCATTTTAGTAAGTTGCAAACCAAGAGCGCTACTGATGATCAAGTGTTTTTAATCGATGAATTGATCACCATTACTATGATTTTGAGAAACATATCATTTTCAGAGTTTAATAAGGAAGTTATGGCCAATAATGGATTATTTAAAGATTTGTTATTTTCCATCGTCAAGAATATTGCCATGCATCGTGATAAGTTTATGTTTAGTAGGAAAAGGTTGTGTTTATTAAAGGATTGTCTTTTGATGTTGGATAATATTTCCTATTATGTCCATTTACGGTCATTGGAAGAAGCATTCCTTTCATATGTTTTGATTACTAGTTTTGGGCCAGAGATTAAGGAAGTTTGGACTATTCCCAGGTGTAATCTTGATACTCATTCATATTTTTCGTTTGCGATTGATGCCTTTACCAAATTATTGGTTAGAGAGCCATTTAATCGATCATTATTACATGCAGTATTAACAGGGAGTTTAAATTTGGGAATGACAACTAGTTATGTCAATAGTTTTGTTGTTTCACAGTATGATCAAGAGCATACTAAGAAATTGATTACTTTGTACTTGGGCGAAAGTGCCAAAGATTTAAAGAATGGAGTTTTGTTAACGAGAGCATTTCAACTGTTGATGAGTATTATCCCCTATGATGCCAATAGTTTTGAGTTTTCGAAATTTGTATTTCTTCGAGCACCAACCATTTCACAAATGTTTTTTGGAGTCAAATTGATTATTGATATGGCGCCAATTAATGACTTGAATACTTTTGCCGACAAAATATCCTTATATTGGATCTTGTATAATCGAGAGTTGTTGTTGGGCAATTTTGTTCGAATTGTTGTCGCATTGGCTTCTGAAACAGGTAAATTCCCCAAAGAGTCACCCGAACATACAATTTTGTCATCGTGTTTGAGTAAGGCATTAATTGTGGTTAATTCATTAGTTGAAAATGCGGTGGTGGCAAAGAATATAGAGTATTCGGGTGAAACTGATTACAGGAATGCCGATTTAATGAATCAATTGACGGATTGTTATGCCTTTCCCAGAATTATACCTGATATTAATTTAACTTTGGATACGTTTTTGGCACCGACAATTGATACCAATTTAGGAAAAGAAATTGTAAGGCTATTGAGATATTTGAAAGATTTGAAAGCTTGTGAAGGCATTTGAGATTAAAGGGGAAAGTTGCAGATGGAGTAGGATGATGGTGGTATTTTTCTGTATAAAGAGACTTTTTAATTTTGTATTAATATAGAAATGTAATTGTAAATTTTGACTAGAGAGGGTAAAATAGTACCCTGGCAGTTGTATTGCATGAAGCAAGAGGGGAGTTGAGGGTGGAATCTCTATTGCTGAAAAACAAAACACTCAAAGAAGCGCAAGAGCGAAAATCAAAATTTAAATTGGATCTGTTTTGTAGTTACGTTTTTCTTTGTGAAGTTTAAATTAAGATTAAACATTTTCTTTCGGGTATACCTTTGGCAAAAAAAGGAAACAATTAAAGCTTATCTCTCTGTATAAGCTCTTGTTTCTCTGTATAAATTTTGTTAGGGGATTGCGCAATTGCGTCTTTCTCCTCAAAAATAAAAAAGATAAGTGAGATATATGACACAAACACAAATATCTGTAAGACAGCTCCATTAAGAAAGGCAAAACAAAAGCAATCAATTCAGCCAACCACCGGTGAAAGATAGTAATCAATTTAGGTTTGACTAAGAAAGGATACCTTTCTAGCCTTAGTGGAGCCTTTTCCTCGTTTGGGGTAAGATTTAAGTCTGTATATGCAATACAAAGTATAATGACTTCATTTGAACTTCTCCCCTCTCCTCTCTGACACACACATATCAAAGAAGGTACTCTTGTTACCGTTTAACGTTAAATTTTTTTCTTTAGCTTATTTGCAAGTTTACAAAGGTGTCTAAATTACTATTTATACTGTATACTTGTTTTGAAACAATAGGGCTGGAGGTGATTTGTTGGGGGAGGGGGGGGGAAGTTACATTTTCAAAATGAAAGTTGCAAAAAAATAGAATTTATCTTGTTGTCATACGTTGATTCACTGATAAGCACATTGGCATACTTTTTTAATTTTTACCAATTGAGGTATCTTTATCCAAAAACGTAAAAATGTGGAGACCACATTTTTGGTAGATCCGTATAGTTCTCTGGTATATAAATATTAGGCTCAAGTACCGTTATTTCTCTTCTAAACTTGCAAATTTGTCTTATATACTTAGTCATTCAAAAGACAATAACTATAATCATGACTCCAGTTCAAGTAGCTTCTAGACCCGATATTAGTGCCCCTCAATTATCACCAGATGCAGCAGCAGGAATAACAACAACAGCCGAAGCTAAAAATGCCACCATGCAACAACCATTATTAGCAGGTGAACATACCTTACCTGCAAGTTGGTGGTTTAATGAAAACATATTCAATTTAGAAAAAAGGGCCATTTTCCACAAATCTTGGTTATTCTGTACCCATGCTTCAAGATTCACCAAACCAGGTGACTACTATTCATTTCAAGTGACCGGGATCAAATTCTTTATCATCAAGTCAAGAAGTGGGGGTGGTGAATTGAAAGCGTTCCACAATGTTTGCCGTCATCGTGCGTTCCCCGTGGTGCAAAAATCTTCAGGTTCAAGCACGGTCTTGACTTGCAAGTACCATGGCTGGAACTATAATTCCGATGGTAAATTAAGCAATGCGCCTAAATTTGATAACAAAGTTGAGGGTTTTGAAAAGAGTGAGAATTCATTGTATCCCATCAACATCCACGTTACCCCTCAAGGTTTAGTCTTTGTTAATTTCAGTATTAATCCAGTTCCCTTTGATGAGTGGTTTGGTGGTTTGACTGATGAATTGCACGAATTTGATTTCGGTGATTATGAGTATCACATGAGTTATGAATTACACGGTGATTTCAACTGGAAGACCTTGATGGATGGATACCAGGAGTGTTATCATTGTCCTATTGCTCATCCAGGGTTGAATTCGGCATTCAAAATGGAGACGTACAAGGTTGTGCCTAAGAATAGATATTGTCGTCATTATGCAACTATAGTTAGGGAAGAACCCAAGAAGGAAAGAGTAGTTGAGAAACAAGAGGAAAGTTCTTCTTCATCATGGTTTGGCTTTGGTAAGAAATCATCTCCACCAAAGGCAACAACTGCTACTGCTGTACCACCACCATCACAAACGACAAACTCAAGCAAAACCAATCGTGGTGGTGAGTTTGATGGTTTATGGGTCTACTTGTTCCCCAATAACGGTGTCAACTGCTACTCCCCCGCCTGGTACTCGATTCGAGTCTTGCCATTAAGCGCCACAAAGACAACATTGCAATACGACATCTACACTAAAAAGGGTATTGACGAAGCCACAAAGACTGAATTTGTTGATTTCTTGCAACAGGTTGAAATCGAAGATTTTGATCTTTGTCAATTGACGCAACAGAATTTAAATGAAGGCATTTATAGTTCGGGATATTTACACCCTACTAAGGAGAATGGTGTATTGTATTATCAATCCTTGGTGCGTGATGCAATAAAAGAACATCTTGAATTGGAAAAAGCCAATGGCGGTAAACATATTGATCCGGCTGCTGTTGCTGGACAGAAAAAGAACAAAGATCTTGAAGAGTTGGAGGGGATTTGCCAATCACTTGAATGTGCTAGTGGTCAACAAAATGACGAATTGAATTGGTGAGAGGAACAGGGAATCATGTATCCATTTTGTATGTGTAATAGAGGAGAGAATATACTGGTATATTTCTATGCTTTTTAATGTTATATTTACAAACAATTTTTCAAAAATAAATTAAACACTTTGAGCTCTTCTATCTCCTTCTTCAGAGTAAGCCCAACTTTTCCATTCTCACTTCAACGGCTCTCCTATGAGCTTCCAATCCTTCAACAGCAGCCAAAGTCATAACTGCCTTACCGATACTCTTCAATCCTTGTTCAGTCACATCTTGAGAAGTGATAAATTTCTGAAAAGTGGCAGTATTGACACCCGAATACTGTCTAGCGTATCCATAAGTCGGCAAAGTGTGGTTGGTACCACTTGAATAATCACCACACGATTCAGGCGATAGCGCGCCAACAAATACTGATCCGGCATTTTCAATATAATCAGGCACAAACGAGGAGGCATTGTTGATTTGCAAAATCAAATGTTCAGGTGCATATTGGTTTGATAATTTGAATGCATCTTGGTATGATTTCGTGAGCAAGATGTATGAGTGAGATAAACATTTACCGACAATTTCATTTCTGGGTAATGCTGATGCTTGTTTAGTAACTGCCTGTTGAAACTCATTCAATTTGCTTGGTGTTAAATCAACACCAATGAGGATAACTTGTGAATCAACTCCGTGTTCAGCTTGTGATAATAAATCACTAGCGACAAAGTCAGCATCAGCATCATTATCAGCAATAACCAACACTTCACTAGGTCCCGCTGGCATATCAATTGAACACAATGCTTGGGTATCATTCTGAACATACATCTTGGCAGCAGTAACAAACTGGTTTCCGGGACCCAAGATCTTGTCACATTTGATTACCGATTCGGTACCATACGCCAATGCCGTTACTGCTTGTGCACCACCGGCCATAACAATACACGAAGCACCAAGTTTATGAGCCACGTAAACTACTTCAGGTGTTAATTGACCCGTGCTTCTTGAAGGCGGCGAAGCAATGACAATGTTTTTACAGCCAGCAACTTTTGCAGGCACACCCAACATCATTGCCGTCGAGGGCAACACTGCAGTACCACCCGGTACATAAAGGCCGACATTTTCAATTGGTTTAGCAAATCTTGAACAGTAAACACCTGGCGATGTTTCCACCGTCATGACTTTCTCCGCTGGTAATTGGGCGGCATGGAATTTTTCAATATTGGCCATTGATAAATCAATGGCATCCTTCATTTCTTGCGAGATATTCATCAATGCTTGAGGGAATGGCGCTGAAAGTACTGGAGTGTCTAATGTGACGCCATCGAATTTTGCCGTCAATTCCAACAAGGCTTTATCTCCATTTGATTTAACATTTTCTATAATTGGCAACACCAACTTCATAATCTCTGATGTCTTTTGTGCTGGTCTAGCCATAGCTTTAGCAATACCGGACGATGATAAATCATTGGCATTAATAACTTCCAATTGGTAATCATTTGCCACAGCTTTTACTTCTTCTTTTTGATTTGTAGTTGGCTTAGACCCTATCTTCTTCTCTTCCAAATAAGCTGGTTTGGCATCACCTTTTCTTCTAGTTACTTTCAACGATTTGACATCCAAATTCTTTTCTATATCGCTCAATTTGACTCCATTTTTAACACTCCAGCACAAGACAAAATACAACAAATCAGCAGCTTCCCAAGCAACTTCATCTTTATTGCCCTTGGCCTCAATCAACTCATCCAACTCTTCTTTCAATTTAGCAATCAATAACGATTCATCATCAAATAATCTCTTGGTATATGACCCCTTGGGTGCATTCTCGAATCGGTCTTGTAAAGTTGCATCCAATTTCGATAATCCATGGCCATTGTTTTGTAAATCATCGCCAAAACAAGTAAACTTTGTTGACTTATGACAGAACCCATACCCTTTACGGTTTTCAACCATGAATTTAACAACATCAGAATCGCAATCTTTCGATACTTGCAACAATCGTTGTGTAGCGCCACTAGTTTTACCCTTGTACCACAACTCGTGGGTCCTTTTTCTTGATTGATAAACACCAACTTTTTCATCAATGGCGGCAATTATGGATTCTTTTGATGAGTAAACGATTCCCAATGCAGTATATTGCGGTGCTGGTGATGTGATTAATGTAGTGAATAAGCCATCAGATCTATCAGTGACTAAAGTATTGACAAATGTGGCTGAGATTGAAATCTTACCGGCTTCCTGTTTCTTGGTGGTTAATTTCTTGGACTCAATGATTGGCGTGTACCCTAATTTAGCCAATTCATCAACTTCATCTTGCAAAATGTCACCGGAGTTGAATGTGAAAAACATATCTCTATTCTCATCATTGTTGTATTTCTTCAAGTCGTCCAATTTTGTAGAAACAATCAATGACAGATTAGATTGTAACACAGAACTGGCAAATCTTTCTTCAGGTAATCCAGCAGCTAAAACAGCTTCATATTGTGCATTATCATCACTTGATAAAAACACCCTTTCAACACCCAAATTCAACAAATCGGTAATCTGATCAATAGTGACATTCTTGTCCACTTGGACAAATATCGATAATTGAGATGGAAACTGTTGTATCCAGTGTTTACTCAACTTGAGTGAACTATAAGGCAACAAAACTTGACCTGTAATGCTCAAACTATCAAATTGTGGGTCTTCAGGAGACGAAAGTAGTGGTAAGATAGGGAATGTCATTATTGTTGTTGGTTCTTATAATTAGTACCCTTCTAGGTTCTTCTTCTCTACTGTTCTTATCAGTTTGATTTTAAAAGAAACTGCAAAGCCATTAAAAATTTTCCGTTTTTTTCCAACTTTTAACCGCCGCTCCAAAAATGACTAATACCAAATGGTAGCTTTAGAGGGTCTAAGACCCACCATATGATACATCCCATTATTCTACAACAACAGTTGGTCTTTTCTTTAATTTCATTACCATTACTATATGTATAAATATACGAGTAAAATAAACATACCCTGCTCCTTTATTTCCCCTTAGAAGTTGAACTCCCCTCTAAATTGATTCAAATCCATATTTGGTTTAACCAATTCAACCAAATCTCTTCTTTCCATTGATATGAATGCTCTTTTCAACGTTTCGGTCAACGCAGTAGATTGATTATGATTCAATGATGAAGATCCAGAATCAACTCCTTCCACTAGATGCATAGATAATCCCGATAAAAGATGTTCAGCAGCTTCCTTGTAGCAACCAATGTTTATACATGAAACACCCAAATTGTATCTTGCTCGTACAAATGTTGGTTGTATTTGCAAAGCCTTGAAATAAGCTTCAACTGCCTCTTCTGAACGGTTGGAGTTTGCCAATGATGCCCCTAATCTATTCCACAAAATAGGATCATCGGGTCTAATGTTGAGGGCAGCTTTGAAACAATCAATTGTCTTGTCAAAATCCTCATTGGCATAAAACAACACTCCTAATCCCATTTGTACATCGGCATCGATACTGGCACCATCAGGTGACAATTGAGCTGCTTTCAAGAACAAATCAGTGACTCGCTTATTTAATGAGAACCGGTCTTCATCAGTTAATTCAGGATTTTCTCTTCTTGCTTGCTCAGAAATTTGCGGATATTTAGTTGAAATCCACCTTTCCAATGTAGCAAAAGCAGCATTATCATAGCCCTCATTGATATAAGATATAGCTAAATTCATCAATGCTTCCGAGTTTTCTGGATGTAATTCCAAGCATTTTTCTAAAGCAGTGATACCGGCAATTTCCTTTTCGTTTTGAGTTTGAACTTCTCCCAATTTCAACCATGCATCAACATGATTTTGATCCTTTTGAATAGCAGCTTCAAAAGCCAATGCAGCTTCTGATAATTTAGCCCCATTTTCCATCAATTGTATACCAATTTGATAGGGATCTTGGTCAGCAGGCAAATCAAGAAATTGGTTATTTTCAGTATGTTCAAATTTATAATCACCAAAATGAGCTCTCGTTGATGCGTATTTGGCAAAATCTCTTTCCCAGAGATTCATATCGGGTGGGAATGTCTCTCCTTGAGTATTTTTGAAATCTTCATATTGTCGTTCAATGAAATCATTTTCAAATGCTTCTGAATTGAGACTATCCCACACTTCTTGGAAAGTAGCTTGGTATTTGTCATCAATTACGATATCATCTTTATCATCAGCTACTTTTGCTTCATCCTTCACTTGATCAGAGAGTTCTTCAATCTTCTTAAATTGATCATCCCAATCCACCTGCTGTTCGGTATCTTGTTTCTGTTCTTGGCTTTGCCTCTGCATTTGTTGTGGTTGCTGTTGTTGATAGGAGGACATGCCCATAGTGCTACCCATCATTGGTCGATACGACATCATTGGGGCACCACCACCATACCTTGAAAATGACTGGTTGTATTGTTGATGATGTTGTTGATTTTGGTGTTGTTGAAGTGTTTGTGGTTGCTGGGGAGCAGTTTGAAATTCATTAGCCCATTGTGCATTCACAGGTCCAGCGTGTTTTGCCATTGGTGGTGATGCTGCTGATGCACCTTGTGCCACAGGAGGCGAATGCGATTGTTGTTTGAAATCCTGTGACCAGTTGTTTGGATGTTGATGCATAGTGTTCAACTCGTGTCTCATTTGTTGAAATTGAAATGATGAAGCTTGAGGACCAGCAGCATTATTATTCATAAACTGGTCTAAATTTTGTCTATCTCTAGCATTAATCAAGTTATCTCTTTTGAAACCCTGATTTTGGATTACACCACCAAGTGATGGTTGAGAAGCTTGTTGTTGTAAAGATCTATCTTGTTGAGTATGTTTGTTAAGCTGAGAAACAACATTGTTGTTAACAGCACATTCTGATCCTCCTCCAACAAATGACATTTTAGCTTAGTAGTTGGTAGTAATAATAGTTAGTAGCTGACTTAATATGCAATAAAGCAGACTATATATATATGATGTCTGTTGTCAAATGAATTACTAATTGATTTGATTGATTGAGTGATTGAATAATTGATTGTTGTATGATTTTTTTTTTCTTCCCCACTAAAATTGACAAATGGGAAATGGGAAATGCAAAGAAAAGGGTAGAGGATGATTCAAAAGTTATATGCAGTATTACCCTCGGTTAAATTTAATCACATGCAAAATTTATTAAAGAGGAAAGGAGAAGTATAGGTCATTGTTACTTTAGATATAGAGCAGAGCAGAGTAGAGCAAGACTACACTATACTTTACTTCACTAATCAAATAGTATACTTTAAAAAGTAGGCCTTATAGGAAGAAGAAGAAGAAATGGTGGTGGTAATTAACTAAAAGATAAGAGAAAGAAACGGAAAACCCCGATCTGTGATAAAATAAAATGGTAGCGCATTGTCTTGAAAAAAATTCAAATGTCGTGAATGTAACATTTACGACACACACGCGATGCTTTTCTCCAAATTCAAATTCAAATTCAAATCCATTTAAAAAATTTTCAATTACATTTTACCTTTTTCTTCTTCTATAAACATTTATACACACCATTAATTAAATACAACAGTATGTGACTACCATTATTTACTTACTTACTTACTTACTCACATCTTTTGGTTATTTCTTTATTCCTTTTTTTTTTTTTGTTAAGGATGACATCATTTACAAACTCAGCTCATCCGAAGTCCAATTACGGACGATGCTGAAACTGTTTTTCCTAATCCAACAAATTAATATATCTGACTAACAACAAAAAGACAATAAGACAAAGAATATAACAAAAGAACAAGAAGAAGAGGAAGAGGTTTAAGTAATATAGCCATGACATTTTAATACTAACTTTACTCACTAGCTTATTCTTTACAATTTTCAAATTTTGAAATTTTGAAATTTTGAATTATAAGACGTTATTAAAGGTGTCTCATATCATATATTTTATTTTTTTCCTTGAAATTGACCTTGTTTTCTATTTCTCCTTATTTGGTAAAATCTTGCAAAGATTTCTTAATTGAATCAACTCCTTTCAATAAATCCTCTTCACTAATTACCAATGGAGGGGCTAATCTAATGATGTTATCATGTGTTGGTTTAGCCAATACTCCATGATCCTTCATCAACAAACACAAATCCCAAGCAGTTTTACCATTGGTTTTGGTATCATCAATAACTATAGCTGATAATAACCCTTTACCTCTAACTTCACTAATTATACCATTGCTTTGTTGTTGCAACTTTTGTAATTCCTGTTTCAACAAGTCACCCAACTGTTGTGATCTGTCGACTAAATTTTCATCTTTAACCACTTGTAAAGCAGCAATAGCTACTCTACAAGCCAAGGGGTTACCACCGTAAGTGGATCCATGAGATCCTGGTTCCAATGTCAACATAATTTCCCTTGATGATAATACTGCTGATACTGGTACAACACCACCAGAAATGGCTTTTCCAAGCAAGACAATATCAGGTTTGACACCTGGTGAATGTTCATAGCACAACATTTTCCCAGTTCTAGCAACCCCAGTTTGAATTTCATCACAAATCAACAATACATTGTGTTGTTTACACAATTGTTGGACACGAGGTAAATAGTCTGGAGGTGGTACCACAATACCAGCTTCACCTTGAATTGGTTCCAACAATATAGCAGCTATTTTATCACCAGCATTGGCAAATGCCTTTTCAACATCTTCAATCACTCCAAATCTCAACAATGCTCCTTTTGGTTCACCAGGAATTTGAGGACCAACATTGGGTAAAGAAGGACCAAAATTAGTTGTGGCATCAGTATCAGTTGACATTGAAATAACTCCCAATGTTCTACCATGGAAATTATTGACAGCTGCCAATATAATGGCTTCATTTTCAGGAATGCCCTTTTTAACATACCCCCATCTTCTAGCCAATTTCAACCCAGTTTCAACAGCTTCTGCACCAGTATTCATGGGCAACACCATTTCATAATTGAAATATTCAGTAATGTACTTGGCATAAACACCAAACACATCAGAAGAAAATGCTCTTGAACACAATGTCAATTTAGAAGCTTGATCAACCAATGCTTCAATGATTTTGGGGTGACAATGACCTTGATTAACTGCTGAATAAGCCGAAAGGAAATCCAAATATTCTTTTCCCTCGGGGTCCCACACGTGAGCACCTTTTGCTTTGGAAAATACTACCGGTAATGGATGGTAGTTGTGGGCTGAATATTGTGATTCATATTCCTGTGCTTGTTTGGAAGAAACTTTAAAATCAGGAGAAGTAGTAGAAGACATTTTTCTTTTTAGTTTTAGTTGTTGTTGTAGATCAATTATGTTGTTGTCTTTCTATTTGAGTAAGTCTGTTATTTTCTTTTCCTTGAGTGGGAAGCAGAGGCTATTTATATTTTGAAAAGTTTATGATTGAAAAATTTCGTAAGGCAATTGGGGGGGGGATGGGATAATATGATTTATGTTGTGAGTGGTGTTAGAGTTGTTGATATTTTTCTCCGACTTTTGCAATCATCAATTGCAATACAGTTTACCTTTTAAAGGTAACTTACACCGAGACCAAAAAGACTAGACAAAAGTTTTGTTACGTGTACAATATATTTGAATCTAAATTGGGTAACTCATAGAGATTGTGCGCAAGTACACTACTGCATTTGAAAGAAAGGTAATTTATCCCAATTAGGCAATCCATGCAGAGAGAACGAAAGAAAGAAAGAAAGAAGAGTAAGACGCAATTTTTGAACAAATCAAAGAGGAGGAAAAAAAAAAATTATTTAGGCATACAGAGCAAGGCAAAGGGATATATCATCAAAACCAACCAACTACGTCATAGACAATAAATCAATCACACATCATCACACACCATCACACACTAACATCAAAACAGAGCCTCTCATCAATCTAACAAAAACCAATCGAATACATATAAGCTACACCCAAAATGAGCACGTATGAAAGAGGATGCAAAAGACCAGCACTACACGACTCCAACACAGCCACCAATGACTCATCGTCTACTATTAAATCATACGGAGCAGACTCACCACTTCCATCAGTAGCAATGAGAATCAGGAAAGCAGTAAGTGAGGGCTACAACAATGGCCAAGCCACTAATTTTGCTGCCAATTATCAACGTGTACCTTTACCTGCCACGTTAAATAACCAACCACCAAGTTTATCATCATCGGATTCGACAAGAACTGTATCGAATTTAGAAGAATGGGATAGTTATTACAAGATCAATAACACACCTATACAAACTATTGATGAGTTTAGTAGTAAAGGGTTTGGGTTTAATGATAATAATCCTTTAAAGAGAAAGTTTCAGGATGCAGGGGGCCAAACTGGCGAACCTGAAATTGCGCAGTTTCAGGCTAGGTATGGTGAATTAAAGTTTAATGAAGAGTTTTAAGGGATGGATGCATCTAACTCACCCTCAAAAAACCCCATATTTCTTTAATGTGATTGATGAATTTGTCATTACATATTGGTTGGTCACTTTTTGATCACCAATTTTTCTGTTTTCTTCACTTCTTTGCTGCATCCCCTTTACTTTATAACAGGTATTCTCTACCTTAGTGGAGAGTTGTCGGCTTATTCATTGGGTTGGTAGATACTTGTATTGTGTTTATATGTTGTTGTATATGTTTTATCAAGGATTGAGTTTTTTTTATTATTCTTTTTTAGCAATTTTCAAATTGTAGAGACCTTAATTGGTAAAGGAGTAAAGAGGATCAAGTACGGTTTCAAGATCTAAGAGATCTGGTAGGGTGAAAGAGTTAAACTGGGGGATTTTCAGTATTGTCAGATCTAGGAGAGTAGAAGGGGGCGCTTATTATAAGAAAGTAAATAATTACTGCAACCTTCGTTTGACAAATCTAAATCTTAAACGGACAGTAAGTAACGAAGACTCAATCATCATATGAATTACTTTACTTTAAAAGAGTCTCGTAGTCTCTCATATAATGCAATTACCTCACACACACTCTCTTGTTCGTTTCTCAATTGGTTATACATAATATCTAAAACAATCAAAACATCAAAACTGTTAGTAACTTCGTCCTCATTTATAAACCAGAATCTCTTCTTCTTTAATCGAAGCTTGGCTTTTTTGTATATGATCTTCTTCTTCTTCAATAACAAACAACAAATAAAGAATGGCAACAACAGTTCTTTTTTTAAAGAAAGAAAATCAGACTGACATGCAAATCGTTTTAGTTTTTGTATATCATTGGTAAAACCTCATGATATGTAAGAAATATAAGACATCATATTTTCTTCTTGTTCTTTTTGTTCTTGTTCTTGTTCTTGTTCTTGTTCTTTTTTATACGTTTTATCATCCTTAGTTTGATGGAGTTGTCAATTGAAATTGAAATTGAAAATAAAAGATCACTTAAGAAATGTGACAAACATACCAATTATGTAGCCTTCGTTTGAAGGTGTTTTTGATTTAAAGAAAGAAAGAAAGAAAGAAGGAAAGAAGGAAAGAAGGAAAGAAGGAAAGAAGAGTAGAAAATTTTTTTGTTGTTTTTTTTTGTCCATTTGTCTTTTGAAGATTTTTTTTTCTTTCTTCGATTTTCGCAACTTTTGCAACTAATTGCATTGCAAAAGTCCAATGACATTCCGACAACAACAACAACTGCAACTGCAACTGCAACAAACATCATCATTACATCTCTAGTCATCTTATCTCAACAACCAAAGAGAAAATACAAAGATTATCATTACCATTACTACATTTTTTTTTAGAAAAAAAAATGAAAACACAATTCCCAGTAAAACCTCTTTTATATTTATTCCTATACAAAAGAAATTAAAAGAGTTCAAACTGCTCTCTCTATTGAATCGCCATGTTTCTTCTGTCCAAAGAAGCAAAGAAGAATAGACAAAAAGGAATAAAGGAATAAAGGAATAAAGGAACGGGAGTGTCTTTGTCTATTCAGGAACCACGGCCGGTCAAAGGCCGAAATTATCATCAATATTCAAGGATTAACAGTCCTTGAATAACAACAGAAGACCGTCGTGAAAAAATGTGGTATAATCATCATCAACAAAGATTTGGCTCCCATCTCCTCTGTCCTTTTGTCTGTTTGTCTGTTTGCCAGTTTGCCAGTTTGCCAGTTTTTCCCTCTGTCCTCCTTTCTCTTCCTTCTTGAATCAAATCAAACACTAAAATATAACAAAAAAAAAAAAAAAAGATGAAATCCATGGCTTCTTAACCCCCCTTAATAGTTAAAGGATAAACTTCTATAATCATTTGCCAACAAACGAAATAACGAAATAATGCAAGGAAAATAGTGGGTGTATATAGACGAAAAAAAAAAAAAAAACAAATTTCAAAAAATCAGACATTTAATGTAAAAGACTTTCGTTCATGAAAATGAATTTCAGACATATGCTTGTCTATTTGTCTTTTTGTATTTGATTCATCCTTTTTCTTTATATTGTTTTATTATTTTCATTTTCATTTCCATTTCCATTTCCATTTCCATTTTCCTTACCTTTATTCTCCTTCTTTTAAGGAAAACACCTTCATCGTAAATGAAATGATTATATCAAGTCCAGTTAAAATGCCATGTTAATGTTTGATTTTAAAACCAGTAGGAACGGCAACAAAAACAACAACAACAACAGTAAAGATACAGATGAAAAAAAATACCAGCAAAAGAGTGTCCCTGAGTAATACTTTGTTAGTCAATTTGAAACCTTTTTGCTAGATCAAAATGAATTATCCCTTTTCTTCACTTTAGTTATTATTATTATTATTTATTTTACTTTTTTGAATCAGAAATGCATGAATGGTAATTAAAATAGATTTTGTCATCAACGGGAAACCCGAGATTCTGACTCGTCATCTAGATAAAACTCATCACCTCAAAAAAAAAAAAAAAAAAGCCGAAAATTGTAAATGGGATAAAACAAATCGAGGGGGGGAGGGGGTGGAAGGAAGGATCTTGATACATACTTTTCACATCTTCTCTATGGGCTGGATGAATTCAAACCCTAAAACAAAGCTAGTTAGTACCCAACAGTTTCATTCAATAGCACTTTTTCTCGTGCTCTTCCTATTCTTCTTCTTCTTCTTCTTCTTCTTCTTTGTGTTAAATAAAAAAAAATCAGTAACGATGGGTTTCTGAGGCCCACCATAAAATGCATTGTCACTCATAAAATGTATATTCAGTGCCCAGTGCAATAATTCCTCATCTTTTTTAAAAAGAAAAGAATGAAAATCTCACATCCAATAAAAAAAGGAGGATGCAATGGCTATGGAAACATACTTTAGATTTAGATAATCTAATTGTCTAAATTGTCTAAATTGTCTAAATTGTTAGTAAAACATGTCAAAGTCAAAGTCAATGAAAAAGTACAAAGCATCACCATCCATGATTCATGATTCAACCTTTCTCATACAAGCTCTCCCTCCCCCTCTCTCTATTTCCACCTAAAACTTATCTTCTTTATCAAATCAGTTAGCGTTGTGCAAAAACTTTATCAATCATACGATTAAATCAGCCAGTAATTCCAGCTTTTGTTTTCGTTAAATCATCATTTCAAATAAAGGAAAATAAAAGTAATAGACATATAATCAGCAGCGGTCAAATTGGTTCAAATGACCAATTGAGCAAAGGCAAGTAGTGAAATCAATGGTTAATGGAGTTGTAAAAGCACTAAACAAACAAACATACACTTGATAAAAATACCAATATCATCTTAGATCAATTGAAAACATTGAGTTTAGAAAAAAAAGAACTATGTGATAAATGTTAGTAAAACCATACTTTATAGACGCTGCCTAGCACAACAAACAGGGGCTCTTCCATCTTCCACTTTTCTTTTCTTTTCTTTTTCGTTTGTTTGTCTCAATGACAAATGAAAATATCAGTAAACTTGAATAACGTTGTGATCATTCCATTTAAAATAATAGTCACATACTCTAGTTTGAATTATTTTAATTATTTTTGGTCATCCTATACTCCATTGTCATTAGAATGAGACAAAATTGAAAACAAAACAAAACAAAAAAGACAAAAGTAGCTGCTTATACATCCAATTGAATTGGGTAGTATGAGTTAATGAAACAACTGTGCTGGTAAATGATATTGAAAACATACTTTAATTTAGATACATTAGATATATAGATATATATATATATCTAAATATATGTAATAATAATACTTTTCAAAAGAAGAAGAAGAAGAAGAAGAAGAAGAAAAGGTGGGAATTGCAATGAAAATTTTTTTTTTATTTTGGAAGAAGAAGAAGAAGAGGAAGAAGAGGAAGACAGAAGAGGTCGTGTACCAATAAACAAAAATAATGATTGAACATGGTATAGATAGATATGTATGTTTCCCAATATATTAACATATTAATATATCAACAGGGGATTTTGTTGAGCAATGGTGTCTCTTCTCGAGGAATGAGTCTATGAGGTAATCCCTCAATTAATATGAATACAGTCTGTTATTATTCTATGTCATCTTCATCTACTTATTCCTTGCTATTGAATCCATTGTCAAGCCCAATAAATTACACTTTTTGTTTCTTTGCATCTACTCCATTTTCATCATTGGCTACATCTTCCAACGATCGTTTACTTGGATCCTTCATACCAATTTCTGCATCTTTTGATTCAATAAATTCTTGTAATTCTTTCTCCAATGATTCAGCATGTATCAATGAATCAATATATACATCATCTTTACCACAATTGGGACAATGGAAATCATTCTCAATCAAGACATTTTCAATCTCATCTTGATTATGATACACATTGGCCAATTTTTGCAATTTACTCAAATCGGGACAACAGGGCGTGGTATAAATTGGTGGTTTAAGTACTTTTCTAGTCACTGATAACGCATCAACAAATTGCGGTTTGTTATATTTGTCAACAATGCCAATTAATCGAGACTCGTATTCTTGTTTTGATTTCATGGCAGCATTTTGCAATTTCGTTTGATAATTCATCCATGTTTTGGAATCAGCCATGGCAATGGCATATTCACCTTCATCAGTGATCAAAATGGCGTTTCCATCATTATCAATAACATCACCATTGTCATTGGTAGTGAATGAGCCCGAGTTCTTCTCCACTTCTTCTTTCGATATCGTTTTCAAGTACGACTTCGGTATACCAGTAGTTCTCATAATCTTTTTACCTTCGAAATTGGGGTCATTATTAGTAGGACAATTTTTGATCCAGTGGTCCTTTTTACCACATCGGTAACAAATGTATCCTGGCGGTGGTTGATCTTCTTTATTTCCAGTTCCTGCCGCTGTTGCTGCTGCTGTGGGTTTATAATAAACCATCTTGTGTTGAGCTAGTTCATCCTGCGTTTGAGCCCACACATTTGATTGGTTTTCAAACATCAATTTAATTTTGTCTTCTTCAGATGCATCTTCGCCCAATTGTGGTAACGTGGGCATACTATTTACTGCCGCTGAAGCATTTGCATTGGTGGTATTGATAACTTTTCGATTAAGTCGTGGCTTACCACTGACATATCTTGATGCGTTGTTGAATTTACCCGTCTTATAAGAGGCTGGTGATCGTTTGGCAAGAACATAGCTCGACCTAGGGATAACATCATTATCCAACTCATATTCTAAATCTGGTTGTTCGGCATGATATAATCGCAAATTGAAATCTTGACCTGTGCCTAGGTTGTTTTGGCTAATGATATCTCTTTTTAAATCAAATACGCTGATTGCAGTACCATCGAAATGTATTATACTCTTGTTCTTTTGATGTAGGAACCTATAGTATATGACTGAAGACATTATTCTTTTTAATGATATTGAGCTTTGAAAGAGTTTCAAGAATCAGATTAAGTTAATTTTTTTTTTTCTTCATCGAACAAACAAAACAGCCCAAGCAGAAAGAAAGAAAGAAAGAATACTTTACTGTTCTTTAAAAGATCATTCAGTGTACTAGAGGACCCTTTTTTGATTATGAACGTATCATATTCATCGTCAAATGTGGTTGGCTATGCAAGTCACCTAGCTACACTTGATGTGAAATTGCCATTAAAGTACCCAGAAGCAGCAGCAGCAGCAGCAGCAGCAGCAACAACATCATCATCCACCATCAACCCCAATGATCAATTTCATCTGAGCCTTGCAGTAACTGGTCAATTACTTAAACTTGAGTCTACTTCACTAATTCCGCTTGTATCATGTTCGATCTTGAACGATTTGAAAACAATTGTTTTAACTCCAATTGAACGCAAGTCAAATAGTTTAGGTTTGAAACTTCAAAACATCAAGATCCACTTGCCTCATAAAGTCTCATCAACCAGCTGTTTTGATATTCGTAACAATGGTGAGCATGTTTACATCAATATCATTGATTCTAATTACCTACTTGTATCTTTAAAGATACCGATTGAGACATTTGTTACCGGAAAGACCTTGTCTTTATTTGAATTTGAAGAATGGGGACATATTTCTGTTCCTTATTCATTTGAGATGAGATCAAATCCGTACCTCGTGAAGTCAATTGATGAGTTCAATGTGCTAGTTTCGTTGAAAGATGGTGGCTTGCTTCATTTTCAAAAGCAACATCCCTTGTCTCCAGTGGAAATCTATACTTTTAATGAGCCAGTTTCATATTTTGGAGGGTTTTTTAGGAATAAAAAGGCAAATCTAGATGTGGGTGGAGTATCAGCAAACTCTGTAGTGGATTTGATTAAAATTGATGATTATTTAATCACCCTTACAACAAGCAGAGATTTGAAATTATGGAGTTTAACAAAGCATCAACACATTTCATCCACATCGTTGTACAACAAGCTGGATGAGGATATTCGGCTAACCACAGTGCCTTCGAAGTACCTTCAAGTGGTGGATATTGAAGGCGAGAACTACATCGCGTTATTCAACCCAACAAATAGTAGCCACAAAAAGAGCCGATTTGGATTCAGGACATGGCAAATAAAGGAGGAGCTGTCTTTGATTGAAGTGTCTAAATTGGAATTCCAGCCTGAATTGCCAAATACATTGTTATCATCATCGGATATTTTTTATCACGAGTCAACTTTTCAAAATACTATATGGTTTATTCAAGATTTTGAAATTCAATACCAAGACAATGGCCAATTAACCCATCATATTTTGTGGAAATCTAACACCTCGTCCATTTTAGTCACATATACGATCAATTTCGACAACGGAGCAATATCATCGATTGAATTGTCTCTGCCACCAACCCACAATGAAGAAGAAGAGGTTTCGATCCATTTTGACTCGGAGTACTATCGTCGAAAGATTTTTGATTCAGGAAGATTTGATAACTTGATTGTTGGCACTTCGTTATCCATATTGCGCCAACACTTGAAATCGCAACAGGACGAATTAGACGATAGAGATTTGCGCAAATTGGCAATCAAGGTAGTAGAGTTTAACTCTACTGCTGAATCTTCGAAACATATTTGGTTTAAACTTTATTCCTTATGCGAGGAGTTTAAAAAGAGCAGCCAAGAAGCATTGGCTTTAGTATCATTTGATAAACACTTGATCACGGTGCAAGCAAATGGTTACGGGTTATTCAGACCGTCCCATTATTTTGAATTGTTAATTTGCAAAAATATTCAGAGTCCCGAGGGGAGATTAATGCAATTGTTTAATAGATTCCGCACTACATTGTCGGCAAAGACATATCACAAGTTGAACGAGTCGGTTCTATCACGTGGTGACCACCAATTCGATGCTAGTGCAGTTGACGAAATTTTCCAAACACATCTTAATGAGAAATTGCCTCAACAAGAGATTCAATCGGCCATGTCTCATTTGGCAAGTATACCTAATGTATTACAAATTATTCAATCTTTAGTTGCTGATTCTGATTATCAATTGATTGAAGTTGTTGACCAAGTGGGGGAGTTGGGTGAGTTTTTCAAATTGTCAACCTTTGCCACTTTTAAGAATATAATGCAACAGCATAGCACACTATTGACAGATTTATTAGTGTTGCTTTTGGTTTGTGAAGTCAATGATGAAATATTATACTTACTCAATCAGGTGATGCGTGGATTGCAACAGTACAATTTGACAGAAATTATATTTGAAACGTGTTTTGAGTCCAGTAATTGCAAGTCACTGCTTGAGTCTAATGGTTTGGGTAATGTCGATTATTCATTATTTTGGTCGGCGATAGTCAAAAAAGACACCACCTTGAAACAATTATTTGACAATTTAAGAATCAACGATGCGTATGATTACTTTCACAATGATGTATTGACAAAGAGAGATTCCATTGTAAATTCCGTCATTGAGTTGATCAACCACCATCATCAAGGTTCATATTTGAAAAAGTATTTTTTAACCAAATTGAATCAAGATGATGTCGATGAACTATTCCTTGTGGGCATTATCCATTTGATCAATAATGAAGCAACTTTATTCTATGATACGTTTGCTTCATTTGACAAGTTTGAAAATTTAAATGTTGCCAAGTTGAACGCATTGAAACAAGAAGAAAATTTACGTCATTTCTTGACTTGCTTCTATACTACGCCTACCAAAAATGATTATTATCATGGTTTATCAGAATTGACAATGTCACAAGCTATAGCTGGGAAATCTACCGATGTCATAAGGAAACAATTAACTGAGGTGGCGTTGAAATTTGATAAATTGGCCATTGAAAACACCAAAGAGGAGCCATCGAAAGTTGAATCGTTATACTTGAATGTATTTGATTTAGCATTATCTATTTCCGATTATAATTCAGTTGGCCAATCATTACAACACTTGGCTTCAAATAGTCAGTTACCAACATTGTTGACCCGGTATATTGAAAAATTAATATCGGAACTGAAAATCAAGCTAATCTTCCCGCCCAATAGTAACAGCCAAGTCTATCGTACTCATTTCAAACTAATTGATTCAATTTTGGTTAAAATAGCCCAAACGGCGCCGTTAATGTCATCGTTGAAAATTTACCAAATTTGTTCCTCATGGAGATTATTTGGGTGTTGTACTTCTAAAACTGAATTGGGAGACCAACGTGGTTCATGTGAAGCATTGTATCAATTCATTCAACGATATAAAAATGAAATTAAAACTATTGACAAGACGAGTAAATTTCAAGTTTTACAAATGTATTTACTCATATTGAATAATTTGAAAACATTTGCTGATGTTGATGATCAATGGTTTTTCAATAGTGCACCGTTTCCTGATACAGGTTCGTCTTCACTGATTGTAACTGCTAGTCGGATCCAGATTGAGTATTTGGAGTGGATGAAGAATTTAGAAACCGATTTGTCTACATTAGAATAATCAATAAGTCAATATGCATATATGCGTGTACAAAATGTATAAAGCCTCAATAATAGAGAATCGATTGTTCATATTCTCTTCCCATTTTACCAATTCCTTTTATCCAATATTGGCCTTCATATTTCCTGCACCTCTTGGATTTGCATCTTTCCAATCATCCCACTGCCTTTTCTCCAATTGTGCTTCATCATCTTCATCACTCTCATAATCAGATCCTTTACTCACATCTTTAACTTCTTCCTTCATCATTTTCCCATTGGCCAACTCATAATCCAAATATTCTTCAACCGTCATTGATGGTAATACTTGGCCAGTACCAAAAACACGATTGCGTAATTGCGATTTAGAAGTTATTGTAAATGGTTGAAGGATCTTGCCTTGTTTGGAAATAAGATCAGATATTTGTTTACCGGGACGTTGTTCAATTCTTGTTGTGAATCCTGCCGGATCATCACCACTTGTTGTTGTGGCACTTGCTAACCTGCCATCCTTATCACCATTTTCATCCTGTGAATTTGTTGAGGAACCTGGTGGAGGTTTATTTGAAAGCACTTCCAACTCCACGGTGATTAATCCTATTGAATCAAATGCTTTTAAAATGTGGAATTTCAATTGGTCGATGTATATTGCTTTCAAGGTTTCATCTTCAAATCGTTCATTTAAATCATGTTTCAAATCAGTCAATACTGCCAACTGATGATGCAATTGTTGTTCCTTCTTGTAATTATCAATCTTTTCTTGTCTTTTCAATTGAGGCGACATGATAATCTCCTCACCTTTATCAATAAGGTTTAATCTCTGTGATTGATCGTGGTCTAAAATTCCATAGTTTTGTAAATTAGTTAGAAACTCAATAGCATACAGTTTAGCCAGCGATAAATAATCTGGTTTAAACTCGAGCGATACTGTGCCTTGTTTTAATTGAAGTCGAGAATGCAATTGGGACAAGTAAAACCATAGGTTCAAATAGGGGATATACGAGGTAGTGAGTTCCAGTAGTCGCTCATTATCACTAAACAATGAAAGTGATTGGACGATTTGTAAAATTAATTCAAATTCAGTGATGAGATCATGAAGACGTTGTTGATAATCAAGTGAATCTTGACGAACAGTTGAGTTGTTGGCTATGTCTTCGTATTTTTCACGCGCAAGTTGGAACCTCTCCGAAACGGTCAACTGGTCCAACTCTCTTGTATTACTCATTTTTCAGTAAAGAGAGAGGGGGGACAATAGCTATTGTAGATGATAATGCCAGCTGTTGTTGTTTTGGGTGTGTGTTTGGCCTGTAGTTAGCGCTTAAATGGCGAGTTCAAAATTTTTTTTTATTTTTTAGTGCGGCTAGGTCGTGTACTAAGCATAAAAAAGTATGACGTAGTTGTTGGTACACATTTGGGTTATAGAGAAGACTAGAGAGAGTACATGGTGAAGTCACATATTAATAATGAGAAGAGCCCTAAATGGGAATGTATCATAAAGGACGCAACCTTCTTCAAGCAGGGACAAAACGCGTTGACCACGAAAAAGAGACAGCAGAATTACTCATCATCATAATCTTATTGATTCGTATTCACATATATACTTTTATAATTTTTCAAGCAAAGTTTCAGCACTTGAGACTTCAGTGAAATCACCACCATCTTCATTAGCTAAGTAATATATCTCACCATCTTTAACAATGGCAGCATATCTTTGCAATCTCTGGCCCAAACCAGCGCTGCTCAAATCCAAGACGTAGTCATCTCCCAATTGACTCGAAATTTTACCTTCTGGATCAGTAGCAAAGATGACAAAGTTTTCTTCATCCTTGTAACCAACTGCTTTTCCAAAAGCTGACAATACGAAGGGGTCATTTACAGCCAACACAATGACTCTCTTGACTCCCTTTTTCTTCAATTTCTCGACATTGTTGATATAATCAGGAATGTGCTTAAGGGAACAAGTTGGCGTGAAAGCACCTGGAATAGCAGTGATGATGACGGTTCCATCCTTCAATTCCTCTTGCAAATCAAGTGGTTTTGGAGTACCTGCATTGGTGATTCCAGAATGCTGGTTGTCGTATGGGACGTATTTGGGCTTAACGTCAGTGGGGAACTGTTGACCGGCCATTTTTCTCTTTAGTAGAAGGTTTGCTATGTGGGAAAAAGAAAGTAAATGGAGATTCAAAAAGGAAAGCCGAAGTGTACATTTATGATATATATATGTTCATTATCGGAGATTAATCTCCACAAATAGGAGAGGGGGAGGAGTGTGTGTGTGTGCAAGGGGGGTGTTCGGCGTCTAAATTGATTGGGGGAAGATTTCGAATCGGACTTGTGCGTGATTTTGTGTCACAAATTTGCACCACCGCAACTTTAATTTCAAAACTTCCTTCTGCTTTAACCCCCCGTGTTAAAAAAATAAGTACAGTAAAATATGTATATCCTAGTCGGACCATTGTCTTGCGAAAACCATTAAAGTGAGTTCAACAACTGCAAATGAGTCAAACTTACTCTGTAAAGCCAATTGGGGCAGAGTCAACGAAAATATTTCATGTACTACCGGGGTCAACCTTTGTCCACGTTTTCCTTTGTACTTTCTTTTAGGAAGCATAGATCGAAGTTTACTGTTTTTAATGTAGCTTTAAATGCATTAACCTTTAGATCAATATCCTTCTAGAATATTGGTGAGGTGAGACGTTTATGCAACGATTAAATGGTGTATAAAGAGGGTCAAGATTTGTTCTTCTACGTCAACATAACTTCTCATGTCGTATATGAACGCTTGGAAATATCATGTGCATAGTAGTACCTGTTACAAGTTTACCAAAAAGGACTCTCTCTATATAATGAAAGGACTTCTTCTTTATTGTTAAATAAAGTCTTTAAATAAACAATGAAAGCTGTGTGTAGAAATTTTAAGAAAATAACGAATATAAATAGGGAAGTAAAAGTTTCCTAATACTGTCATTTGATATACACAGTATCATCCTGTGTTAGGCATTCATGTAGGCAGATTTGAGGTTTAGCTGATATGCGTGTAAAATTGTTCTTCGGCCGCTATGGCCGTTAGAATTGGTTGTGAGAGCTATCATTCGACTTGTGACAGGCACCCGCACCCAATAAAGTGATTACAATTATGGTACTGTTTCTACCCAACTTTTCTTTGTTGAATGTGGATCTAATAAATCCACCCATCAGTTGTCCTAGCCTTGGTGTTGGTAGGAATGTATTTTACCATCAACTTGTTGTTAGCTGCTGCAAAGTTGGAAGTTGATACTAACAGCATTTGCCATCTTGGTCCAAGAAAGAAACAATAGCCGTTTTCCTTTCATCTCTCTTGTCACACAAGAGTCAATTTGGGGCATTCTATTGAAATTTTGGCGTCATTGAGACTTTTGAAGTTTACTTCAACCCTAATGGAATTTAGTCTTCTAGTCTGAAACAATCAATCCAATGAACCTTTTTTGCTTTCATTTTTGAAAAATAGCACTTTAATTGGTCTTTATGGAATTCATTTGGGTTGTGATAGATGATTAATTTCACTAATTTATTAATAGATATATGCCTTTAGAATGATCTTTATTGTTTTTGCCTTGGAATTGTAAATACCCTTGTAAGTCAGTCGTACTCAGATTTATTATCTATCGATGAAATGTATGATATAATTGTTGGATTCTTTTTATGCAGATCTCTATAGATTGCAAAAACGAGAGAACGACTCACCTCCTCTGCTGCATAGGGATTGCTCTCAATAATTCACAGCTGTAGCTTTATCATATCAGGCTCTGCAAGATATAACGTAAGCCACCAAAAACCAATCGTTTGGCACTTGCACAATTGGACTACAGTTTGTATTTTGATAGTAAAACTGGAAAGCTGTACCAAAGAGCAAATGCATCTGTACCCTTTATTAGCACATTGGAAACAAATCAGAAGGATCTGCTTGTATTAGGGTTGTAATTGCATACTATAGAAGAAAATTGCAACAAACGAGACAACAAAGGCAAAACCAAAAAAAATACGTTAATCAAGCCTTACGCCACAATCATCATTACCACTTCACATCACTACAAAGCCATACATATATCTTTAAAGCAAAACCAAAATGAGCACACCGGCATACTACGAACTATATAGAAGATCAACCATAGGAGTAACCCTAGCCGATGCCCTTGACACTTTAATCTCCGATGAAAAAATTCAACCGCAATTGGCCAATCGTATCTTGAACAATTTTGATCGTATAATCGCCGAGAACTTGAAAAATGAACTGAATATAGCCAAGCTGAAATTGACATTCAAGGGAGATTTGGACACTTATCGGTTTTGCGATGATGTGTGGACGTTTATTATCAAGAATGTGTTGGTGAAGATGACTGATTTGAGTGGTAGTGGTAATACAAGTGGGTCGGGTGGTGGTAATGGCGGTGATGACTTGGAGATTCATGTTGACAAGTTCAAGATTGTTGCTTGTAATTCGAGAAAAGCAGGTGAGCCTTAAATGGTGATTGACGAGTTCTGGTGTTGTGTGCGGGGAAGAAGAGGAGAAGGGAAGAATAGGGTCGAATTTTGACAGAGTCGCTGATGACAATGCAGCCTCGAATGGAACTAGAAGCAGCAAAATATTACTGGTTATATCACAACTAGATATGCTTCTATGGGAGTTGCAATGTTCTATTTTTTTTATATATATGTACGAATGAATCAATCCAAATTGTCTATAAAGAGAGCTCCTCTTCCGCTATAAAATCCATCTACTTATTGAATGAGATAACTGCCCATTTGCCAGAACTCGACCAAAACTCGCCCACATCATTACCAGCTTCTTCATACTCCCTGATCAACTTTTCATTGACACCCTCTGGCAATCCAACAACAACATCAGCTTTACAAGTACGCAACGACAAAATGGGCAATCCACTAGTGGCCAATTGTTGGATTGCCGTCTTGAATGGAGTAGTCTTGGGCCATTGTAGATCGCCCGTCAATTTACGATAATTCAAATCGCCCTTGAAAATAATCAATTGTGATTGTGATAAATCGTGATACAAATCGGTAAACTGCGGAATTGACCAGAAATTGTAATCCAACGTCCAGAATGGATGATGGTTGATGATGATTTTGTTTGATTTATGGTATGATTCAATCTTGGATGATACTAGGTCAATGGCGTCAGCATCTTGTTTATGAATATTGGGGAAAAAGTGCTCATCCTTCAATTGCCCCACCAAATCAGTGAAATCTTTAGCCATGGTATCAGAAACAAACCATGGGATTTCTTTACAATGCAAATGAACTTGCTGTGCCAAACCCAGGTCCAAAAGAAACAAACTAAGGATCAAATCAGCAAACAATTCAAACCCTGAATTATCCAAAACAATATCGATTCGAGACACTCCTTCTTCTTTATCCAAACCAGTTTCACTCCAAGCAGTAGGCAAATCATTGACAATAATCTTTTCTTCATTTTTTTTCCGAACTTCAGCACCTTGAACTGATTTTATATCTTCTAGAGTAACATTACCCGCCAATAATGATAAATCAGTGGCATTTCCCCAAAGTGAAATATCAATAAATTCAACAAAAAGTAAACGCAAAGTCTCTTTTTCAGCTTTGCCTTGTTCCAATTCTTGATTTAAGAATTGGTATCGTTTACATAATTCCAAAACTCCCAATTCTGATTGATGGAAGGTTTTCGTCTTCAATCTAGCAAAAATATCATACGAATGCCAAAATGAATCTTGGTTCAGGATGAAGAAATTGTTAATGTATTGGTACAAGTAACATTCCAAGTATAACCATGGACCAGTCTGCCAAGTGACTTTCTTCACTTGGTTTAACGAATCAAGAGTGGTATTATAATGGTGTAACCACTTGTTATGGTGAATCTCTTGTTCATTGAAATGACGTACAGTAGTATCATTCTTGAAGTCATGTAACAATTGTTTTAATTTATCAACAATTGTTTCTCCAGATGTCGATAATTGCTCTGTTTTGTTGTCTTTAATGGTTTGTTGCACATCGTCAATTCCTTGTTCGATAATTGTTGGCCACCGTTTGTGAATTGTTGGGTAAGCAAACGATTTCTTGTCGTCGTTGTAATAAGGCAATGGCAAGGAAGTAGAAGACATGATGACAGGACTTAGTGGTGGTAATAAGGAAGAAGAGATGTTGTCCGTGCTGTGTGTCTTAGGATTATTTTATAGTGTTGTAGAAAAGCGACTCTCCTCCACCCCGGTGAAAATTGTTGCGATTCTCTCTCATCCGGGGCTGACGTAATTTTACCTTTTTGCAACAACAACACCACTTTGTCGATTTTACGTTGATTGGGGGAGACCACTGAGATCTATACTATGCAGTAGACCGAAGAAGGCTTATTTGATTGAGTGTGTTCTAATCTTTCACCATGGGAAAGTCATAATTCCTAGCTTTAATCTTCATTAGCTTTAGACTGCAATGAGACGCAACTTCCCCTTAGCTCTTATGACCTCTAACTACTTAGAAAAATCTAGCTTCATCAAACAACTGTCTACTAAAGGTTGTTCTTGCGGATTTCCCATCTTCTCATTGGCGATAATAGGCTATTTGAAGAGGATTGTTCAAAACTCTATAGAGTATAGTCTAACAACTAAGCCTGTTCGTCTAAATACGCATATTAGTGCTCTTCCCTACCAAAGACCAGCAGTTGCTTTTCCTATTGCAAACACGTTTATTGAAGTTGATTTCTCTTTGTAAGGTATAATATTTATTTTTTTGGCGATCTTACCAACGTCAAATCCAAGTCAAACAAAAATAAATAGAACTCAATACCTTCTATACTATAAAGACACTTGACAATAGTAACAGATAGATAGATAGACAAATAAGTATATTTAAAAACAAAACATTTGATTATAAAACTAATACAAAAGCATTTTGACATTCAAGGTAATGATGTCAGAAAACTAAAATAAAAAAAAATAAAGGACAAATATATAAAAGAAAAAGCATTAACAAATGATCATTGTAAAAAAAATAATAGACAGTAACAAAAAAAACAGGCAATCAGCAACAGAATGATGGTAGTAGTAATAGATAAAAAAAAAATAATAGACCTCAAAGTTGTGGTAGGTATATCAGCAACAAAACAAATGGAACAAAAAGGTAGGGTGATCACACCAGTGGCAGCAGCCGCAGCCGCAACCATCAACAAAGGAATAAATCTAAGCATACAACAGATAAAAGTAGAAGTAAAGACTAAGAAGCAAACAACAAAGATAAAAAGCTTATCTCTCTATAGTAATGTCGGCCTCTCGTAAACGCCTCTCTTCTGGATCATCTATTGCATCCAATACTCTTTTTGAAATGAGTAATCATAGTATTCATTTGGGTTCTGAGGTTGGCCAGCTTGATTTGGATTTTGAGGTTGTTGTTGTTGTTGTTGTTGTTGTTGTTGTTGAGGAAGAGGAGCATTAGCGTATTGATTAGGATTTTGCTGATACTGTGGTTGTTGACCTGGTTGACCTGGTTGTTGTTGTTGAGGTGGTGGGTTTTGGTACTGGTATTGGTAAGGATATTGGTACTGTGGTGGCACAGCTTGGTATTGTTGACCTTGAGGATGAAACTGGGGTGGTAATTGTTGAGGGTGTGGTGGTACTTGTTGTTGATGGAGATGAGGTTGTTGTTGGGGTGGTGGTTGTTGACTAATTGATGGTTTTTGATTTTGTGTCTTATTTTTTTCTAATTGGAGTTTTTTTTTGCATACTCGGCTTTTTCTTTTTCATATCTCTTTTTATCAGCTTCTGCCTTGTTTTCATAAGGAACCTTGTCTTCAGGAGTCAAAGCCTTCCATTTGTCACCCAATGCTTTACCAACTTGTCCAAAGGAAATACCGGGGTTTTCAGCTCTAACAATATCTCTGTTTTCATTGGCAAAAAACATATAAGCAGACAAGGATCTCTTTGGAGCATCTGGATCCTTCTTCTTTCTAGAAACTTTTCTCTTTTCACCTGCGGCAGCCATTGTTTTGTATTCTAAACTAATTGAATAATTGTTTGTTAGTAATAAGAACTAAAAAAAAGGAAAAGAAAGGAAAAGGAAAGAAAACAAAAGTTGGTAGTAAAGTAATAAAAAAAAAGTGAAACTGTTCCATACTTTATATCTTCTGTCCCCAATATTTGAAAAACAAACAAAACCACAACAAACAGACACACAGACTGAAATTTTGTTAACAACAAACAAACAAACAAACAACAACAAACAACAAACAACAAACAACGCGAATAAAACAACAACAAAATTAGAAAGCGCGTACTTTGTATTTTTTTATATTGATGTGTGGATCTCAAATACATTTTTTCTGCTGTGGGTAGTGTACGTCGAACCAAAATAGAAAAGGTAGTGTAAATCGGAACAGGAAAAACAAAATCTCTTCCTCTCTCCCTCTCTTCCTCTCTCCCTCTCTCCCTCTCTTTTACTTTTTGTTTGTTTCAAATTGAATTTTCCCACATTTGGTTTTTTTTAAGGAGAACAAATTTTTTGGAAAACAACCAATTGAAATTTGTTAAACAGTGGGAAAAATTCTATTCAATTGACCCTTTCGATAGAAAACAAAGTTTGCTTTCATATGGCCAATTGAATGTGTAAAAACTAGTGACTAGACTCCCACTCTCTTTCTCTCGTTGATCTTAATTTTTTTTTTTTTTTTTGCAACCATCCCTTCTATCATTAACTTGGCCATAGGGGGTGTGTAGTGGTGTTGAGTTTGGTTGGTTGTAAAGAAACGGCAACGTGGTCTTTTTCTAATTGAACTTTCAAATTGCCATCATTCTCTGTTGTTGTTGTAAATGTATGTTGTTGTAGTGGTTGTTGCTGTTGTTTCCTATGGTTTATCTTGTTGTCTCACTTTTTTTGTTTGTGTCTATATCTTTCCCTTATATAATGTGTATATGATACATACTAATAACTTTTTAATGTATGGATTATACTATGGTAGTTAAAAAGAGTGGTAGAAAAAAAATTTTGTATGATGATACTTTGTTAATAAATTTATATATAGACAGACAGACAGCATTTAATGTGTGTGTTGATAATTTTTATTAGTAGTGTACTTTTTACAAAAGTAGTGTGCATATTACCAAAATATCAACATATTACTATATACGCATATACAATTTCCTAACACAGACAAAAACGAGGGGAAGAAAAAGATTACACCTCAAAAAACAGCACTCATCAGTACTGAAAACTAGCTCCTATTACCAAGTGTGTTAATACGGTGCCACCAATCAGAGCTACAGCACTCTTTAGACTGTACTTATAAACATTCACTGTAGACATTGCCCACCTCACCACTCAAACATCTTAGGTTCATTTTGCGTGTGATATTTTTTTTTTTTTTTCTCTCTCCCTTTTTTTCCCTAACATTTTTGCAACAAAACCAGCCATAAAAATGTAGCCAGCCACATTTTAGTCTTGTCAAAGAGACCTAACGAAGGACACTTGCATTTGCTTTACTGCTTTGGGATTACACTGCGTTATCTTCAATTAGACAGAAAAAGATCAATTATATACATAAAAAGGAAAAGTAGGGGGGGGGGGGGTCTTTGTCTCCTCTGTAGAGGGAATATCACGTGAAATACACGTGTTCAAATATACTATAACTTTCTTAATTGTTTAGTGGTAAAGAAGGGGCCGAAAGCGTATCGCAACACCGGACTCCTCCATTTGGGTTAAGTATTTTTGGATCATTTGCTAGTGACAGTTACCCAAGTTTTCGTCAAGAATGGGCTTCTGACTTTTAACTTTTCACCTCTATTTAGGCGACATTCCCAAATCAGCAACTCCACGGCGGTTCTTCATTTATTTAGTCTCCTTGATTAGTATGCTTCTACTCTCTTTGTAACCACACTTTTGCTTCCACTGAACTAACCATACGCTTCTTATACTCAGTCTCATAATCCATTTCAGCAGCAAGAATAGCATCAGGATTAAACAGTTCCACTCTTTTCTCAAATTCATCCAATACTTGTACACTTCCAGTCAATATATCCACTTTATACCCTTGCAGTTGAAAATGCATAGCCAATTTCAATGTCTTTTCAATAGTCCTTCCCATTCCTTTT